TGACGATAGGAATCTGCTTCTGTTTTTCAAGAAGATCAAGAGTTCAACAAGAAAAACTCATTTAATAAATACAGAAAGTATAGACAAATGAATATTACAACACAAGTTGATTCAAAGGAAACAATATCGCCATGCTGGATCATGTTAATCTGGATGAACAACTTACAAACAAAACTTGCAAAAAATGTAAATCAAGTATTTTGGTGAACGTAATTGATGGAAATCCAAGACGAAAAGTACCAAACCTCTCAACACAGCTATGTATGTAGCGTTCCTTATTGTTTTTGTAAGTACTCTTTATTATTCAAATTAAAGCAACTTTTTCGTCTGTTTAAATATGAAGGCATTATAGAGAAAATACCTTTTTTTTTACAATTTATTGTTGGTATAATACCTCTTGATTGTCTTCATCTAACACTGTCTTTTCACGTTGATGACGACTATGTATCACAAGAGGACAATTATCTTCTAATTCTTCTTCTTCTTCAGATGTATGTTGTGCGGAGGGTATATGAGGATTTAAACCAAGCATCTGCAATACTTCACTTTCTTCTACAGCCACACTTGCTTCTAAATTAGAATACGTTCGACAAAGGGGACAACTAAACCCCGGATAATTTTGAGTCAACAAAGGTCGTAAGCATCGATAATGATAAACATGAGAGCAAGGTGCAATAAACAAAGCCTGAAAAGGCGCAATGCAATACAAACAAATACAACATTCTTGAATTTCTTCTGCTGTTGTGGTCGTTTTATTGATCTGATGCTTGAGCTGTTGAAATGCGGTCAGATTATAGGTATTGGATTCACGCCACTCTCGGCGGTCGACTTCCAAACGCATCCTGACTGCCCGATACATAGGCTCCAATCCTCCTTTATAATCAACGCCTAATTGAATCAAGTCGCCGTCCATGATTTCATGTGGACTTGTGCTTTCGGTATTTGCTGCCGCTAAACGAATATGATTGACAAATGTACCACTGGAAGAACCAGAGTCTTTAATATAAATCTATTGTGTGTATTTAGAATATCAAAAAAAAGCTTATTTCATTTACCTTGCCATCTATGTCAGATAACCAAATTTCTGCATGGTATCGACTCACGACTTTACTTTTAAATGAAAGTCGGTCCGAGATCACTGTTCGGTCTGAATAACGGCCTAATTTAAGCACTGATCCTCCACGCTCCAGCTCACGATCGATGACATCAAACACAAAACATCTGTTTGTAATACCCACATTAGGCACAAGCTTAATACGTATTTTCTTTTTGGGTTCAGTAGTTTCTATAGGGGAAGAAGACAAGAGAGGCAAAGGAGGAGGGGAAGGTCTAAATGTTGTATGAGAACTATTTGCCGAACGTCGAAGACTATTAAATCTTCGACTGATATCTGTTGCACTTGAAGAAGAAGGCAAATGAAGACTTCGAAGACGTCTTGTTGTAGTTGTAGTTGTATGTGGTGCTGAATCTACCATATCATAAAGAAGAAAGAAAGAAAAGAAGAAGAAGAAAAATACGATAAGGGAAAATAATAAAGTAAGATACTTTTCTCCCTTTGTTTTCCCCCTCTCTTTTTTTTTTCTCTCTCTCTCTCTCTTTCTTTTTCTGAAAGCGAGAATACTCCTTTTTTTTTATTCTTATTATATTATTTTTAATGTGTTGTACTTGGTTAGAAACCTAATTTTATGAAAGAGAGTTATACTCGAGTCGAAAATATATGTCAAATTCTTTTTTTTCTCTTTACCATATTTCTTGGCTGCTTCACGTCTTGTTTTCTTTTGAGCAGCAAACATTTCATCGAGTTTGTCTTGGTTATTCACTGCATGAGCCAACAAAGCTGTAATGTTGTTTTTAGACTTTTGCAGCTTATTGGCTTCTCTCTATAAAAGTAACATTTTTCGCATTATTATTTATAATTAAATTTCAAAATATACTTACGGTGACGCCATTATTAAACTTGGGTGCTGATGTTAATGCATGGTGTTCTCTCCACTCTTCTGAAGGAAGAATGTCACTTTGATTGACTGTCTTTATCTGTACATTGGATTCACCTCGAATACCAACCAATTGTTCCAACTAATAGGTGAGTCTTTGTTATGATCCATAGACTTACTTGTTCTGATTGAGCTTGAGGTTCTTGATAATATTGGTAATAGGTAGAAGGATCTGCTGAATACATGGCATTTGGGTCGTAAGCATAAGCATCTACTGCAGTCATTCCTTCTTCTTCTTCTTCTTCTTCTTCTTCTTCTTGAGGAGGTTTTTCTACTGAATTAATAGGGCCTAATGTAGTTTTAACAATAGGTTTTGGTGAGGCTTGAATGATAGGATCTTCTTTTAATGCTTTTCCAACATGAAAAAATGATCCTGTATGTTTCGTTGGTGTCTCTTCTTGTTCTGTTTCTGTTTCTTCTTTTGTCTCTGCTTTTTCTTTTGGCTCTTCCTTTGTCTTGTTCTTTTCCCTCATTCTTTTAGCTAGTGAAAGAGGTACAAATGGTGTATTGGTCGTGGTTTTAGCAATAGGAGCAGCAGGACGCCCCATAAATCGAGGTGCAGGCAATAGATCTGCAAGTCCTAATCCTGTCGTCGTCTTTACTCGTTTAGGTTTGGGTGCTTCATCTTCTTCTTCGTCTGCAGGTTTGGGTAAATCAACATACACTGTCTTTTTAGGTGTGGGTAACATAGAAGATAAACTTCTTTTTGTTTGTGGTTGAGGTGTTGATTCGTTGTCTGATTCTGATTCTGAACTACTTCCGTAATTAACCAAAGACATGCTTGTTTTTATAAAAATAAAGCGTCTATCGCCTTATTCGAGAGGGGAGGGGGGGACTGAGGATTTTATATTCTTTTTAAACCAATCAGATATCGTTTTAGGTAAGCAAGGCTTTCCTTTTATAATTTATTCTATGTACACAACGTACCTGTTCTTGTTGTCGGATGTGTGTATGAAGCACTTTTCTAACTAGTACGGTCTCTCTATCATTCTCAATCGTGGCATCGAGTATTAGGCTTCTTTAGGATGGACACTATAGCTTGACAGAGAAAAAAGTCCGCTTGCTTGCCTATATCGTGACCGTTGGCCGTCACAGACGTTTTTTTTTTTAAAAAAAAAAAAAAAAGCAAGCAACTCTTTTTCGAACGTGTGTGTGTGTGTGTGTGTTTTTAACTGATCTAAACGAAATGCCAACAGCAACCAAAAAGACAATCATCAAACCAGTTGAGCATACCAAGAAACATGTCTCACCTAGTGAAATCGTGCTTACCAATACAGCGGGTGGCAATATTTCTCAATATCCTACTGAATTCACAAAGGATTCCAAGTAAGTATTTCCGTATTTCATCAATTCATCTGACATTTGTTTTCAGATATGTCTTTTCAGCAGTAGGCTCAAGTGTCAAGATTTACAGCATGGCAACAGGTGCCGTAGTTAAGGTTATATCACAATCAGCCAGCACAGGCGGACATAGCAACAAAATCACTCGGGTGATGTTGAATCCCAAAAACCACCTTCAACTCTATACAGCTAGTTTAGATGGCACTATTAAATTATGGGATTACAATGATGATATTCTATTAAAGACATACCATGTTGATTTTCCTATTGAGCATATGGTCATGTCACCCAAACATACAAACACGGCTTATATTGTTGTCAAATCTACAGATGTACATGGTAAGTGATGATGTATAGTGAGTTCTTTATTGATGTCTGAATATAGACAATTCAATTGTATATTGCTTTTCATTCGAATCTAGCCATATGCGCCGTATTTGCTCAGTCAGAGAATGTACAACCATCGATATCTCGCAGGACGGTGAATGGCTTGCATTTGGTGCACGATTTAAAGTGTATGTATGGCCTATCAACGAGGAAGAAGAAGATGTATCCGAGACACAATTGACACAACACGTCTTTGTTGAACAGGTTACTGTGCTTAAATTCCACCCTTTTAAGCCTATGTTGAGTGTAGGTGATCGTTCTGGCAAGATCACCCATTTGACGAATTATCCTTCAGAAAAAGACCTGATTCGGTCTGTAATTCACTGGCATCATATGCCTGTGCGTTGTCTTACCTTTATGGCAGACGGCTCTTATCTATTATCTGGTGGTGAGGAAAGTGTGTTGGTCATTTGGCAGCTAGAGACAGGATACAAGCAATTCTTGCCTCGCTTAGGTGGTGGTATTGCCTCTATTGCCATTACACCCAACCATCGATTTTATTGTGTTGGTTTAGATGACAATTCAATCTGTCTTGTCAACAGTGTCACTCAGAGTATGGAGCAAGTCATTCAGGGTCTTCAATATGGTATGTACTCATATTTGTCTTTGGCTTATCTAATATACCTTATTTAGCTCAAGCAGACAATGCATTAAACCCTCTCTCTACGGGTCTTATGATTGAACCTCGTAATCACCATGTCGTATTGAATGGCGTTCAAGGCAGTCTTCAGTTTTATGATGCTGTTGCTGATAGTCATGTCATGGATCTAGAAGTAGTCCCTATGAACCGTATTGTTCGTTCAGGCGAAAAGGAAATTATTCATGCCCATGTAGCCCATGTGGCTTTTTTGCGTACAGGTGAATGGATGGCCACAGTTGATATGCGTGATGATAAGATCACCACACCTGAACTGTTCCTCAAGTTTTGGCGTTGGGATCCTGATACCCAGGCCTATAAGCTCCATACGCGTGTGGATTATCCTCACACGAAACCCATTCGTTCCCTTGTGTTTAACCCTGTCTCTCGTCAAGGACCTATGGCTATCACGACTTCAGACGACAAGACATTCAAAGTATGGAACTTGAGTACAGATCTGGGTCGTCCCTACCACCACCAACAAGGCGAGGCTGCTGCTGCTTGGATATGTCGCTCTGTGGGTGTCTATCGTGACTGTGCACCTCATGCTGTCAGTTTCTCTGAAGATGGTAGTATCTTGGCCGTTGCATTTGGTCAAGCCATCACTATCTGGGACCCTTATCTCAACTCAATTCAAGCTGTACTTGCACAACCTAACCCTGAAGCCATTGAAAAACTCTGCTTTTTAGGCGACACATGTCCTTATTTGATTGTCAAGTCTAGATCACACTTGTATGTCTGGAATATGTTGACGTGTCAAGTATGGTGGAGTTACAAGGTATCAGTAGACCATCTTACAGTCGACCCGGTTTCAAATCAGTTTGCTATTGTTCGTAACCATGCTCGGTCAAATCAAGCACGCATCACGGTATTTGATCCCAAGTCACCTAAGCCTATCGCCTTGCAACATGTGGAACATACATGTCTTGCTGTTGCCTGGCTTTCAAGAGATAGTAATGAACAGCCTTTACCCAGCACACTTTTATGTCTCAACAACAAATATGAATTCGGCTTATATGCAGTCAAATCACGCGATACACAAATAATGGAAGCAGAACAGACACAGCGAGTGTCTCTATTGGACAACACACCAGAAACAAGTTTACTTGATGATATGTATGGTAAACGCGAATCTGAACGCGAAACGGACGAACAAACGCGTATTCGACTCAAGACAGTTCAAAGTATGCGTGAAGAAGCCATGTCAATCAATCCTAAGAAAAGACATGAAGAAGAACAAGAACAAGGTGGTTTATCTGCACCAAGTCATGTCTTGCCTGGTGTGGATGTCTTGTTCGACACATTCATGTCTTCTCTTATGACACTTCGTATAGAGAACACAGACAAGACTGCTGTTGAAGATATGGAATTAGATGCAGAAGCACAATTAGAACAAGAAATTTCATTTATTCATCAAGATAATATCACACAATCTGCTCAACAAGACCTTCCTTTATTAAACCAATATTTTGCTCAAGAATTAGGTAAGTGATAATGATGATGTAATAATAGCAAAGTCTTATTTTATATATACTTAGAACAAAACCCTGTATCAAGTAAAGCAACTACACAAGATTCTTCTTCTTCTTCAGATAATGATTCTGAAGAGGAAGAAGACCCTTCCAACATTGATTGGTAACCAATTAGACACTCATAATAATAAAATGTTTGATGATCGTCAGATTGACTGTAAATAACTGATGATGATGATGATAAGATGCATGGATGATCGCCTTTTTAAAGATTTTTGTTTTTATTGAATGGTATAATAAATGTGAATTGTATGCTATATAGAATGTGTATGTATGTATGTATGTATGTATGTATGTATGTGTTCTTATTGCCAGACCTTGGCTGCAGAATTCATGGCAGTGCGTTTACAATTTCCCCATTGAGATTCTAAATCGCCAATCCAAGATAAAATGATTTCAAGTCGCTTTTCCAACGTAGATGAGGCAAGCAAATGATATCGATCAGCATTACTCACAGGCAGGACAGTAGCAGTCCACCAACACATGGCTACAGCATTATCAGCATCTGGTAAAGGACCATGTAAACTTTGAACAGATTCAAGCCAGACAGGACCCAAAAGACCTTCAATAGCACTGCAGAATGATTTAGAGGGAGTAGAATGAGCCAGAGCACTAATGAATTCATGGACACGATTGGATAGTTTGATGGCAGGTGTCATGGTGTCATAGATAGGTGGTGACATGGGAGGACTGACTTGATTCAGAATAACTTCCATAGAATGTTGAGGAGAAGGAGGTAGCTGTTGTTGCGAGAGCTTAGTTTGTGGAAGTGCATATTCAGTCCAGTGCCTTGTAGGAGACAAAAGAGGTGCCAGGTCTTCTTGCGCTTCAAATTTGATGTCAATGTCTGCTATCATGAAATTATCTGCTTGCTGCTTGATGTCTGTTACTTGGAATCGGTCAAGGCCGATGAGATCAACAATCATGTCCCTATTGCGTTGTTCTAGCCCTGTAATCTTGACTATAGTACCGAATCGACCTTGATAGTCAAGCTTGTCTTTGTTCATCATAGCAAGGCAAAGGGACTGATATTCTTCACATCTCAACAAGGAATTTAAAAAGACGGCCCGGTGTTCCTCGGTATAGATAGGGATACGCAGTTTTTGAGATGGTAAGACAGGGAATTCAGATAGATAGACTGGCAATGATTCATACTCTGTCTTGTTCAGATTGCTAAAGGAAACAACATGATTTGATGTGACTACGCTCTCTTTCAGAGATGCGTTGAGTGTGGCTAACATGCTCTCTAGTAAGAAATTATAGGGTTGCTGTTGAATGTACTGGTAACTAGGTAATCGCTTTTGGCATTGCTTGCATTGGTCGTTGGAGATCTTATAGTGTAGTAAGCAGAGTTTACAGAAAGTATGTCCACAGTGATTTGTAGTAGGAGATTGTAAAATATGATTTCCAATGGAACATTGCAGTAAACGAGTAGCATTTTCATGCGTCTCTTGAGTGTGTTCTGGCTGTAATAAGTTTTGCTTAGCCAAGTTATCTACAATGTCGTCTAGGGACAAGCATGGTCCAAACAGATGTGATTCTTTTTTGCATTGTTGAACAGGACAGACAAAAGTAGATCGTTGATTAGCTGATTGAGAAGGTAAGCAAGCCATACAGACTGTATAGCCACAAGAGAGGGTAATTGGGTTTTGAAGTTGTTGTTGACACTTTGAGCAATTGAAGAGCAACATTGTATCGACCTTCTTTTAGTTAAGAGAGAGAGAGAGTAAGAAAAGAAGGAAAAATGAAACTAAGCTTATCTATTTTTTTATAGTAACCTCATATCGATTTGCATTTTTTCTGAGGATCAGTATCTCAAGCATTAATTTCGATTCTCATCTCTTTTTCTTACTTTTTTTTTTTTGACTCAATGTGTGACTCTGTACCCCAAAAAAAAAAAAGTTCTATATGCAAGTTGCCTCTGCTTGATTCGGGAATATGATTTAGCAACTTGAATGAGAGATAAATCATGAATTACAGGTCAAAACGACGATCTGAAGCAAGCTGAAAAATATCCGTATAAAAAAGAGCGTTTTAAAACACTTTATCAGGCTATTTGTTTTATTTTGTTTTTCTCTTCTTTTTTGTTTTTTTTTCTTTTTCTTTTGATTTTCTTTGTTATATATCTTAACAAAGGGGTAAGCCTCCCTGATGTATTCATGATAGAACTATGGTTTGGAATAGGAATCCTATTATTCCTTTTTCATCATAAACGACATTTTGTAGTCCCTTTACATAAAATGGGCAATTGGTGTCTTGTTGTACAGCATCTTGCGGATTTTGTAAAAATCGACTATGATGCTTCTCCCCCAAAACAAAGGTAGTTTCCATAAAAGTAAAAAAGCACAAATTGCCAATGAGACAAAATAGTTACTAAAAAAAGAGAAATTTATTGTTGAATATCTAAAAAATGTGTTTGCAATATTATTCATATGGGCTAACATGCATCCAACTTGTTCTATTGCATTTGCTATACTTTCTTTTTTTTTCTTCATTCTGTTCTTTTTATTCGTGTCATGGTTTATTGGCCAACTTGAAAATAACAATACACAGCATTTCAATTCTGCAATAATCAAAAGCTCGTCTTACTATGTTCTATACGGAGAATATAATACTTGTTGAAAATTCATGGAGGATTTTTTTTTGTTTCGCAGTAGTCTTTAAAGAATTTTTTTTATCAAACTGAGATAAATGGACAGAGACAAAGATGATGAACTATCTATGTCTTTTGAGATAAAATTCATAATAAAGTTGATTTGGTATACATAAGACTAACATGTATACAGAGTTTTCCCTCTCAAAAATCAGTGGAAAGATACAAAAGAAATCATCATGTCCACATGCTACACGTCAAGCCATGTGTTGATTAAAAATGACACTTTTTCAGAATAAGCTTTTGTGAGAAAAAGAAACCAACTCGGTAATCATTTAACTGAATCAGCGTAGTCTAATTCTACCCAAAAAAAAAAAAAAAAATATTTTGCTTCAACTTACTGTCTAAACATAACTAATTATGTGTTTTTTCACATCCACATCTGTGATTAAAATTTACAGTAAACAGATTTGCATACGTACTACCTTGAATGTAACGTAAAATGAGCATCATTATTATGGCAAAAGATGATTGAATTGTTGCGCATCGTTTGACCCAAAGAAAAACAATAACAATAACAACAAAATAAGCCGTGTTTGGCTTGTGTTCTACTATAGCATTCAAGAGCAAAAACCACAGAGAAAGATAAAAAGCAACAGGTTATATTAGAGACCCAACATAAAGGCATGTCTTGTTCAAATCAAAGCAAGTAAAGACAAGTTTTTTTTATTTTCAATATATCAACATGTTCTTCATCAAAATGATGTAAAAATATAACAATCTTTAAATCATGAATCAACATAGGATCACTATATAAGCTACCTATATTTTCTCTCTTTTTTTTGTTTCTTACTCACATTATCTTTCTTTTACCCTTTTCCTCCCTACTCTAATATTTCTTACAATGGCAAACGTTAGTCGAGCTGCAAGCAAATTTGGTGAAGCCGTTGGTTTAACGGGTGCACCTGTCTTTACTCAAGCTGAAAATGTAATTGACTTGATTGTTCAAGACCATAACAATGCTAAGGCTCTCTATGAAAAATACAAGTCTTCTTCTGATTGGGATGAAAAGAAACAACTTCGTAACAAGATGATCAAGGCTCTTGTTCAACACGATGAATGTGAACAACTTTTGGTCTATCCTTTGTTGCGTGAAAAGATTGGCGGCAAGTTGGGTGAAGACCACTATGCTCGTAGCTTAGCTGAACACCAAGAACTCAGAGACTTATTGTATGGTGTGCGTTATGCTGATATGAAGGCTAACCCTCAACAATTTGATTCCAAACTGAAGAATGCCATGGATGCTGTCTTTAGTCACGTGGCTGTTGAAGAAAATGAAGTATTGCCTCTCTTGAGACAAAACTTATCCGAAGAGGAACTCAAGAAAGTGGGCGCTTCATTCAAAGCTCATAAACCCACTGCTGTGACAAGACCTCATCCAAATGCTCCTATGCAAGGTTATCCTGCTGCTATGGCTAACTTGGTCATGAAGCCTTTTGATAAAGTCAAGGACTTTTGGGAAGGCACTGATTAATTTCTTTACAGTATTATTTTTGCTACGTTTTATATAATAAATTTTTTTTATTTCTGCTTTCTCTCTCTCATTTGTATATACACGCCACTTTATTGAAATTAATGTGTGTTACCATAAAACTCATACACGGTTAACATTTTCACCAATGCAAACTCGCAAAGATCCTCCAAAAACGGAAAGCATAAAAATATATATATTCTTTTTGATATTCTCATGATAAAGAATTAAACTATCGGAATTTAAGACGCATGACGTAAAGTTTTGTACTCATGCATAAATATATGTTCATGTACAAGATTGTACTTTTCTAAAGTCTATTTAAGGAGTATAACAAGTCTCCTCTCATTTTTCTTTTTTTCTCTTCTTTAAAGACGCGAAGTCTATAAACAAAAAAAAACAAAAAAAAAGGAAAGAAGAAAAAAAAAAGGGTTTCATACAAGATAAACTAAAAAGTGATTGGATACTTGTTCAAAAACTTTTTTGTGAGTTATATCACGAACTTGAGCGGGAATGAAATAATAATTTTCCCTCGTTTTTTTTTATATTTTTATTTCTTTTCTTTTTTTATTTATTTATTTCTTTTACTTTATCGAGGGCAAACTATTATCTTTCTTTCTTTAACAAATATGCAAACTGACACAATACCAAGGCTGACTTCTACAGTTAAAACTCCTTCTACATCCAGTGGAACAGAATTTCAAAGTGTAACAAACAATCACAACAAAAGTTTAGGACAATTAGATAACATATTTCAGTCTGTAAAGAAACAGGTAAAGATATATACACACATAGATAATGATTAGAATCATGACTAAAACAAAAAGATAGATTGAACAATGGGGTGAAAATGCCAAGTGGAAAATTGACTTGATTTTACTAGATAATCCTCCTCAACATCAAGCATCAAATTTACATCCTTTACTTTCTCCGCAGCATTTTCATCCTAATGCAATCACAACTCCAGCCGATAATAATATTGGAGGCGGAGATTCTAGTACTAAAAAGAACAAGCATTTGCATGTTACTTCCAGTATTCAATATCCAGTAAGTTGTCTTTGTATGATAAGACTCAAAACTAATATTATAGTGGGATTTTGTTGCTCCTACAGATGACGAGTGGAAACAAGATTCAGAAGATTTGCAACAAAAGGTAAGAACAAGAACACAAATAGGCATTGTTTATTGATTATTTCCTACAAGTTACGTGAATCCATAGAACGTCAAAGATATCTGGAAAGCATCATTTGGTCTCAAGCAGAGCAAATAAAGCATTCACCAATCATATCTGACAAGGAAAAAGCTATTAATACAATGAGAGACATTTATCTTATGTCTGTAAGTATGACACACGTGTATGTCCCTCCTATTGAATATTAATACGGTAATAGCAACATGAACAAAAAACACATCACCTTGTTGAAACAACCATACTGCAAAAGGACATTGAAGCATTGTCCAAAAAAATAAAGAAGATGGCCAAAACACTTCAAGATATTGAAGAGATACAAGTGGCACCACAAGATAAAGATCTAGACAAAGAGGCTTTGCTAAACGACCGCACCTTATTGTTGCGAAAACTACATTTGGCAGAATTACGTTTATCAGCCAGAGATACAGAAATAGAATATTTACATCAAGTCATTGATACATTAAAAGCAAACACAATGAACACTTCTTCACCTAAACCGCAGTTCCAGAAGAAATTACGAAAAGGTCCACCTTATTTGTTCCAACAACAGTATTCTCCTCGTAGTGAAGTCAGAACTTCTGAACCACATCCTCTTTCTGGTTTGGACAGCTTGGGTATCGTGGCCGATCAAATGCTGAGTGACCCAGAATTTGAAGGCTCAAATTCGAAATCATCTGTGCCTGAAAAACGATTGCGTTCTCGGTTAGATGATAGACGATCTCAACGATCAATTGATTCTGCAGCTACTTTGTTAGCCATGCCTCAGTTAATGATACCGCAACGCATGAAACGTAAGTTGCTAGTCTTGATGATTATCGTTATTAATCACTCTTTAGCTGAAGATACACATTCTTCGCCTTCACCCGAACATGTCAAGGCGATGGAACACATTCCCAAGAAGCCAAGATCTACTTATACTCGCTGGACAGAAGCTGAAGATAAATTACTAAGAGCAGCAGTCAAGAAATACGGCCATAGCAACTGGGAAGCGTGTTCCCGTGATGTTCATGGCAGAAGTAATATCCAATGTCGTAATCGCTGGATTAGACATCTTGAACATAGACCTCCTCCAGTAGAAGAAGAAGACGAAGACGAAGAAGAAGAGGAACAACAACAACAACAACAACACAGACCACCTACTACTCCAGAACGACAAAGACATATAAACAATGCACGTCAATCACCTTCAATTGCTGCATTATTAAACAGTAATGACGACTATCATTATTCACCTAAATCTACACCCAAGCAACTTTATGAACAACAACAACAACAACATCCTTATCATATTCACCCTACTTATCGACCACCATCACCTATGGCAACCCCAAAGAATGGAAAACGTAGATCTCCTGAAGACATGCCTACATCAACTAAATGGTAGTTTTCTCTTATAGCAATTTATACTTGTAAATATTACATCACGCATTTTTTTCTCCCTTTTTTTCTCTCTTTTTTTCTCTCTCTCTCTCTCTCTTTTTTTTTTTTATCTGTACACTCTATTATTATTGTTGTTTTCAATCTGTCATACGTATAATTATATTTTAATAAACTCACCTTCAACCAAGTAGAGAGATGTTAGTATAGGATTATCAAATCTAATTTGTTTATTCATTTCTTATTTTAGTTTGAGGCTGTCTTTATTGGTCAGCCATGCGTACCTCATCTCTAAAGTCACTTGGCTTCAGCGTGTATAATTACACTTGATCCAATGCTATTTCTTTTTATCATTTATTCATAGGGGTCTGCAGATAAGTGGCAGATAATAATTACCTTGACAAACAGATGTTGGTACAAGCGCGCTTAATTAAGTCCAATTTGTACGACAAAGCAATGCAATATTATGTTATTTTTAGAGCTCACTTCTTTTTTTTAAAGAAAAAAATCGCTGTAATATCAATGCAATTTGGAAAGCATATATACAGGTTGCCTTGTGCTTGAAGAATGAGTATCCTGAGATACGTCTTGATTTGCTTTTTTTTTTTTGTATAAACAAACTGATGACGCTAAATTGGCATTCAATACGGAGTATAGAAAATAACGTTCCTTTTTCCTGTTGCTTTCTTTCTTTCATTCTTTTTGATACATACAATGCATTCACTCGCTTCTTTTCTCGGATTATCTAAAAAGTCTTCTTCAACAAAACTATCCAACCATCATCAGCAAAGTGCTTCTCAGCGCGATCTTCGTGATACGATCGTCATTTCGTTTGAAGATCGGTATTATGATATTCACTTTCGAGACACAAGAGGCGGTATACGCGAAACAACAGTAGCAGAGCTCAAGCAGAAATGCAAACAAGTGACAGGCGTTACTATAGCCACCATGAAGCTAAAAGTATCCGGAGGTAAATGGGATAGCAACCAGTTCATGTGATAGTAACCTATCGTTTAGCTTATATCAAAGACGATACAGCTACGCTAATAAGCAGTGGCATTCATGATGGCTCAGTTGTGTTTGTGATAGGCGATCGAGCTAATGTAAGTAACCAGAGTGTCAACAACTGAGTCTTACAAGGATTAGAGTGAACAATTAAGACAGACAACATCAGGAAACCCAGAAGAAGTAGGCTACATGACACGCATTTCCAACATTATGGAAAAAGTCAATCAGTCGAACCACAAAATAGAAGAGTTTGACATCAGAGTAGTGTCGGCCATAGAAACAAGATTGGATGAAACCCAAAAGAAGGAGGCTGAAGATTTAGGCATCTATCTTTCTGAGATTCTGATGCAAGCACTTATTGCATTGGATGGAGTCGATTGCCCCCTGAATTTGAAGCAGCAAGAACAAAAAGGAGAGAAGGTGTTAAACAGTGTCAAGCGCTTATGGACCGTGTCGATCAATCAAGAAGTGCCTTTAAACAAGCTGTTCATCAATAAATTTTATTTCCCAAAACATACATAGGCAATATGCATACAAGCAAACATAGGTGAGGGCGGTACTTTAAGTAAGGCAAGCCGGGCCATCCATTGATCTATCCTACTAATAACGGGAAACGATGATTTCCGAGAAAACGAGGAGAATAGAAATGCAAAGAGCATAAAAAAATGACGAGAACGGTGTCGTGAGTGTTGAGATAGGGTATAAATAAAGTATGCAGAGGCCAACCCAACCCAGGGTATATATTTTCTTTTTTGATCAAGGGAAGAGGTGGTTTCTGATGGCATAGTGTTGAGTTGAATGCTTTGTTCCAACTGTTGTATTGCAATATTTAGTTTTGCTTGACTTTGCATATATCTATTTTGGACATAACGGTATGAGTAATTGGCAATGCTGTCTTCAAAAGCTTCTTCTGGTTTCATTTTCTTTTGTACATAATGGGTTGTGTTGATCAAGCTGGCTTGTGCTTCTTCAATAAGGTTCTGTAATGAAGTGCCTATTCTTTCTAAACTGTCATTGACTGTATTGGGCGATGATATCGATTCAGTCTTTTCGGCATAAGTCTCGGAGGCAAATGTTATTCGTGGTGGATTTCTAATGTATTTTAGTTATTGAAACAGAAGAGTAAAAAAAAAAGGTACCTAATTTTGTTGTATAACTCTGGTCTATTCATGAATAAGATAAAAAGAAATAAAAAAGATCAGCGTTTTTTTTTTATCTATGCATATCTGTACCTTGATAAACCGTCTTTACTGATATACAAAGAACCTTTTTTCATCTACAAACAAACTGAATATATAGAAAGAAACAATTCAATTTACCTCGACATCAAACAGAATGACTGGTAAATCATAATACGAAGGATAACTGGTGACTAGTGAACTCCTGCATAATCTCTCCTTTTCATTGTTATTGTTCATTCGTGCCTATTCTTTTTTTTTAGGGGAATAAGGCTAAAGAAGAAGAAGAAAGGGAGAGAGAGAAAGAGAGAGAAGGGAAGCAATATAAGCAATTTTAGGGTAAGACAGCATAATGAAAATACACTTCTATTTCCATGTGAATAAGTAACTTGTACTCCCGTGGTTTTGTTGATAATTTGTTTTGTAATCTCTATTACGTGATATGTATAATATAGCAAGCGTTATTGTTTATTATGTGTAACATGGTTTATAAGGGTTTCTTTTTTTTTTTTCTGTTTTCAGTACTATTTTAATTACTGCTTCTTTGTCATATAAAGTGTCTATTTGAAATAACACTACAGTTGTAATGGCTTAAAAGTACTATGAATGAAATATTAGGCTGATGAACTATTGTTACAAAAGAAAATCAAATGGAAGGTATATTCTAGATGACCCTCAAGCAATAAAAAAAAAAAGGTTAGAACGTAGATCAATGTTGTATTTAGATTACCCCAGATTTTTTTCCTATTTTTTCTCAAGCTCCTTTTGTGTACAATACTAGAATAACTTTTTTTTTTTTTTTTTTTTTTTTTTTTTTTTGTTCAGAAAATATATCTCACAATAAAAAGTGAAAATGAAATTTATTATGACAGGAACAAGAATATATATTACATGTATTCTCAGAAAAAAAAAGATATATATAAATAGGAAACTTAGTTTAGTTTTCTACGTTTAGGATCTAGTCAGGCACTCTCTTCTTCAGTGTTTGCATGGACATTCTTGGCATCTTCTTCATAGTTATCCAACTTCATGTCATTCAAACCCAAATCTTCATTTGTTTCCCAACTACGCTCGTATTCTTCAATGACCATTTCTGGGTCTGGGTCTGGAGCATAGAGGTTTTGAAGGTATGAGTTAGAAAGAGGATCATCAATGATAAGAGTCACTGGGAAACGCTTGCCGTCAGCAACATCTGTCAAATTTTGCAAAAAGGTAGACCACTTGATCTTTTCAGGATCAGTACCAGAATCACCTTCAATAAAGGAAGCACGCTCACGAAGTTCAGTGTGTACTTGTCTAAGCAAACCTTCTACAGTAGTGAAACGACCACCAAGCGTACCTTGTGTTAATTCAAGGTTGATTTCAGGAATAGTCAAACCACATGTTTCAGACTTGAGAATATCTCTTGACAGATCTTCGGCATCAGTAATGTTAAGTGTGATACGCTTGCCCTTTTCAGAGATAGAGCCACCTGCCTTGACTTCGTTGCTCTTGTAGCCACATTCGTCACAGTTAGTAGCCATGATGACGACTTCTTTGAAGTGAGGGATCTCCATCACATGCATGTTGGTGGCACAGGGAGAACTACAGCTAGGACAATTGGCAGGGAAAGACATGACTTCAGGGAGACCTGTCTTTTCATTGACCATTTCAGAAGCTGTACCCACACGCTTAAGTGCTTGTTCAGCAGCTTGTTCAGCAGGTGTTTGATCATGACCCACTTGAAGACCGAGGAAAGCTTGTTGTTCAGGCGTACGAGTGTACCATCTCAACTTGATTTGAGGATCGTGTTGAGGAAGACATTTGTTTTCGACATAAGAGTTGCCAGAAGGATCGTCCAGAGTCAGTGTGAAAGGGACGCCTTCTTTGTAACTGTTCATGGTGGCAATGATTTCTTCAATCTTGTTGTAGACTGCTTCATCTGTGGCTCTTCGAATGGGTTGGCCAGCTGATAAATCATCAATAGCATTGTCAATCAAGCCTTCTACCGTTGTAAGAAGACCGCGGTTATTGTTAGCAGGAATTTCCATATCCAATTCTTCAAATTTAACGGAACAATAATCGGACTTGACTAATTGACGGTTCATGTCCTTACACAATGAGGTTGAGTCTACGTTGTCTAACAAGTGGATGGACTTACTTCTTTACCCTTGATAGACAATGTAATAGCATGGCCTCTTTCGTTAAAAGTGCCTGCACTTTGAAGTTCGTTGTTACGGAAACCACAGTGGGGACATTCAAAGGCCATGATAATGATTTCCCTGTTCTTGTTAAATACATACAATCATCCAAAGATTGAACTTACTTGAAGTGAGGGATTTTAGAGAGAAGAATACGTGTAGTACCCTATAAAAACCTAGAGTTAATATACAAGAATATAGCGTCCGGGTATGAACTTACATTTTCTTGGCACTTCATACATAAACTCTCGATTTCAGTGGGTTTTGTCTCACTAAGGTCAACAAAGATAGGTTCAGCCATGTTTGTTTTTTTTATGGAAAGAAAAAGAAAAAAAATTTATTTGTCATGCTGCGAAATGAAATGCAAAACGCCAGTCACGCGTTCGAGAAAGAACAAGAAACAGACGCATGAATGTCATTTCTAAGCAACATTTTCTTGAGCTAATTTGAAAGCACCCACAAGAGCACTCAATTGAATCTTTTCGTTTCCACCTTCTCCTAATCTGTATTCTATGTCTGCCAGTCTTTGAAGGATGTGTATACGTGTATGGGCTGGGAATTCTACTAATCGAGCAAAGTTGTATATTTCAGTAATGATATCTTGTAATGCTAAACCTGATTCTTTTCTTAATTTCTCAATATCTGTCAAAAAAGTTAGTTTTGATGAGTCACAAAGTCGTTCTCTTACTTGAATAAGCTGTTGTGAATTCTTCGGACATCATCCACTTGAAAATACGCTCAATATCTTGTGGTTGAGGATTGCCTGTACAGTTATAAATAGCAGCTTCATCAACACGATCATAGGCAGCATGACAAGCTTGAAGAATATTAAGCGCACGACGCATATCACCTCTAGATAAACGCAGTAAAGCCTTTTCACCATCTTCTGTCAAATGCACTCGTTCATGATCAACCACTGTCTTTAATCTGATCTTGACTTGATCTTGCGATAAGGGAGCAAATCGAAAACGAGTACAACGGGACTGAATAGCAGGAATGATTTTGCTGACATAATTACAGATAATACAGAACCGAACATTGTGTGTGTATTTTTCAATGACACGACGTAAAGCAGCTTGTGCTGCATTGGTCATGGCATCAGCTTCATCCAGCACAATCAATTTGAATCCAGAGCTATAGATGTTGCGCGTACTGGCAAAGTTTTTGATTTGTTCTCTTACGACATCAATACCACGATCATCAGAAGCATTGAGTTCAAGAATCATAGATTTGAATCGATCACCATACAGTTTTCTAGCACAGGCAAGAATAGTGGTTGTTTTACCAGTACCTGGTGGTCCATAAAACAACAAGTGAGGAAGTCTTTTAGCGTCAATAAATGTCTCGACTAAAAGAATAGAGAAGAGATAAGCAAGTTGCATTTAAGAAAGTGTTTATTACTTGTAGAGGTAATATCCTTGTGAGATACAACTTCGTCCAGTGTCTGAGGTCTGTATTTCTCTACCCAAGGTAAATTATCCAATTCTTGGGTTAAGTCAACCATTTTTCCTTTTCCCTTGTCTTTTGGGCGAGGGATAGGTGTATCAACGTCCATAGCACTCATATCTGTCTGCAAAAAATAAAATAAAATAAAGTAAAGGCGCGTTTTGAAGCGCGTAATAGAGAAAACAAAAAACTATCACAACAATTGTGACTTTGCATCGAGCGGGGTTTTTGGATACATTGATCCAATGCTTGCCCATTCAAGGAGTGCAGGGTTTGCTTTTTTAAAAGCCAATCATCCCATGCGTTACCAAGGAAACATTCTTAAAAGAAAAAAAAGCGTAAAAGAATACTAAAAAAAAAAGAAGAAAAAAAAGTTGTTCTGTAAAGAAAATTTCTCATGAGTGACAAAATATAAATAAACGAGTTGTTATATCTTGGGTGCACTAGTAGTACAGGGTGCTTATTCTAACGCGATAAAGTCTAATTCCCTATCGTGATAACGATTTTTTCCTTAAACTTTTAGGCTTATTCATATTTAAAGTATATGCAGTCCTCCCCCTTTCATAAATAGACATATATATATATATATATATTCAAAATAAGAAAATGATGCATGCTTATGTGTTTGTCAACAAAGAAAAAAGAATGTTCTTGATGCTCAGAATACTTGGTCAGAGCTGAGATTGATCGAAGTAGGACAATCAAATTGCGGAGCTCAACTATGAGTTTCCCTCCATACAGATTAGGGGGGGGGTTTTTTTTGGTACCCTTAAAAAACCAAAGAGAAACAGAGAAATAGCAACATAAAAAAATAAAGTAAAAAAATAAGAAGAATTATTCGGAGATATGTAGAGAACGGTATCTTCTTTATCTATAGTAGAACATGTCAAACATTATCCTGTTTCAATTTCTTTAATTCGAAACTATGATTTGTTTGGAAATGCATACAATCGCGATTTACTGAAGATCAAATCGCACTGTTTCTTCCATGGCTTTTGTGACTGGTTTGACCATTCTTGACCCATTTACAAAGAGAGAAAAAAATTACACTTTTTGACAATTACCCTTTTATTTAAAATTACCCTCACACACACACACACACACACACACACACACATATATATATATATACATATATATATACGCATATATAATTATCTGAAGAAAAATTCTATCTTTTTTTTTTTCTTTTTCTTTTTTTTCTTTTCTTTTCCTTTTTGTAATGATTAAGAAATTGTGAGTTCTTTTCTTATAAAATGGACGTTTCGAAAATGTGTATTGACTCATCTGATGTTGTTCATGAATCACCTTCTACCTCATCTTCTGAAAGGTTTGATTTTAGTCGATATGAAAAAAAAAAAATTAAATTTTATATTTTAGGGACTCTTTGCCGTCTTTAAATGATTTGCCTCTATACAACAATTCCACTGTAAATAATCATATATACCATTCAGCATTTAATAATAATAATAATAATAATACTGCCGCTGGTCTATCGCAGGATCAAAAGCAGCAGTTACAATTACAATATCAATATCTAAAATCTTACGCAAATCCACCTGTATTAGAACAAACAGATTATACGCAAAACAAAAACTATTTTCCATCATCATCATCTTCTCTTTTGAAATTCAACAAACCACCTTCTCCTCTACCTCCACTTATGAGCCGTAGACCATTAGCACCTGCTCCACAATTATCGCCTTCTCCACCCACTTCTGTTGCTGAAGACAGTACCATGTTAAAATTCGTAACTATCTGTAAACACATAAGACTTTGTCACTTTTTTATTGAATAACATATTTTCTTAAAAAGATGATTGATCAATGCTCCATGGTGTATCAAAAGATTGGAAAATATCGTGTTGATCCCCTGCGAGAATCTGAACGTAATCAGATTATTGATGAAATCTATAGTACAACTGAATCTTTATTAAATTCTTTGAAAGAATACGAAATAAGACAACAACGTAATAGTATGGAAGAAGACATGGCACATGAAATGCCACATAAATTTAATGGGATGGATGAAGACATACATACTAAAGTAGTAAGCAACATTGTTTCTCTCACTTTCTTATTCTTTTGCTAGATGAATGAAGCAACAAGTGAAGAATATAAACTGATTAGACAAGCAAGAAATTTGCAAGAATCAGTACGCCCTAAATACCGTAGAAGAAGTGTATGTATAAGAAGACGAAGAAGAAGAAAAAAAAAGAGAGCAATGTATTCATATCTCTATAGAAGCGTAGCATGGTGGGTCAACGATGTCACTCTTGCAATACTTCAGAGACACCAGAGTGGAGAAGAGGACCAGATGGTGCTCGTACACTTTGTAATGCGTGTGGCCTACGTAAGATACAAACTATGAAATAGAGACCAATCACTCATCAATCTTTTTATATATATATATAGACTATTCAAAACTGTTGAGAAAAGGTTCTCTTACAGTTCAGACTCACAATTACATGCTAGACTCAGGACCTGAATCAAATAGGGCACAACAAGCTATGCAGTTCTCACTGCAACAAAGAAAATCACCACCTCACTTGTCTATAGAACCATTAAACAATCGGATAACTGAACTAAAAGAAGAAGAAAAACGCGAATAAATATTTATTTAGACTTTGATATCTTGATTAAATGGTAGCATAAACAAACAACTTTTACGCCCATATCGGATGCATGCATAAGCAAGTTTTTTTTTAAATCTTGATAATCATATGTATATTTATGATTGAGAAGCACACAAAACACAAAAAGGAAATTTTCCTTCTTGGCTAACAAGAGTCACTTGTAACACAAACAAGCCCTCCTTCTTTTTTGTCATAGAACAACGCCCCTATTTTCCTTCTTTTTTTTTTTTTTTTTTTTTTTTGTTTCTCGTTAAAAAACATACGATTATGATTTCAGAAGATACTTATGATTATTTATTTAAGATCGTCATTATTGGTGATTCGGGTGTTGGCAAATCAAATTTATTGTTGAGATATACAGTAAAGAGTTAACTTGTTATTTCTTGATCAATCTCATGTCCTCCCCCTTTTTTTTTCTATCTATAGTCTGATGAATTTATGGAAGACTCAAGAAGTACTATAGGTAATATATATATACACCCTGAATAGCTTGATTTAACCTTATAAAAAAATAGGCGTGGAATTTGCAACAAAGAGTTTAAAGATTGTTCGTATATATATATATATATATATATATTGAATGAGCCACTTGACTAAACAAAACAGGATAATTCATTTATCAAAGCACAAATTTGGGATACAAGTGGCCAAGAAAGATACAAAGCCATTACAAGCGCATTTTATAGAGGTGCAGTAGGCGCACTTTTAGTTTATGGTAAAATAGACACATATACGGAGGTTTCTTTATTTATTTATGCCAATCATGATAGATATCACACGCAAATCATCTTTTGATCATGTCAATCAATGGCTGAAAGAATTACGAGAACATACAGAAGATGATATTCCTCTTGTGCTTATTGGAAACAAGCTGGATTTAGCAGAAACAAATCGAGCTGTATTAACAGACGCTGCAAAGAATTTTGCTACAGAAGCAAAGATGTTGTTTTTCGAGACCAGTGCGTATGACGCCACTAATGTTACACTTGCATTTGAAACCATGTTTGATCATGTTTATAAGGAACTATCCAAGAGCAAATTACTCAAGAAGAATTCATCTGCCAATTTGGCTGTAAATGCTTCCAAGACAGTTAATTTGCAACCTCCTTCAATAGAGTACAACAAAAGAAGATCCTCTGAGAACAAAAAGGAAGAAGGTGGTTGTTGTTAGAACATATACTACTCAGTTTTTTTTTTCTTTTTTGTAATATAAATCTATTTATGTATCATATAATAAAAATAAAAGCTCACGAGGACCACTTGATACGCGTGAGTTGCTGCCTAAAGACATCTTGGGGCTTATTAGATCAAAGGCTACACACATATTTATCATCAAAAAGAAGTGTAAACTTTTATCATTTGGATAATAGAAAAGTAATGGCATCTTCCTTTCCTTTTGATTAATTGCATATTTCTATGTGAATAAATATTGTGCAGGTATGCCCTTTCTTCCTTCCTTTTCTTTTTAGTTCAAACATGTCACAAGAAACACATAAAAGAAGAAGAGAACCTCAAATAAATGAAAAGCAACAACAAGATGAAGAGGAATTTCGCAAACTAAAAATGGCAAATTTAAACAAATCCATTGTGTATGACTTTGACTGTGAAGCATATCTTCGGGGTCAATGTTATCGCCTTCAATTGTCTAGAATCCTTCAAGCATTTCCTTATGCTATTCTGTTTTTTTGTGGCTATGCTTTGTAAAGAAATCAAAAAAGACATGAGTTTGACATATGAATCATGTACACTCACTGCATTCATTAGTACACCACAGTTAAAAGACGATTTGCGACATATAGAGCAAGTAGTATGAATCTATACAACACTGGTTCTAAACAAAGCTTTGTTTATAGAGAACATTATCAGCATTTTGTAGAACTTGGAGCTCTACCCATTGCTATTACACAAGATCAAATACAAGTCCAATGGGCATATGCTACTCCAGGCACTGTGACAGGAAGTTTGGATTTTACACCTTCCTTCTTATTAGGTAGTGTCGTTTCTATAAACTAAACTAATTTGAAAAAAAAAAGCTTCGGACGGCATTGATAGATTAATCACCCGATCATTTAAATCAATGAACTTGGATACTTTAGAATTACAAAGATCAGTCATTGTTGTTGATGGAAATCTTCATATTCTCTTTAATCACAAAGTAGCCAAAAATCGATTTTTCCCAATCCAATCACTTTTGAATTGCTTTGAAAGTCATTAAATTTTTTATATAAGTAGATAAAAAGATGATTAAATAAAAAAAAGAGAGGGCAACTTTATTTCTATAAATATTTAACTTGTTGCTCAAATAGGTATACTACAAATCAAATCAATACTTCTTTTCGGCCTTCCAGTTGTAGCCCTTGAACTTCTTTTCAGCTTGAGAATCAGCAATCCAGAAATCATCTGCTTCCTCTTCTTCTTGTTCTTCTTCTTGTTCTTCTTCTTGCTCTTCTTCTTGTTCTTCTTCTTGCTCTTCTTCTTGTTCTTCTTCTACATCGACTTCAGAAGCAACAGCAAATTCAGCAGAGGCACTAGCAGAAGCAGCAACAAAGTCTACAGAGGCACTGGCAGAGGCTTCTTCAGAAACAGGGAGGGTATCACGCTTGCTCTTCTTGTAAACAACTTCAATGATTTCAACAACAGAGGCTTCAGCTTCAAAAGCACTAGCAGAGGCAGAAGCATATTCAGAAGCAGCAGAGGCAGAGGCATATTCAGAAGCTTCTTGGCGTCTGTAATTCTTGTGACGAAGAGGAGCAGCAGATGCAGAGGCAGAGGCATACTCAGAAGCGGAGGCAGAAGCATATTCAGAAGCTTCTTCTTGACGCTTGTGGTGCTTGTAAAGAGGAGCAACAGCAGAGGCAGAGGCAGAAGCGTATTCAGAAGCAGAGGCAGATGCAAACTCAGAGACTTCTTGACGCTTGTGGTGCTTGTAACGAAGAGGAGCAGCAGATGCAGAGGCAGAGGCATACTCAGAAGCGGAGGCAGAAGCATATTCAGAAGCTTCTTCTTGACGCTTGTGGTGCTTGTAAAGAGGAGCAACAGCAGAGGCAGAGGCAGAAGCGTATTCAGAAGCAGAGGCAGATGCAAACTCAGAGACTTCTTGACGCTTGTGGTGCTTGTAACGAAGAGGAGCAGCAGATGCAGAGGCAGAGGCATACTCAGAAGCGGAGGCAGAAGCATATTCAGAAGCTTCTTCTTGACGCTTGTGTTGCTTGCGAATATAAACAGGAGCAAATGAGGCAGAGGCAGAGGCAGAGGCAGAGGCAGAAGCAGCAGAGAAATCATCCATAGAGGCTAAGTCAGAGTATTCTTCTTCTTCTTCTTCAACTTCTTCTTCAACTTCTTCGACTTCTTCTTCAACTTCTTCCTCCTCTTCATCTTCTTTTTCTTCATCTACTTCTTGACGCTTGTGGTACTTGCGTTCCCAAGGAGCAAAATCAGAGGCAGAGGCAGAGGCATATTCGGAAACATCAGAAGCAGAAGCAGAGACCAATTCAGACATTTCTTGACGCTTGTGGTGCTTTTGACGAAGAGGAGCAGAGGCAGAAGCAGAAGCATATTCAGAAGCAGAAGCAGATGCTTCAGCGCGCTTGTAGAGAGATGGAGCAGCTTCAGAAGCAGAGGCCATAGCAGAGGCTTCAGCATAAGAAGCAGAGGCAGCCTTCATAAGAGCAAGGTGAGAGGGAGAATGAGGTTGAGCTCTTTTGAAAAGAGAGGCAGAGGCAGAGGCAGAGGCCATGGGAGCAGCGTAAGAAGCAGAAGCAGAGGCCAATTCAGAGGCTTCTTGACGCTTGTGGTGCTTGTAAAAAGCAGCAGAGGCAGAGGCATATTCGGAAGCAGAGGCAGAAGCAGAGGCCAATTCAGAGAATTCCTGACGCTTGTAGTTTCTGTAACGACGAGGAGCGGCAGAGGCAGAAGCATATTCTGAAGCAGAAGCACGAGAGGCACTGTTAGCGCTCACTTGAGAGACAGCACGCTTTCTCCATCTAGCAGCAGGGGCACTAGCAGAGGCAGATACAGCTTCTTCAGAGGCAGAGGCAAAAGATAAGGAATCTTCTTCATAGTTGGCAACAGAAGCAAATTCTTCATCAGCACCACCAGCAAAGATAACTTTCTTGATGTAATCAAAAAAGTGGCGCTTTTCGAATGAATCGTGAAGACTGGCAGAGGCATCGACAGAAGCAGAAGCGTGATCGTAAGAAGCATGATCATAAGAAGCAGAAGCATCAATGGAAGCAGAGGCTCCATGGTGGGAGTAAACTGAAGATTGAGCAAAGACAGCTTGTGTCAATACAACAGAGGCAACAAGAGCAAGAGAAAAACGCATTGTTATTAAGAGCAAAAGGAGAGTTGTATAATCTGACTTTTTTTTTCTTCTCTAAACCTTCAAGAACCAGCGTATTTAAATGATTTTTTTATCTCCTTTTTTACTTTGAAGAATTTGACAACGGCCTTTGTTTCTGACAACAGTTAAAATTACAACTTATTAATGATGAGCACGGACAATAATTTATGTTTTGCATACAGAGAACGCCTTTTGTAGATCGAATATCAATTTTACATTCTTATGTATTCTGATTTAGTTATTCGCTGCATTCATCTTTCTTTCTTTTAGGATACATCCTTACATTTTTTGGTTTTAAATCCTATAAAAGAAAAAACTTGCATTATAAGAAAAAGCCCAGAAAGAGTGTATAAGATAGAATACGATGCTTCAGTAATTTAAACTTTCCTTTGATGTATAAAAAGAATTGCTTTGTTTACATATCTCTTATATATATATATATATATATATATATATATACAAATACTATCAAACCAATCTCTCTCAAAATGGGATCATGTACATGTAATAATGGGAACATACCAATGTTATCTTGGATAAGATCAATGAACTGTGGTAGTGTATACTTTTAAAACTCCGTTCCTTCATTTTGCTGTGACGAAATGCGCGACACACTGCTTTTATCTTCATTTTCTCTCAAAGCAATAATAATATGGTAAATATTCAAATAACAACCGAAATATTTGCTATGAGCGAACGAGTTTAAAGGACAACGCCAACATATACGCGCTCTAAAAAAGCTAAATACTAACCTTCTTTCCTCATTTAGTCTAATACACTTCGCCCATACCTTACAGCTGTTCGTTCAACTTTGACTGCTGCTTTATGTTTAGAAAACTTCTCTTCTCAAGTTGCTGAAAGACACAACGCTCCTGAAGTAGAATCAGGGTAAAAGAAAAATGACACTAGATGGTACTCTTTTTGATGTCAGTACATTCTAATTCGTTTATATAGCAAGTCTAAAGAACTCTTGATGAATCCTTTAATCATCAGTCGTAATGAAAACGAGAAAGTGTTGATTGAATCATCTGTCAACTCTGTTCGTGTCAGTATTAAGATTAAGCAAGCAGACGACCTTGAACGTATTCTGTGTCACAAGTTTGCTCGTTTCTTAATGATGAGAGCCGAAAGCTTTGTTATTTTACGTAGAAAGCCTGTTGATGTAAGTCCATTTATGTATTTTATTCAACACATCTTATGCTATTTAGGGCTATGATATCTCTTTCTTAATCACAAACAACAACACTGAGCAAATGTACAAACACAAGTTGGTTGATTTCATTGTCCACTTTATGGAAGAAGTCGACAAGGAAATCTCTGAAATGAAATTGAGTGTTAACACTCGTGCTAGAACTGTTGCAGAAAGCTACTTGGTTCAGGTAAATACATTTTTTCAGGCAACTGAATGATTTTAAACGTTTCTTTATAGTTTGCTTAATTACAGAATATTCATATGAATAAAAAAAAGGAGGGTATCAAAATGACAACTCTTTTACATTAATTCTATGCGTTTGGAAGCGCAGAAAAGATTGTGCACTGATGTAAATGTTGTCAACTGGTAATATATCGTTAATAAATAAACTTTTTTTTTCTTTGCTTTAGACAACCTTATTGAACTTCATCTTATGCAATTCTTGTTTGATTTCTTGAAATTAGTCTAATATGACAGCTGAACTCGTTCGCCTTGATGTTTTATATCCTTTCGTCTTTGATATGCTAATTCAAAGTTATTATACCACTACTTTTTAGTTTGATTGCATTACACTGGAGCTATGCAGAATGCTAAAAAAAAAAAGTTCAATAATTTGTAGCCATTATATCATACATCTTGAAAGTCAAGAACATTTGGCAATGAATGCAATACAAAATTTCAAAAAAAAAAAGAAAACTTCCAGTAATGAATACGTTTTAGGTAAGGTGTAAACAACAAAAACAAATAGATTGTATACATTTTCAAGAGAATAACATGCAATAAGAGCATTGATATGACGCTTATCTAAGCACTTACATAAACATATAAAAAGAAAAAGGGAGATCAACCTGCTTAAAAATCAATTCTATTGGTTTCCATCTCAAGTTTACCATTGAGTCACATACATCTACTCAAAATGACATGTCAATCATACATCATCAGTATCCAAACTTCAAACTACATAGAATACGAAAACATTAAATGCAATTATACTTGTATGCACGCATCAGCGTGATATTTCCCTCCTTTTTATGCGCTGCTGCTTTGTGTGAGTGATCTAAGCCTCCCAAGTAACTTTAGAGAATCCTGATCACATCCAGTAATACATTGTATGTTAATTTAGTGTAACTAGACATGCAATAATGCACCTATAACATCTTTTTTGAAGTGTGTCATCGTTGATAAGCACGTTGGCTATAAATAAACTTCAGTTTGATATATGCAAACAAGTTTATACAAAAAGAAATATCCTTTTTTTGTGACGTAATGAATCAATGTACATGGTGATATTGTACTAGCTAAATACTCTACAAATGAAGGATTTAAGTTGAGAGATGAAGCGCACAATGTTACTCCGTCGATTCGGTTAATGGAGGGGCGGGAAACCAAACATCATGTGAGCGGCAAAAAGTTTGCCTCCAAGCCGGAGACTAATAGAATGCTGAATTGATTGGTCTAAACTAAAAAAAATGTGGGGTTGGGTTTATATGCTTAAATTGGGATGTAGCACAGCTGTGAAACCATTGACTCTTCTTTTTTATAAAAGGAGCCCTGTTTGCCCTATTTTTTTTGTCGTCGTTCATCTTTTTCTCTTTTTTCTTTTTCTCTTTCTTTCGCTGGTACGAATAAAAAAAAACTTATATTATACAAGGCCATTTTTTATCAAGAAAAAAAGAAAAAATGCTCATAGCAGAAAACAGAAAAAGAAAGCAACAAGAAGACAAGCTTCTTAGCTCGTCTATGCCTACAAATACATCATCATGGTCTGATTTCATTTATTCTTCACCCTCTTCACCCTCTATGGAAAACAACGAAAGCAACAGCCATCATTTCAACTTTGACTCACTTTTTGAACAACATTCACTTCAGTTTGATCATAATAACACGACGCCATCAGGCACAAATTCCCGCCGTCACTCAGTTGCTGTGGGTGAAATGGATTACCATAGTTTTGATTTTTCCAAGCATGAAGTCAATATTTTACCTACCAACGGAAATGAATCTGGAGCTTGGGATGATCTTCAACGCCTTTTGACCAACCCTTCTTCACTTTGTTTGCCTCATCAACAACATCCTGATAGACCCATTCATAAGCGTACCATGTCTTTAAGAGAAGATGACCCTCATTATGCTACTCTTTTGTCTCCTACATTGTCAACAACGTCCTCTTCTACATTCTTCTCTGCTAGCTTTCTTGATGCACTGGTTGCTGGGAACGCCTTAGGAAAAGGTAATACCATAAACGATGATGCCACGGTGGTTTCTGATATGTCCTTTATGGATTCTTCTAAATCAACAACAAATGATTTATTTTCTCAATCTGCTGACTTGCTCAAATTGGCTAGTGGTGATCTCGATCAAACAAATACCGTCACTCCTTCTGCTATTGCTAGTGAAATCAGTACAATGGCTGACTGGCTCTTGGAGCAACAGGAAGTAAAAGAAATGCATACGCAAGCACAAAAGAGACAAAGACGTAGTACAAGCTCTTTATCCCCTGCTTCCCCTACACATACCATGGGATCCTCTCTTTCTTCTTTGTCACCTTCTCCTCCTATTACACCTATGCAGCCTGCTTCCTTGGGATTTGAGCCTATTTTATTTCAACAACAACAGCAACAGCAGCAACAACAAAATGCTCAAAGTGATGATTGGGACCTGAATTTGTTAGACACATCCAATAATAGCACAAGTAACAACAAAAATGGTGTTGTTTCTACCCGCATGTTGCAAGGTGGATGCAACGCTCCTTCTTTAAAACCAATGATCCAAGAATACCTCGTTTGCCGTGAACATCAAGACCGGTCCGTACCTGTTGCAGGCGAAAGAACAGTGATGGTTTTGACGAGTCGAGTCGCACAGAAGAGTTATGGTACCGAGAAAAGGTAAACATTCCCCCTTCTATTGAAGAATGACGTCCCAATCGTATTTATTTTTACTTTTTAGGTTTTTGTGTCCCCCTCCTACCACTATTCTAAAAGGTGCCAACTGGTGGACAAACGGTGCGGATAAACCAAGCAGTAGTTCATTGACCGAGCCAACAAAATCTAATTTTTTTCAATCTCAGTCAGTTGTGCTCAGTCCTCCTAAACTGACGATTCATATCTCTGGAGAAACAATTAATCAGACAGGTGTGATTGAATGGCAGACTTCTTCTGGTACCATTGTAGACACAGCTGTTGCCTCTAATGGCGCCAACATGTTTGGTCGATGTGTGTCTAAACAACTCTATATCAATGATGCTGATGAAAAAAGAAAACGAGTTGAAGTGTTGGCCAAAATTCAATTAGGAAATAACTTGCCATTGGGTACCTTTCCTTCTAAAGGCATCAAGGTTATCAGTAAGCCTAGCAAGAAAAGACAGAGCATCAAGAATATGGAATGTAAGTCAAGATAAATAACGTTGATAAGATAACTAAAACCAGATGTTACATTTTATTATTTTAGTATGTATCCATCATGGTACAACAATCTCTTTGTTTAATCGTATTCGCTCACAAACTGTTTCAACTAAATATCTTGGTGTTTCCAATGGCTCATCACCTGCTTCTTCCTCCACTTCCTCTTCTTCCTCTACTAATAACAACACAAATAACGGTACATGCTTTGTTGCAAGAACAGGATCTTGGGATCCTTTTGTTGTCTGGATAGTTGACACCACTCGTTCACCAGATACAACAAGTATGCCACGACCTAATCAACACCATTCAAATCCCAACTTCCCTCCTCCTCCCGCTATCGCATTACAAACTCCTTCATCTACTCAGCAACCTGTGGCAATCCACTATAATCAGCCTGTTGTACTCCAGTGTGTGACCTCTGGCCTTGTCAGTCCTGTTATGGTGATTCGTAAAGTAGACAAAGGAAGCATGGTATTAGGGGGCAACCGTATGGATGATTTCACTGGTAAAACAGGTGGCGAATGCGGTGATGAAACACTTGGTGATCCTGTCTCACAACTTCACAAAGTTGCATTTCAAATTGTCCAAGATCCTACTTTCTCTCATCATAACAAGACAGCAAGATATCAACCACCAGGTCTCAAACAACCTAATTATGAAATTCCTCAATCATGCCATCCTGTAACCTACTTGGCTTGCCTAAATGATGTTGTTGGCATGCATAAAACCAATTACAATCGCCACCTAATCCCTAGCTGCCAACAAACAAAAACAGCAGAAAACAATTGGACAGACTTGATGCAAGAAAACAACAAGTTGTTTGATAATGAAACAGAAGCACCTGTCCAAAGCAAAGCACGTCGTCGCATGAGTTCGATCAGCAGCACTGAAACAAAGGGACGCCGTGGAAGTTTAGCAGATCGACGTGGCAGCTCTGTATCTGACTCGTCAGGACTCGAAGGTGCTTGTTGGACAGAAGATGTTTCTGATGCAGCCGTTTGGACTATTGTTGGAACTGATTGTGCTAGCTATACTTTCTGGACCCCCTTTGTGGAACAATCTAGCCAATTCAATATGCCATTCAATCATGGCGGTCAATCAAACAGTGCTCCTATCACACCCTTCCCTGTTCTCCATGATTTGTCTACACAGAACGATCAATTGACACTATTAGGTGAAAACCTTTCTCGGGGCCTTAGTGTCTGGTTTGGTGATATTAAGGCAAACACTGAATTCAAGTCAAGGGACTCAATGACTTGCAACATTCCTGATGCACAAGAGTTACTAAATAGCCCCACTTTATTGATTGAAGAGGACGGCATTAAAAAGAAGATACCTTTGTTGTTGGTTCGTGGCGATGGTGTTGTTTATAGAACGGATCATTATTATACTCTCTAAGAAACACTTATGTATGTACTGTATATGACTAGAATCATCATGCTCCTTGTATTTTTATTCTCTATTTTCTTTTCCTTTTTTAATTTTTTTTTTATTTGTGTTCAATCATGTATTATGCTTTTTCTTTTTCTTTTTTTCTTTTTTTTTCATCCAATATTACCAATAATAAAATATACTCTTTGTTAATGCAAAAAAGAATATGGCTTACTTAGAATTATTAAAATGTGGGGTAAATGACATTCAAGCATTCCATATGGTTATATGATACAGACTTACACAAACAGGACATAAACAGAAGCAAAACCGCGGTTTTTGTTAGATGTTTGTACTACAACGTCGCATTTGTCTCATTGGTGCACTTGCCTCTACATCAATTGTAGTATAAGGAAATAAATTTCGGTAAATCATATAAACATTAATTGATCGTGAATTAGGATTTAACTAAACCTTAAAACTTTTTTATTTTGCAAGTTCTCAAAGAAGTGTAACAGGACCCACTAAAAAAAAGTCGCTAAAAAAGAATATTCGTACAAACTTTAAATGTAAGGATAAGATTTATTGTTACTATTGTTGTTCTTTAATTGTTTCTGAATTAGTGCACTATATTGGCTCACTTCTGAAATAACACTATTGTTGTCTGCAAATGATGGTATATCTAAACGAACGTTGGCTGGTGAATGCACGTGGGGTCTATTATTTTGCTCAGTCATCACAACTGATTGATGTGATACAGAAGCCTGTTCATTGTTCGTTTCAGGCTTCATTTGAGAGAATGCTTGAGTGAGATAGTTGTATTTAGACAATCGAGCGCCTTTTGAAACTGTGCTTGGGCTGCGTTGCACTCGTCTTTGATCGACATTGTTGTTATAAGGATTGACAGGCGGAGTCACAGGAGAGTTTTGCTTTGTTGGAGAATCGGTGCCTACCAAAATATTATAATATTTAATTGTTGTGTCATTGTTATTGATGTAAAAACCCTTTCCATTTTGTTGTGGCGTATCAAATGCTATATTATGTAAGACATGTTTCTTCTTTCTTCTTGTTCTTACCTTTAGGTGGTTTTGTAATGTTCGGTTGAAATGTCTGAAAGGGTTGTGTGGTAGTGACAGGAACTATTTCGTTATTATTGTCTTTATAAAAAGTTTTTGAGGTTCTAGCAAAGTTGTTGATGATGAATTCGTTTTCTTTCTTATTTTTTTTTCGTATACAAAGAAAAAAAGTGATGAGGACCAATACACAGATGCCGCCAGCGCACCCGCCAATGATTGCGCCCAGATCAACCGAACTTAGACTGTTGTCGCTATTTGATATAGGTGTTGAAGATGCAATAGGTAATTTACTGACATTACTTGAAAAAGAACCTGTGTAACAATGAATTTAGTAAATAAAAATTTGCTATCTATACATTACTTGCGCTTTCAGTGCTTGCGAAAGCAGTTGAAGATGATGTAGTAGTAGTGGTGGGTATAGATGTAGGCATTAAAGAAGACAAAAAATCATTCAAGTCGATACCCGAAGGTGTACTTGAGACTGAAATTATTGATGTCGATCCGAGGACTATTGAATCTAATTATAAAAAATAAATTGTTTCAAATTAAACTCTTTTTTTCTTTTCTCTCTCTCACTACCTGTAGTTTTTGCTACTGTTGATGATGTTGTTGCTGAAGCCATACTGGTAGCAGTGAATGTTTTGGTTTCTTGGGCTACACTAGATAAATAACAGGCTTTTTTTGTACTCCATCGTCTTACCATTGGACATGATCAGAATAAAAAAAAAAGCCAGCAATATGAAATATATGACTATGTCTTTGCTATGTTTTCTTTATTATGACGATGCTATAGACGAAATCTACAGAAAGAAAGAGAAAAAAAAACTAAAAAGAAAAAAAAAGAAAGAGAACGAGGTCAGGGTTTTTTAAAAAATAATTGCATATGTACGACCTTCTACATTTTATTGAAAATTAAGCAGAGCATAAGATACACAAATAATTATTTATATTGTTACTTACATTAAGTTATAAGAAAGAGCAGAGAATAGAAGGGATATGGTAACAAATATGAACCAGTTTATGTAAAATATTAACAGAAATATGAGGAAGTAGCTCAATTGCATAATTGCTAAAAATGAGATAGTCTCCAACTCATTACATTCATACTACTACACGCTTGATCGACAATATAACCGACCAATACTAAGCTGCGATTGATGCCAAAGGCGGTACCACCAAGTACTAAACTATATTTTCTTAAAATCAACATTTCAACAAAGAACTCAGCGCGTTTAAGTATCATCTTGGCATATTAAAGGGCTCTTGGATCATGATACCTTTGTTGCTGAGTTTGAATGACAAAAAACTGGGCTAATTTTTATTTCGGGTCAGTGTATAAAGTCCATAATTACACATATTACTTTGTATCCAACAAAAGCCTGAATCCTTTATCTCCTGCAGCATAAAGAATACTTTGTTCAACGAGTTCATTCAAAACCTGGTTTATCCTCTTTTTATTTTTACTGAGAGTTGCATAACGTGGTATTTCCAGAACCTTGGTAACAATATAATCAATACGAACACCACCATAGTGTTGGGGTCTTTGTGTTTGAACATCATGAATGATTCCAATAATGGTGTCTGGGAGTAGGTCATCCGCTGATTTCCTATACAGGCCTCTTTTATTCTCGACTGATACGATCAGACCCTTCTTGAGTAATTCTTCAAACATATCCTTCATTGTTTGTCTGTGCTTTTTACAGATAAAGTTAGCGTTTTTTTTTTTTTCTGATACTTACATTATTTAACATTTGATGCAGGTTGGTATCTGAAGGTATGTTATCCAAAAAAGACGTCAATGAAAATTCACTTGACGGTAAATATTGCAAGATAAGCTGTTCAAGTTCTTGTTGATTATTTGCGTTATGAGGATTTGAAAAATCAATTGCTTGATCTTGGTCTTTGTCGAGCTGACTTAAAATTTCATTGCCATGTGTTTCTATGTAAAAAGGCATTTTGACAGGCTGTTGGTATACTTTTTTTAATTGAATTGCTTGAAGGAAATGTGTGATTTCTTGATGTGGATCTTGTGTCGAGTCTATTTATAGTCATAAATACAAAAACAGTAAGGAATTGTATATTTACATAGATCAAACACAATAACCTGTTTTTCGTTCCTCATCGTTACCACTTTTCCCATCACACGAACGATGGTGCCCAAATCCAATGGTTTGTTGCTATCTATTGTGACAGAATCAAGCCATACCACACACTCTATTGTGCCTGTACCATCGTCAACTATGCCATATATTAATACGTATGAGTGTATCTTTATGTACTAACCTGTGTATCGAGTTGATCTACTGCTTGATTCTACAGCTACAACAAGACCACAGATCTCTACAAACTTAAGAAGGTGATCATAAAGTTTATAAAGCTCTTTGAGATGTCAGTTGAAAAAGATGATTTTTAATAGCCAGAAAATACCTATAGGTGCTTGTTTGACTTTTTCTAGTTGAAGAAGATCCTTAATGATCAGTTTTGCATTGGTCAAGAACAAAGGATCTAAGCCAGCAAATGCAAAATTGTCCATTTTTATTAGATAAACATGAAAGAACGCGAAAAAAGAATGGTATGGAATACGCGACTAACAAACTCCGCAAATAACTGTTTTTTTTTTCATTCAATCGCATGAAGTTATGTCTCCGCTCAGGAACCGTCATCAAGGAAACGGGTGTTGGTTGCCATGGGCTTTCATAAGCCATTCTAAAGACTCTGGAAGATGACTAAGCCCTTTCATCTCTTAAACTGCCTAAAGAATTATCATTGACTACATTAGTACAAATGTTTACATGCTTATACAAAAGTAGTTCTCTATCAGAGAAAGCTGGCCTTAAATACATCTAAAAATACAAATGGCACGCGTTTATAGAGGCAGTTTCGTCAAGGAATGTTTGTTTGTTGATGTTGCTATATATGCTCTTGAAACTTGTGTCATCAGCATTCTATAATTATTCTTGTAAAGGAGCATATGTCTGCCTCCTCGTTTTAATGTCATTCTTTTTTTTTTTTTTTTTTTTTTTTTGATTATATGTAGTAGAACTCGTCTTGGTATTCTAAATAAAGAAATCTGTGCGTCTTGAAAATAAATTAGGAACACACATATTTTAGATTTCTTTTTCTTTCTCTTCAGCATATGAAAGAGAAGAGAATCTCTTTTTCTTCTTTTACACGATTGAGATGGATCCTCAGAAGTTGTCACCCTCGCTTCAACAAGATAATACCAGATCCATTTCGCACAAGCGTACAGCCTCTTCCTCGTCTCATCTTATACCACCTGTAACAACACACAGAAAACAATCCATAGACGATGATGAGCTCAATAAAAATATCAGCTTAGAGTATCAAGACATTCAAATCCGCACTTTAACAAAATGGATTAATGTCCAATTAAACCAAGTAGGAGACCAAATCATTAGCATCGATAAAGACCTCAGAGATGGTAAAAAACTGCTTAAATTATTATCTGTGGTAGCCAATCGTCCACAGTTGAAACCAGAGAGGGGAAATATGCGAATTCACGCACTCTCAAATGTATCGCAAGCATTGAAGTTTTTGCAAGAACAATGGGGTGCCGATAGTTTACCTGCAATTGGTAGTGAAGCTATTGTGAATGGTGATGTCAAGAGCACACTGGCTCTTGCTTTTTTTATCATGTTAAAGTATCAGATCCATCCTATTCTATTGAACGATCATACTCTTTTATCTGATCAACAAGTAAGATTGAATATGATTGAACTTATTTTTTAATCTATTTTTTCTTATAAAAAGATGCCTCCTCCATCTCCTTTACCTACTCTAAGCGCGTCTAGATTAAGTGGTGCAAAACCATTAGCAGAAGCAAAATCAGCTCTCCTTTATTGGGTTCGCTCTCAATTAGAAGACTATGTAGCAAACCATGTTATCTCTACTGTACAGGATTTTTCAAGATCATGGCGTTCTGGTCTAGCCTTTTGTTTACTTATCCATCGACATGATCCAGATTTACTACCTACACTATTTACAGAACACATACAGCATGTAGCCAACAAAGATACTTGGCACACACTTTTAAACTTAGCCTTTGATGTTGCTGAACAGCGTTTGAATGTACCAAAATATTTAGAATCTGCTGACCTCTTGATTGAATTCCCTCACGAACCTTCAGTCATGATGTACGTTAGCGAAATGTATAAAGTCATGTCCAGAATACAAGAGACATTTGAAAATAGACAAAAAAGGCTGCATGATATATCCCTTGTCATCGCCACTATTGAGGATGAACAAGACACAAAATCGCCTGCCACACCTCAGCCAGAACCATTCTTGGATGAGCAGGAAATAAACCAGCAACTAGACGGACTGGCTTCTTTTATCAACAGCGATCCTGTTATTAAACAAGTAGAAGATATGAAGCCATTCATGAACCAACTTGATAATATGATGCATCACTGTGATCCAGAACAACAAAAACAGCTCATTTCTCGGTACAATCAACTAAGAGCAGACTGGGAGCGATTATCTCAACAGATAGAAACACCAGAGCATGTATCTACTTATATCAACGAGTCAAATCCTTCTCTGTTACATTTAAGAGAGATGATACCTAAAAATGAACAGCAAGAACCGTTGCATCCGCTGGACGGAACGATCGCTATGGCTGATGAATTTGAGCGGTCTCTATCTCATATTACCACACTGATCAACTTAGAGAAAGAACAGGATCCTTATGTATTGACTATCTTTCAAGCAACGACACAAGCTTGTCAATTGTTCCGTCGTGGTGTTACTTTTGCCCAAATCACTCTAGCTATCGATGATGAATTGGACGTGATCCAGAAGCTAATGGCTGATAGAGAATCAAGCACTGTCACAGATGAACTGATCCAAAGCCTTGAACAACGTATCCATCTCGTGAGTGCTACCATTCAAGGCGTACGTGATGAGTATGGACATGATCTTTTGGTAGAGTCTACTCAAGAGTTTTATACACGCTTCACCGATTGCATTGACCATTTGGAAGATCGTTATGAAACTGTACGTGACTGGGTAGACCAAGTGCGTGTGTGGTTTGTGGAAGCTGAACGTATCCGAGCCTGGATTGATCGCCACATCCAAAACATTGAAGAGAGAAATGCTGCTTCTGAAGAGATCAATCCTGTGTCTCCCGAGGTTTCTGTACTCGATAAGACAGTATTTCAGTTACACGATGAGCATGAGCGACTCAAGCAAGAAATCGAACATTTTGATTCGGATGATATGGATCGATTAAGAGCACACGTCAAAATGTTGACTCATTCTTCAGAGTTGGAAAAAGAACTTACACCCGCCGATACGTCTACTATCGAGATTACGCTGACAACACTGAACCGACTCAGCCATTTGACAAAGCTATTGGATAATCGATCCCATTGGATTCAAATGTTACTGCTACGTGTCAAATGGGAGAATGCATTCAGTAATGCTGTTCAATGGATTGCACAGACAGATAGCGAATTGGACGTATTTATACAAACTAAAGCAAGATGGTCTGAAAAAGAAGAAGCCAACTATGTTCAACATTCAAATGATGAAGAGGATCATGTTAATAACCATGGTATTGAAGACATCATCAAGGCACTTGTTGGTCTTGAGCGCAAAATTGCTGATTTTGATCATGGTCTTTATGCTCAGGTCTTGGATGCTTATCAAGAAATTGAAGCCTTAAAAAACGAGCCTTTGCCTGATTATTTGGAAGCACGTCAGCTAGGTTTTGAAAGAGCCTTTGAAGACTTGATGAAGCGGTCTGGTTTTGGTCGTAAACTGGTGGAGCAGCTTTTGTCCATGGTCAGCACAGTCGACAGGTTCAAGGTGTTACGCGATATTGGTGAACAGCTTCGACAGCAATTATTACAGGAAGCCTCATCATCACATCAAGCATTAGAAGAGGAAGACATGTATGCTGAGAAAGTACAAGAATTCAAGGAAGACTCTGCTCGACTGATAACCAATGCCAGTACATGTATTCCTTATCCTGTTGCGCCTGAGATGTCCACTGCCATTGGTGCTCATGATGCTCATGATAGCGATGTGACAAATGAAAGTATCCGTAGTACAATCAGTGGTTACAGTATGTCTCTTGCTTTGATTGCAGATGGCTTAGATCAATTACTCATGTCTCGGTATCAAGTCATGTCTCTTCAACAAAGAGCAAGTGAAGCATTCGAATCTATGGCTCGCTTCAAACTATGGATGGACGAGCGTATAAAGCTACTGAAGAAGTCTCGTTTTGATATGTTGCTTTATAACGCTTCCATGTCCTCTTCTTCGTCTCAAACATCAACCTCTTCTTTCTCTGATAATTCGGAATCTCACCTAAACCAAAGACAAGGTGCTGCCTCTCCTCATACTTCTTCTAGTGGAAATACATCAGTACCTGTGGATGATGAAGATTTTCTGCGCTTTGAAAAAGAAAGAGATAGTATTGCTTCTCGTCTGCATCAATTAGAACATGATGATTTGACCCGATTATTTGACTCTGTGCGTGCTCTTGAATATGATATCGATGCGTCTAATGCTGTATCTATTGATCGAAGTGCTTTGATCAATGGCGTGGAAAGTTTACAAGAAAGTTATCAACGGTTGTCTGATTTGGTCAATTTGCGAGGTGTACAACTAGACGCTCTTAAACGACGCATGGACTGGGAAAACCAATGGTCTAAATCAAACAGTCATTTACAAACCATTGCTCGTAAGCTGTGCGACTTCAATGTCAAAAAGGCTAGATACGACCCATCTAAAGAAAACGTAGACAAGCCTTCTTATAGTGGTGACCATGAAACCATGCAGTCTCTCCAGTTTCTTCAAGAACGAGTGGCAGAATTAGGCGAACGTCATTTGAGTTCCTTGGACGAGTGTTTCCAAGAATTAGTGACAAGCTATGGCAAGCTTCCTACCGATTCTATGAATGGTAATCTGACAGTGATTGTGGGTGTACCTGATTTTATCTCAAGTAAACAATCAGATCTCAAGATAAAATATGATGATTTAAGACTGTTGGCTTCTTATACTTCTGACCTTGTTGCCCAGAGATCAACCATTACTGAATTCTTGATGCGTGCTCAAGATGCTCATCATGAAGGCGAAAAAATCAAAGATGCGGTCTCCAAAAAGACACGCCGTATCATGGTCAAGGAAGAAGAAGACACGAGCCTCGATAATCGCTTTATTCAATTCAAAGAAGATATTCGACGTATTTGGGAAGAATGTGGTAAAGATATGCCATATCCTGTTTACAATGGTAACTGGCTAAAGTCTTCCCCTACACAACACCACAGCCACCATGCCCAACTCAATACAGACCTTGGCAATAACTCTGCTTATCGATCTCAAGTAAGAGCTCAAGTGAAAGAATTGCTGGATAAAAAAATGGACGATTTATATGCACTTGAAAAAACCATTGACCAATCCTTGACATCTTACCATGATGCTGATCGCATGAAAGCACTCGTCAATCAATATGAACAAGAGGCTTGTGAATTGGGACAATGGATCCATCAGCAAATTGAGCTTTTGAAGCGCCAACATATTGATGTGTCCGCTGAAAGCTTTTTGGCTCGTGGTATGAATATCTCTGATCTGAAGAAATCTCGCCTTGATATGATAATGCAGGCTGATACATTTGAAAACGATAAGGTCAAGTCACTTCATGATCGTATTGCTCAGTTAGTCCAAGACTCTATGGAAAAGAAGAAGCATCAATCTGTTGATGTGTCTGCTGCTGCTAGACAATTGGGTGAAGTGATGGACCACTTGTCGCAATTAAAGCGTGGACTTTCTGACCAGGCAGTTACATTAGAAGCAGCCAGTATGCGTGCTGAATGGGAAAAAAACCTGCAAATGGGAATTGCTAAATTGGAGAAAATGAATGAACAGCTTCGTAAATTCAATGCAAAAAAGAATGAATGGGTTTTAGAAGATGAACTCTATGAAGAACGCGTCATGATACTTCAACAAGATTTAGCTAAGCTTGTTGCTCAAAAAAACAAATTTCAAAAGACAATCATGCCTAGTATTCAGTTAAGTTATGATACCTTTGTGGAATACTTTCCTCAACTATCAAGACCAATGGCCACTCCTGATCATTTGGAGGCTCGTATGGAATCTCTTGGTAGAACAGCAGCTAGATTTCAAGAGAGTGTAGAGGCTCGGTCAAAAGAACTCGATTTGATCAAGCAACGTATGCGTTGGGAAGATATTGTGAGACAAGCATTGAATTTCCTTGCCAATAAGGAATCGGCAATTGAAGCCTTTGTAGACGAAAGAGCCAGGTGGCAGAACGATGCTGATGGTCATGATGATGATCAAGAAGTAGTGCTTCGTACTGAATGGTCAAACATTTACAATGCTATCAAGGAGCATGAAAAAGATGTAATCGTTTCTGTTGAAAAGCGCTTCGAGAACTTGGTTGCTGATACTACAGACTACTATAATGATACTAGTGTTACTCTACTTCCCAATGCTGCAATGAAAAAGATGCAAGACTTGAAGTTGGCGCAAGAACGAGCAGATTACTTCTTGACTTTCTCTAATGAAGTTGTTGCTCAGCGCTGTTTGGTCTCTGCTTTCATCTTGAGAACGGCTCAATTAGAGCAGTCTGCAGAACTCATTCGTGAAGAATTTATTGCTACTAAGGTGGGAGGTGCCAATGCTCAGATTGTAAATTTGTTTGAAAGCCATGCAGAACGTTTAGAGAAATTCAAGGCTGGTATTGATGATGTTCGTCTTCATTTAGCTACCTCTATTCCTTTCCCTGTACGCTCTTTAGACAATATTTCCACCCAGGCAAAGATCAAGGACGAAACAACCAATACTGTGATTCATGAAGCAATTGATATCCGTAATGCTCGTTTGGATGAATTGTGGTCTAGTCTACAACAAATCCTGGAATCTAAAGAACGTGTCTCTCGTCGCCGTTTGTCTTTGCATGCTTATAAAAAACAAGTGATTGTTGTTGAAGAATGGATTCGTTCTCATTTAGAGGTACTTCAGTCAAGCCATGTCTCTCAAGATAGTGTTGATATGGAAAAACTCAAGGAAGCTGTTAGTCAAGCAGATAGTGTTGAAAAAGCCATGAAATCAAACGAAACTGTTATGTCATCTCTGATTTCTGCTTTTGAAAAATGTATTTCTGCCTTCGAAGACAAGTCCTTGGATGCTGAAGAGTTGCAAGAAGGTGAAGATTATTCTGATTTGTCTGAAGAAATCACCGCTTTTGTAAAGCCTAATCAAGACCGCCTTGTTCAAGATTGGGCCAGTTTACTGACACATGCTACAGATGCCAACAGGAACAGAGCTACTCTCTTGATGAAACTAAAGATTGAAGCCTGGCTCAATGCTTTAGATGACTTGACAACTCGTATCCATGCAGAAACCATTGCCAATGACGATCAATTAACGTTATGGTCTGATGAAATCAATCAGCTCGAAAATAAGGAATATCAAAACTTGACACTAGACATGGCCAACAATACATTTGAAGAGCAAGACGAGCTTTTGAATACTGGAAAAGCCAAGATTGAATTGATTCGCACAAAGCTTTATGAACTTCAAAATGAATTGCACTTATCTCAATTGATCCACAAATACATGACTGATATTTCTCGTTTGCAAGATATGATTCAGGCACAAATTGAAAGTTTGGAGCGTGTGCATGAAGAGCATCTAATTGTTGCAGATGAAGCTACGCCTGAGCACCGAGAAACTCAACATCAAACTCTTGTTTCAAAATACAAGCATGCAGCAGATGCCATCACCGATTTGAAGGATACTTTGAACGAGGTTTCTGGTCAGCATGAAGCCATTATCAGTAAAAGTGAGAATTACCAAGACGAGAAGCATATGCAAATCACTGATGCTTGGAACCAACTTGTTAGCAAAGAATCCGCTATCTCTGCTTTAATTGCTCGCTCTTCAAAATGGGCTGAAAATTATAACACACTTGCTTTTGTACAAAAAAGGCTTGAATCTGTGCAATCTGAACTCGCTCACAACTCTCCTCAAGTACATGATAAAATCAGTCAAGAACTTGCCAGTATTGAGTCATTGTTTAGTGCTGAATTAGACACTTTGTCTGACGATTTGCTTGATGATTTTATTAACTTGGGTCGTTTCAATGCAAGGAAGTCTATCTGTATCAATTTTCTAAAGCAACTCGGTGATTTACTGAAGCATCAAATGACAGAAGAAGAAAAGACTCAATTGATAACAGCCATCAAACATGTTGTAGATCGCTTGCTTGAAGAATGTCAACGTCAATTAGACATTGCGAATAAGCACATTGAAGGCTGTAACTTGGTTGATGAAAACGAAGCTCATCTTCAAACTATTGTGAATGCCTGTTCTCAACTTGTTGATACGAATGAATCAGTTTACAGCGCCAGTCAAAACAAACTAGATTCTGTTCGTGCTGAAAAGGGAGAGAAACTCAAGGCTGAACTTGGTTGTGCAAAAGATAAAGTAAACCAATTGTTTGTTCCCATCATATCTGTTTTGGATAAGCTACATTATACTACTCAATCCGAGAAAGAATATTTGTCTATTATCAGACTGGTGTCTCAATACGTTCACAACAAAAACTCTCTATTGAACTCAATTGATTCAAATATAGACAAGCTTAATGCTGCTAGAGATACTGAAGAAGTTGTGTTGGAACTTGAACATCAATCGACTTTGCTAGATGAAAATGCTCAAGATATTTATAAGCTGAGTGATTTAACTAGACATCACAAATTGGATCATTTAATTCAGTCTGAAGTTCGAATGAAGCATGTACCTATTGTAATTGATCAAGGCGACAAAATGATCGAGGAACGATTATGCAACTTGAAACAGTTATTGCAAGCAGCTAGAGAAAATATCGACAATACCAACAAGCGTCAACAAGTGATTACTAAATTGCACGATGCTATTCAATTTGTTGCTGATATGACGGATAGAATTCAATCTTTCCAATTGACAGGTAAAGGCGTTATTTCTGAGGAACGTGAATTGGAGGAACTTTGTAAAGACTATCATGAAATCATTGAAAAGAAAAAGAAACCCATTGATTCTTTGGCTGGTACTTATGTTGAAGATAAAGAGATCGAGCAGCTTCGTAACAGTTTGTCAACTGTTATGCATGAACTGGATAATTTGATCGATGCCAAGCAGAAAGAGGCTTCTGATGAAGGTGATCTGTCTGATTTCTTGGAAATGATGGCCCAAGTAAGCCAACATATTACCTCTCTTCAAACCGCTATTGAAAACGCTTCCCCTCATCACTCTGGTATCGTCAACAACAAGTTTGTCAAGGCAGATCTTCAAGCATTACTCAAAACTCTCGTCACTGAATTCAAGCAACATCAACAAACTGTTGGCAAAATCTTCGAAAAAGCCCGTGCAGAATCTAAAAAGCAGTATTCTGATAATGAACGTGTCTCCAGCAAGTTGCAAAAGAGTATTAAGCGATGGAATCAAGTACAAGCTGCTGCCGCTGCCCGTGAGAGGGAATTACAAACTTGTATCAGCCAATTAGACCATGAGTTCTTCACCAAGCTTGCTATCGCAAAGACAGCACCTCGTACAGTCCGCAAGGCTCTCCAACCAACATTACCACCTACTCCACCTAAGAAACAAGTGTCTCCTAGTGCTACCAACAGTAGAAATCACAGCTATACCATCAATGGTTATAAAAAAACTTCAAAGACACCTGTTTCAGCTTCATCTTCTGCAAGTAGAGTACGTGCTGCCTATATCCCTGACCCAGAAAATGAACTCGATATGAAATTGAGCCATATTGTCAATGCTGCTCCTTATCGCATTACTATCAAGAGTGTTCCTGATCAAGTTGGAAAATATTGGTTTGGTGATATCAATCCTAGACTTGTTTACTGCCGTATTTTGCCAAGCCAATTGGTGATGGTCCGTGTTGGTGGTGGTTGGGTTGAATTATCCAAGTAAGCTGTTGAATCGTAAAAGATTGTAAATTACTGACTCTTTTTTTTTTCTTTTACTTTGTAGATTCTTAAGAGGTATGAGCATTTATAAATATATTACAGAACCAATTACTCATTGTCTTTTATAGATCATGGACTTACAGAAGGAACTTATTCTAGACAAGGTTCACCTAATGATATTAGTACTACAAGCTCACAAGAAAACACTCCTTTCCAAGAAGCCTTTTTAAATACATTCCGATCCTCTTCTCCTTCAGGCCGTGTCACTATCCGCGGAGGTGGAGGCATTGACCGAAACAGCAGTAGCTTAGCTTCCACAAGGTCCTCCAGCAAGTCTTCAGGAGGAAGTCGATCAAGATCACCTTTGCCAGGATATGTTGATGGCAATAACTATATCAGTGTTGACGAACTCGGAAACCATATAGTTGTAAAAATGAAAAAAGCAGATGACGATGCAAAAACACCAGTTATCAACAAAAAGAAAGCCCTTAATGCTTAAACATTTATATACCTCTCTTTAAATACACATGTATTTGTCTTTTAGAAAATTAATAAACATATAATTCCTCTTTTACTTTATTTTAAAGACGAATGACAGGCTTATACTCTCTAACTTTTCGCATAAATTCGCTGACTCTTTTACGATGGGCTTCTTCGTCCTCTTTATCCTCTTCTTCAAATCCATCAGATTCATCAGATGTTTTTTCTGTGTATTTTCCACGCTTTGGTCGTTGTCTCTTAACGATAACTCGGGCTTTTTTGCGAGTTGATCTACGTGTTTCTACTGCTTCCTCTTCCCTACTACTATCATCATTGCTGGAAGAGACCACTTCAACAGGATCAAAATCACTGTCATCATCAATAGTTTTTCTCTTCGCTGGCTTTATATTTTCGGTCTCTTCGAGTTCTTGCTCATGTTCTTCCAATGTTACTTCTTCGAGCAATGCTTCTTCTTCGAACACCACTTGTTTTTCAATCGCTGCATCTTCTTGATAAGATATGTCTTCTTCAGGCAGCCCATCTTCTTTAGTTGTTGCTTCCTTGTTAGATTCTATACTTTTTTCAGCTTTTGATCCAAGTGCTACCTCTTCGACTATTGCTTCTTCAGCTGTTATATCTTTTTCGTTGATTTGTTCTTCAAATACTACTTCTTCAAGTGCTATTTCTTCTTCGTTAATGTGTTCTTCAACTTCATCTTTTAAAAACTCGGTGTCATCATAGTTATCGAACACAGGACTGAAATCAAAAAGTGCTCCATCATTTTCCATTGGAGCACTTTCTTGAGCGATATCGCTGTCAAGAGGCTTGATTTCCACTACGTTGACTTCATCTTGATCAAGGCACAATTTTCCAAGTTTTTTTACTGAGATGATAACTGTGCAACTCTTGTCGTCTGTGAAACTAGAATCATGAACTGATGGAATGTATGTAAAGGTATTATTAAGCATAGGTAAACTGTTATTAGTCAGTTTTTGAGTACTAGATACATGGGCAGTAAATTTCGTTTCAGAGTAGATGGATATAACATATTTTGAGATAAGTCGATCCTTAGAGTTAGTATCTTTCTTGGAGAAAAAGAGGGAACAATCTTTCATAGTAAGAAAGTTAAGTTCGTATTGTGAAAGTGAAAGTCCAGTCTCCGTTTCAGTTCTGGATTGACCAATTTTGCAGCTTGTTAATACAATTTCTTTGAGATTGGGAACACAGTTGTGTAATTCGTCAATATCATTTTCTTGAAGGGCAACATATCGTAAACCAAGATGTTTTAAGTGAGGGTATTCTTGCAATTCATCAGTATTTTTAGTTATACTCCCCCATTTACCATCGTAGCCTACTTCAAGACTAGTCAACATGGGGAAGTTTTTCAAGAGAGATATGACATCAATTCTCTTCTCAACGTCAAGCCAAGTAAAAGATAATGATTTGAGAGACTTGATCATGGGCAGCGTAAAGAAATCAGGACAACTGATGGTAGAAATAGCCAAATGCTCCAAAGAATTAGCAGCCAAAAGATACTCCAGCATAAGTTTTGGACTTGTAAGGCCTAATACGGACACACTCTTCAAATGATCAGGATTTAGTTGCTTGAAAAGAGCTATAATTGGGATAGAATGATAGAAATAATCAATGGCTATTGTTTGTAGCTGTTTCAAATCAAGATTGAATGTAGCAATCAACTTCTTGTCAGCTGTAGAATCATATGTGGGACTGATTTTCTTTTTGTCATCACCAGTTCTTTCAATCTTGAAAGATTTCAATGCTTTTTCAAAGTATTTGAGTAAATGCAAGATCAATTTCATTGGTTTGCTGGGAGCTGTACTGAGCTTTATGTGCAGATACTCTACTTGAGTATTGTTGCAAATTGTATCAAAACTGTCTGCGTCAATAGTGAGTTTGTTGATACAGACTGATTTGGCACAGGGGAAAGCAATAAACATGGAATTGAAATCTTTCATGGTAAGGTGTCTGGCTTTAGGGTGTGGTTTACATATGAGGAAGGTAATGGCTTGCTTTTCTTTAAGAACAATATTTGGAAATTTACCCTCTTCAAATACGTTTATGTTGAGCTGCTCGATAAAAAACTGTTGCAATAATTCGTTCTGTTTCCGAGTAAGAGAGGCAAAATGCTGAGACTCTTTCAACTTCTGAACCACTTCATTTCTCCAATGTCCATCATAATTGGAAGTGTGGCCTCTGAGTGTGTTCACCAAGTTGATAAGGTCAGTCAGGTATACAAACTTGATAGAGTTGATCGCTTCGAGCGTGTAAATCTCGATTTCTTTAAGAAACGCGGACAGATTGCTACTGAAAAACTGAACACACAACTCAGTGTTGTTAAAAAACTCTTCCAAAGGCTTCTCTCCAAAGCTCGAGCTTTCACTGTCAATCAAACGCAGAGACATGATCGTGTTAAATAAAGTTTACAAACGGTAAAATTGTTGAACTCGATTTTTAAAAGCCACGAAAATAATGCGTCGCTGTTCAAATATAAAGTTTTTTGGAAAAACAGTGAAGTAATCAGCCAAAAAGAGGATAAAGATGAATAGATACAGAGATACTACAGTCAAAAAAGTTATAGGAGATAGAAAGACACTTCGATTGGTATAAGGAAGCTACTATGTTAATTGGGGAAGCTTCGAATTATTTTTAAAGAACGTATTTTTTGTTTTTTAGGTCCAATACTTTTGCTATATTCTACAGCTCTATGCTAATGCATGCTATAACAAAAAGCTACTGTATTGCTCACAATTTGCAATTTCAGAAAAAGACTAAAAAGTGGGTGAGGTGCCTTAAGTATAATGAGCCATGTTTTAGCCATTTCAAAACTTGAAGTTTTTTGGCTTGAAAATGTTCATCTATACATGTTGCGACATAGGACGCTCAAGGAAAGCTGATCTGAGGTATTTTGAAGCTGTCTTTATATCTATCTATACATTGCAATTCTACAATTAAAAAACGAATAACCAAAGTGTTTGCACTAGTACGAGCTCCGGAGTTCTTTGATAGCCTCTATTGTACCGAAAACAAGACCTACAATACCAAGAACAATTGTGAAGAAGCACCAAACAATTTCATAGATGGGCTTATTGCGAAAACCAGTTAATCGAAAATAGAAGAGAATTGGAAAAACAAACACCATAGTACAGTTGGCAAAAGCACCAATCAATGACATCAATGCTCCAAAGTGAGGCACAAAACATGCAATGATAGCAATTACCACCATCGTCGCAATGCGCACAACAGCTCGCACAAGGAACTCCTTCACCTTGCCAAAGCGTTCAACACTAATATCAAACATCTCTTCAATGTCCAGACTGAACGAGGTCGCAAGAATCGGTGCTGTGGCCAGACAGTGGACAGTGATCAGCACAATAATCACCGTTTGGGGTGCGCCGGATGGGATAGAAAAGTATATGGGGTTCTGTACTTGGTCACCATATACAATGTAGCCTGCAATAGCTACGCCGAGATACAAAATTGCACAAGTGCTGAGACTAGCAACACTGACTTTGGTCCAGTCTTGAGGCTTCTTCATGGAGGCTTCAACATGAGTATAGACAACGTTGCCACCAAAACTAAAAGAGATGGTACTAAGTGCAATAGGGAACATATCCCAGATGACAGTGTCTCGATGAACACTGACATGGTTGGGGCTATCAATGCCGCACATAATGAAAACAATCACAACAACAATAAGGATTGTGATGGTACTCAAAGCAGACATCCAGGCAGCTTCCTTCATGCTCTTAATGAACACAAAAGGTATGCCTACAGCAACACAACAAATGATAGTCCAGGGCTTGAGGCCAACCTCTGCTGAGGTTCCTGCACAGAGTGTGTTGATGTTTGTGCCAGACAAGACTAAGTAAAGGACAGGAACGCCAAGTAAAATCCAAGTGTTAAAGAAAAAAGCCAGCCAGCCACCAAACCAACCAAAAGCAGAAGTAGCAATTTCTTTGTAAGTAGATAAGCGAGCTTTCCCATTGGCATATAGACAGCGGATCAAGATAGTAGCTGTGTAAGTAGACATTAACCAAGATAAGAAAAGAATGAGAAGACTAATGAAGCCGCCCTGTTTCAAAGCGTAAGGTAAACCAAGGATGCCTGTGCCAGCAACAATACAAAACACGTTGAAAAATGCTACAAATGAAGAGCAACCTTTTGAGCGATCCACATCAACGAATCCATTGTCTGACAATTCATAATCATTTTCTATGCGAGTGTTACAAAAAATAATAGATCGAATGAGTGTATGCTACCTGTCAAGATAGATGGAGGACTATCTATTACGGAAGGTTTGTGTTCTATTACTATTTTTTCTTCGTAAGCCATTTTTTGTAGGGAAGAAAAAGAACGATACAAATAAAGAGAGTAATCTTGTATTTATACTCGAACTTGGTGAGCTTAAATTGTAGTGAATAAAAGGTAGTACTAAGACTAGTAAGTCGTAGAATGAGTACTCGTACCTATAAAGTCAACTTTAGTCCGACAACTTCTATCCAAGCATTTTTCAGAGATTTATTGTCATGAGAAATACAGTTGAATAACAGATTGTCCTTTTTCTATATATATATATATATATAATTGTCGGATATTAACTACCTTTTGCGATGTGATTTCAAATGTCTTTTATTGGCTTCAATAATAAGATTTTTTTCTTCAGCTATACTAAGGCAGTTTTTTGATATTAACATTTTATAGGAAAAGAATGTCCGCTTTTGATCCATATTGTTTTGTTTTCAAAATTCGTAATTCTAGATATTGTGCGACTCGCTTTATAAGACAATAATGACCATGATTTCTCAAAGAGAGACCATGGTGAGATATAATCCATACGATGTATACTTGTCTGCATCTAGAAATAGAAGTTACTTTTGTCAAGTTGGAAACACTAATGTTAAATCCCACTGGGGTTAGTGAAACCAACGACCATATTCGGGGATGATATTATGTCTGGAACCAGTCAAAGCATAGAGAAGCGTAAGAAGCTCAAAAGATCCTTTGACTTCTCTTTGGCAAAGTCGAAATTTATCTACTGTATATCGGAAAGATTTTTTTTTGTCCTGAGTTCTTTTTACACAGAAAAAGACATAATAGACCCTATAATCAGTACTTTTCTGAAATCAAAGCTTTGAATATTCAGCTCTCTAGATAGAAATACAAGGTTGAAGTTCTCTAGGGATTTCTGTAATCAAAAGAAGCACTTCTTGATCACGTTAGCATATTTTTCTTTTCTTTCCAAATGATGCAATGATGGACAACTTCGCCCTTTATACAATAGGTTTGGGAGTAGTTCAAAGCAAAGTGCGGACTTTTTTATGTGTGCACGTACAACCTTCCCAATTGATATGCGTGTGTATTTTTCTCTCCCTTTTTTACACATCGGTCTTAACAGAGCAATACCTGTGTCCAGTAACAATCTTTTTGTTATCCCACACTGTCTTACAAATGACATTGATTCTGAGGAAGCGAGCTATCGATGTGTGCTTTTTTTGAAATTAACAATAAACAATACAATCAAAAAAACCAATTTTATGCTTAATAAGGCTACGTGATGTGCTCTACCACTATCTATGCATATATGTTCTCTCGATTCTTTTTTTCTCTTTTATTTCAAACAAAGTATCACAAAAAACTACATTTGGAAAGTCGCTCACTCTCAGGAAATACCAGCAAGTATAAGTTTACTTCATGCATTTGGTGTTTTCATAGTAGTGTAACCTACGCGTAACTATTATTTTTTTTTATCATGGATTTTCTTAGCATATAAAGGATACTAATGTTGGTTTTATATAATACATATGCAATACTGTGGTTTTACAGAGATCCAAAAAAGTCTTGTCTTTTATTCGAAATCTTCTTTTCTACTACAAATTTTATCTGAAAGGTCAATGGTCATTAGTAAAAGAGTCAGGGAAAGCCAAAAATTTAGTTTTTATACATCACAATAAAGTATATGTAAATAGAACTATATATTTCATAATTATGTAGACAACACGTTAGATACATCACAGCAATGAATCAAACTGATTTAAACATATATATATGCCTATTTAGTTCTATAGAGTTTAATCTATATTGCACTAAAGAGATTCAGTATTTTCTTTCATGCTTATATTTCGCAGGCATTTGCTTTAATTTAATTTAAGCTGTCCTAAGAAACATATCCATTCTACAAGTCAAAAATAAAACTTATCCAATGGTGGTGCTATCCTGAGAAAAACATCAAATACAAAAATGGTTTTGATGGTTACATTTTTAATTCTCGGTAAGCAGAATCCTTAAGAAACTCCGTTTTTTTTTTTTTTTTTTTTTTTTTTTTTTTTTTTTTTTTTTTTTTTTTTTTTTTTTTTTTTTTACTAGGGAAAGAGGAGGAAAAGAAATACCTGATCCCTTGTCATTCACTAGTTCAATTGTTGTCATGTGCCTGTTATTGCTTACAGTGATACAAATAAGGAAATGATTTACTACTGACTAGTATTGAAAAGCCGTTGACCATGTTTGCTTTAGTTTACAGTCAAGATAATAACAAAAAGAAAAAAGGGTAGAAACGCCTTAAACTTTGTCAAATGAAAGGAGCACGACTGAAAATCTACATCTAATGATCACTTTTTTGTCATAGATTATCAGTTCATTTAAAAAACAACATCACAACATGTAATTGATTTTGGACCAGAAAAAATTTTTTCTCAATAATCCTGTATATAGCACAAGACCAATTTTTTTTTTTCAAATATGTGGCAGAAGTCTCAAAGCAGGAATCAGATGGCGGGAAAAGGGTAAGAGCGTCAATTTCCGTTAATTCCTGTTAGAGCTGCTGTATTTGCTGCATTAAAGGAGTGATGAGTTGTGCTCGCAGTGCTGGTGATGGTTTTGTGCGTAAAATTCTATTTTTCCTTTTTTCCAAATGCTTCAAAGACTCAGTTCTCCAACATGTGTGCTTAATTCCATACTTTCTTGTAATGTCTGCTGTAGCTTCCTTGACTTTCTCCCATAGCAATTGTGGGCTACTTCTACCTGCATCTGAAGGCATCAGAGTTTCTATACGTTTCTTGACTTTTTGTTGAAATGCCTTATGTTTGACGTAGGCAGGGTTAGCTTTCCATAGACCCGCCCCGAATTTGGAAGAGCCGACCTTGACTGTGACAGAAAGAATTAAATGGTCAGACCACATTGGCGATAGATGAGTGATAGAGGCATCCACCAATCCTTGTTTTAAGTCTTGACTCATATATATATATATATATAGTCAATGACGGAGGTGACTATATCCGCTGAACCTCGCGTTCGTTGAAAGGTGGGTATATCTTGCAAGTCGTTATAGGTCATGCAATTAAAGAAGGATTGCTCTAGTAAAATCCTCCAATGAAGATATGTATTCCTATCTAACGTGGGCGATCGCAAATGTGAATAGTTAAAATCTCCTGATATAATAAGATTGTCAAACGATATTTCCTGTCTAAAATATTGTAAGTCGGTCAGTTTAGCGTACAATTCACGTCGTATAGTCGCTGGAGAGACTGGAGAGACTGGAGCATAAATGTTAAGGATATAAAAAGGATCGTAAAATTGATGTGGGTGAGTGACTTTGCATAGTTGATATCTTGTAGAGTTGAAATGAATGGAAGTATCAATGAGTGTAATATGATAATCTAAAGAGAATGACACTATTCTTACGTGTGGTGTCCAAAAGGATTGAGTGGACGGTAGACGTATGTTTAAACTGTCAATCACTTTGGGAGTTGAGGCATATGTTTCTTCGAGGCATAATATCGAAAATTGCTGGAGTCTTAAAAATCGTAAATAGTTGGATAGTGTCTTATTATTTGTCGTTTTCACTAAGCCATTGACATTGAGTGAGGCATATTTACATAGGGGTTCTTTTGGCATTAAATTAAGTGGAAGGTTTTACTTACTGACGGTTATTTTTGTAACCGTCCGTCTGATCTCAATCAGTTATGATTTTGGTTATTTGATCCAGTGTTTGATTCAATTGGGTGAGTTCAGCTGTCTCTGCTTTTGTCAGCTGAACTGTCGCGGCTGTTTGTTGTAATGACTGGAGTCTCTCTTGTTGCATCCCATGATAGTTTTGAAGATCGGTTAATGGGATCTGTTGATCGTCTATTAGTGCCTGTACCTCTGTCTCATCTATCTCTTCATCAATATCGGAATCCGATCCAAATTCTGATTCTACTTCCTACATAGCGTAGTCATTATCTTTGTGGTCGTTTACTTCATCAGCACTCTCAACATTTGAGTCCCTATTTGTCTCAGGAGAGGGTTGGATTGATACTGGGGAGGTTGGAATCTCAGGTGCTGGGGTAGTGGCGTGTTCGACTTCACGGCCTCTTCTGATGTTAAATGGATCTCCTGATGAGAGTCTGTTACGTTTCAAAGTTCTTTTCATTTCGTATGGCTGTGCACTGTCGCCTTGCGAGGACATTCAAATGAACGGTGTCCGAGATGCTGGCAATTGTAGCAAATGATGTGAGCTTTAGATTGCTCACATTCAAGTCTTGTATGGCCCATTTAATGGCAGTATCGGCACCAGGTGGACATGTTGTTCCAAGTACAATGGAAGAATTGATCTTGAGATTCATACCAGCCAACTGTGTGCTCGAGTTCTTGATATTGAGTGTCACCCTTGCGTTTGCCAATGACAGCATAGCCTGCGCAGACATTCACCAATCTCTTCAGGGTGTACAAAAGGGAAGTGAGTCAAACTAACTGTAGTAATCATGAAATCACGACCGATGGAGGGGCAAGGTAAAACTCGAAGTTTTTTTCTTTTCAAAGACCACACCTAAATTGACAATTTCGTTTGTATCGTCCTTTTTTCTAATATACAGTTCCAAATAACGACGAGGTCCATCGCTTAGGAACTGGCATCCATAGATCTTGGGGTGCTGCTGAAGAACGGGTTAAAGACTTTGGAAGTCAGTATAGTCACTACGGATTTCTGAGAGATCGAGTAAGTGGGCACCAGGTGACTTGGCTGCTCGGTATATGCGTGACTGAAAGGTGGAGATCTGATGGAATTCATCTATATCAGGCTGCTCAGTGTCCTGATGGATTAGTAATATCTTCTTTTTGGCTGCCACTATCTGTGGATATGAAGGTTTGGGTCTATTGGCTTTGGGTGGCGAAGTTGCTTCCAACCCCGCTCTCGACGAAAAGTGTTGGTTATCGGAAAGACCAAATTACTTTGGTGCTGTCAAAAAAAATTGCGGAAATTTCACTTAGATTTTCAAGCATATTGTAGATATCTCAAAACAAAGTGTGATTGAAAAAAAAAAAAGAGGTTTAAAAAAGAGAAATACTAAAGAAAAATTAACTAATAGAAGAATATTTAGAAGAAAAAAAATAGTTTGGATTTTTCTGTTCCGCTATGTTCAGATAGAGTTTAGATTAAATTTAATAGATCGGAAGAGTTCTCTTTCCTCTTTTCTTCTTTTCTGATACCTAATTAAAACTACATCATATGTCTCTGACCGAGAAGCAAGAAGACCTTCAAGTGGAAAACACTAGTAGCAATGAAAAGAGCTTGGATTATCAAGAAATAACTACAAATGGTAACTAATTACATACCAAGAAAATACATATAGGACTAAGTGAATTTTCCTATACAAGACTATGAAGTTCAAAGTGAAAGGGGGTTTGGTTTTGTTGATGTGGACAGAACAAATGGTAGTGGCTCAATGATGGCATATTTCAATGTTGTCTGTGTAGTTGCCGGTTCCGGTATTGTTGGACTTCCTTTGGCCTTAAAACAAGGTATGAGTTACTATATAAATACATATTTCTTTGTTCTAACTCTTTATAGGTGGCTGGATTGGTTTAGTTATTCTATTTCTTGCTTGGACCATGTCCATCTTTACTTCTATTTTACTTACAAGGTGTCTTTACGCTAATGGCAAAAAAAGATTGGCCACTTATAAAGAAGTCGCTACCTCGGCTTTTGGTAGAATTGGTGGTTATATTACCTATTTCTTCAATGTTTGGATTCTTCTAGGTGGCCCTGTTCTTTATCTCATCTTGTCTGGGCAAAATATCAACCAATTGTGTCGTGGTACAGTAGCGGAAATTGGTGTTGTTCCTTGGACTATTATCAGTTGTGCTGTAGTTGCCATTCCTTTTATTTGGCTCAAGACAATGAAGGAAGTCGCTATTGTTAGTGCTATAGGTATGGTAACTATTCTTACTGTTGTTCTTGTGGTGTTGATCATGTCGATTATCGACAAACCCAATCAAATCGATGTTCACCATGATATTGTTGTTTGGGATATGTTTCCTATTTCGCTCAGTACAATTGCGTTTAGTTTCGGTGGTAATGTAGTCTACCCTCATATCGAATCCTCCATGAAAAAGCCAAAGGATTGGCCAAAAGTAGCTGCAGGAGGTCTCTCAACTTGTGTTGTTCTCTACCTTATTGTTGCCGTTTGTGGTTATGCTATTTATGGTGACAAAGTTATGAATCCTATGTAAGTTTATTTTTTATTTTTTCTATGGCCTGATTAACAAAAAAAATTTTTTTCTTCTATTTCCAGCTACAACTCTTTACCTGATGGAGCTGGTCAAATTGTTGCTTGCGTAGTTATTACACTCCATGTCTTGACATCCGCACCAGTTTACACAACCTCATTCAGTCTTGATATCGAAGAAATGTTAGGAATTACAACAGAAAGATTTGGTAAAACAAAAGAATTTCTTATTCGTGCAGTGCTGCGTATCTTGATTATGTGTGTTGTTGCTGTTATTGCTTGTACTGTGCCTCATTTCAGTATTCTCATGTCACTTATTGGTGCATTCGGTCAATGTTCTCTTATTTTCGTGCTCCCTGTCATGTTTTACCTCAAGCTGACTGGCTTTAGAAACAAGCCAATTTACTTTTTGGCCTGGTGTTTCCTAACTGTACTTTTAGGTATTGTGGGTCTTATCTTTGGTACAATAGAAGCAGTACGCGAATTGAAGGACGTATACTAGCATGTACTCTTTTTTTTCTAGACTTTTTTCTGTAAATATATTTTTTACTGCATTTTATTCCCATAATTTGATCTTCCTCAACTATATTATTAAGGTTACTTGGTAACTTATCTTATCAAAAATCCTCTCAAGGGATTGGTTAACTCATCCCATTGTACACAATTGTCTATATTTAGAGATATGTACGATTTAAGGAGCCGATTGTTCCGTTCTTGCCTTGGTTGCTCTTGTCTTGGCATGATGTATAATCACATAAAGAGAAGCACCATTCATACTGGTTATATTGACGCGCAAGTTGGTTTGCCACAGACCTTCAAAGAATAAAGAACAAGTTATTGGGACTGATCCATTATCATAAGCAAGGATACCTTTGATGAGTGTTCCCCGAAACTAAGTCTGTCTCACCATGACACACATAAAGACAGATATTGCATCAAATTTGTCATAAGTCGACATATGTCTTTATAAGGTGCATTGATTCATGTATAATATAAAAGAGAAAAAAGGGAAAAAAAGCTCTGTTAACACATTAGGTTTTCTATTTTGTTTGGAAAACAACCAATAAAGAGAAACAGAATTCTTTAGAACCCAGAATCTTGAAAAAAATTCTGCAATATATCACCGGATAATTATTCATGGTTGTTTTTTGACTCTTTTTTATACCAGACAGAAAAGAAACAATCAACGCATTCCTAGACATCCTCAGATGCTTGCATAATGAATAAACCACACTTAAAAGGAGTTTTTTTTTTTTTTTTTTTTTTTTTTTTTCAGAGAAGTGAAAAGAAATAACGCCGAAAAAATATAGAACAATTGCTGGCCTCTTTTAGAAATCACTACAAGGACCTTTGAGCTAAAAAAAAAAAAAAAAAAAAAAAAAAAAAAAAAAAAAAAAAAAAAAAAAAAAAAAAGTTTTTTAAACAGTGAGATCAGCGGTCCTTGATCTTTCTCTCTCTCTCTCTTTTCTTCACTCTATATATTTTTTAAGGCCTTGTCGTACAGTTTATTAAGATAGATAGATATCTACCATGTCTTTAAAAGAGAAAGAAGTAGGACAAAAAACATCTACAGAAAATGAACCATCTATTCTGTCAGGTAGATCTTAAAATAATAACTTTGGTTTTGATGTCTTATCCTAATTTCATTCTGACAGAAAATGACTATGAATTTGGACAGACTGAATTTATTGATGTAGACCGCTCAAAAGGTTGTTCCTCATTCATGGCATTTTTCAACGTGTTTTGTATTGTTGCTGGCACAGGCATCCTTGGTTTACCTTACGCTTTGAAACAGGGCGGCTTCATTAGTCTTCTCATTCTTTTCTTATCTTGGTTAATGTCTACTTACACAGCTACTATCTTGATCCGCTGTCTATATGCCAATGGGAAAGCTCGCTTATCTACTTACAAAGAAATTGCTACTTCTGCTTTTGGTTGGTTTGGTGGCTGGCTGGCTTTTTTCTTTAACACTTGGATTTTACTTGGCGTTCCTGTCCTTTACTTAGTCTTGTCTGGCACAAACATCAACACACTCTGTGCAGGAACCTCAGCAGAGGTTGGCCTCAAGCCCTGGACTATCATTTGTTGTGTTGCTGTAGGCATACCTTTTGTGTTCATTAAGAGCATGAAGGAAGCTGCCTGGATGTCTGCTTTGAGTACCATCACAATCCTTATTGTTGTTGTGATTGTTTTCATTATGTGCGGCATTGATAGCCCCAACCATGTCAGTGTTCATCGAGACACTGTCATCTGGGATATGTTCCCTATTGCACTTAGTACCATCTCTTTTAGTTTTGGTGGCAACGTTGTCTATACTCATGTTGAAGCCTCCATGAAGAAGCCTCAAGACTGGACCAAAGTCAGTGTTGCTAGTCTCAGCACTTGTGCAATTTTGTATCTCGGCGTAGCTATTGCAGGCTACATTGTATATGGTGACCAAGTACAGAACCCCATATACTTTTCTATCCCATCCGGCGCACCCCAAACGGTGATTATTGTGCTGATCACTGTCCACTGTCTGGCCACAGCACCGATTCTTGCGACCTCGTTCAGTCTGGACATTGAAGAGATGTTTGATATTAGTGTTGAACGCTTTGGCAAGGTGAAGGAGTTCCTTGTGCGAGCTGTTGTGCGCATTGCGACGATGGTGGTAATTGCTATCATTGCATGTTTTGTGCCTCACTTTGGAGCATTGATGTCATTGATTGGTGCTTTTGCCAACTGTACTATGGTGTTTGCATTGCCTGTCTTTTGCTATCTTAAACTCACAGGTGTTCGCAATAAGCCCATCTATGAACTCGTCTGGTGCTTCTTTACTGTACTTTTGGGTATTGTAGGTCTTGTTTTCGGTACAATGGAGGCTGTTCAAGAGCTTAAGAGTTCGTACTAGTTTATATAGAGCTGTACAACCATGTAGATATACTTCAATTATTTAAATGTAATTAATCTGTAGAGTAATAGATCATTAATACTTGTGTACTTTTGACTTGGTAGTTGTCCATTATACTCATAGGCAATGTTTTTGTTTGATCTCTATAACATACTCAGTAAGGCGTTGAGTTTACGGGGCCCTGCATATTATAGCACACTTTTGACAAAAAGCGATCACCTGAGTTGTCTATAATTCTCACGCATAATTTTGATTTAAACACACTCATAAAGGCAAGAGGTGAAACTATTTTATTTCGTACAACTTGAGATTCTTAATGAAAGGGTAATACATAGATAGTAATATACAGTCTTATCTTTTGTTTGAATATAATATAGTCACTGTTCAGTAGTAATTTCATTAGCCAAGTTATACTATCAAATTTGAATCCATGTTTTTTCAGAGATTTCGATCAAGCCAAGTTTGTTCCTTTTGACTTTGCTTCTAGACAGGGTCCTTTCGTATGGTTAGGAACCAAAGGTGAGTTTCAACTCTACAAGTTCCGAATATGGTTTGGACTAATCAGAACCGAGAAATGTTTTGAGTCATTAAATTACAATTCGACAGGATTCACAAGGCGAGTCTCACAGGAAATTCCTTTATTTGGCACGATCGTTGATATTTTCTTATTCGTGAGAAAACTCAATCTTGAAAAAAATCTTCATTATGTTTGTGAAATATCCCCATGGGAATAAATAAATGTGTGATTAGATGTATGTGCGCATGTATGTTTGTGTCAAATCATGACAGCTATGGAAGTTCATTGGTTTTAAAAGAAAAAAGAAAGAGCTGAAAATGAATCTAACACCTATTTGTTCCTTCTTTTTATCCGAAATCCAATAGACAAAGTACCAAAGAAAAACTTTAGAGGTCGTACAACTTTTATCGTCCAATAAGATATTGTAGATCGCTATTGAGCATATGACTTTTGAAAAGGCTCTGTTATCTAATTATGGTAAGAAAGATAACTATTGGATCAAGATTTGATAGGATAAAACACCTATTAAAAAAAAAGAAAGAATTTTTTATCTTTTTGAAAACAAGTATAAAAAGGGCCTGATTTCTGAACATCCATTGATTCTTTACTCCTCTTTTTTATACCTTCTTTTCTTCCTTTCTCTAAATGACCTCTTTTAACGAAAAGAAGGCTGAATACCAACATTCAGTTAATGATGTTACTAGCGGTAAATATAATATAGCTTATTGATTCAATGTGCTTATGCCATATTAGAACACGAATTTGAGTATGCCAATGAAGGCATAATCGATATCAATCGTGAGCATGCTGGTACGAGCAAGATGGCCTACTTCAACGTCGTTTGTGTTGTTGCTGGTACTGGTACTCTTGGTCTCCCCGTTGCCTTAAAACAAGGTACGAATACAATAAAATTAAATCAAGCATTCTTATTCATATATTTTTATAGGTGGTTGGTTAGGTGTTCTCATCCTTTTCTTGTCTTGGGTTATGTCTGTTTATACTGGTATCATCTTGATTCGTTGTCTCTATGCTAATGGCAAGACTCGTTTGACTACTTATAAAGAAGTCGCTACAACTGCTTTCGGTACAATTGGTGGCTGGATCACCTTTTTCTTCAATGCTTGGATTCTTTTGGGTGCCCCTATTCTTTACATGGTCTTGTCTGGTTCTAACTTGAATCAACTCTGCAAAGGCACCGCTGGTGAAATCGGTGATACTGCTTGGATTATTATTTCTTGCGCTATTGTTGCTGTTCCTTTTGTCTTGGTCAAAACCCTCAAAGAAGTTGCCTGGATGTCTGCTTTCGGTGCTCTTGCTACTGTCGTTGTTGTCATTATTTGTTTGGCCATGTCCATTATTGATAAGCCTAATCAAGTCAATGTTCATCATGATGCTGTCATTTGGGAAATGTTCCCTATTGCTCTCAGTACCATCTCTTTCAGTTTCGGTGGTAATGTCGTTTACCCTCATGTTGAAGCCTCTATGAAAACTCCCCGTGACTGGCCCAAGGTCGTTGGTCTTGGTTTGAGTACTTGTGCTGCCATGTATTTCGTTACTGCCATCAGTGGTTACTCTATCTATGGTGACACCGTCCTTTCTCCTATTTATAACAGTATCCCTGCCGGTGCTGCTCAAACTGTTGCCATTGTTGTCATTACTCTTCACGTCTTGATGGCTGCTCCTATACTTACCACTTCCTTCTCTCTTGATATTGAAGAAATGTTCAACATTAGCGTCGAACGCTTTGGCAAAGTCAAGGAATTCTTTATTCGTGCTGCTATTCGCATTGCCACTATGGCTGTTGTTGGTGTCGTTGCCTGTACAGTTCCTCACTTTGGTGCATTGATGTCTTTGATTGGTGCTTTTGCCAACTGTATTCTTATCTTTGTCCTTCCCGTTGCCTGTTACCTTAAGCTTACTGGTTTCCGTAACAAGCCCATTTATGAACTTGCATGGTGTACTTTGATTGTTATTCTTGGTATTGTTGGTTTGATTTTCGGTACCATGGAAGCCATCAAGGAACTCATCTCCGCTTACGCTTAGAATCCTTTTTTTTTCTTTTGTACATACTTTTTAAACTGTATTTATTCCCATTTTATTACTATTATCCTCGCTTTTTAATAAATTCTCAGAAAAAACATGTCGTATTTGACAAAACAAAGAAGCCGTTGTAATCATGAGTTGTAATGTCCAAGCTGACTCAACAGCTAGCCATGCTAACCATTCAATATTCATTATTTTAAGTTGCTCCATGCCCCATTCTTGCTTCCAATTGGTTAATCCATCTTCACATCGCGCAACCAGCATTGGCATGATTTCCATCATGACATAAGATACGTTGCGTATGTGATTGCGACATAGAAACTCCATGAAACTCTCTAAGCTGGTTTTGAAAGATTCGATTCTAGAAGAAGATGATACTGACGCAACAATTAAAGAAAAGGACAGATATACAAGACTGCATTACCTACATTTGCATTGTGCTCCTTCCATCAAGCCTAAAAAAGTGATTGAGTTGCGTATTATTGATAAATTGTATAAATACCAGTAGTGTTCATTGTTAAAGGTAAAAAAGAAGAAAAAGCATGTTTTCTTTTGAGGAAAAGAAAATCGGAGCTAAATGTAATCTTGATAATGCAGATTTGAATGAGCTATCAAAGCGTATTGGACATGTTGCTTCGGAGAGATCTTTTCTTTTTTTTTTTCAATTCACACTTACATCATTCAATGTATCCTTTTAAGTATACCTATTAACCTCAAGAGCATTAATATCCCTCTCTGCACAACTTGACTTAAGTGATTCCAGGTCCAAAGTGTTCAGCTTCTTTTGCCCTTCAGAAATGATGTTAGCCAGCTGTATTCCAATATATCTAGGAAAATCTACTTATCTTGTACAAACAATCTTTCATCCCGAGTAACAAGTGTCTTGGCGTAAATGTACCGTCAGCATGAAAAAAAACCAAGTTTGCTTATCATCAATAAATACCCTTTTTTAACAGGCTGTAATCTAGTTTTTTGATTTTTTTTTCTTACTACTCTAGAAATCATCAGATAGCAATATTTGTAGTTTTGACAAGAAAATAAACAATACTTTAGTTATCATACCCTATGACGACTTTATTAAAAGTGGTTTATGTCAAAATATTCCTTGGAGCTATAGAATTTTTTTTTTTTTTTTTTGAATGGCTTGAAGAATTCAAGGAAGTATTCCATTCATCACTTTCAAGTATACACTTATACATATATAATAATTTCAAAAATGTTGTAACTGTGAGCATTTCTGAAAGAAAAAAGTAAGTTTATAAATGTTACTTTATCAGTTGATCATATTTTACAGCTGTTTATTACTTTTCATTAGGTATGTATATAGTGGATTATCTCTTTTAAGCTACAAGACATCATTAATTATACTAAATCATGCATTTATTTCAAAAGGTAAAAGATTTAATAACAGTAGATCTGCCACCAAAATAAAAACTAGATTGTTCATTAAGAATATACAGAGATTTAGCGAAATGTTCCATGCACCAGCTTTGCTTTATCATAAATTATGGTTGTCACAAGATTTAAAGTTTCCTTTAGAAAAAAAGGTGGTAAACAGTGTAGTTAGTAATAATATACAAAACAAAGATGAATTCAGCAGAGTGATGTCCTAACAAAACAGTCTATTAAGTATGAATTTAAAAAAACATATGACTATTGATGGTTATCCAGAAGACAATAATATTATGTCAAGCGATCATACTGATATTAGTATACAAAAATTTAATGAGAAGTCTAAAAAAAAGAAATTCAAAAGATAAAAGTAAAATAAATGAAAAAGATTTACTTAACAAATATATAAAGAATAACGACAGAAATTCTGTGAAAAACTCCAGCAGAAATCAATAATTACGTTACATCTAATAGTGCTCTTATGCCCAACTATTTTTTAATAAATGCAGCAGGAAATGCATACCCGCCTGACTTAACCAATCAATTTTATAGTGTTTGCTGCCCTGATTTCACTGAAAGGTACACAGACAAGTGACTTTTACATTATTTCGTTTTTTTCTTACAACAGAGCTTGACATAGTTCCAACTATAGAGTAGTCCCATTGACATATGAATATTTTCAAATGCAGTTTTAAGAGACAATTGCTTCGGGATTTTGTCAAACCTTTTTGATACTAATATATATTGATAAGGAAGATATCTGAAATGACTGGAGACCAAGCAAAAAAGAACTTATGAACTTCAGAAATTTCTCAGGAACTTAATGAGCATACAAAAAACAACGCAAAAAAAATGTTGTCAAAAAACTAGCATAAAATTAGTGTTTTTTAACAATTTTTATTATTGTTCTGCGTAAAGATACCTCAAAGGCACTCAAGAGGCGAGCGTAATTATAAGGAGTTATATTAAGCTAATATGTGTCAAATAAACTAATAGTGATTATCAGGATTGCAATATCGATTTATAACAAATGAAAAAGTACAATTAGGATAAGACTGCCATTTATTAAAAGGCAAAACACAAGATATTTGTAATAAGATGATTTACAATGCCATACACACATCAGAAGATTTGATAATAAACAATAGTCATAAGCCCGACTAACACATTCTCCCAAATAATGTAAATATATTGTATCTATTTTCATGAATGATACAACAAATACAATAAAATCAAAAGAAGACCACAGCTATAATTAGGGAAAAGCGAAAGAATAATTGTAGTCTTGTGCGCACTTGCTTTTCATCTGCAAGCAACTGTAAAGCAGTACGCATTTGTTGTAGAGTGGAGTAGGCATTAAAGAAGATGTTGTCAAAGACAAATCTCTAGTGTGCTTTTCAGACTTACGAAGGGGCGACAACGACAATGTCAACGATTTTTAAGTCTCTTTTCTGTGATTAATCTATTCTGAGAAGTCTAATATATTAAATGCTTGAATAACATCCTCGACAGTTGTCGTAGGCCATAGAAATTCGAAATTGAGATTTTCCCAGAAAAACGTCTTTGGCTCACAACAAAAAAAAAGTTAATCGTTCTCAGGATGGAGTGTGCAACTGGGGCAAAAAGATATGAGCAATATATTAGAAATTATGCAGTAAAGAAGTTTTATGGAGGGCAGCTGGAAACAAGCAGCAGGTACATCATATTACGAGCAACTGGCTGCAGAGACCAGCTCCGAAACTTAGTCCAAAAGTCTCTAGAAATGGCTCTCAAGCGCTCCAACGCAAATATAGTGCTTTGAAAAGCGTCCAAAGCTTTTTTGTTGATACCCTAGTGATCGATACAGTCAGAGTAGCGAATTACAAAGAAAAAATAATATCAAAAAAATATTACCTTCAGAATGTAATCAATTCGAATTCCACTAACATTTATGCCGACATGGCAAGTATGCCATTTGTGTACTCAAAAAAAATAGTTTTAGAAAAAATAAAGATCACTGCCTTAAAATAATGGCAAGAAATAAAATTCCTGATTTTCCTATTCTAAATTAATAAAAAGACATGGTTTTCAATTTTTCTGTTTTGAATAAATAAACGTGTTTACCGGATAGTAATTTCAGTGTTTTGGCTTAAAGAAAAGATTACTGGTTGGTAGACTCGTTTTTTATCTCAAAACAGAAAAATTGAAAACAAACTTTTTCTAAAATTTTAAGCAGAAAAACTAGAAATTCTCTACTTTTTTTTTTATTTTTTGTCATTGCAGAAAATGTTTTTGATTTGTTTTAGAGTAATGGATTTAATTTTAAATAATTATTTTTTAGAAAATATTTTTTTTAGTATACAAATGGCATACTTGTAATTTCGGCATAACTGCCAGTATTTTTCTTGTTTTTGAAAATGCTCTTTTTTTTGTAGAATTATCACTAGAGCGTAAGCAATGGAAGAAATTATAGAAAGACTCGTATGCTTAAGGCCTTCGTGATCAATGTGATAATTCTACAAAAAAAAAGAGCATTTTCAAAAACAAGAAAAATACTGGCAGTTATGCCGAAATTACAAGTATGCCATTTGTATACTAAAAAAAATATTTTCTAAAAAATAATTATTTAAAATTAAATCCATTACTCTAAAACAAATCAAAAACATTTTCTGCAATGACAAAAAAATAAAAAAAAAAGTAGAGAATTTCTAGTTTTTCTGCTTAAAATTTTAGAAAAAGTTTGTTTTCAATTTTTCTGTTTTGAGATAAAAAACGAGTCTACCAACCAGTAATCTTTTCTTTAAGCCAAAACACTGAAATTACTATCCGGTAAACACGTTTATTTATTCAAAACAGAAAAATTGAAAACCATGTCTTTTTATTAATTTAGAATAGGAAAATCAGGAATTTTATTTCTTGCCATTATTTTAAGGCAGTGATCTTTATTTTTTCTAAAACTATTTTTTTGAGTACACAAATGGCATACTTGCCATGTCGGCATAAATGTTAGTGGAATTCGAATTGATTACATTCTGAAGGTAATATTTTTTTGATATTATTTTTTCTTTAGTGAATCTACTACACTCATGGAAGAGTTCTGATATTTACGAGGTCTGCAATGATATTTTTGTGGATTTTTGAAGTTTCTTTTCGGCCAAAAAGGAACTGAGGCGAAATCAATGTGCTGAGTATAGTATCACACTAGGCTATAGATGGGATTCTACAAAATGTGTTATCGTTGTACCTAAGAAAGGCATCGTTGAGTATACTCTTTCTGATAGAGTCATTGCACAACAAATTTTTTTTCAAATTTCGGAATTTATTATATAACTGGAGATACCTCAAGCCCTAAAGACTTAGTATAAGCAATTGCTAATAAAGTTCGCTCATTTATGACCATGCTATTCTCTATCACTGCAGCACAAGCGATTGCATTTTCGTTCTATCGGTGGAAGAGATCTTCCATTGAATGGATTTTTCTTCTATTGCTTGTACTATAGTGTATTAGTGTCAACAGCGCTTGTTTCTCTAGTTTTCTAGAACCAATCTCGAGCGCATTCGTCTAATTTGCTGGCGACTGGTTCGACTACCTGGAGGTAGTCCTAAATCGTGTTCCTGTAACGCATACTTCTTTCATTCACATATTTTCCAGTACCTTAATATACATACTATGTTCAACTAACTCACACCATGTGTCGAATAAGCTTCTGTACATTTCCTCCTGTCACAGATTGCCTCCATAAAGCATGCTACCACGAATACTCTGCTCTTTCCAACAACCAATTGGCTGTCTCTTTTATTTCTTTGGACACAGACATACGTCCACAAGCATCATTAGATAAACATTTTTTCCTCTATGCATTTTTTATCCTTGTTCTCCTAAGAGGGGCTAAGTCTAGTCTAGTTTAGTTGTTGTTATGAATTGACCAAATCCGAGAATTTTAGACTAAATTAAACTGTATGCTCAGAGTTGTTTTTTATATTAAATTAATAAATTTGAAAAAATTTATGCAGATACACAAATGTGCCATTTGTGTTGACAAAAAAAATACTTGTAAGGAACGATTAATTTCGATTATTCTCTACTAATTCATGGTCACTCATGATTACGTATGCTCATTCATGTTCATCCATGCTAATTTATCAATGCCAAAATAAGAGTGAGAAATTAAGGTCAAACAAATTATGCGGTTAATTGAATCGACAATAGGTTCGTATTCATAGGTAATTGCTGCGTTAGGGTTCAGCATAGCTTGTAGAAGTCTTTATTTTATATAGGGATATTAGGTAGTAGAATTGATCCGAATAATCCATCGATTACTGCTATACAAGGATATGCAATAAACGAACCAGTCAATCTCCAATCAGCCCAGTGTGATTGATAGGTTGATATCTAAAACTTTCTATCTACTTTAAGGCATTTTGTCAATAAGACAATAACTGTAAATCATTTGTTGTCAGATATTTGCCTATTGAAATAATTGTATTGATATCATGTAAATGATATTGTACCTTTTGAGCTGTATGTAGTTTGACTGTAGATAAAATGAGTAATTAAATTGGGGTTGTGAATGTATGGCAAAATACAGTCACTTGAACTAGATTTAATGCATCATAAAGCTTTCCAATACTTTGACACCTTTATAAGAAAATATTCCCTTTCTTTGATCTAGACGAATCGAGCTTTTTATCAAAAAAGCTACTTGATGACACATACCTTATACGTGTAACAAAGACTCCAGGCAATCAAATGCTTTGATAGTAAAAAAGACGACATTTCACACAAATTTTCTTTTTTTTTTCGATAAATGAAGGCAGTATAAAGCCTGCTTATACACGCATAGATGCTTTAAAAGCCTATAAACAATGTTTGATAACATTCACATTACCTTTGGAAAAAAAGTGCGACATGTAAAAAATGGCCAAAATATGCCTTTGGCCAAAAAGTATTATTCATGAAGAACTTCGAGCTGACAACTCATTGAGCTTCTTTTTGACGCCACAAGATGAGAAATAAGGGTATAGACAAGCTTGAATACTCAAAGTGTGCGCCTGATACTTCAATTCTTGATCAAGGCGTTTGCTTGCCAGCTATGCTATAAATATAGTAAGATGTAAGAAAAAAACCTCGCAAATGTTTTTTTCACATTGGCACAATATTTCACCAGCAACTATGTTATGTTATGTTACTTACATCAAAAACTCAAGAAGCAGAAATATACAACCTATGTCATAACATTAAGGCAAAACAGCTGCGTCTTTATGCAGTTCTAAGCAAAAGCTCGATTTTTCATGCGACTGGAGTCGATTCCATTTCAATCTCCTCACGTAGCCTTTCTACGTGTTTTTTGTTTATTTACTTCACATTCACGTTATAAAAAGCCTATATTTCTGTTCTATGTTATTTGGCATCTTTTGTAGCTCCATGGCTAACAAGTCTTGTACGACACCTAGAGCAAAAACGCTCAGAACACAGCTCAAACAAGCCAATCTTTGATGGGTCATTACTTGACAAATAAACTACTAAAAGCGCTGTTTTTTTTAAAAAAAACATGTTCTGTTGTATTTGCATGAAATTCATTTTTTGACTCACGGGGGATTCACGAGCTCGCGAAGATAAAAAATGTAGTTCTGATTCAACCGATGCTAGCCGAGTCCATTTCTAGATGCTTCCAAGGAAAAGAAAGCGAGTTTACCAAGACAAAAAAAAAGTGAATCCATTTGAACATTATCTTCAAATCTGTGTCCGAAGTTTATTGTGCACTGTAAATTGTAGAAAAGAAGCTCTTTTCGGTAGATATCAATTAGTACGTTCTAGCACTATTCAATTTTCAGAATATCTAGGAGTAAGATATATTAAAATACATGACGCTTTTGAAGTCAAAAGTGCAGCTCTGGATATGACAAATGATAAATTCTTTGTATTTATACAATAACCATGTCGATCGCAAGAAGTCCCATATTTCTCATTCAAATAGACACAGAAAGTATCAAACAATATGAAGACAATAAGGTCAAAAAAGGATGCTTTTCTTTTTCACATAAACGTGCTATAATTTTTTAACTATTCAACGTCACATCTTCAGCTGCTTTTTTAGTAATTTTCATTGCTTTGTTTTTTCACTTGTTTTAAAAGTAGTATACATGGCCGTTTCTGGTAATAGCAGCAAATAAACAAAAACATATGATTCTGATGATCTCTAGTTGCTTTTAACGATATTGGTAAGTCCTCAAAGGACCTTCTGACAAAAGACTTTCCTATTGGAAGCGTCAAGCTTGAAGTCAAGACAACAACTTCTGACGGGATCGTAAGTAATTCTTAAAGTTTACAGAGCTTGCTTCTAATTTGTCCAACAGACATTTAAAATAAACAGCCATCGCGATAATAAGACTGGCATCATTGTCGGCGACCTTGAAAGCAAGTACACTGATAAGGCTCGGGGTATTTCTTTCTCTGAAGCCTGGACTACTTCCAACCATCTTGATGGAAGAATTGAGCTTGATAACAACCTTGCTAGTAATATTTGATCTGTGTGACCTATATGAACCTTAACCCTATTTTTTAGAGGGTCTTAAACTTGAGTTGATCACTTCTCTTATTCCTTCCATTCAAGATAAGGCTGCCAAAGTCAATCTTGTGTACAAGCAACCTCATTTACACACTGCAGCTTCTGTTGATGTCTTCAAGGTAAGTCTAAGATATACTATACATATCTAACTAAGAAATACAGAAAACCGTAAATGCCAATTCTGTTGTTGGTGCTCATGGCTATGCTATTGGTACTGATGTTGCTTATAATGCAAACAATGGAAAAGTAAGACAATATATATACAGTATATTATTCATATCAATCTAGATTCAACGTTATACTGCTGCTGTTGGATTCAGTACCCGTGATTATGCTATTGCTTTACATGCTACCAACAATCTTACCTACTATACTGCTTCTTATTACCATCGTATTTCTGCTGAACTCGAAGCTTCTGGTAAAGCTAGCTGGTCCAATAAGGACACAATGCATGCTGTTGCTCTTGAAGTTGGCTTCAAGCGTCAATTGGACCCTACTGCTTCTGTAAAGGCCAAGCTCACCAACACAGGTATTGTTACTTTCGGTTATACACAATTGGTTCGTCCTGGTGTCAAAGTCAACATGGGTGCTTCTGTTGATAGTACTCGTCTGGATCAAAACGCTCACAAGTTGGGTCTTGCTTTAACTTTTGAGAAATAATTCTAAATAAAACTCGAATATTGTTTTTCATGATTGAGAGCTATAAAGCAGTAAGAGAATGAGCTATCTGCTTGAAATAACAGACCCAAGCTCGAATAGTTGTCAGAAATGAAGAAAAGATTAATTACTACGTGCCCTTGATATCTCATATGACGTCAATGAACTGGATATAGAAGACCCGCGAAGAAGGGGCACCTAACTTGGCTGAACTAGTAGCTTGTTATTAAGCCATACCTCTTATGCATATGCACATATACACATGTAACAATACATACATTAATATGCTCTTAACAAACATTGTAAACAATCTTATCCTTTCAATAGTCAAGTGATATTCTATAAACACATTGTTGAGTTTATCTTTGTCTTGCATCTCCGAACTGATTTCATTTATTTATTTGTTTGATCAACTATCAAATATTATATTTGCTGTATCTGGGATATGTAAAGCCCTTTTCTTTTTCTTTTTCTATTTGTTTGATTTGTTTGATTTGTTTGCTCGAGTTAGCAACAGCAACCTCGTTCGTGAAAGAGAAAATTACAGTTTCCGATCAATGCCAGACTTTTACAGGGTGAAATCTATCATTATCAAAGGTAGTACAAAAAAGGTAGCAGCGGTGCGTCATTTTTCCTTTTATCGTTTTTACATCTGCCCCGAACAAAAGAAACATGTCTTATTACGTAAATGCGTCCATTTTAGGACAAGATAAAATAACAAGTATCCATCTAAGAAGTATATAAAAAAAAAAGAAAACGGAAAAAGAAAGAAGAGGTACAATGGTAGATCAAATAAAGATCAGTTTGTCATCCCACATTTAACTGAATATCACTTGAAGATTTGATAGAGATAAAACCCATGGGACAAGTATGAGTCTAAAAAAGTTTTATATTTTTTTATGATATAAGGTCTTTTTTTTAATCTTTTTAATTGTATATATCTTTTTTTTTTTTTTTTTACATAGATAGGCATATACACAACATGTCTCAAGGTCTTTCTCATTTTATTTTTAACGCGTCCAACTCTTCAGACTTTGAAAATACAATCAAGTTTTATCATTCACTCGGCTTTCAACAAGTTGTAGAAAAATCAGAGAATGAATTAGAAGCAAGAATTGCTTGGTTGAAATTGGTTTCTAGCAATGAAAGTGCTACTAGTGCTACCATTAAACTCGTATTGAATCCTTTGGCCAAGACTCAACCTAAACCTTCCAAAGATATTGATTTGTCTTCACAAGAAACTGTCATTGTCTTGACAGTCAGTGATATGAAGGTAAAAAAATCGATAATATCGATAAGAGAAAAAAATTTTTTTTTATTGACAGCATAATCCTAGGCTGTCAAGTCAAAATTAACTGAGTTGAACGTAACAATTCAGGATTATAGTGCTGGTGATGAAGCTCGCGTTCTTACATTAGATCCTTTGAACAACGTAATTGCATTCACCAACAAGAGTCCCTTGAAGGCTACTAGTGCTGCTGCTGCTGTCGAAAAAGCTGCTGATGCTAGTAAGCGTAAGAAGCTTGCTGTTCTTACCTCAGGAGGTGATGCTCCTGGTATGAACGCTGTTGTTCGTGCTGTTGTTCGTTATGGTATCTCAAAGGGATGCGATGTTTTTGCTGTCTATGAAGGTTATCAAGGTAAATATACCAGCGATTTCCCAAGCTTTCCCGTGAAATCTTGCAAGAAACGCGGTCTAACTGAGATTAAATCTTTTAGGTCTTGTGGATGGTGGTAAATTATTAAAGAAGATGGACTGGAAGAGTGTTCGTGGATGGTTAGCAGTCGTAAGTATAAGCGAGAAGGAGAGAGAGAAAGCAAAAAAAAACAAAAAACAAGCGGATCCTAAATCAACTTGTTTTAGGGTGGTACTACTATCGGTACAGCTCGTTGTATGCCATTCAAGACCCGTGAAGGCCGTCTTCAAGCTGCTGAAAACTTAGTCAAGAACGGTATTGATTCCTTGATTGTCTGTGGTGGTGATGGCTCCCTCACTGGTGCTGATCTCTTCCGTTCTGAATGGCCTAGTTTGATCGAAGAACTCAAGAACGCCAAGCGCATTACTGAAGAAGAAGCTACCGTTTTCCGTCATTTGACAATTGTCGGTCTTGTTGGTTCTATTGATAACGATATGTCTTCTACTGATATTACCATCGGTGCTGTTACTTCTCTTCATCGTATCTGTGAAGCTGTTGATGCTGTCTCTACCACAGCTCTTTCTCACTCTCGTGCTTTTGTCATTGAGGTTATGGGTCGTCACTGTGGTTGGTTGGCTTTGATGGCTGGTATTGCTACTGGTGCCGATTTTGTCTTTATCCCTGAAAAGCCTCCTCAAGAAGATGATTGGGAATCTGTCATGTGCTCTGTTGTTGAGCGTCATCGTAAGTTGGGTAAGCGTAAGACAGTGGTGATTGTGGCTGAAGGTGCTATCGATAAGAACTTGAACCCCATCAAGGCCGATCATTTGAAGGACATTTTGACCGACCGTCTTGGTCTTGATACCCGTGTTACCATCTTGGGCCACACTCAACGTGGCGGTGCTCCCGCTTTCTTTGATCGTCTTTTGGCCACCACTCAATCCATTGAAGCTGTGGATGCCGTGCTTGAATCTACACCCGAAACACCTTCTCCCATGATTGGTTGGATCAAGAACAAGGTTGTTCGCTTCCCCTTGATGAAGGCTGTCAAGTTGACCCATGAAGTTGCTGAAGCCATCGGTCAAAAGAACTTTAAGCGTGCTATGGAACTTCGTGACCCTCAATTTGCTGAAGAATTCGATGCTTACAATGCCACTACCATTCTTGATGACAACTCCATGGGATTACCCGACCATCAGAAGCTTCGTATTGGTATTGTCCATGTTGGTGCCCCTGCTGGTGGTATGAACGCTGCTACTCGTACTGCTGTTCGTTACTGTCTTAACCGTGGCCACACACCCATTGCTATCCATAACGGTTTTGCTGGTCTTTCTCGTGGCGTGACAGATGTCTTGACCTGGTTGTCTGTCGATGGCTGGACTGCTCTTGGTGGTTCTGAATTAGGTACTAACCGTGCTGTTCCTGGTGAAGATATTGATATGGGCATGATTGCTTACCAAATGCAAAAGCAAAACATCCAAGGTTTGTTGATCGTGGGCGGTTTTGAAGCCTTTGTTGCTCTTCAAAAGCTTGGAGAAGCTCGTGCCAAGTATCCTTCTCTTCGTGTGCCTATCACTTTGATTCCTGCTACCATTTCTAACAATGTGCCTGGTACTGACTATTCTCTTGGTTCTGATACTTCCTTGAACGCTATTGTTAACTCTTGTGATGCTATTGTTCAATCGGCCCAATCTTCTCGTCGCCGTGTCTTTATGGTTGAAGTCATGGGTGGTCGTTCTGGCTACTTGGCTGTGGAGGCTGGTCTTGCTGTAGGTGCCATTACAGTCTATATTCCCGAAGAAGGTATCAACCTTGCTCGTCTTCAGTCCGATGTGTCTCACTTGCGTACCATGTACAGCGATGATGATGTTGATAAGAGTGAAGGCAGAATCATTTTGCGTACAGAAGATGTGTCCAACACTTACACCACAGATGTTATTTCCAACATTCTTAAGGATGAAGGTAATGAGATGTTTGATTCCCGTACTGCTGTCTTGGGCCACATCCAACAAGGTATTACACCCTCTCCTCTGGATCGTATCCGTGCTACTCGTTTGGCCATTCGCTCTATTGAGTTCATTGAAAAACATGCCCTTCCTACACTTGACAAGGCTCACCAAGAAGGTTCTGCTGTTCCTATTGAATTGACCAACGTAGAAGATTCTGTTACTGTTGCTGGTATCTCTGACCACAATGTTATTTTCGAACCCATCACTGCTCTTATGGCCAACACTGATATGAAGAACCGTAAGCCTCGTACTGCTTGGTGGTCTGAACACAGAGCCGTCATTGACCTTTTGGCTGGTCGCGGTCTCTTTAAGCCTCCTCAATAATCACATCCTGTAACATATAATATATAATACCAAATAAAACGTTTGTGTCTTTTTTTCTTTAAACAGAACTAATATGTTTATTAAGTCGTATTTCTAAAGTCAAATTCACTGTAGTCCATGAATACCAAAGTCCAAGACAATCAATTGTGTTTTATGCTCACTACAGAAAGAAAAAAAAAATGAGTGTGTGAATGACATGAAAATGAGACTTACTTCTTTACTGCAGCAATACATCTTCTTTCATCAAAGCATACACGCCAAACACCAGCAACATTTTCTATCAAATCATATAATAATTCACCTGTTTGTGTATCCCACATCTTGACACCACCTTCAGATCCTGATACTACTTTGTATTTATCATGTTGAAATGAAGTAATAGGACCTTGATGGCCTGTACTACCAGCCATGATATGAAGACGATCACCATTGGCAGGATTCCATGTTCTCAGTGTAGCATCAGCAGCAGCACTTACTAAGCAATCATCTGCCAAGTTCAATAGACCAACAAGAATAGCATGGCCTATGCTAGTGTCAGTCACCAAAAAAAAAAAAAAAAAAAAAAAAAAAAAAAAAAAGACAATGAGTTACCTTGCAAAATAAACTTGCATTCTCCATCATCCATACCCCAAATACGAACAGAAGCATCCATACCACCACTGATACAATGTCTTCTTTTAGGATCAATAGCTACACAATAGACTTTCATTGTGTGTCCACGAAGGATATGTACTTTTCGACCTGTTTCCAAGTCCCATACAATCACATTGTTGTCATAACTACCACTGACCAGTGTATTGCCATGCACTGCTAAATCACGTACAGAATGTTCATGTTCAACGAGCTTGTATTTGATGAATTTTTTGGATATCACATCATCTTCTAGACAAGTGGATAAGGGTAGTTCGGGTTCGTTTTCCAAATCGGGCAGTCTCCAGACACGAATGGTTGTATCTCTTGAACCACTTACAATAATGGGCTCGCTAGGTTCCATCGTGACTGAACCGTCGGGATGTACTATTTCTGTAGGCATGACGATTTTCAAGCAGCGGACTGTACTTGAATGACCTCGCAAGACAAAGCGACATATGCCACGCTCAATATCCCAGACACGGACAGTTCGATCAATCGAGCCAGTGACCAGTGTGTTGCCAACATACTGTAAGGCCCAGACACCACCATCATGGCCTTTAAGGACACGCTTTAATTCGCCTGTCTTTATATCATAGACATTGATACTATGATCATCTGACCCAGTAATGATCTTATCATCATCAAACTGTAAACAGGTCACTAAATCTTCTTCATGGCCTTCAAGCAACATTTTATGATGAAGGTTCTTTTTCCAGTTTTGGCGCATAATAGAATGTCTGCGCACAATCTCCTTGTAGGTGCAAGTATGCTTTTCAGTAGAAGAAGGTATGAAATCCAATTCAACCATTTTGTATTTCCATACTTCAGAGGCATTATCAATCAAACTCTTCCATGCTTTACTGACACCAGAAGCGCGACACAATGAACGCACGTCAAGATAGTTTAGAATCCGAGTTGTGATAGAACTCGGTAAGCTCATGATAATGTCTTTTTTGAGTGTCTGCATCATAGCCGCATTGGCCATCCTGAGTAAATTGCGTGGTGTTCTCTTGATGAGCTGGAACATCAGGTAAGTCTGAATGTGTGGTGGAAGTGTATCGTATGCTTCAATGAATTCATGATGGTCTTGTTGTGTTGGCCAATCAGGCTCGTCTAAATCAGAAACAGGTGATGGTAGAGCAGAGTTGGGGCTATCAGGTATGATATCGGATGCTGGGTAAGATGGCCCAGGTGAAAATGTGGTTTGAGGAGTAGATTCGACAGTGTTGTCTAATTCCCTACGTTTAGGGCTTCTTTCATCATCCCAGGATGAAGCTGATCTTTTTCTACTAGATATCTAACGAGACTTAGTATCCTATCAATCATGGTGTGTTTACCTGAACCTCTTCAAAAATACACACTTTTTCATCAACTACGAATGAAAATTTTCTCATAGCATTGGGTGTAGGCAGAGTTGCTAAAGGGTATAAGTCAGAATGAAGAGAACGAGGAGGATCGAAATGAAGAGGAACAAGTGTGACAGATGAAGAGGCTATTGGGGATGCAAGATCTGAAGTTGTGTTATATGTATTATATGTAGTATTTGTATGGGTATGTGAGTGTATGCTATGGGAATGAGAACTATTCATAGAGTGTCGGTTAGGAGAAGGCAATGGAGAAGATAGCTGGGCTTCAGCTATAGTCAGTGGTACTCCGGGTGTACTCCTCATGATATTTTAATTATGGAATACACCTTTCTTTTTATAGTTATTATCAAAAAAAAGAAAAAAGAAAAGAGGAGAAAGAGAAAGAAGGGGGATAAGAAAAAAAAATATAGGTAGAATGGGTGTGTACATATCTAAAGTAACACTATTCTACATTTGAAGAAACCCTTTCTGAGTTTCTTTTATATATATATATATAAGCAGGATCATTGGTAAATGTGTCAAAGACTGATAAAACAATAAAGAGATATTGTAAATGCTATACTCCTTGAAGATATGTATAATAAGTGATACAACAAATGTGGAGAACTGGATTAAAGTAAATTCACATGCATAAAAGATGCACAAACCGTCATGAGAACAACACTCTAAACGACATGGAAATTTGCATGTGAAGTACTCACCCAAACATTCTTATAAAATGCTCTCTCTCTTTCTCTCTCTCTCTATCTTTTTTTCTGTTTCTTTTTTTTTTTTTCTCTCTCTCTCTCTCTCTCTTTCTTTTCAATCATAATATGTCAAAAAAGTTTACCATTGAAGAAGTAGCTAAACATCAACAAGCTAATGATTGGTAAGTGAACGATTACAAAAAAAGTCAATGACTTATGATTTGTAGTTGGATCATTGTTCATGATAAAATATATGATGTCTCTACATTCTTAGATGAACATCCTGGTGGTAAAAAAGTACTTTTGAAAGCTGGTGGAACCGATGCTTCTAAACAATTTGACGCGTTCCATAACCCTTCTGTCTTGACCAAGATTGCCTCTAAATACTTAATTGGTGAAGTAGGAACAGGCTCTGATCAACAAGAAGAAGAAGACATGGCTGATCAAAACCCTTTGATTGTCAATGAAGCTTATGGTGACATGGTTCCCTTTGGCGATCCCATGTGGTATCAAGATTGGTATAGTCCTTACTACAATGATACACATCGTGCTGTTCGAAAAGCAGTACGTGAATTTGTAGAAGCTGAAATCATGCCCTATTGTCATGAGTGGGATGAAGCCAAATCAATTCCTAAAGAAGTATATGTCAAGGCTGCTAAAGCAGGTATTTTGGCTGCTGCTGTGGGCCATGTGGAACCCGAATTTATTCCTTTCGGACTTCCGGCCGGCGTTCCCGCTGAAGAGTTTGATGCATTCCATAGCATCATTGTATGTGATGAAATGTCTCGTTGTGGTTCAGGTGGTGTAAGTATGCAAGTATAGTAGATGTATGTCATTCATCTTCAAATAGGTTGTATGGTCACTTTTAGGTGGTCTAGGTATTGGCCTTCCACCCATCATTCATTTCGGTTCCCAATACTTGAAAAAAAAGGTTGTCAAAGACTGTCTCGCTGGTGATAAAGTCATTTGTTTGGCCATCACGGAGCCTTCAGGAGGTTCTGATGTAGCTGGTCTTTTGACAGAAGCCAAAGATATGGGTGATTATTACTTGGTCAATGGTGAAAAGAAATGGATCACCAATGGAACATTTGCTGATTATTTCACGGTTGCCTGTCGTACGGGTGAAGCTGGATTCAACGGTATCTCCTTCTTACTCTTAGAACGTAGCATGCCTGGTATTACCACCAAACAAATGAAGTGTTCTGGTGTATGGCCCTCGGGTACTGCCTATATCACATTTGAAGATGTCAAGGTGCCTAAAGAAAACTTGATTGGAAAAGAAAACAAGGGATTTAAATATATCATGCAAAACTTCAATTCAGAACGCATGGGTATCATTATTCAAGCAAATCGTTTTGCTCGTGTTTGTGTAGAAGAATCACTCAAGTACGCTAACAAGCGTAAGACCTTTGGCAAGCGTTTGATTGACCATCCTGTGATTCGTAACAAACTAGCCCACATGATTAGACAAGTGGAAGCAACACATGCCTGGATGGAATCTTTGGCTTACCAAACAAAGCAAATGCCAGCTGAAATTCAGCCTATTCGATTAGGTGGTCCTATTGCTCTCTGTAAAGCTCAAGCTACTCAAACATTTGAATTCTGTGCTCGTGAAGCTGCTCAAATCTTTGGTGGTTTATCTTATACACGAGGTGGACAAGGTGAGAAGGTAGAACGTCTTTATCGTGAAGTTAGAGCATATGCTATTCCAGGTGGATCTGAAGGTAAGAAACAAAACAACTCAGAATGATTTGCTGAATGTTGAATAGAAATCATGCTGGATTTGGGTGTGCGACAAGCCACTAAAGTAGGCGCTTTTATGGGTGCTAAAATGTAGTCATGTCCTTGATGTTTGCTGTTGATTTGAAAAATAAATGAAATTTAGTGTTCTTTTTTTAATTAACTAGCTGGAAACACCTTCATTCCGGCGAGAATTTTCTAAACCTATGCAAGCTTCGGTAAAGGATTCTTAACCTGCGTTTGAGAGGCCATCCAGCTGTCCTCTGCGGCAGGCTGCAAATATGCCTTTAGTGTTTTTATATTCAATTTTTTTTTAATGAATCAAAATGCCTTCACCAACGCATTTGATAAATTACAAGATTTTTTTTTTGTGTGTGTGATAAACAAACTTGTTTATTGCAGTAAATGTGGTCAATTGATAAGATGTTTATCTTTTTTCTCTATTTTTTAATGAATACTTTCTTCTGTTACTGTTTTCAATACAACAAGAAAGAGCAAAACGAAATGAAAGAAGTTGATATGCCTTAAAGCTTGACATTAGTGGATTGGCCCTAAAGAGACTCTGAATTTGAATTAGTATTCTCATGTCAAAAATTAGAAACTTAAGTTACCTTCGTCTAAAGAATTTTTTAGTACGATGGTCTGGTCACTCTTGGTGGTGCTCCGGATTTTGCTATAGTCCCTTGTGAAAGACTTTATCTCTTAGTTATCACCAATTGTGTCAAGCGCCAAGTAATTGAAGACATTTTGGAATGGTGTCCTCTACTTGTGGTACTGGTATTGCCATCTGTAGCATTGAACAAGACAAGATATAAAAAGTACTGACTCTCAGGAGCAGCGAACGAAAAACTCAATATATCTTTTTTAGGACATATTAAAGTGTAGCTATTTTATTGGGATTATATAAGACCCATACAATCGTACTGAATGCTTCCACAAAAGCATTATTTTCAAGATATTTCATATGACTAGTCACTTTGCTTCACATACACTGGTTTCTATTTATACGATGATTTTATTTTTTTTTAAAATAAAACTTTCATCCAACACAAAAAAAAAAATTAGAAATTTAAGAGAAATGATGGACTAAAAGTGTCTAAAAACAAAGAGTAATCAAGAAAGTGTATTAGAAAAGTTGGTAGATATAAACAAGGCAAATTTATTGAAGTAAAAACGCAGCATGTTAAATATAAAGGTAGTGAGATATCCTTCAAAGACGTGTTTTCTGTTTTTGAGCTGTAACGCACATTTTTTATGGTACTTTTGCAGATCTAACACTTTGAGTGTATTCTATAGATCTAGAGAAACAAATCGTACTAAGACATGATATATCTACAACGTCTCAATCGCTCACCAATAGTAAAATAGTGAAAATTGAAGATTTATAAGAGCTATCATGACGATTTTTGACTTTTTCAAAGCTTGCATAAACATGTTCTTTTATGTATATTTAAACATAAAAAACTTAAAAGAAGGTAGAAATGATTGTTTGTTCCGAAAAAACACTGACGCCTGCCAGTAATGTTATTGTACTAATAAATTGTTTGCCAAATTCATTTAAAAAAGAAAGGTAGTTTATATTGGAAACTTATTCAAGAAACCCCAGGCTATGATTTGAAATCGTTCAATAAACTTGGCGCTTGAAAAAGGCATAAATTGAGCATCAAAAGCATATTAGCTATGTAGTGAGACCGGATAACCTGAGTGTACTCTGTTGGGTGTACCCGGAGCTTTAATTATAGCTTTAAGCCGCCTAGGTAGAAACTAATAAGCTCTACTCTTTCTATTCTTTCATCCTATGAAATATCATCCAATACCGAAAATAATGTTAGAAAATACTTTGGAGTGAAATGAGCAGATGAATATCATTCAGAAATTTATACTTTTGAGTCACACAATGAATAATATAACAATTCCATAGTGTAATTCTGATATTGACTAGGCTTTGAATAAGGGCTCAAAAAATGGTAAAGGGTTGCTTTATCCTTTTTGAATCATGTATTGATGCTGCTTAATGCACAATTGAGGCTTATCCTTCCTTTAAGAAAGAATTGAGATTTCAAAATACCTTAGAAATGATCGAAAAGCAGCAATCTATTCCTTGCAAAAAAATGTTTTAAAGTATAAAAGATGTCAAGTCAAAGTAATCTTAGCAAGAATACATGACATCTTGTTTATGAAGATTTTCATACGCACGCTGTCTATAAGTGCATTCAGACGAAGACAAAGAGCGCTTTACTAAGAAAGACGCATTCACGACTCCAATTAAACTCTCCTTTAGCATCTCTTTTCTCGTTGCAATAAGTATAGTCAGAAGTGTGCTGTCAAAGGCAGTGTTATCTCACAAAAAGTGCCTTTTTCTTTCACTTTCATTACTGATCCAACACACTTTTATAATAAAAAATTGGAGAAGGATGTCAACTTGAAAGAAAGCATTTGTCAACCTTACTTTCCTTTAGCTTTCCAAGTCAAATGCGTCACCGAAAAGAGATTATCACTCCAATGCGTTTTGCATATAAGACTTCATTCTTGGGCCAAAATAGATAGCCATTTTCTAATCGTAGAAAAATGCCTGACTCAATAAGGCAGAGAATCATGCTTTGAGGTAGACAATTTGTTCAAAAGCTGAAAAATAACTGGTCGATGCTTATAATGATGAAGACCATCCTAAAGAGCTTAAAAAAGCGTTTAACACAGCTCTATATTATTATAAATTATCCTAGAAAAAACTAGTTTTTTTTATTCACGGTTTTTTCCCTCCTTCTACAATGTTTTCCACTACTGAAAAAGCATTCCTTATTTGATGAGTATTGTATTGTTTTCGTTTTACACACTGTAAACCATTTCTACCTAGTGGCCGCTTTTCCTATTACTATTTTTGAAACTCTGGACATACTCAAATCATTCCAAATTATCTCTTCGGAAAATTTGTCTCTTCCATATTAACTAAAACGATTTCATCTTTGCCACTACATCATAAAGGGCATGGGAGCCCAGCTGATACTGCAATAAACTTCAGCAAGTCTATAGAAGTAAAGGAAAGCTGGAGCACAACACAGAGGAAAGCAACTCGTAATGTGGCCAGGAACATGTATCATTTATTACTTAAACAAGGAAATGAAAAAGATATACATGAGTTCATTATGTGGCTTGAATCAGAGCACTTCACTGTCTGTGTTAGATGCAATGAAAAAAATCAAATAAAAGATATCCTTTTTATCCAAAAAGAAGTCATCCTAGAGGCCAGAATCTTGAATGAAACGTTTGTTATTGATGCCACTTACAAGACGAACTAGTGCAAGATGGCTCTTGTCAACATTGTTGGTGTCAGCAATGTGACCACTGATGCTAACAGGTCTCGTCTTCAGACCTTTGGTATTGCTGGCGCTTGGATTACCAATGAAAACGAGGACACTTACTCCTGGGTACTTCAGCAGCTTCGTTCTGCTATCTGGCCAGAACAAGAAATCCTAGTATGAACTTCCTTAAATTAGTAACAATGACAATCAAAAGCACTTTTCCTCAATGCCAGCATTTCCTTTGTTTGTGAAATTTAGTCCGGAACTTCAAGAACAATTGGAGGTCCAGCCTCACAAGCTCTGAAACCGAGTTAAAGCTTGCCGAGACTAACCAACACTGGGGAAGATTAACTAGGTCCAGCCAAGAAGATGAGATGGCGGAAGCCATCGAAGGCCTCAAAAATTACCTTCGTGTGCCTGGGGAACTCAAGGAGAACGAAAAACTCTGTATCAAGCATTTGGAGAAAATGCTGAAAGAGAAGGAGAAGTGGGTGGGCTGCTATTGCAATCAGTATGCCCACTTGGAAACTCGAACCTCGAACAGAGTCGAGAGTTTCCACAACTCAATCAAAAGAGCAATAGGGCAACAATCTTCTGGTGGTCTTGCTGTTACCGCCAGAAGAATCCACCTTCATCAACAGGAATCACGCAGCAAAATGTTGCAAGAACGGAAAAGTCTTCCGTTTTGCTATGGAAAAGATAAGAAAAAACGCGACACGTCAAGTCCCTGAACAAGACCTTCTTGAAGATGACTCTTTTTTATCTCAACGTTTGTCACGGAGCACTTGTTCTTTTACATTGAATTACTACACATTACATTTGACTTCATGTTATATTACCCATTCTACCTTTAGTCAGCATAGTTTGACATAATCGTATCACTTTTTACAATGACTCATAAATGTATCATACTTGGACTGTTATGATTGCACTTTTGCAAGTCCAACATGGCTGGCTTAGAACAGATATATAAATACTAGAGCATTTCAATTTGAATAAAGACATTCATTACTAAAATTGCAATTGTACCTTTATTGCTCTATTCTGTTTTATACTGCAACTTCTGCCTTTGTCTTGTAGTATCAGTAGCATTATTTTTTCGCATCTATCTTTAATGAGCTGTGAATGTGCTTCTATAGCCTCAGCATTGATTCTCTCTAAATACTATATAGTGTATTCAACACCAGTTTGTTTAGCCGCTTTGGGAAGTTTGTACTCTTTTTAATTTGCATTAAGAGACTTGCAATTTTTCGCTTTCCTTTTTTCTTCTTTTTTCGTTTCATCATGCTTTTGTTTACTGAAATGGGCATCAGAAGGACACTGCCTATATCTTTAGGAATTGTCTTTATTTTGATGGTCAATTTAGCCATGATTCATCATTATTATTATTCTTCTTCCAGTGGTTTGGGTGAGCCATATCAACCGCCTCATTATGGCTTACACCTTGTTCGACCCAAACAACGTAAATACACAAGCCAAGTTCTAGAGAAATACCTTGAATCCTTGGATTCTGTCTTTAAGGACAGAGACCTCTATATCTTATTGCAAAACTGTCTTCCCAACACACTTGACACGACAGTCGAATGGTTTTCAGACGACAAGTATGATCCCCGTACTTTTTTAATTACAGGAGATAGTAAAGTACACTGCACATAAGCATGATATCCTCACACATAGACTAGTTCCTGCTATGTGGATACGTGATTCAACAAACCAAATATCACCTTATTTACAATTCATAAAACAAGACGAAGGACTACGCCAACTTGTGTTGGGTGTTATTCAGGTACAAGCCAGTTATTTAGTTTATGACCCTTATGCAAATGCCTTTTTACGTCCATGGTATGCGCCACCCTCTGAACATTCACAAAAGGGGTCTACAACAGACCGTGTTGTACCTGCTTATGACCCAAATATTGTTTGGGAATCAAAAGTAAGAAAAAGATGCATAAACATAACTGTGTGAATATTAATTAGAAAAAAGTACGAATTAGACTCAATAGGTCATTTCTTTCAATTGACCAATGACTATATAGAAGCTTCAGGTGATATTGAACGAGTAGTGACATCTAAAGACTGGTTAAAGGCTTTACCACGTATTTTCAAAGTATTGCAAGATCAAATGGAAGACACTTGGCCTGCGAAAAAGATCCAATTCAAATCATTCAAGAAAACAGGAGGAGAACCAAGCCCAGTCTCATTAAAAGAAGGCTATCGATTTAGAAGACAGACAGATAGACCTACAGAAACATTAGGAGAATATGGTATTGGCGGTATTACACGAAAATGTGGGCTTGTACGAAGTGCTTTTAGACCAAGTGACGATGCTACCACATTTCCATATCTAGTACATATCATACATAGATAGGAATGACTGTACTGATATTCTTATAGATTCCTTCAAATGCTCAACTCTCTGTACAATTGATTCGACTTGCCAACTATCTGGATACTTACTTGGGCAATAGACAGGATAAAATGACATACTCCCAAATTGCAAGACATGCTCGAGAATTAGGTGAGACTATTCGAGAAGCCATTTACAAACACGCCGTTGTATCCCATTCCGAATTTGGAGATATGTTTGCATTTGAAGTAGACTGTTATGGCTCTCATTTACTCATGGACGATGCCAACACACCTTCTTTACTCAGTTTACCCGTATTAGGATTTGTGAAAAAGAATGATAGAATCTACCAAAACACAAGAAATTTTGTGCTTTCCAAATGGAATCCTTGGTTTTTTTCAAGTAGTTTTGCTGAAGGCATCGGTGGTCCTCATACAGGACAAAATATGGTATGGCCCATGAGCTTATTGATGCAAATTCAGACATCGACATCTGAAGCAGAAGTCAAGACATGCCTTGATATGATCAAGAGGATGGCCAGACATACAGGCAGCCTTATGTGCGAATCCTTTAATGTGAATCAGCCAACTCAATTTACGCGACCTTGGTTCAGTTGGGCCAATGGACTGGCTGGAAGCACAATTTTAGGCTTGATCCAGGATTATCCGCATTTGATTTGACGAAACTTTTCTCATGAATAAACCTTTTCATACAGCCTTTTCAAGCAGAAGGCAAAGACAAAAATGGGTATGGCGAATAGTGATTGTGTTTGTCTTGTTTTTGTTTTTATGGCATCATAGTCGCTCTCCTGTCTCTAGCACGCATCCTGTTTCATCCAGGCAGCATCAGCTCGAAGTGCAACTCGAACCACCATCACATGCACAGAACTTTAAAGAGCTTGCTCTAGCTAAAGGAACTAAACTATCACCTGTTGGTTCTTCTATTCCCAAGATTGTTCACTTTGTATATGGATTGCGCGATCCGAATCCTACACTTGACTTGATCCACTACTTGGCTATCAAATCAGCTCATGATGTATTAAAGCCAGACAAGATCATGTTTCACTACCATTATATACCTGTGGGCGATAACTTTGAACGTGCTCTTCCTATGCTGACACTCAATAAAGTAGACCTTGTTGAGCAAGTGTTTGGTAGACCTGTAAGCCATTATGCGCACAGAGCAGATGTAGTACGCTTACAGGTATTACAAGAATTTGGTGGCATTTATCTTGATCTTGACGTGATTTCCTTAAAGCCACTTGACCATTTACTTGACCGCGAATTCATTATGGCTCAAGAAGGCATTGGTAAGTTGGATTCTAGTTGTTTCTTTATTCACTGTGCATTGATAGATGGTGCTGTTGGGTTATGTAATGCTGTGATCATGTCTCGTCCTCATGCACGGTTCATTCAGCGCTGGTATGCTACCTATGCTTCGTTTGACTATAATGACTGGAATTATCATTCAGTTGTCTTGCCTGGTAAATTAGCACCTTATTTTAACAAGGAAATCACTGTCTTGAATCATACTGCATTCTTTTGGCCGCTATGGGATAGCCATGGACTACGTACGCTCTATCTCGAAAAGAGTTATGATTTCTCAGCCAATTTAGGCACACATATCTGGGAGTCAGCTGCCAATAAGAACCTGATGAAAGATTTAAGCCAAAAAGTGATTATGGAGATTGACAATAGTCTGTATTGTCAACTGAGACCTTTTATGTTGGATGGCAAGCCAGATCCTCGACCAGGTTCATGCCGTATCCTATCCCATTCTGAGAGAATAGATCAGCTTGTAGGATATTGGCCCTTATTTGACCAACAAGCACAAGAGATAGACCCTCTACCAGCAAAGGATATATCCGGTAACCATCTGAATGGGTTAATTCGTCATGGTAAATACACAGACACTGGTGTCTATCTATCTGGAGACACAAGTTATCTGTTTCTTCCTATGCCTACACAAACAATGGCTCAACTCCTCACTGTCAGTTGGTGGATGAAGACAGCAACCAAGCAAGATGGACGTATGGTGATGGTAGTCCAAACAGACCATGGAAGGATCTGTATTACAACACATGCGATACAAAATGGTCTCTCACTTCAAGTCAAGACATTACAAAGAAATGATGCATGGGCATGGACTCCAGTACAAGACTTGCATGTTCGACCTTCTCTTTACACTGTGAATGATGGTCAATATCACCAGTATATATTTGTGATAGATCATTCAGCCAACACAAGAGGTCAGCCTGCATTGGTGTTGTACATGGATGGCTATGTGGTAGCAAGTCGAGTAGATTGGAGGTTGCCACCCTCTATGGGGTCTGTTGTACGAGGCATTTGGTTTGGTTCTATTGAACCCTTAAATGACAAATACCAAGATCCTTGGGACAATTCTGTTAGTTTAGAAGCTGAATTTAGAGACATTCAGATTTGGGAAAGAGGACTTGATGTTACTGAAGTTGTTCAACATACAAATACAACTAACAAAGTCAGTAAAAAGAAGAACAAGACAAGCAGTATTCCATCTAAATCAACAAATACAAATGAACCAGAACAACAAGACCATGAAGAATTATGGGTAGACGATCAACTAGATGATTAAAACTCTCCTCCCTTTTTTTTTATTGTAACATATATACACACACACACATATATATATATAAAGATATATGGATGTTAACCTTGGAATTTTTTAATTGTGAGCATTTGACTCAACATTTCTTGAAGTTCAGGTGCTTCCACCTTATTCTCCAAACTACTCACATTGTAGATTAAAGATGTTTGTTCCACGCACTTGGATCACTTACCTAGGAATAAGTGCCTTGGCTTCTTCAGCATCTTCACAACACAAATTGGCAATTTGGGCCACTTCAAATTGGGATAAATTTTCTTTGCCCAAAACCCTATAGTGCGTTAAGGATCAAATAAAACAAAAACAAAACAAAACGTACTGTCTAACTTCACGAACAGATTCAATATTGCTGAATCGACTAAAAGCGCGAACATAATCTAAAGTCTTTGACATGACACTAGTATTTTGTTTTTGTCAATCACAACTAGAGTTGTTCAATCAATACCTTGTTGTAGCTCTGTTGTCTGTACCGTTATCTTTTGAGTCTTGTTGAGCTTCAAGAATGATACGCACTTCAGAAATGTAGAGACATTGAGCGTTTTCAAATTCTATAAAGAGGTAAACTTGTGTTTGTTATTGTTCTTTTTTATCTACCATCACCAAGTTTCAAGATGGAGGCATCTTCTTGTTCTGTTCCACCACGGATCATATGTCTCTTTTTAGATGCCATGTTCTATGTTTTTTTTTAAAAAAAAAAAAAGAGCAATGAAAAGTCTCATTTTAAAGTGAAGCGTTTTTTCATCATTTTTGAGGACATGAATTGATTGGTTAACTGAGACTTAAATTTGATGTTGACATTGTATAGCCATAAAAGACCTTTACTTACTATACGAATCTATAGTCAGAAAGGTCATGTCAGCTTCATTTCTATAAGCTCATCTTTCCACTACTCTTTATTATCCTTAGTAGTAGGAATGGATGATTTTGTTTATAAAAAAAAAAGGTCCGAACTTCGGAGTTAAATGGATCGGAATACCGTGACGACACATTGAGAATTGAGGGCAGAGTGTAAAAAAGTACTATCAGGTCAAGGAATATAGAGTTTCCTTCTCTGCAAACAATATGGGTAAAGATCCTCATACATGACATCCATCCATCCATTACAGTAAAGACTCATCAGTCATTCAATAGGTATCAGCCGCGATTCTCGCCACAAGCGCAGCGCCACCGGTGCTAGACGTGATCAATACAGAAAGAAGAGAAAGTAAGTAGAGAGAGGATTGTAGAGCGAGAGAGAGAGATCAGACACCATTAGTTCAGCCCATTGACATATACACTTGTAAAGGTTCGAATTAGGTCGTCAATCTGCCAACACCAAGTTGGGCGCTAAGCGTATTCACCTTGTTCGTGTTCGTGGTGGTAACTTCAAGCGTCGTGCCCTTCGTCTTGAATCTGGTAACTTCTCTTGGGGTTCTGAAGGTATCTCCCGCAAGACTCGTGTCTTGACTGTTGTCTACAACGCCTCCAACAACGAATTGGTCCGTACCAACACTCTCGTTAAGGGTGCTGTCATCCAAATTGATGCCACTCCTTTCCGTCAATGGTACGAATCACACTACGCTCTTCCCCTCGGTAAGAAGAAGGCTGATGAAGCTGTAAGTATCTTCTTATAATACAATCAGCATCTCATGTCTGTATAGGAATCTGCTGAAAAGAAGTCCAAGGCCGTTGAAAAGAAGATCGCTGCTCGTGCTGCCACTGCTGCTATCGATCCTCTCTTGAACGACCAATTCAATGCTGGTCGTCTCTACGCCGTCATCTCCTCTCGTCCTGGTCAATCTGGTCGTTGTGATGGTTACATTCTCGAAGGTAGAGAACTCGAATTCTACCTCCGTAAGATCAAGGTAAAAAACAAAGCATAAAATGCAGTAACATTGATTGACATGTAATTTTTTTTATCATGTAGAGCAAGAAGCATTAAGTCTCTTGACCTTGGCTCTTTTTCGATTTATTTGTTTATATACAAGAGGATTCATCTTTTTTTGTAATAAGAATAAACAAAACTCTTTTTCTGTAATTCCTTTGTTATTTACTATTAAGCTTATTTCAACTGTTTTTTTTGATTGACATACAGAGCTTTTACTTCGAAAAATATTTGGACATTTTCAATTTTAATTTCAGACGTTTACAGAAGAAAATTCAGACGATGCCCTTTTTTTTTTTTTTATTGGACAAAGTCATTTTTAATTTCAACCAGTCCATTTCATTTTTTTTATTCTAATATCTACTTGAACCAACATTAGCTGCTAACTAATGGTCAAAAATATAGCCAGAGAACAGGCAATATGTATTTTCTTTTGTCATAAACACACAGAATCTAACGTGAAAAAGCTTTTGAAAAGAATGGAAAGTTTTGAAGATGTCGACATTTGCTACGACAAGAATCCATTGCAACCTATATTACTTTACAACGAGAGAATAGATTGTGAACCTTTAAGATATAAGAGATATAACACTAGCTCATTTTTGATAGAAAACTCTTTAATTCATTGACATCAATAGTAGCCATTATAACTTTAAAATCAGTAAGTCGCCTATTTGCTTCGTTGTTTGTAATTAGGACGACAGTTGAATAATCTCAACTCTTCCACATTACTTAACAATTGAAATATAAGTCAATGATAATTTTTTGCATTTTCTTTTGATTTGTACAGGCTGTAAAGATTTGGAGCACCAAATAGTCGTACTTCGCATACAATCTCTGGTTCATTTGGATTACTTCTGCAACAAATTTCAACTTCCTCCATCTTTGCTACTCTTTCAGTACAGATTTGAGCATTCTCTTCGTTCCTCACGAGAGATGGTGTTCAAATTAAAATGACTTTGTCCAATAAAAAAAAAAAAAAGGGCATCGTCTGAATTTTCTTCTGTAAACGTCTGAAATTAAAATTGAAAATGTCCAAATATTTTTCGAAAAGGTCCGAAAACTAAGTAAAAATACTGTATTGAATAACCGGACAGAAACGAATGTCCGACCGGACGATGAACAAACAAAATGGGTTTGCCTTTCTCTCCCCCAGCCTAAGCTCACAGCCAAACTGGCAAGGCGATTTAACATAAAGAAATGGTTAAATTTTAGTTCTCCCTCTTTTTACTTCGATATCGTCAGACAGCACCATGGTATGATGCTTCTTTAAATAAAGAGAAAGAGATTGAGAAGCAGATAGATGAAGAAACGGCTGGATGGATTACTCTCTCATAGTAATATCCAACAACGGTCAACGTAAATCGACTTTAACTCAGTGTTACCCTCTTTTCATTCAACTTTTAACTTTGTCTCTCTTTATTTGGAAACAATCTCAATGTGAACATGTCAACTGTAGGCAAGCGTCGTTTATCATCTTGATGCTTCTCTCTTTCTTTCTCTTTGTTATTCATTATGCAAGCAAACATCTGACTTGTTTTATAGAGCGCCGAAGAACAGAAGGTGACCAAGAACCCCATGCGTAACCTCCAAATCGAAAAGTTGGTTCTCAACATTTGTGTTGGTGAATCTGGTGATAGATTGACCCGTGCTGCCAAGGTCCTCGAACAATTGACTGGTCAAACTCCCGTCTACTCTAAGGCCCGTTACACTGTCCGTACTTTCTCCATTCGTCGTAACGAAAAGATCTCTGTTCACGTTACTGTACGTGGTCCTAAGGCTGAAGAAATCCTCGAACGTGGTTTGAAGGTCAAGGAATACGAACTCAAGGCTCGTAATTTCTCTGAAACCGGTAACTTTGGTTTTGGTATTGACGAACACATTGATTTGGGTATCAAGTACGATCCTTCCATTGGTATCTATGGTATGGATTACTACGTTGTCATGGGTCGTCCTGGTAACCGTGTCTCCCGCAGAAAGCACTGCAAGTCCAAGGTTGGTATTAACCACCGTATCAAGAAGGAAGAATCCCAAGAATGGTTCAAGAACCGTTTTGATGGTATCATCTCCAACAAGAACTAGATGCTCTTTTTTTTCTTTTGGTACATTATGAATAAAAAAAAGAACCTATTGCAAGCATACATTTAAAAGAAAGAAAGAAAAAAGTTTAATGGTATAATAGAACAATGAAGTTGTGTTTAGGGAGCACCGATACTGTTAGCATTAAGTCCTTCAGTTTGAGAGCCTGCATCAGGAAGACCAGATTTGACGGCATTAAACATATTGATGCCTTCAGTACCTATGCCAGGGAATAGAACAGGAATAGCCATGCTCATAGTCAACAGACTACAGATCAAAGTAAATTTAAACAAGACTTGACGCATAATGAAGAAAGACGTATTTATTTGAGAAAGGGTAGATGGATTTCTTTTTATGCAATGATCAAATTTCACTTGAACTCAATTATTAATCTATTCTCCTTGAATACAGAAAGAATTTTATGGATTTGAAATTGCTTTAGACAAAAAGGAATATAAAGTGAATAATGGTTTATTGATAATACAATAGAAAATTATTTGTTTAAAAGGCCCATAGCAGCTGGCTTTAGACCCTGAGTGTCGCTTTTTCCACCCAAGTAGCTCTTTCTGACTTTTTCGTCAGCAGGATTTGATTCTTTGTCTTCTTCAGAGTCTTCTTCATCCTTGCTTTTGCTTTGGCTTGCTCCAGATTGAGTTACGCCACCAACAGCGCCATTTGCACGAGCCAGATTGTCCAAACCAATAGAACCTGCTTCTTCAACCAAATTGGTGTTACCCATAGGAGCAGCCATAGTAAGTTGAAGAAGGACTAGTACAGCACACAATAAGGCAAGCTGGAGAGAGATGTTTTGAAGCATAGTGTTGATTCTGGAGAAAACAACAGAGGAAGAAAAGTATACAGATATTTATAATAACAATTTCTGCCTTTTTTTTTCTGGAAGTTATGCAATTATTAAGTTTAAGCTTTCTTAATCAAATTTATGCATTTCCTCTAAAAAAAAAATTGGATGCTAGTGACCAAATTTTTAGTTTAGTGGCATTCTTGATTTATTACTACTTTATTATCTATCCCTTACTTTTGGCTCAAAAAGATATTGTCATAATAAAGCGCTTAGCTGCTTTAGCTGCTTTTTGACTTAAATACCATTCTGTTCAAGGCAATAACATATCTCTAGACGATAATATCAATTCTTTCACTAAAGACATTTGGCTTATGAAAAAAGAAATATTGTTCTGTTTCATTAATAATACGTTTACAAAGCATAAGAAAGAAATAATGACTTGTGAATATTATGTAGAATAAAGAGACATTTATTGATTTAGTTTTTAAGAAAAGAGGCTCATGATACCACTTCTAAAATTAGAAGCTGATTTCTTTGCATTTTCGCCCGTTGCTACTGCTTGCATCTCTCTGTCGCTTTGTTTATTCTTCTTCTTGCCTTTGTCTTTTTCTTCACCCTGATCGTCTGAGGGGTCTTCTTCTTCAGGGTCTTCTTCTTGGTCCTTGGGTTTACCTTTGCCGCCGCCACCACCTTGACCGCCTTGATTATCTTGACCAGCACCCTGACCGCCACTACCACCTTTGTTTTGCTCGGAACTACTAGTAAGACCTTCATTAAAACCTGCGGCTGCAGCAGTAGCATCTTGAACTAGGCCAGCTACACCACCAGCTGCGCCCGTGCTTCTTTTGTTGATTGTCATAGGAGCAGCTGTAATTACCTGAAGTAGACCGACTAACACGATGAATACACAAGCAAGCTTGAAAGACATGTTTTGACCCATTGAAAAAATGATGAAAATGATGATGATAAAAAAAAAGGCTCTGTTTAGTGCTTTGCTTTTATATACTTTTCCTCTACTGCTGTTAAGGATCGAAATTTACTTTCTTATTATTGAACTAGCTTCTTTCGGTCTTTTTGTAAGAGAGGAAGGTTTAGTTTATTGACAATTACATTCTTTTCTGTAAGTTTATAATATTTTAGGTATTTTTTTTAGCAAATGTATATCAATGTTTATATGTGTTTAGCAATACATGCTATTGTTTTTTTTATGATGCGAGTGTATGTTCAAAATGTTTCTCTTTCTATGCGTAAATGTGTCCATCAAATAGATGATCGACAATGAAAAAGGGGAAGCTCAAAAAGGAAACTTATACCAGAATAATTTGTTTTTTAATTACACCTCTTTTGGCTATGCAGAATCTTTTTTCTCTCTTTATGTCCAGTTAACAAGCCTTACAGAATTTCTCAAAGTTAAAGTTTCATTTTATTTGCTCATTTGATGAATTGTTCTGAACTATTCATTGATTGGTATTCAATGAACAATGACCTATAAAAGAACAAGTGTACTTCATTTCTGATTTAACGATATACGAATATCCTAAGTAATTACAGAGCAAAATAAACGTACCATTATGACTTTTGGATCTTGTTGATTCATTTTCTGGGATGTTACTTGCAGAAAAGGTATTTTGAAGAGTTTTGATTGAAACTTAATTGATAAAAGTGCTACTAACGATTCTGGAATGATCGCCCTGATAGCTAACACCATTTTCTTTTTGCTGAGAAAACCAATGCGGTGTGCATCATACTTGCCCTCTGTGAGGGATATAGTAACTTTATAGTATGCCACGTAAGAATACAATGTGTTGGCTTGGGGCTGCATGACACATTGAAAGTGCTGAATTTGTAGAACAGCTACAAAGACATTACTCTATTTTCTTTTTTCATACTCAAGGTAAGGCTTGATATTCTTTTCAGTCCACATCTTTATATAAATTTACGTAGGCTTATTTTAACGAAAAAAAATCTCTTTTAGTACATACAGCTGACTATATGGGTAGCAACTCTTGGTGAATCACTGGATGGTATAGCTATATGAGTGCTACGTAGTACTGTTTTGGTAATAAATGTTGCTGATCATGATATTCTTTCTCTAACGATATATGTAAGAGTGTAATAGGTATTCAAGTGTGTGGATTATCGATATAAGAGGTAATGCTTAGATGGATTATGTGCAAATAACTCATGCTATAATTGTGCTTGTGCTTCTGCTTTTATTTAATGGTCTGGTCTATTTTCTCTTGATGAATGCTGTCTTCAAGGTTGAGTTTCTGATATGCATTGAATACATCTCTTTTCTGTTTTTCTCTTTTGTGTTCACCTTTTGAGGAAGCCTTTAACGATGGATATAGTAGTGTATGATTAAATCTATGTAACCAACCATAGAAGTGTATACAATATATTATGTAATGCATATATATAAAAAACAAAAGAGACGTTTATATAATCCGGTGATATATAATGATGCTATCAATAATGTCCAATAAGAAGCATAAAAGAATACAACTTCAACGTTTGCGGAATTGATTTTTACTGCCAAGATTAGCGGTTACTAACAATATTATTCAAAAATCACCAATTGACTATTGGCCTTTACTCCCAAGATTAGGAGTTTTTATCGAAGTTGCGTGTATAGGAACGACCAATTGATCAAGCCTTTAAATTGGTCGTTTTGATTCTAATATTGTCCCTTTTACTTGCATTATTTTCGCCAACGTCGACAGCTCAAACAATCCCATAGACCATAATCAACAGCAGTAATTCAACAATTACAGCAACCAATATTACCATCACCATCACAGCTGCAACAACTACAACCACATATTATTCAACAGAACTACTCAATTTCCAGCAGACGGTATCCTTCGGGAGGTTGTCTGACCAGATTTTGCATCAATTGGACGAAGACAATTAAATATTCATGGTCATTAAAACTCATTCAGGAAGAATACCAGATTCAGTTTGCAAAACCTCCAAAGACATGGTATTCACCACAAAGATTGATTCCCGCAAAAGAACAAAAAGAGATAAATATTGCCATAGACAAATTTCTAACTGCAGGAATAACAGAAAAGTGTACAGACCCAAGAGCAAGAGGTTATCTCTCTAGTTTTTCACCCTTCAGGAAGACACCAAGAGAAGACCAACTCTGAACTGTTGCCGAATCAACCAATATATCCAGGTTGAGAGATCTAGTCTAGCCAAACGTTTACATAGTTAAATCAGACTTACAGGATACTTATACCATAGTACCAATACACCCTAATTCAAGACCTTTTTTAGTATGGCACCAAGGCTTCAGTATGATTTAAACAAGCATGGTCATAAATATATGCCAGCTCGCACAGAAAAGGAAGAGAAGCAAGAATTGACATACAAGTACCTTTTGTTATAGGCACCTCAACCTCCCCAAGAGACAGACACACAAACCCGAAGTTAATGGCACGGAAGTGCAAGTAGTGTTGGACAAAATTGTCCACCGAGCGGAAAGTCATCACTACCCCTGTGTTTGAGGACTTGAGATCGATCTTGCCAAAGAGTGTAACCTTGTAGAAATCTTGCAAGAGATCACTAAACTTCGTGCCTTTTGGCTTCAACTCCCCGTAAAGATTTGTTGACTCTATCGAGCAAGACGAGTTATACACATCTGCTCGATAGTCAGGTCGAGCTTGAATGACGCTGTTGCTGCCGTTTTCAAAAGCCATTTTGTTGTTAGAATGTGCAACAATATCTTCATTTTGCTTGCAAATGCTTCGTATTAGAGGGTGAATGAAGCTACATTGCACGTGATATTCTGACTTGCTGATATTCTGTTTGTTGAATTCAAAAAGTAAACTTATCAGCTGTCGAACTAAGCAGCCAATGTGTTTGGTGTTGTTGTTGCTTCTTATCTTATAGTAGCAAGAGACCTAACTCTAACCGATGAGGCTGTTCATAAGTTGCCAGCTATCAATAATCACAACAATTTTGTCGATTTGGGCCAAGTTGAGTTTTTCTAGTAAAAGGAAACAATCAAGAAAGGGAAGAAAGGGACTGAAGGTAAACTTTTATTTATGTTTTTTCTTTCTTGCATACTTCATCTTTACTTCAGATATTCAATAGATTATGCACACAAACTGGGAAGGTTGTCAGTAGCCACTAAGATAGGCATCAAAGGTCCAGATTGCATCCTCTTGAATACTAGTATATGTTGCTAAAGGAAAGAATAAAGCTTTCAGTTTCTTCCAGTTTTTTAGGCCAGGAGGCAATAGCCATAACTTGGACAAAAAAAATTATTTTATATTCCAAATACTTCATCTTATTTTATTTATGCATGATGATTACTCTTTAAAAAATGATGATGCAATCGTCAAGACCGCATGATTAGACAACTCTTGTTTTATCCACTATCATATTTCTGTCGAGAAGCTTCAAGCATTCTTACAGCTCTTGGTTTATTGAAAATAAAAAAATGGAAAAAGATGAAACATTTTGGATATATCTCTTCAATATAAGGTTGATACATGTTGATCTTCCAATAGCATTATTCATAATGCTACACAAACATTAAAACTTTTGCTAATGCCTGATAAAAAGCTATCCTTTTACTATAAAATTACTCTTTATTCGTTGCTCTGTTTTTTTTAAGTTATTAAAGAGGGATCACATTATCTTTTTTTTTGTCTAATGCTCTACTGCCTAGAATCAGAAATAAATGAGAAAAAAAGAGCATGTAAACAAAAGGTTTTATTATTCTGAAAAGTACGACATATTTTTTCTTAAAAGTGCGACAACTTAAATTTTGAATGTGCGACATCATTTTGAGAAAAGGTGTATTTAGGGTGTGTCCACATAGTCATAAACAAAGAATTAAAGTAAGGCTAATCAAAAAAGATTATTTGACTGGTACTATAGAAAACTTTGGCATGAAAAATGTGAACTTCATTGCAAGCTGATAAATTTCTGTGATCAAGTATAATCTAGTGTACAATACAACTTAAACCAATAACATCTTCTGGTTTTGAACAAGCAAGATAAGAGAATGCTTTTTATATACTGAAGACGCTTGTACTCTATCTCGAATCATAAAAGGTTTTATTTTTATGGGATATCCTCAAATGGCTTGAGAATATTATCAACTAAGATGTGACACGTATAGAGAAGATCATGATTCATCACTTTATTTTGCAGTTCTCTTGACACTAGTAGTCTGTAGGAGGTATTACAATGCCACTTATCCCAACATAAAACTGCATACTATGAAAGTTGATGTATATCTTTAATGCAACACAGAGCAATCTGAGACTATAGGATTGATTATATCTTCTTATGACATATTGTATTTTATAAGAACGGACATAAAATATTCTATTAATTAATAGTTATAGATTGCTTTAAATCTACAGAAATAACGCCTGACATTTTTCTAACCATTGTAAACTCAAATATCATAAAAATGTAAATACCCAAAGATCAAAAAGTATATCCAGTATGTACATTACAGTTACCCTATTCAAAAAGAGAGACAGCTATTAATATTTGTGTCTGGGATGGATCAATTGGCGTCTTGCTTTCCATAGCTCATGCTCATTTAATATCTCAGCTAAACATTCAAATTCCTCTTCAATGCCCGTTCAAAGCAGATGAATCCTGCTTTGGACAAATACGTCATTGAAACCCTAAAAAAAAAGAAAAAAATCATGTTATAAAATCATTTTATTTTGCATCTTTCTTTTCTTTTTCATTGTATCTCAACATGGCTACTTCATTACTTCTTGTCGGCGGCACTGGTCTCGTAAGTTCTGCTATTATCAGAGAATCCAAGAAATATCAACATCTTCCATCCTATCACAACACACATATTTATGCCTTGTCGCGAAATGCCGCTGCCAAAAAGTCGGTGGAAGGAATTACTTTTATTCAGGGAGATGCTCTCGATCCAGCATCATTACAAGTACCTTTTGAAACCAATCCTAATGTGGTCCATACTGTAGGCACCTTGCTCGATCAATCCAAGAAACACGGTGCCAATGGAACCTATGACAGACTCAACAGAGATGCTGCCATTACTGTTGCTGACACAATGCTATCAAAATATGATCATATCCACCGACGTTGTCTTGTCTACTTCTCTGCGGCTAATGCTCCACCTAGCTTCTTATTAAATGAACGATATATTCTTGCTAAACGTGAAGCAGAACAAGCATTATTAGGACCTAAATACAAGGACAAGATCAGAGTAGTTGTTTTCCGTCCAGGTATGCATATAGATATCTTTGTACACAATTAAGCTAACATTTTTCAAGGACTTATTTATTCTTACCACCGTCGACAACTCATGTTACCTTTTGCATTGGGATTAATTGTTGGCTCAGCTATTTTGAAGCCTTTGACTTCATACATTCCTCAAGAAGCATTGTACATCACAGATAGACCACTTGAAGATACTGAAGTTTCTCATGCTGTATTTGAGGCATTGGAAGATGAATCAGTCGAAGGTATCTGCGATATCGACAGAATCAGACAGCTCGCAAAAGAGTGGGAAAGAAGAAAATGTAAATAAAAAAAAACCCCCTTGTATATTTCTATCCATAAAACAATAGTTGTCAATGTAACATATCCTTTGAAAGAACGACGTGTTTCTCTTGCATTAGTGTGCATATGTAATGACGCAAATTGAATGCTGAACACTACTTTTATTCTTCTCTCCTATTAGAATTCAACGAGGAGATTATTGTGATCCGAATAAGCTCTGGGAGATCTTCATTTGACTATTTTTACTATGAAATAAAAAAAACAAGTGTTTATTAGGCTATATACATTGTAGAGAATATTGATCGTCTAAAAGTTTAAGGCCATTTGAGGATTTCTCTCTTGATTTCCTCATCCCAACTGTTACAGAGTTCCTTTTGAGAAGGCTTATCACATAATTGTCTAACATCTTCAGTAACCCAAATATCCAAAGTACGAATAGTCGCACTGACAAGCTTGGCAATGTAAGATTCAACTTGAGCATCTTCACTCAATTTTCCAGCACCATTGTTGCTAAGAGAACCATAGACAGATTTGCGTGCACCTCTAACCAAGCTTCTGACAAGGTAGCCATTATCGAAAGAAGCATATTCAGTAAGTTGACGACGCATACGACCAATACAACGTTGCTTGACATCTTCCAAGAAATAACAGATAGAAGGAGGGTTACCACAACGGTAATTCATCTTGCGACCTTTTTAGATGTTAGTCTTAGAAATATATCTATATTCTGCACTTACATTCTTCCATAGTCCAGCTTTCACCGGGAGGAGGCATTTTTCTGTCTAAACGCTTAGGGTTATTACAGTCACCCTTATAAGGAAGTTCTTCATTAAAAATAACTTGATAAAAGCCTTCAGCAAGTCTAGATTGAGCAGTAGCCATAGCGGTGAAATCAGTCAAGCTGTTTTCAATGGAGTCTTCAAGGTCACTCAAGACTTCAGATCTTTCAACCTTTTGTGTAATAACAGTAGGAACAGTGATTTTTTCAATAGCTTTTGAAAGCTCAGAGTGAAGGTTTGTAACAGAGTCCTTGATGACTGGTTCGTAAAAACCAGCAAAGCCTTTAGATACACCTCTACGACAATCCATTTCACAAGCAAACACAGTAGAGGCTGCTAACAAGAGTAATGATACACTTTTCATCAACATGTTTAAGGAGTAAGGTAATGAAAAAGAGAAAGAGAAAAAGAAAAATAAAGAAAAGGAAGAGATTTTATTTCGACTTGTCGTACAAAATGAGGCTTTAAAAATATAAAAATAAAAAGGCCTTTATTTGGTAACAATTTTTTAGTACTCAATGTCCTGTAAAATAATAAATTTAGCCCGCTGAATAATAATAAAAAATAAAAAGGTGGTTTACTTACATTTTCATCACAATGTCTTGCAACATTCTCAAACACTTTGAGCAGTTTTCGTCTTGCTCCAATAGTGTTTACTCCAGCATCAATCATATCTTGATCTGTCATGCGAATCACTTGTTTCCAATCCAGCCCAATAAATGCATGGCCGTATTTATGTAGTCTTAAGCTTCGTAGCCAATTTTGAACGTCTAATTTTAAGTCGAGGGTATCAGTTAAATGATATTTTTAGACTGTACATTTACCCTTCATTAATTCAAAGTCAACCGTTTCGGCTGCTATTTTGTCTTTCAATGCACGAGCTGCTGAGGAACGTTTACGTCTTCTTGCTAAACCTGTCAAAGGCTTCTCTTCGTTTTGTTCATCATTACTTATCGTCTCTGGCGTAAACAAAACTTGTCTTGTGTTTGGCTGTGTTACTGAATTGGGCAAAGTCTCCGTTTTCGGTGTTTGAACCGTTTTTTGTGAAGGAGACCAAGGAGTAGTTGACTTTGGTAGGTCCTGTCTTAATCTAGCCTGAGCTTGCTCTAGAGCACTTAGACTAGAAGTGATGGTGGCAGATAATTTACAGTAATCCTCTTGTTCTTCCTGAATAGCCCAAGGTAAATGATCATCTTTTTTCTTTGAGCCAATGATAGAGGACGCAGTTGATCCGGGCGCAGAAGTAGTATGAACGAGTTTCTTTTTATTGAGAGAACCAAAAGACCAGCTATCGATTTCATTTGACTTTTTAGAGATTGGGAAAGGCCAGTCTGTGCTAGTGTTTGTTGAGAATAATGATTTTGAACCAAGGTCTGTAGTTGAGCATGAAGTACGAAGTCTTGGGGGTGATGAAAACAAGCCTCCTGTACTACCACCATTGCTTAGCGAAGAAGAGGAGGATGATACGATGGATGAAGTGGCGGTTGAAGCAGGACTGTTTTTTGTACTGGTGTTACTGTTAATGGCTTGAAGTTGAGCTCGGGCGGCCATGGCTTTTTCATATAAAGGCCCAGGATGACTTAGACCGAGTGAACGAGAGGCAAGCAAGTCTCTGTTTCGTCGCATATCATCAGGCTCGCTCATAGCAGAAGACAGCTTATAGCGTCTGTTGCTTGCTGCTGTAGGCGGATATAATTGTCGTTTTCGTGATTCATATTCTGATTCAGTAGATATAACAGATCGTGTGATATCGAGTGGCCGAGATCGATAGTAAGATGGTATTTCTAACGCCCAAAAAATTTAGTACTAATTTTTGCATTACATGTGAATCATACCGCTACTCGACTCCTGACCAGCAGGATAAGGCTCACCGCGACCATTAGCTAATCGCTGAAGCACAGTAATAAGAAAGCGAATTTGGATTTGTGAGGCATTTTGTACAACTGTATAAAGAGCTGCTGTTCTTTCAGCATCTGATCTACATCGAAACCATTGATTGATATGTTGCAACTCGTCTTTGAATTCTTGATCTAGACTAGCTGCTGCCATTTCTTCCAACATTTGTTCATAACGTTGAATATTTTCAAACCAACGGTCAATTGCCTCGGCTGAAAAATAGATGCGTTAGATGCATATTCTATTGATTTTTTTTTTTTTATTTGTTTACCCTCTGGTGAATTCTTTTGGTGTTCTCTCAAAGAAGGTTTGGTCTGTAAAATATCGGATGCAGCTCTGGATTTGTATTGTGGCGTTTGTACATTATTTCCCGTAATAGAGGATGATATATTAGAGCGTCTTTGGTATTGTCCAGGTAAATTAATTAAATCAGACGCTGTTAAGGATTGATACGAGTTGAAGTTTGACTGTCCTTGAAATGCCCCGAATAATAACCTTTCATCCATAACTCGGTGAACATCGTGTGCCATAGCCATTCTATCAACTTTTAGGGAAAATAAGAAATAAGAAAAAGAAAAGAAAAAAAGATTGTAGACAACTTTATATCCATCACTCCTTTAAAATGATAAACACAAAATGATAGACGAATACACGAGGAAGTCATATTATTATCTGGTTTAGAAACCACCTTCAAGGCCAAATTTATTGTTAAAAGTGCGTGCGTATTTTCAGGGGGTAAAAGGAGTCTTTTTGTTAAGCAATATATATATATAAATCACCTCCTTAAAAAAAATCTTATTTGTTTGTTTTCAAACCTATGTGTTAATTACGGTACCACCATTAGGGTGAACGACTTGGCCAGTCATAAAGGAGGAGTCGTCAGAAGCTAAAAAGACAAAAGAGGCAGCAACTTCACAAGGTTGAGCAGGACGCTTGAAAGGAGGGAAAGAGCCGAAGTTCTGAATTTCTTCACGGGAAAACGTGTTTGGAATCAAAGGTGTCCAGACAGGGCCAGGAGCAACTGCATTGACACGAATACGACGAGGTGCCAATTGTTGAGACAAAGCACGAGTGAAAGAGACAATAGCGCCCTTAGTAGCGGAATAATCAACCAAGACATCCATACCACGGTAAGCAGCGATAGAAGCAGTATTGACAATGACACCACCTTGCTTAAGATGACCACAAACCAATTTAGTCATGAAAATAGGACCAAAGACTACAATGCATTAGATGAATAAATTTCTCATTAACACTTACCGTTAGTACGGAAGGTTCTTTCAACTACGTTAGCATCCAAGTCTTCAACGCGAGTAACCTTGTGTTGTTCAGCAGCATTGTTGACCAAGATATCAATACGACCAAAAGTGTTCAAGTGGCTATCCAAGATTTCTTGACAGTTTTTTTCATAGCCAATATCACGAGCAATCAAATGAATCTTACACTTGCTTTGAGCTTCAATGGTTGTCTTAGTGTACATAGCATCAGCATCTTCCCTTTCATCACGGTAGACAATCGTAATACCAGCGCAGCCTTCCAAAGCATAGAGAGTGGCGATCGATCTACCAATACCACTGTCGGCACCTGTAATTAAAGCGAACTTCCCTTGGAGTTTACCAGAACCGCGATAAGGCTTGAAACATGGCTTTCCTTCAGCATCAAAAGAAGGCAAGTGCTGAGAGACAGGAGCAGGTTTCAAAAGAGAGGCAATGCCAGACTTTTCCCAGTCCATATTCTTACGCATTTCATTGTAATGATAGACATCATTGGGGAGTTCTTCGTCAAAGCCAACAGTCATGTTTTATAAAGAGAAAGAGATGATAATAATGAGGCTCTTTGCAATGATTTACGGCTTGTTTATATACGTTTTTACAATGTAAATAAACCATGTTTATTGTTATTTTTAACCATCAAGTTTTTTACGAGTTTACTGATTAATCAACGATGACACTATTAGCAACATTTTATGGGTTTTAGATCGCCAAAAACATTCAGTTAAAATAATTTCCCGTGAATATCATTCTACAACTTGACAAATAATCAATCAGCTGTTTCAAATTATCAATGACAACATTCGTCATAGTTCTTTCTTAGTCGAAAAAGAAGGTTTGCATTATTTGTTGTCTCTTTCTTCTTATTATTCAACTTGTCAAAATGGCTCGAAAAAAACAAACAACCCAATCTGTACTTCCCCATTTGCCAAAAGGCGTTGCTATTCCTGAAGTTCAATTGTCTAAAAATGATGACTTAATGATGCCTGGTCAAAAAACATTACCCTCGGACGATTGGAAAGATCAAAACAAGCAATTGGTGCCCAGTACCAGTTCAAACTCTGTAGCTCGTAGGCCTAGTCAAAGACACGGTATGCCTTGGACAGATCGTCAATCAAAACTTCAGATCGATAATAATGCTGAGCCTCCTCCCACGTTTACTGCTGCTCCCAAGAAAATATCTATAAAGCATGTTCGTGATAATAAACATCAAAAGTACATCCAACGCATGGATAATGGCATTGACCCTGTTGTACTCTTGACTGACAGGATGGAGTCATGGCATTCTGCTATTAAAAGTTTGGTAAGTTCTCGTTAGTTTGTTTTGTTTGTTTATTGTATCCTTAACGCTGGACGATAGGTTTCTCTTTTTAAGAAATTGGTGGTGGTCGAGAACAAAACTGCCAAAAACTTGGTAAATGCTAGCAAGGAAATCGTTTTGCCCTTTCCAAAATCCAATGGTCAATTCCTCGAGACAGGTGCTGGTGGTATTCAAGATGTCTGGGGCTCACTTCGAGACTATACGCTTCAACACGGTATTCTCCATCATGAATCTGCAGGCTATATTGAAAAGGCTGTCATTCCTGCTTTGCGTGCTATCAAGGCAGATATCAGAACGATGATTATCTCTGTTCAAAAAGACAAGAACCTCAAGACAACACTCATTTTTGAAAGTCGTATACAAGTCGATCGCTTAATTTCTCGTCTCGACAAGGTCATTGAACATGTCTATCGCGCTCCTTTACAAGCAGAACAATACACGGATCCTTTTTTGATTAATTTGGGTATTGTTCATGCTGTTCGTGAGCTCTGTGACCATGAAAACCGTCTTCATGACAATATTTTCTCTCTTCAAAAGGAAACAGGCATGTTTGAACAAAAGATCATTGAAAACATTCGTTACGTTCTTTTGAAGCTTCAAGAATACAAAATGAAGCACAAGATGGAAGCACCTGAATACATTGATCAAGTCATTGAAAGCTTTGATTATGTCAAGCCATCTATGGAATGGAATGAATTTGTTCGCCGCAACCAATACAATCTCATCATGGAAAACTCTGCTTACAAGACTGAAAACATGGTTGAATACCCCAACCAAGATAGTAAGTTTGTTCGGGCTATCAAGATTGGTCCTCTTGAACAGAGGACGGGTACTATAAAACGTTGGACAGAAGGTGTTTATTTGTTGACTCCAGGTAAGACTTTTCTATTTTTATTTATGCATGTTTGATTGATTATGTTTATGTGTTTTAGCTGGCTTCTTACATGGTTACAAGACTCCTAAACATTTCCAACAAAACCCTCTTCGTCCTTCTTACTCTATCTTTGTCCCTCATATAAGCGTTGAATACGAGGATGATGATGATGTTTTCGAACTGCGCGGTAGTGACAGACGCTCTTCCATGGGTTTAGGAACGCATTACGTCTTCCGTGCAAACAACCCTCGTGAAGCCCAAGAATGGTCGGAAGCTCTTCTTCGCATTAACGATCAATTCAGACCCATGCCTTTATTGGAAGCTGCTCCCGCTGGTTTCTCTTCTAACAAAACATCTGCTCCTGTCCATCGCGACTTGCCTCCTTTGCCCGAGAGTACTTTACCTTTAGCTGGCCAAAGTGACAGAAAGAAGGAGAAGATGCGAGCTATTGAAGGCCCAGGTCGTCGTGGCTTAGGTACTGTTAATGAAGATCATGATGAGGAAGGCCATAATAGCAAGCCATTACCTCACAAATCTACAGTTCCCGGTGGAAGTCAATTTATTGGAGAACAACAATATCAACATCAACTGGCTGATCCTGCTACTCCTGTTACGCCTGCTCAAGCCCTGAATGGTCAAAAATTCGATAAAAGACCTGCTCAAGAACAAAAAGACCTTCCAATGATGCAAGGCAATGAAGTGCAAAACAGTTCCTTTCATAATGATCCAAACCTTGAAGATGACCAAAGCATTCATTCCAAAACTGAAGGTGAAGAACAACATTCTTCTCGAATGGAAAAAAATCCTTTGCAAGGCGATCACTTTTCTCCTATCCACCATGCTTCTTCTCAAAAGCAAGGATCTTCTCTAGCTTTCTAATCTTACTCTTTTTCTTTAATAAAGTTTAATTTTTAATTCTCATGCTGATTTGAAAAAGTCTTTGTGTGACGTATATACATCAGGGTCGATAAATATTTTTTTTTGTTTTTTTATTTTCTTTTTCTTTTTCTTTATAAACTATATGTCTATACCTTACCGTTCTTCTCACTTGTTTTCAGAGAGCCCAAACATTAAAAGAAGGTCCCAATAGCACTATTATTACTACTATTTTTTTTTTTTACTAACACCAAGGATAGCTCAATATCAAATACAACACAAAAGCAATATACAGACGAAGACATAGACGATGATTGTCTTAATATTCATAGACTAGACCATGAGGCGATCATAAATGACCCTGAAATCCGAGGTAAAAAAAAACATACAAAGAAATTATTAGCTTGTATTCATTGTGTATTCAGGACTTTCAAAAAATCGCCACCAAGTCAATGTTGTACCTTCAAGTAAACATTATGATACTGATGAAGATGACGATGATGAGGACGAATATGGTGTTTATGCTGAATTGGAATGGATGGCACAAAATCCTGCTGTTGAGAGAAGACAAAGAATGCTTGCTTCTCAATACAATCAAAATGTACCTGGCACACCAAACAGAACCTTGTTAAGCTCTCCTTCGGGAAGTGGTTATGATTTTGATGACTCACTCAAAAAATCTGAATACCACACAAACGATACGATTCAAGCACAACAGGATTGGTGGCGAATTGTCATTTCAAATTTTCTCGAAAGTTTAATTAAGCCTATTGTGTTTGTTCTCTTTATGTTGTTCTGGATTATCAAAGAACCTGTTATTCGATTCATTACGTTTCTTACAATGATTGTATCCGCCCTGATTGTAGAGCCAGCTGTGTATTTCTCATCACATCTTCCAAACTATCAACAATGGATTCCTACGCTAGAAACACGCAACAAAATTGCACATATGTTTGCAGTGACATTAGTGACATGTTCATCCCTTTATTTGGCTCAACAAACACTGGATACGCATACACCCTTTCACTGGATTGAACAACAGTTGTCTACTTTCAACTTACCTTCTTTTGAACACAATGAATATACAGCAGGAGTTGATTTGTCCTTGATTCACAAACGACTGGCTAGTATGGATCAAAAAATAGCTGAACAATCAAAAGTCGTCCATCAATTTGTCGATCAATTAGGCCAGCAAGTTGCTGCTGAACATGCCAAGATTTGGTCTGCACTCGAAACGCATCAATCGCAGATTGATACACTCTATCAAAAACTGGATCAACAAGTACGGGATGCTATTGAATCTCAATTGCCTGAGATGCTTCTTGTACATACAAACGAACAGGGTAAATTAGAACTCTCTCCTCAATTCTATCTTTATTTGCAAAATATATCATTTTGGGATGTGTTTTTGGAACAAAACAAGGCTGCTATTTCAAGATACATGCAAGGGGAAATGAAGCACTATCTTGACCAACAAAGAAAAGAAGGTGCAGTGATCAGTAAAGAAGCATTTATGAAATTAGTGGCTTCTGATCTCACTCGTTATGATGGTGATGCACTTACTCTGCATGAGCTTGTTGAACAGGCCATTCATAAATACCATCAAGACGTTCTCAATACACCAGACTTTGCATTGAAATCCCGGGGAGCTCATATCTTACATTCAAAGACAAGTTACACCTATGATCCTGTACCTGCCTGGATTCAAAACATAAGAAGATCTGTAGGCTTGACTGTGTGGCATCATGTTCCAGAATTGGCTATTCAGCCTGATATTCATGTTGGACAATGTTGGTCTATGGTGGGTCAACAAGGCACGCTTGGTATTGTTCTTAGTCGAACTATTCATATTCAGAGTATTACAGTTGAGCACCCTTCTATGGATGTCTTGGTGAATGAAATCGATAGTGCACCTCAAGAAATGGAATTCTATGGTATTCATCAACATCCAGAAGAATACACTTTATTAGGCAAAGCATACTATGATATACACAAGAACACAACTATTCAAACATTCGACATGTTAATGACACAGGAACCATTTCATGCTATCTTGGTCAAAATCAAGTCAAATTGGGGAAATCATGATCATACTGATATTTATCGTATTCGTGTTCATGGGACACCCCTTTCCGTGTAAATATCACTAGCTGTGTATACATTTTATTTTCATATTATTATTTTGCATATTAAAGAAGTTTTTCAAGTGTTCCATTTTCTTTGGCTTTGGCAAGGTCATCAGAACCACCAACATGCTTTTGATTGACAAAGATATTAGGAACAGTACGTTGTCCAGTCTTTTCAGCAAGATAGGCTTGAATATCAGCACCTTGGTCTAATACAGAAATTACTATTTAATATCTTTTATTCATGACTTACCATGTAAATCTAATTCAATAGCAGTGTATTCAACCTTAAGTTCATCAAAAAGAGCTTTGGCTTTTTTACAGAAAGCTGTCATTTTATTTAAATTGAGATTTCATTTACTCAATAACTTACGACAATAGCTCTTTGAGAAAATGACGACACGGTTATTCTTGATAGCTTCTTCAACAATTTGTTGTGCAGAGGACATGATGATAATAATGGATAAAGACAAAAACAAGCCGCTCTTTTTATATGTGCGCGTACAAAATGTACGTCATATTGAATGACAAATCCATTAGGAATGTCTCACGAGAATGGCGTTATTTGCTTATTAAACCCTTGCCACAGTTATCATAAAAAAAAACCAAAAAAAAATCGTGCTCCGTAGAGCATCCTTCTCAGAGATTTAGTGTCATCCTTGTGCAGGGGCCATGCTAATCTTCTCTGTATCGTTCCAATTTTAATAAGTGCCAGAGGTCCGAAGACTTGGCAATTTTTGCTCAAAAAGTGACTGTTTATAAACAATTGTTTTAAACTTAGTTTGCAAGTTGTGGTTATCAAAATTGGTGTAAACATATTTCAAAAGTAGGTATTGTTCGACATTCTTATAGCTGTGTTTTTCATGCACACACAAAAAAAATAGTATATCAATATCCTCATTTGCTTTAATGCTAAAGAAGAGGCAGAAAATGAATATTGATATGTTAAATAACTTGAACAAGGAACAACAAACTAAAAAAAAAAAAAAAGATTTTGTAACAAGTTTAACAAGATCAAATTGAACAGATCATGAATTGCCTTCTAGAATTCCACGAAAGTAGAATTTTCTAAATCAAAGAAAGAGATGGAAATGTCAAGTATCGAAAGCTTTATTCTACATGATATAGAGCAAATAGCCTATATCACATGCATTAAGTATGATACGGATCACCATATATTCACTGCTTCAATTTAATGAATCGCTTTCTTCTATAGTAAAGATACAACCAGGCTTAAAAGTGCAATAGCTTAATAAAATTAGTAGCGCGTTATCTCGAGAAAAGGTTCATTCATCAATATATAGTTATACAGCTATGACACATTTAATGGAAAAGGAATGCAAAAACCACTTGTCTGTGCACGTTGATACAGAAGACAGGGCAACATTCATTATGAAATTGATTGACCAAGTCGTTTAACTCCGATTCGGTTATTTCTTTCATTTGTTCTATAGACATGGAAGAATGGTGCCTTTCAACCTTGTAGCTGTGTCTATTCAATGCTTTGCTTCTTTGGTGCTGATTGGATATGAGGTTACACTGAAACATATGTCATCAAGGGCTATGCATGATGCATCTACTAATTGGCCGGTCTACGCAAGCTTGTTTTCCTAGGTGTCTACAAGGTTCTCCATACCTGTTGCCGATTCAGGGCTACCTTTCTATTGCTGTGCTCTGTTTTGATTGATTAACAAGACTTGCTCAGCTCAGACTGGCTTTCTAGGGATTTGCAAGGTTCTTCATCAAGGTATGCTGCTGGTTCGAGGCGTTTGATCAAGTGGTATAAGACTTTTGAGACCTTTTCCTGAAGTCCTGGCTCTTCCAGATGTAGCGAGGCTCTTCTGTTCAAGGCTTACTAAGATTTCGTAGTGCATATTTGCTTTTCCTTGTCTTTTTTTTTCTGCTTAGGAGTCTGATCAACTATTATTCAGATAAGAGGACCTGATGAGGCTTGATTACTCTAATCAAACTCACAATATATGTGTAGTATATGTCCCTCTTTTCTTTTGTTGTCTTTGTGCAATGAAAGCTATGCGTGAAATTTAATTGTATAAAGGCTGTATCTATTCAAGTATGTTGCTTTATTGTTATCTTTCATCCTCAGTATGAGTTGATCAGAGCATGATTCACTTGCCAAACCACAGTGATATTGTCTTTAATATGCCACAACGTTACGTTTTTCTTTTGTATACTTGATTTCTGGTTGTTATTTTCTATTACGAACTCGATCAGATTGTAATTTCGGTTTGTAATTATTGGCAAAGAGAAAAGAACGCTCATCAAAACAGAAAGTACATTAAATACTCAGGGTATAGAGAAAATCGGTGTTTGAACCGCCGAACCCTCCTTCTGCATGAAATTCGTTATTTATCATGTCCAAAGCTGCCTTGAGTTCACAAGTGTCATACGTGATAATATATTTTGCTTTTATATACCACAGACATCTAGAGGCGTAGAATTAAACACCTGTTTATTATTGAATATAGACTGAAAAGGACATCTTTTGTACTGATTACAGTGTGCAACGAACTTTGGATGCAGATTTGAAGGTAATGCTCAAATGAAGCCACCTTTTTCATCTTAGTAAACTCGCTTTCTTTTTCTCAGAAGTATCTAGACATGGTCTTATCTGATTTCGGTTGGATCAGGCCTACATCGAGTCATTCTAAAAACTCTTACCCATCTGTCAAAAAATAAATTTCGCCTAGCAGTCAAACCAATGGCATCATTCAATTCCTGGTCTTAAGATAACATGCCTTAAATGAAAAAGGAGGTCATTTTAGTAGTCTGGTTGTCGAGTAATGATGCATCAAAGATTGGCATGTTTAAGCTGTGTTTTGAGCATTTTTGCTTTAGATGTCATATAAAATGTATTAATAGTGAGCTTTTAGATAATAAATTGTATTGCTTAGGGTCTCAAAGAACATATAAAAGTAGAAACATATGGATTTTATTGTGCAAATGTGGGATAAATGAACATAGGACATGCAGGATGTCTATGAGCGGAGATTGAAAATACAAATAACCCCAATTCCTCATCACGTCGCTTTAAAAATCAAGCTTTCAGGCACCTCTCTGGATCTAGTCTCTGATGCACTTGCATCTTTCAATTTTTCTCGGATTCGGTCTCAAACCAACTGTCCTCTTTCAGTAGCTACGGTAACCTTGATTGGTCTCTCTGAAATCTGGAAGGCCCATTGGACCAACCATTCCATTACCTCTCTGTTCTTCATAGCACTCGCTATCAAATTAAGCGTATAGCTGCTGAAAATGACCTTTCATCTTGAGAGGTCTTTTCTCGCAATAGCTGCTCTTCTTTCCTTTTATATTTTTTACTTTCTTACTATCGTACCAATTTTGTTTTTCTTTATATTTTCTTAGTGGGTCCCTCCCAAGACCACTAATACGTGCGGCAAATAAAATCATTAAGCTTTTGCTGAGAACAACATGAAGACACAGTTCTTGGGCTTTGGTGCAGTGATAAAAGTCGTAGATTTTTATTTTCTGAATCTATTAGTTTAGATAAAGCATCATAATTGCTAGTAATTTATTGAGCAAATATGAAAAAATGTCTATGAGGTTTTTCATCCGTATTATACCATTTTTATAGTACAATTAGCAAGCAAACACATTTATCAAAAACTAGAGCATCTGACGCACATTTTGAGTATTTCGGCTTGTCAATGGCTTTATTTTTCGTCTCGTAGCGTCAAGAAGAAGCTCAAAGGGTTGTCAGGTTGAATATTTTCATGAGTACTACCCTTTGGTTTTGAGATTTTTGGCCATTTTTTATAAATCGCTTTTTTTGGTCCAAATCAACCCCAAAGGTAGCTCATATGTTAGTCAACATTTTTTGTGTGTATCTGAAGTATATATATGTATATAGACAGGCTTTGAAGCACCTTTATGTGTCCAAAAAAAAAAGAAGATGATTTGTGTGGATTGTTGTCTTTTTCATTTCTGAAGCGTTTATTTGTCTAAGTAGTGTACCACCAAATCGCTTATTTAAATAAAATGCCCTATTGAAAATACACTTGACTTCCCTAAATCCAAGAGAGGAATGAAAATACCAACGTGTTAAGAAACTTTATGTTGCATGATATAAAACAAGTAGCCTTTAGAGTATACATTCAGTGTGCTACAATCTATATTTCAAACCTTGTATTTGTTGTCGAAAAACGCACTATAGATTCAACAACAAAAAATGGTCAAAAAGTAACTTCCATGGTCGATCAAGTATTTCTTCCTGCCAAACAACAAAGAAAAAGCGAGAATTAAAGCATTTATGAATCATCTACTCCTGGGTTCCGTTTATATGATGTTACTGTCTTGACTAGCGGAAAACTTTCTTATGATATTCAATTTGACGACTTTTAAAAAGTGATTACATGACAAGCTATTAAATATACATGTTTATTCTAGTCACTATCGTCAAACACAATTTTGTTATTAGAAGGAGCTTTTCCACTTAAAGCCTTGGACATCATTTCTTCTTGCATACGTTTAGCTTCCCAAGAAGGATGAACAGGTTCAGCCACTTGTTTTTCAGCAGGTTTCTTGGGTGCAGGCTTCTTCTTGGGTCTATAATCAGGATTGGCCATACGTTTTTCTTCGCGCTTCTTGTATTCTGAAGCAATATGGTTTGCTTTACGACCATACATTTCTTCCCATTTCCTATGTCATGTTAACTATCTTTCATTTGTCTCTGTATGAAACTTACTTTCTTCTTTGTCTTTGTCCTGCTCTATTAGGCTTTTTGTCACCTTCATAAATCTTTTTAAATTCTTCATCCTCTGATTCATCATCATCGTCACCACCACCACCTCTTCCACCGAGTGTTTCCATGAATTCAGATGTATCTCCCTTTGATTTCTTTTGAGGTCTTTTATGTTCTTCTTCTGCTTTACGCTTCTTTTCTTCTTCTGCCTTTTTCTTTTTTAATTCATCTGCTTTTTGTTTTTCAATCTTTTCTTGATCACCAAACATGATCGTTTCAAATGCGTGTATAATGCTTGCTATTTCAGCATTGACAGCTGAGTTGGATATTAATCGAGATTCAATATTTTGTGTTGTTTGATCTACAGGTGTTGATTTAGGGATTTGTTCAATCAATTCTTTAATCGCATCTTGTGTCTTGAGTGTCGCATTTTTAGAAAGCTTGTTTTTAAGTGTCTTTTCAACAAGGGGATCAAGCTCAAGTGCCTATCAAAGACATATGAGTTGCGTTTTTTATTGGTTAGTCTTGACTACCTTTAAAATCTCCAATTCCTTTTCAAATTGTTCTAAATCCTGAGTTGTCTTTTTAGGCTTGTCTTCAGGTGCTTCTAATGATTTACGGGTGCTCTTGATCTTTTTGATTTGTTTTTGAGTTTCTGCTGTTTTAGCCTTTTTCAACACTGTCTTTAACTCTTTACGTGCTTGATGCTATCAAGAATTGAGTAAAGAAGAACTCATATTAAAATAGATACCATTTTAGATTCAAGCTTTAATTTTCTAGCGGTATAAAGTTCTTGTTTTAAAGCTTCGGGATCAAGATTATGTTTCTCTGGGTGGTGATGACTCAAGTATTTGGTTCTTGAGGCTGCTGCAATAGCTGCCTTGACATGCGTTTTTTCTCCAACCTAAAGCCCATGTAAGTTATGCAACTCGATCTATTTTTGTTACTTGCCTGGGCAGCAAGATAGTTGATCTTCCATGTCAAGTTTTCTTTTGGTACAGTTTTTTTCTCACTCTGTTACAACAAATCAATACAAACGAAAAAGAAAAAAAAAAAGAGATAATATCGAAAACAAACCATGCTTTTATATACAGTAATTAAGGGAAAAAAAAGGAAGAGAGAAAAAGAAAGAAAATCAGAGGTATGAAAATTCGGTTCATAAGCCACCAGCCAACAAGGTGCTTTTAAGCATACTTGGCTGTTTTCCTTCTTGGCCTACTTGATATAGTTGCTTCTTCTTTTTCTTGATTCAATGTTGATTGCTTTCTGCTCTTTTTTGGTGTGGTTGGATTGGGTTTTCTTCCTCTTTTTTTAGGTGTTGTGGTTTCTTTTGATTTTCTTGCCCTTTTGGGTTCATCGTTATTCTGTTTTTTGAGCCATTGATTGTAGGCTCTCAAAGCAAAATTATCTGTTCTTCCAGGCAAGGATCTTGCAATCAAAGACCATTTTGTACCATGTTCTTGCACTAATTTGACAATCAATTCAATCTCTTCTTGAGTAGCTGGTTCTGATTTTAATGTAGGATGACAATTATTCACCCATCTTTCTCGGCATTGCATATCTGTTCTTCCCGGTATCAGTCGCTGTACTTTGGTCCAATTGCCTACACCATACAGTTTGACAGCTCTTTCTAACAATTCGTTTTCTTCAGGTGTCCATCGTGTGCGTCGAATGGCTGGATTTAATGTCTTTGTCCATCGATGTAAACACTGCTGACCTGTACGTCCTCCTAAAATAGATGCAATTTGTTGCCAATTACATGCGCCACCAAAGATCTTGACAGCTTCTGCTAGTTTTCTATCCTCTTCGGGATTCCATTTTAAAGAACGAGCATTGGCATTGTTCTTGGCTGCCATATAATGAGAAAAGCATTGAGATATAGTACGGTTGGTACCGAGTTCATTGGCAATACGTTCCCATTGTCCACTCAAAAGACCCATTTGATCGACCAGTTGAGAAAGTCTTTCTGATTCTTGCTTTGTCCATGGCTTCTTATTGATGGAAGGATGTTCTTGTGTAGTCCATTGGATTAGACATTCTGTAGGCGTACGCGTACGAACCTATGGCTGTTTAATCCTAGTTCCATAAATGCCTACTTACATGAATACTGCTGATTCTTTCCCAGTCAATACGACTTACAGGGAATAACTCCAATTGTTTCTTTTCTATTTGATCTACTTCCCATATACGCCATGCTTCATTCCTATAAAAAAAAAAAGATAAGCTTATGTCTTTATGTAGAACGCCTACTTTTTCATATAATCAAACGAGATCATTCTTTTTGCTTCTGAATGGATGGCTTCTATCAGTCTATCTCGTTCATGTTTAGACCCTAATAAGGTGAGTTTTTGGTTTGTAGACATAGGTATATACTTACACGCTTTACGATGTAATGGACTTTGGTTTGATACATAATCTCTCTGTTCTTCCTCGTCCTCTTCTTCTCCCTGAGATTGTAAATCGACAAGGTGATCATTATAATCCTCGTCCTCTTCTTCTTCTTGGTCTATTAACTCGCTTTTGTCAAAATAACTAATGTTGTCATCATAGACTTGATGTATTGTAAACTTTTGTCCAAATCGATTCTCTTTAACAGCACAATGACTTGCTTCTTTCTAGTCATACATGCATTAATCATCTCATATTCAAAAAGAAGTAACTTGCCATGAGTGTTTGGTTCGCTTCAAGCATTTTATCTACAGTTTCAATTTGCTTTATAACTTGATTCTGTAATTCTTCATTGACACACATGGCATTCACAATAGAAAGATAGTTTTCTTCGTATTCTTGTGGAAATGAGCCATCCTTTTCAAAGTCATGAAGTTCGAGTAGTGCATCAAGTACTTCTTGCATCTCTTCTGTTTCATGAACGGAAGTATCATCTTTTGATTCATGAGTACAGTTTTCTGATTCAGATAAAGGAGTAAAAACATGTGTTGATTCACTTAGATTGGGAGTAAAGACATGATCTGAATATGACAAATAACATTCCAAGTTGGATAGACTTTTATCAAACAAATCATTATTTTGTGACATACAGAGAAAAAGAAAAGTTTTTTTTTTTTATTCTTCTTCTCGAGGTGGTAATAATCCTTCTTGAATTCGAGATTCAATTATTTTGTGTTGTTTGTCAATAAGAACTTGAAGGAGTTCTGTCATTTATCAGTAAACATAGCCATGTTTGACACTACATTACCTTTTACATGCATCTTTTCAAATCCTGGAATATTCGCTCTATTTTTCAAGTAGAATGAACGTTTCCTAATGTGTCATTTTAGCATAAAAAAGATTTCAGTGTCTCACTTACACATAGCCTTTTCCTCTAGAAAGATCCAATTGTGATTCCTCAATCAGGTTGTATTCTATCACTTGATTTAAAAGGCTATTTGGATGGTTGATAAAAAGTAAACTAGATCATCTTTCTTACTCTTCTAAATATTCCAATTCTTCATAAGGTGTAGCTCGTCTGTCTTCCACTAAGGTACCATCAGGTCGAATTCTGTGTTGAATAAGATTATATCGTTGGTAGATTTGTTTCTGTGTTCTTTCTCCATTAAAGTAAGGTACAAGTAAAGGAAAAGAAACTCTTGAACCCTTTTTGGCTGTCTCTGCTGCTAATGCACTTGCTAATGTCTGATCTTCTTCTTTTGTCCATCGCTTAGCCTCTGTTTAGATTAGTATACAACACAAACAATCCATACTTTACTGTTTGTAGGCACATTGCGCATCTGAAAAATGAAGTCTGTGATATTCTTGGGTGAGCGATTAAGATATTGGCACAAGATAGCCGTATGACAGCCATGAATCTTGAGTAATCTGATTGTATTAGCCTACTGTTGTCATTTCATTCAGGCTTACTCTTTTAGTTTTTCAGCTTCTTCTGGTGTCCATGGTTGAATGTTTCTCTTCTCATGATATGTTTCTTTACAGATCTTGGCCAATATATGAAGTGACATGTTGGGGAACACTTTGCCAATCTTCTGAAAGAATCGAATATGAGGCTTTCGATTGCTGCTTGAAAAGATTTCTCTTGCTTGAGAGAATGTCATATTCTCACGCTTACATATCTTTTTGATCCTCTTTTCTAATTTCACTTTATCAGAATAACCCAGCCTTCTCTGTTTAGGCCAAGGTGTTTCTTCAGGTGTAGGATTCCAACCCAATGTTCTTTGCCATGGTGGATACTCTTTTGTTTCGTAGTCGTCATTTGAATCAGTTTCAGAGTCTGAATCAGAAATAAAATCATCTTCTTTGACTTCAGGCACAAAAGTATCCAGTAACTTGTTTCTGTAATTGACCTGAGGTGGTTTTTCAGGATCACATTTCACTCTTCTTCTGGATGAGATGCGATTGGCTTCTATTATTTTAGATTTTGCGCTTTTTTCTGGTTGCTGGTTTGTTGTTTCGATTCTAAGCTCTGTTTCTGTGGATTTGTCTTTCTTTTCGCTTCTCTTTTCACTCTTTTGATTTTTCTTTGATTTTCCTTTTCTTTCGGCACAAGGTTCTACACTACCTTTTTCAACAAAAGATGGCACTGGTTGTTCTTTATCTGTTTCGTCAGAATCAGAATCAGATTGATGGGCAACAACAGTTGTATTTGATTTATGCTTCTTTCTCATATGTTCTTTATCCAAAATAGATTCGGGTATGGTGCGTTTCTTTTTTGTTCGTTCATTATCCGTTTCATCACTATCCGAAGCAGACATCTCTCTTGTCTTTTCATTATCTGTCTCGTCACTATCCAAAGCAGACATCTTTTGTTTCTTTTTCTTCTTTTTTTTAGACTTGTGTTTTTTGGCAGGTTGTGTTGTCGTTTCTTCAGAAAGTTTCGGTTGTTTGTCTTTCTTCTTTCGTTCCTTCTCTAAGGTAATTATGTTATTAGGGCGCATCTAATGCATTGTTAGTAGGTTTAGAAATAAGGTTTTTACTTTTTTTTTTTTTTTTTACTTTTCTACGCTTTATTATTGACTCAGTCATGGCTTTAAAGAAGTAGTTGAAAAAAATTTTTTTTTTTTTTTTACTTTGGGCTTTCTATCGGCATTAAGTTCAGCTACAAACTCAGTTACACAGTCAAAAAAAAAAAAAAAGGGAGTAGCACAATAAAGAGAAAGCTTCAAGATGTGACAACTAATTTAATTATCAAATTATCTCCTCAATATCGTTTGAGAGGCTCACGTTGATTCTAAATAAAGTAGCTTCTATTTTTCTTTTACACGAGGAGAAACACGCGCTAAAGTAGAAAATTAACCTCTCTTAATTACATTGTTTGTTTACCATGGGTAGACACGTTTCTTTCAACATGGGAGTTTATTGAGCATGACGTAGGAATCTTAAAAAAAAAAAAAATTTTTTTTTTTTGTAAAGTATGTACAACAAAAGATTTATTGGAATAAGGAAAGTGAATAAAAGGGAAAAAAAAAAGGGGGAGCATATACACACACATATATATAAACATATAGGAATTATTTCTTTTTCGTTGTACTGGTGGAAGAAGAATCAGATCTTTTTCTTTTCCATTCAAGTACGACATGATGATGTTGGTTTACAGGTTCATGACAATCATCTTGTCCTACAACAATCTTGAATCGTCCTTTCTGAATGACGCCTGGGACTGTCAAATTGTTGTTTTTTGAGCAGAGTGTATTAGAGCGTAATCGAGAAATAAATAGGGTATCATTATCATTATTATTATTAGTGTTGGATTGCCAGAAATCAGAGTCCCAGATTTGATGACAACTCTTTGAAGAAGTAGCTGTACGAGTAGAAATAGAAGTCATTTGCGAAAGAATGATAGGTTGAATCGTATTAAGGTCGCATTCTCCATCAGAAAGAGATGATGATGATGATGAAGAGGATGACTTGATTTTAATACCCGCAATCTGAGCAAATTCTTTAGCAGTAAGATCTTCACATTTCACTTGCTCTTCTTGACACAACACTTTCTCTGTGGCAGCAGCAAGTGTGGTAGGTGATTTTCCAAGTCTTTTATGCTTTCTTGAAAAAAATCGTTTCCATTTACTGCTTGATGTTGTCGTTGAAGGCACAGAACTGAAGGGTGGGTTGTAATAAATTGCAACCAAAGTCATGAAAGATTATTGTAGGATCAAGATACATAAAAAAAAAAAAAGAATATAAAGTAAATAACAAGCTTCTCTCTTAAAGAGAATAGAATAAACAACCAAAAAACTAAAAAAAAAAATAAATAAGCGTGTATAAATATCATTAAGCGGTTATTTAATTTTAAAAACTCCCAAAGGCAAAATCGCCTCATTCGAATTTTTTTTTGTACCAAAAATGACTTTTTTAAGCCTTGTGCTCTTATTACCTCAATATAAAAAATGTGACCCGGTCTTGCCCGTAAAAAGCAAATGTAACCTTCGCCCTTTTATTGACAACTTTAACTGAATGACCCCAGCTGATTTTTATTTGTAACAATGTAGCAAAATTCTATTTACAATATACACATACAGAATTAAATTATTCTTCGTCTTCGTCTTCTTCGGGCAAATCATATTCAAATGCAATATCCCAACGAGATCCAGGTGCTTTGGCACTCACATATTTAATAAAACGCATGATACCTTCATCTCTAAGCACGAGCGATAATTCATTTCTACCAGCAGGTAAGGTCAAAAGCGCACCATCTTCGTCAGCTGCCTTGTAAACAGCCGCATCTTCTTCTTCATCATGGGGAGCCATGTAACACTCATAGCCACCTTTTTCTCCATCTTCCCATGCTTGAGGCTTATTAACATGGCAAAAAGTAACATCCAATACCCCTTGACCTCTAGTGTTGGTGGTGGCGAGTGTATAATCATGACCTGGGCGGAAACGACGTACTTGACCACGGTAACCCACAGGTAAGAGCTGAGTGAGTGTAGCCAACCAGAGTCGGAATGATTCAGACTCAAATTGACGCTGAAGGTAATCAAAAATAGGATCCTCTTCTCCTTCTTTTTGGTAGACCATAAAACGAGAACGATGAGGAGGTCCTTCTACTCTCCAACCATGACCTACCCCTGTACCATGAGGAGCAATACCATCTTGGCCTGTCAATGTGTCTTTCTGATCCATGTCTGTGGTGGCCTTGATCAATTGAGCCAGTGTCTTTTCATTCAAGATTTCTTTACATTGAATAGCGGATTCTTCTAGAAATTTGTCCGACATTTGTGAAATCAAACCTAAATCAAGGTATTGAGGATTCATCCATTCAGCCAAATCAACCAAGACATCTTCCGTCAATCCCACAATCTCTTCTTCTTGAGGGTTTTCGATGGTGTATTTTGTGAAATTATCACTTGTGTCTTTTTGTTCTTGAAGTTGTTCAAGAGAAGACTTGGCAGCATCACTATCTTTTGAATTGGCAACATACCCAATTTCGCCTTCTTGAGGGATATGGAACCAGCCAGAGATACTTAGACGGTTACGAGAACTCACAACTTCTTCGACTGAATGGAAAGAATGGCCAGGCTGAACAGTAAACATCACAAATTGGTTCCATTGAGGTGGAATGACAACAGTAGGTTCATTGGCAGGTGTACCTTTTTCAATTACAGGGTAAAGTTCCAAGGCACCACCTTCTTTGGGCTGCCAAGGTTGTTCAGGATCTGTCAAGTAAAGAATATAAGAGACACGACGTGTGCCAATCACATCATCATGGTTTAGTAAATGACAGCCTTCTCTATAGGAATTGATACTCATGTCCATTTTGGAACCCGAGAGAGGACCACAGTCAGTGACTTGAGAGATAAAGTGACGGAATTCGTTTGAATAAATAGCATTACGAAGTTCAAATAGACTTGAAAGTTGTTCAAGTTCATTTTTTGGAAGACCATCTAAATTAGCTAAATCGCCTGTTTGATTGACCTAGATTTTCTTGTCAATGGATACTGTTTTTTCTGTTTTTTTTTCTTCTTCTTTTTCTTTACCTTGTAAATATCAGTTTCTTTTAAAGTGAAATGCAAGTTAGAAAGGATTTCTTGACGAACTTTGCGTAAAAGTGTGTCGTTGACAAGATGATCAATCTTGCAATGAAGGTAAGGTTTAGATTCCTTGAACGCTTTTTCGATTTTTTCAGTCGAACTTTGGTCAAAAAGACCTTGATAGAATTTGTCCTTGTAGTCTATATCAAGCTTTTGTCTCTTGTTGGCCATGATAGCAAGAAAAAAATTTTAAAGTGAAAGAAAAAAAAGGGACCTGTGGCTCAGATGTCAAATAAATAGAAAAGAAAAAAATCATACGTTAAAAGATACAGTAACTTGTAAAGCAATTCAAAGGAAAATGGTATGGATGTGACTAACAAATCAATAGCTTTAATATGTGTTATTGTTATTTCATATCATCACGCTTTTTCAATGATATTTGATGTAGTAGCGCAAGAGAATGAATCATGTTTTGATATTTCGCGTTACTGCCCTGGAAGAACAGTCCTACATGAATTTAATTCACAGAAATGCTTTTATTGTCAGCTAAAGAACGTCTGCAATGTTATGCACACACTCATCTATTGAATATGCTGGGTTTTCTTTCACTATCCGTCGTATTTACAAAATCACCCCCCCCCCAATACAAGAACTTGTTCCCCTGTGTGATGGTTACTTAACGAATGACACTGGTTTGCTACTGCCCAAGACACCTATAATATATACAAAATAAGAAACGGCAATGTGAGCGTTTGCTTTCCCTGCTAAATAATTTAAGCTTTTGGCTTTATTTATGCCGCTTTCTATTCATGCATTTAGGTGATGAATAGAATACCTGAAGAATAGTAGCCAATGTAAGGTATTGGTTATAGGTATCTTTATACTCTTTCATATAAATTCAGGCAAACTCAAAAAGCTTCCTTCAGTATTGATTGTTTCCCCTGGTATGATGTGAAGGACAAAAGTACTATTTGCGAATTGGATTACAGTCAATCTCTGTGTATTTTCTATTTATATGATTTCAGGATAACTGCTCGTAAGAATACCAATAGATGGAAAGATATGTGCGAGCAATGATATCAGACGGTATATGTAGTCAAAGTGTTGTTTCCTGTATAACTATAAGAAATTAAAGGTAGACGATAATGTCTAGTGATATATATATATACTATATTCAAAATGAAATTTATCATTCTGAAAGGACATATTACAATCATTCAGAACAAAGAAACATTGATTGTTTAATTAAAATTGAATAATCAGACTGAGTACATCCACAAGTATAAGATGACTTGCGCTACATGAAAAAGAGAAAGTGGACTGCGATAGGTTACACTAGTTTATTGTTTGTCAAAAACTTTGGGTCTTGAAGCCTTGTAAACTTTGCTGTCCTAAAGACGACGATGTATTGTTTCTCCTTGAGCTGTTGTGCTACAGTTTGCAACAACAGTTTTGGGCTTCTTGTCTCTGTATGCGCAGACAAAAAGAGAATCGGTTGTTGACTTCTTTGTCAGAGTATCGCCAAAGCCTTCACCAAGAATAGTCACTATATCTTGATGAGGCATCCCACGTGGCCAGTACTTTTTTTTTTTTTACTTGCATTATAGAACACAAGCTTTTTGCTTCCATTGCTTTTACCCCGGCTGGTGATCCAAACCAAGAATCACCAATTATTGTTCGTTCTGAGTAAACCAAGGGAAGGTTAAGCGGCAAACAGTCGCAATGTTTTTCAAACGGTATTCGCCATCAAACTCTTGCACCTGCTTGTCGCCGGAGAAGCCGAACCTTAAGATACAAGTATCAGCATCAGCAACTGTTTTGAGCCCTTGGCCAACAGGATGGGGCTTTCTTGGGATTTTTTTAAGGTTAGGCATGCCTTTTCCAAGCCATTGTTTCATTGTTTCATCAACGCAAAGGTGACTGCCTGGCAGCATAGTTTTTGCCAAGTTGCCGTTGTATTGCTTCAAAAAACTACGAACTTGGTAGAGCGAGTTCTGATTTTGGCTATTGAAAAGAGAGTTAGAATATTATTTTATCTATCTATTGCATATTGTTCAAATTATCTGGCGCCATTGGAAAGCTTAAAAAGAACGTATTCGTTAGCTCCCTGAAGCGGTTGAATAACATGTAGTCGCCAAAAGAAAAAGCCAGCTTGAATAGGAGGGAGGGGGATTCACTCAAGTTCCGATATCTCTTCAAGTCGACAACTTGAATTGTAGAGTGAACCCAAAATGTGAACTCGTCGAGTGTGAGTGGTATCCAACCAGGCTTGACAGTGGCAGCATGAGCATTAGTAACGGCAAGCACTATCTCAAAATATTTCATTGGCAAGAAATGTAAGAAATTTCCAGGCTGACAATTGTCTAGCAAAAGGCGGGCACTTCCGGTTTGACCGCCTTGGTTGTTTGTCAACCGTTTATCCATCAAGATTGCGCCATCAGTTCAGCATGCTTTGGTTTCGCCTTCATTAGATGAAGATGAATCAACAGCGTTTTCAAACATGTCTTTAGCCTCATTTTCCGATAAACCCTTCCTGTCTGTCTCTTATTCACCTTGTCTGATAGCTTGAAAATCGCGAAGAAAACCTTGATGAGGTTTTTCTGTTGACTAAGGTAGTCTTTTTGTGAATAACGCAGAAGATTCATAAATACGACTGAAAATACTTCCCACCTCACTTTTTTCGAAGTATCTGGAAGCAGCAAATAATGGGTTGTTGATGCAAAGTTACTTTCTAACTAACATGTGCGGTTAAATGAGCACTCAACGAAGATTGAAATGCATTGTTTACGATCATTCCAAAATATCAAAAAATTCTCCATAAATCCGTGTTTGCTTCAGTCATGCTTCAAGGCGCGGTTATTTCTTTTGGATATCTTAGCAAAAGTTGTAAATATTTTTCCTCTCTTTCTAACGATGTAACGACTGTAGAGACTTTAGACGTAAGATCTTGAGAGTAGAGCTATATTAGTTTATCGGTTTTTGAGCTGTAGAACCGTATTTTTGCTTCAAAACCTTGGAGCAAAAGCAATCATAGGAAGCTACATTTTTTACTGCACATAATGAGTACTTGCGCGTATCACTTGCTCTGTTTTTTGTTTGACAAAGTCCAAAAGAAGCAAAATTGGCATTTTTATCATGTTGATGTTTTTGGTTAAGAATTGCTCCCAGAAGTGCTCTATTGCTTAGCAAACATGATTCGTTTATATTTTGGTTATTTAGTGGTGTTAAAATGAGCTTTCTTTTTGTTTTAACTCTCGTCATAAAGGAGTAAAATATCATAAACTGCATTAAATTAAACAACAAGTGGCTTAACTATCCCTTTCTTTTTAGCCATACAAGTTAAACTTTGAAAGCTGTTGTCACATCATGCTCCTTTCTTCCTCCAGTATAGTTTCCTCCCCATAAAAAAAAAACTTGCGAATCAAACAAAACCTTTAATATTTACATATACATACACACATGAATTAGTTCATTAATTTGCCCAAAAGACTTTTACTGTTGTCACTACCAATGGAAGACATCAAGCCAGAATAGTATTTGGGATTACTAGCAGGTGATAAAATTCTTTCTGATAATGGATACTAAATATGATCCCTTGGAGGTAAATATACGCTCTTGGTCTTATTCTCTTTTTTTTTTCCTCACCTTTGTTTTGAATTCGTTATTAACAAGTTTTTCCAATGCTTTAAATTCGTTTTCTACTTGGACCATATTTATTTTTTCGGTTTGAAAGGTTTCTTCGATACGTTTTGTCAGCACTTGCTTCAAGTCGCGGTTAGGTCTCACTTTATCTACTGGCCATTTTTGTAAAACTTTTAAAAAAGAACGATAAAGAGGAAGTTCTGTAGCTGGCATGTTTATGTATCAAACAAAGAAAAAAAAATAAAAGAAAAAGAGAGAGATAGCCAGGGTATCAACATGCATATTCGGAGCATAAAAAGAAAGAGAGAAATCAATCCAATGGATCTTTATCAAAAGGTATAGGATCTTCTTCGACGCCTAGTTCTTCTTTCAACTCCTTCGGATTGCCTGGGTAATTCTCAGTAACCGTCTTGAATATGTCATTAAACTAAGAGGCGCATGAGTCTAGAGATGTTTCTCATCCTTACTTACTAAGCGGCGTCTCTTTTTCCATAAATCTCTATTACGAGTGTATTCTTCATTGGTTCTTTTTCTCTTTTCAGGAGGGATAAGAACAGTGCCTGTTTTTATTTTATCTAATCTGTCCTTCAATATCTGGTTTTGAGCCTTGATCTTTTCTACCAATTGTTCTGCTTCGGTGGTTGTCGGTTTACTTGTTAACTGTGAAAATGCTGTCAGACGTTAGTATTCCATCATTTCTCAAACTCATTATTTACTTTGCTCTAGTTTCTTATTTTCAGCCAAGAGTTCTTCATATTTCTGGTCAAGCTCAATCATAGATTTTTCCATTTTTTCAATGTCTTGCTCTGAAGGACCATTTTCATCCTTGGCTTGCTTAACTGAATAAATAAGTGTTTTACCATACGTCTTTGAAAAGACAAGATCTTCATCAATCAATCTTTCCAATACTTTAGCAATGACTGATTTAGAATACTTGTTGTGTAAGTTATTGAAAATATCAGCTATCAAAAGAGTGAATGATTCTTTTCTATTTCTATTAATACTTACTTGCGCTATAAGGCCGATTTGACTTGGTCAAGTATTCCAAAATAGCAGATTCTATGCATATCAGATCATGTTTCTTATCGTATCCTTACCTTCTTCTTTGCTGGTGCCACTCGACTTTTTCTTTGCCATTTTTGAAAATAGAAGGGAAAGAAAGAAAAAAATTGACACAATGCAATGCTGGCATTTATCATGATGGGGTGTGTTTAGCAAGCCCATTTTAGGCCTTGTTCTTTTTTTTTCATTTTTCATTCTCTCTCTCTCTCTTTTAAAAGACTAGATCAAGAAAGACGAGTATGCAATCGCTAGCAAGAATGTATGGAGAGACAGCACTTGTATTATCTTTGATAGCTTCAGTTAGTTATTATTACCTCTATCGTGACAAGAGGTTTACTTTATCAGAAAGATTGTACTATTTAGTATGTAAACGAAATATACAAGAAGCCCTATTAGAACATGAATTATTAAAAGAACGTAAGTGACATGAACAAAGCTTTAATCTCACACAAAAGTATGGTAGCCGAACCCGATATTATCACTGAAAACACTCAATTTGTCGAAATCAATGGTCACCAAATTCGTATTGTACATATTATTCATGAGCTTGGTAGTAAAGTACCTTTGATTGTGTTTATTCACGGACTGGGCGGACAAGTAAGTGGAGTGGTAGAATGACATGTACTGACACATTGCTTCTTTTTGGACATAAGGTGTCACAATGGAAATGTCAAATTGAATACTTTTCACAGACCGCACACATCTTGGCTATTGATCTGTTAGGTTGTGGTAAAAGTGAAGTGACAAAAGAGTAAAGTTGTTGTTTTTTAAAAAAAAATCATTTAAACTCATACTGTTTTATAGCTGGGATGCATATACAACAGAATCGCTTGTAGAAGATGTTAAACAATTGTTATTAGAGCGCTATCAATACCCAGAAACAGTTATCATTGCTCATTCTTATGGTTGCTCAGTCGCTGCTTTTGTGGCTGCATCACCAGAGATACAGCCCATCTTCAAGGGACTTGTCTTAATCTCACCTAAAGAGCATATCAGTGATACACAAAAGAGGAATCAAAAGAGATTAAGGTGGATTCCTGATTGGCTATTTAATTGTGCTCGGACAGCAGACAGAAAAGGTGGTCTAAACTCAAAAAGCGTGGATCGTTTTTTAGGCACTGAACTATCAGACCCAGATATTCGTAAAAAGTAAACATTATGCAGCTATATGATTTACTGACACTTTATGTAGTCAATTGAGATGGAATCTTCAGAGTAAAACATCTGTCTATAAACGATTTGTTCGAGGTGCTAGTTTCCCTACACCTTCTGTTTACCAAAAGATCAAAGTGGGAGTTTTGCTGATTGGTGGAGGACAAGACACAATCACACCGCCTACAGACATGAATGCCATTCGAAACCATTTATTACAAGCCAATGTGACACAAGCAGAGAATATACGTGTGCCTGTACCTTATGTCATTCCTGATGTAGGACATGTGCCTATGGTGGTTCATCCAGAACTAGTCAATCCTGCCATTTCTGATTTCCTTATCAAAAACTGTGGATTAAATACGCTGAGTGGGGCATGGCAAATACTTCATAAAACAAAAGGTGAGAATAAATGGGATTTGAAAAACTATGCCAAGGTAAATGCATACCATGCTATATACATATATGTATTCATTTTCAATGGTTAGTGGGTGAGTGTAGCCAATATTACCAAAGAGCCCATAGGACCTTCACTATTTCGTGCGATGAAAGTCATGCGTCAGACAGATACTTCACATTGCCCTTCTGCCTTATTGGCCAAGTATCCAGAAATCAGATTCATTATTGATATCTCGAACGATACACCTCCTTATCGATCCAGTGATTTTGAACATTCACGTATAGAATACATTAAATTCAAGACAGTCAGCAAGATTCCACCCACAAGAGAAGAAGTAGCTAAATTTAATGAGATTGCTGCTGCTTGTTGGGACAAGAATCCCGAGGCTCAAATTGCAGTCCATTGTCACTATGGCTTTAATCGTACTGGATTCTTCATTTGTTGTTACATGATAGAAAGACTAGGTGTTTCTGTGCCTGATGCACTTCGGTATTTTAAGCAAGTGAGACCCCCAGGCATAAGGTAAAGTGTATACTGACTTACTGGCAACTCATCCATTTTAGGCATGCTCATTTTATTGATGAACTCTATCTTCGTTATGTGTTGAACCAGTGTAATTAGATGTACAGAATAAAGAAAAAATAATAGAATAGAGAAAATCATACCGCAAGCAGGATTTTTGTTGGTATATTAGGAGTTGAGGAACATGTTGCTTAAAAAATAAGATTGAGTGTAAGTAAAGTATGATCCTTCATAGACGCAATTGGCTATTTTATTTAGGAGTTTTATTTTAAAAAGGGTGATTCATATACATAAAAGTCAGTCAACTGTGTATATAGTCCTCCTTCTTTCCTCCTTGAAGAAGACACATTTAAAACACACACAAAAAATTTTTTTCTTTCTTCTCTCTTTCTTTCTTAATGATTGGCATGCCTTGTTTAGGAGCTAGAAGAAAATCTACCAGTACTGTTGCTACACTCCCAAAAGGTAAGCATGCATAAAATGTAACACAACCCTCATGTGTCATTTTTTAGGTACCAACAGTATCAGAAGAGAAAGTATAGCTAGTCAACAAGCATCCAAACTAGCACAAATTCAACAAGAATATAATAATTTGAAATCACAGGTAAGTTTTCCTACTCCTTGCCTTTATTAAAAAAAATTACAATGAAATTCATTACAGAACATGCAACATCTGGACCTTATTACTAAACAATCAAGTGAAATTGAGCAATTAAAACAAGAGTTGACAACAATCAAACTATCAGATAAAGAAAGACAGGAATTACTTGAAAAAAGTCAACAACGTATTCAAGAACTTGAATCAGCACAACAAGAAGCTGTTGTGTCTTCATTATCTGTTCAGGATCCAATACCATTAGAGGAATTACAAAGCCAATTGGAAGAAAAGGACAAGGTGATAGATAGACAACAAGCAGAGTTTGAAAAGCTGAAAGCACAATGGGAAATTGAAAGAGCTGAATTGGTCAAGCCTGCCTTGGAGCAAGTGTCGGCACAATTGGAAGAATTAAAACAGACAGTAACGTATAACCCATATTTGTGCTATTGACTCATGTGTCTGATAGAATAAAATGGCAGTGGAAAGACTGAACGAAAAAGAAAACGAGTTGGTTGAATTACGTGCGGAACTGAGCCGAAAAGATAGACAACCCAAACAACAGTTCACAGCCACAAGAGACCAAGAAAAAAGACTGAATCGATTGACCATGGACCTTGAAAACGATCGCTTATTGGTACAGAAATTAGAAGAACTGAATCAACAACTGGAGGTAATAAAAGCATTTAGAATGATAAGTAAATCTAACCTTGACTTGTAGGCTCAAAAACAAAAGCATGAAGCAATTTTGGAGTCTCATGCTAAAGTCATTGCAGAAAAGGACAAGGCGCTTTTACAGCACCAAAAATCATTGGATCAACTTAAACTTGCACATGAAAATGATACCAAGACATTGGAACAAGAACAAATGCACAACCTTAAAAAGCTTGAACTTAAGCATCAATATGCCATTGATGCTCTTACAAAACGCTTAAAGCAAGCTGAAAACCAAGCCAAGTCACATGTAAATGATGAATTGGACAAGATCTTGGTTGAATTTGAACAATCTCAACACAGCCATTCGGTTGAACTAGCTTCTTTGCAACAATCGCATCAAGAACAATTGTCTGTCATGAAACGAGACCAACAACAAGAAATCAAAAACTTAATGACGGGAGAAAAAGTAGACAGTTTCTTTAATCAACAAAATAGTGTTGATTCTGTCCCTTCTTTAACAAACAACGTAGCTAAACTAAAAGACAACGCAAAGTTTAATTGGCCACCTGTAGCTGTCTAATAAAGTTTATTTTAAAAAGGGATAATCAATAAAACCCTTCGGACCACGGGTGTAAAAAGTGGAACGATCATATTTGTTGAGTTCTGAACCATTCAAGAGTCGTTGAGGCAAATCAGGATTAGCAATAAAGGCACGGCCAAAGGCAATCATACTTCCTGTCTTTTCAGCAAATTCAAAAGCATATTCTCTTGCAGTTGAGAAGCCACTTGCAGTAATCAATGGACCCTTCCAGATCTTTCTAAAGGGCTCAAGCGTATCGTTTGTTGTTGCTTCATCGCTCATATGCACGTCTGCACGGGGCTCGATAAAGTGAAGATAAGCCAAGTCAGGGTGTCTCTCTTGAATGCGAGAAACCAGATAACTTGTTGTAGCGACAACATCCTCATCTTGCATGCCACCAAAGGTTGAACCAGGAGAAAGACGGACACCAATACGATCAGCACCAACAGCATCAGTGATTGTATCAATAATTTCGAGAGCCAATCGAGTACGGTTTTCTACAGAGCCACCATAGTTATCTGTTCGCTTGTTAGAACCTGAATTGATAAACTGATCAATAATAAAGCCACCACCACATTGGATTTCAACACCATCAAACCCAGCTTCGATAGCATTCACAACAGCTTGGCGAAATTCCTGAATAAGACCCTGAATTTCATCAATTGTAAGAGGACGAGGAACTTCATGAGCCTCACCGAACCAACTGGGGCCTTCTATAGGGACATCACTAGCAGATACAACTTGTTCTTGGTTGGGATTGTTCTTGCTGAAAGCTGCACGCCCAATGTGCCATAATTGTAAGTAGATCACTGCCTTCTTTTCATGGACAGCGCGGGTGACCTTTTTCCAGCCTTCGATCTGTTTCTGTGAATAGATACCAGGAATATAAGGGATACCTCCTGCACGGTCTGTGATAAAAGTAGCTTCAGTAATAAGGAGGCCGCCTTCAGATGCACGTTGCTGATAGTATTCAGCTTGGATTTCTGTAGGAACACCGTCCTCAGTAGCACGGAATCGAGTTAATGGTGCAAGAATAACACGATGGTTAAGTGTGTGTCGACCAATTTTGATAGGAGAGAAAAGTGCAGTAGACATTATAAATGATGTTGAGTTGATAAGAGTGTCTGTTTATGCATACGCTTTTATATATAACATTCTTGATCTTGCTGAATAATCTTACCAAGATGAACCTTTTTTAATCATCTGACTTGATTAATAAGCATTTGATGCGTTATGCAATTTTTCTGTAAAATTTCTTTTTCGCCAACAAGATACATACAATTGATAGAGATATTTCCATTTTCAGAATAGGCTCATTTGCGTGCGTAATCACATTCACAAAATCAGAAACCATTTGCTGTATTGTAAAACAAAATTAGAGAGAGAGAGAGAGAGAGAGACGAAAAGGTCTAATATGCGAATAGTTAAAGATGGAAAAAAGAATACAAATAGAATAATGAACCTGTCAAGATATTGATCTTTACATAGTTACCTGCCTAGACATTGGTCTTCAATGTCGACAAAATTGTTTGCGCATAAACTCAAAACACACTCAAAGAGTGAATAGTTGGTACTACCCTTTTCTTTTGATTAATAATAACAACCTTGTTATTCGATATCAGGGAAATAAGATTTAAGAAATCAGATAAAGTGTTCGGTTATTTGATTTTTCAATAAAAGTGCCCATTTGATCTTTATATCATACTTGGTTAGTTTTTATAATTTAGAACACTCCTTTAAATCCAAACATATTGTTTACTGAAAAAATAAATAAAAAAAATTCGAAAAAGCTTTGGTAATCAATGTAGAAACCAAAAGTCAATCTGTGAGTCTCCCTTGCAAAAATTTGAAAAGTAAAAGATGTCGTCGCCAGCAGGATTTGAACCTGCGCAGGCAGAGCCTATATGATTTCTAGTCATACTCCTTAACCACTCGGACATAGCGACTTGTTGTGATTGTCATGTGCGCATGTTTATTAAGGCTCACTTTTTTGGTTTCTTTCGCAGTCTTTCGAGTGATTTTATTATGTTAACAGATCTTCAAATTGGAATGGTACATGTCTCTGATGTTTCTTATTTGTTCTACTTCTTCCGTATGTTGTTTCGTGATATTTCGCTGTGATTTAATTGTGTATTTTATTTTATTTTGTTTTGTTTGTTGTGAACATATATGAATTCATATGCATAGATCAATGCATGATGATTTTGGCAAAAAACCAGATCACATCTATGGTGTGATGATCTGACATTAAATAAGTCTTCATTTACATACTAAAATACATCATAATCAATTTACATCAGAAATAGACATAAAAGAACCTCTTGTACTGAATAAGACAATGTATCTTTTAATAGATCAAGACGTATAACCGAAATCCATAATTTACATTATTTAATTAATTTAAAGTAGTCTATGACAATAGAGACTCAGTCATTTGCATGAGCTCTACTACTACTTACTCCGACATCTCTTCATATATAAATACCTAGAGAATGAAGTGCTAGAAAGAGATATATATATATTTTTGGATAATAAACCTATACAAGTTCTAATCGACTTCTTTGTTTTTATCTTCTCTCTTACATCACAACAACAAGCAATTGTCTTTGTAGAAATTTATTCTAAAGAAAGTATAAAAGACTTAAAGAACTTTAGAAGGAATAAAAACATCTTTAATAATTGATATCTTTTTTTCTAAAATTTTATTTTTACATATATCTTCATTGTCTTTTGAAGGAACTGTGCCTAAGATTATAATCTCTCTATTTGTGTCTATCCCTCTATAATTACAATAGTCTTTAAAGTCTTCTGTTGTTAATTATTGGTTTATCTCTTATATTTGTTAGTCTTGTCGTTCAAGATAAACACAAAGGGAAAAAGAGAGGGTTGTCATGATTACTGTTTTGCATTTTAATATATATACATTAATATAAAGTAAATCACGTGACTGTGCGGTAGTTTGGATTGATCTCTTCATCGTCTTATATTAGTCCGGCTCATAGTGCCTTTCCTTATGCTTTCGTTACTTCAGTTTTACTCTTCCTTTTTTTTTTTCTTACACTATGGTTGTAAGTAACTTCAGCACCTGTGTAATGAGTCTCAAGTAGTTATATTACTTAGAAATTAGGTTTATATCTCAAAGCTGATCTCGAAAACGTCACTGATCTTGCTCCTATTGAAGACTTTGAGTGGTATTTCAAGGTATGTTTGAATCATTTGTATGCTATAATAACGTGTCAACAGATTGAATGTACTAGTTGTCACGAAGTAGATGATAGTTGGATCTCTTTCAACCAACAGGTAGCATAGTATGACTCATTGCACAATAAAAATAACAAGTACAGGATGAATATGACATGAATTCTTCTCGAGGTACTGCCAATTTAGTGATGCGCTGTAAGTTTTGTAAGCGTGATATGACTGCCCGTAAGTAAAAAAAAAAAAAAAAAAAAAAAATCTCCATAAGCTAATATTTGATAGAATTTGAACCTTCTTTCAAACTCAAGAGTTATGATGCAGAACAAAATGGCAAATTCCAACAAATTGCTCAATTTGATTGCCGTGGTTTAGAATTAGTTGATTTTGATCCTAGAGTAAGTACATGTATTTTTGAGAATAGTTGCTCATGTTTAAATAGGAATCTTGGGTTGCAAAAGGTGTTGAATCTGGTACCGTATTTGAAGATATTGATTTGACAGAAAAAGAATGGGTTGAATATGATGAGAAGGTAAAAAAAAAAAATTGATATTCTGCATGAATTAAACTTATTTTTTTTTTTTTGAAGTCTGGTGAACCCGTTGGCATTAACAACATCGAAGTTGAATTTAGAAAAGAGAAATAAATAACTAAAAAAAAAAAATGACACTAAAAAAAAACTTTTTTCTTCTTCCTTTGTTTCATTATGACTAAACTAAACGCTGTTCCTTTTCACCAAAAAGCCTATTGGGAATCTCGATTCGAAAGAGAAAAACACTTTGAATGGCTATTGACATGGGACGATGTCAAACCCATAATAGAGCCTTTTATACAAGAACAACAAGATATACTTCACCTCGGTAAACTAAGAACAAAGACATAACAACATCGAGAAACTAAACCATCATATAGGCTGTGGCAATTCTGAACTTGCATTTCAAATAGTTGACTCTGGCTACACCAACACGATTGTTAATGTAGATTATGCAGAAAATGTGATAGAACACATGAAGACAGTAACACAACAACGGGAAAATCCTGCTTATGCGGGTATTTCTTGGATCTCAGGCGATTGTTTAAATCACCTACAATCTTGTCTACCTCAGCCTGAATACGCTGTCTTGATTGACAAAAGTCTAGTGGATACAATTGCCTGTGGTGATGATGATCATCAAACACGCGTCAAGACATTAGCCAAAGAAATGCTTTCTGTGGCCAAACCAGGCGCTGTTTGGTTCTCTATCTCATTTTCAGGCGAGCGTGAATTCTTAATAGATGATGCAAGCAATGCTTATTGGAAAACAGAAAGAAAACTTCCTGTTGAAGTGAACCAACCCAATGATAAGCCTGGTGCACCTGCTATTTACTATTATGTTTACATGAATAAAAAAATAGTCGTTTATTAAACTAGCCAAATGTTTGACTGATTCTTCCTCCACGCTTTGCTCTACTAAGACGCCATTCGTTTGGTTTTTCGTATCTGTTATAAAGAGGCTCCACCTTTTCTTGCTTTTTACGCTTGGAAATCTTGTTGGCATCTGCAATACGGAAGAAAGTAGGGGCTGCTTCTGTTAACCACTTTGGATCAATGGCTGTTACTTCACGCATATATTCTTTGGATGTAAACACAATTTCATGGTAAATCACCCTGAATATTGTCATCAGTACAAGAATAGTGTGTCCAATTTAGACTTACCATTCAGGTCCCTTATTGAATAATGCACTGGAAGGGTGAATATAGACAGGCGTACCTTCTAATAATGTCTTGTAACCTTCTTGAGGATCCTTTTTAGCCGCATTTCTAAAATAGCCGGAGACAAGTGCTCTTGATACTTTGGTATAATTTCTGCCACAAGAAACGATATCATGACGGTATCTACATTAAGGTCAACGACTTACGCTATGACTATGATCAGCTTACCTGTCCATAATACCCAACAACTGCTTTCTAACATCTTGTGCTCGTTTCATGCTACGTGCTTGAATATAATTATCAAAACACCAAGCATTTGAAAACTTGCTTCCTTTCCATCCGTTATAGACTGTCAAGAGTGTTAAATGGTCACCTTCAGGCTGATGAAACTTGGCTTTCTTTTGATCGGCCTGTGCTTGTTTTTCTTTAGGTCGATAAAACACATTTTGTGCAGTCAACATGGCAACAATGGTCAAAATCTCTTCAGAACAACCCAAGTCAACAGACTGGATCAACATCTTGGACAATTGAGGTTCCAAGGGGAATTCAGCCATTTTACGACCCAAACGTGTCAAGAGACCTTCATCATCCAACGCTTGTAAGGCATAGAGTTGCTCAAGTGCCTGAATCAAGTTATTCTCAGGTGGAGGATCCATGAAATCAAAATGCAATAGATCATTGATACCCATAGCCTTCAATGTCAACACTGTCATGGACAAATTCAGCAATTGAATTTCAGGAATGGTGTTGGGCAACATTTCATTACGATAAGCCGTTTCTGTGTACAGACGATAGCATTTACCTGGACCCGTACGACCAGCTCGACCAGCACGTTGTCGAGCAGCGGCTTGAGAGATAGGCACCACGACCAAGGAGTCCATGCCGAGTTTAGCATCCCACTTGTTTTGTTTGACAAAACCAGGATCAATCACATAGTAAATACCGTCAATCGTAATAGACGTTTCAGCAATATTGGTAGCAATCACGACCTTACGACTACCAGGAGGTGCAGGATCAAAAATACGAGATTGCATTTCAGATGGTAAAGCACTGTAGACAGGCAAAATGATCAGCTCAGGCACATCATTACCTAACGCCTTCATACGTTCAAACAGGATCTCACACGCTGTATCAATTTCTTCTTGACCTGTCAAGAAAAGCAAAATATCACCTGGTGGTTCAGAGAGATGGATTTGCATGACTGTGATCAAGGCAGCGTCCAGGTAATCACTTTCAGGATCCTTAGTATACAATACTTCAACAGGATATGTTCGACCAGGAATAGTGAAGATAGGACAGTTGTTGAAATAAGTAGCAAACTTATCAGCATCCAAAGTAGCAGAGGTAATGACCAGCTTCAGATCAGGTCTCTTTTTAGCAGCACGCTTCAATAAGCCAAACAAGACATCCGTCGAAATCGTACGTTCGTGTGCTTCATCCAGAATAACCACAGAGTATTGACTCATCTCTGGGTCAATCAGACATTCTCTTAAAAGCATACCATCTGTCATGTACTTGATACGTGTTTCTGGACTTGTACAATCCTCAAAACGAATCGTATAACCTACTTCTTGACCTACACGACAGCCTACTTCTTCAGCAACACGCTTAGCTACAGACATAGCAGCCACACGACGAGGTTGAGTACAGCCGATTCTACCATGATTTGCGAAGCCTTCTTCAGCCAGATATTGTGTCATTTGTGTTGTCTTTCCTGAACCAGTATCACCCACAACAATCAACATTTGATTCTAATATCGTATGTAAGTCTAGACACATAGATTGTGACATGGCTTACCTCTCTTACAGCTTCAATCAAAGAAGCTCTTAGCTTGAATGTAGGCAGAGACTCACGTTGTTCCTGAATTGACAAGTTGGTTACCTTACCAAACGTGGTCGCATTGTTAAAAGTGGCTTTTTTCCATTCAGGAATTTGATCTGCTTTGGCTGGCATACCACGAGCATCTTGAGCAAATTGTCTACCAGCAGGCCCAGCCATAGGGTCAATCCAGGTTGAATTCACATCTTGTGGCACGGCATCCATTTCCTGTTGTTGCTGTTGCTGTCTTAATTCTCTACGTTCTTTTGCTAAAGAGGCACCTGCTAAAGCAGATCGGTTGAGTGTACCATCAGGAATCTTGACCACCTTAACAGGACTGAGATCCAAGGTTTGAGATGTTTGACCCTTCAAAAAAGGTGGTTCTTCTTCTCGTACTTCAACATCAATTTCCTCTTCTGCCTCTACATTGCCAGCAAAATCATTATCTTCATTTAGCTCAGGATAGTCAGCAGGATCAACGACACCAGAAGCAATCAACTGTTTCAATTCCCATCGTTCAGGTGAAGACATTCTTTGTACAGAACGTGTAGGAATATCATCCATGCGTGCTGTGTTGTTTTCAATGTACGCATGGCGGTCGGGATTACGCGATGCAATAGCGTCTAATTCTTCTCTGGATCGCACACGCAAGTTGGGACTGAGATCTTCGCCTGTACGTTGATCGACATCTTTCATCGAGAGTCCAATACGATCATTCGTGACTGACATGACTTTGACTTTGACATGTTGTTTAGGTCGTACCACTTCACGAGGATGATTGACGCGTCCTTGAGCTAATGAACCCACATGGACAAGCCCTTCTGCTTTACCTCGAATACCTTCTAATCGAACAAAGGCACCAAAGTCCTTGACGTTCGTGACTGTGCCATGATAGATCTTGTAGATAACAGGTCTATCGTCCATCGTACGTCTTGAAGAAGGTGGTGGTGTACGTGAGCGTCTGCGTCGTGGGGATCGAGACCGGTGTCGTTGTCGTCGATCAGGCGAAGGTGAATGTCTACGTTTTGCTGGAGCATTGAGGCCTTCGAGTTCGGCCAACATGTCGTCTGCTACTTTCATGTCTTCGTGTCGTTTATTCTGCCAGTCAGGATCGTCTTGGACAGCTAAACCAGGGAACGCCTTGGTCTTGTCATCCACATTTTCGTCTCGATGAACCACAGGCTTTTTAGGCTTGAGGGTTTTGATGAGACGATCCAAGTTCTCTACAAAGGGGTCAGGGAAATCAGCTGCGGCTTCCTTGAGTGATTTTTTAAAGTTGTCCAAAGACCCGTTGGATTGGTCGTGTAAATGAATAATGAATTCAGCTACACATACGTTAATACTGCATTAGTTGAATAGACTGACTTACCAAGTACTTGTTCATGTAGACCTGTGTGATTGTAAAGCTCACTCACTACTTTTTGAACAAGAGACAAGTGTTCCAACTTTTCAAGGTCATCCATAGTGAACAGAAAGAAAAGCGTAGAAAATGCTATACTTACCAAGCAGACAGCTGTGACTTTATACGAATTCAATATCCGCCATTAGCTGCATTTCTCTTTTTTTTTTTGTACTAATTAGGTGGCATCTTTATAATAAAGGTCATATACATTGGTAGAAAGAGAGAGAGAGAGAGAGAGAGAGAGAGAGAGAGAGAGAGAGAGAGAGAGAGAGAGAGAGAGAGAGAGAGAGAGAGAGAGAGAGAGAGAGAGAGAGAGAGAGAGAGAGAGAGAGAGAGAGAGAGAGAGAGAGAGAGAGATTGTTGTTATTGCCTCTTTTGTTCTTTGTTTTTATTCACTTTTAAGCCAAAGACATACATATACATCAGAAAAGATAAACTTTAAAACCAATGGGTACAAACGTCTTGTATTAAATATAACAAACAGGTCGCTTAGTCGTGTTTGGTCCACACAAATAATTTCGACCTTCTATCTATGTTGTATCTTGCTATCCATGCTTTAGAATAGAGTCTTGATGCTTTATTGCATTGATATTTGATGAACTTGTATTTCATTTAGAATGCATTGGTTCATGTTTACAATTATGCAAAGAAGACTTAGTGACTGCCTAAACGGTGCAGTGGCTTAGTCCATATCATTTTTTAGCTGACAAGTCTACACTCTTTTCACCCTTTTCTCTCTTATAGACGCGCTCACCATGTCTCTTCAGCTATCTTCCACTAGCAAGCATGTACAGCTCACCAACAGTCTCCTTAGTCTTTACATGACCAATGACAACCTTATTCATCAAAACTTGTCTTTCATTCTCGACACGATTGTCAACCACCGTTTATTTAACGTGACAGAAACCGAAGAAATAGCTGCTGTCCATCGAAAATGGACTATTCGACTCAATGCACTTTTACAGTCTAAAAATATCCCTGCTCGCTGGTGTGGTATTGTACTTGTGCGTGTGACTTGTGAAAACTCGCATACGTTGCTTCTTGCGCATGCTAAATCATGGTGTGCTCAACTCTTGGGCTTTGTAGGCGTATGTATACAGTAGATAGCGACCCCTTATTCATAGGATTCTATAGAAACCAGAGCCTACCCTGATCCATCAAGAATCCATCCAGACATTATCGTCTTTATTTTCTTATACGGCCGATAAACCTGAATTACAAAGAGAGATTGCCACACCTCATCTTCAGCGTTACAATCAACTGTTGCTTCAATTAGGTCGTAAAGATGAATTGCTTGTAAGTCTTACAGACATATTGATTATTGTTGTGCTGATTGTATTAGCCTGTGGTGTTGAATGCATTGGTAGCCAATGTGAAGTCATTTCCTTCTACAGCTCGACATATTTCGGAACAATGTCTTCAGATCTGTCTTTCGTGTCTAGATGGCTCAAAAGAGGTCAGTCCAGAGACCATCAAGGCAGCCAATCAGTGTCTTGTTTGTCTGTATATTGCTGGTGGTAAAGCACAGATGGCAGATCAATGGAAAGATAGTTTATTACGTCTGATTGGCTCTGTTCATGAATGTTTGAGTCGATTGTTTGATACAGTAGATGAAGGTAAGCAAGTCATGGGTGATAGGATATATATATGCTCAAACATAGACTATAGAATCCCTTGATTCAGAATTACCAAAATCATATCCATTCCTTCCTGTTTCTTCAGATTATGTCGATGCTTTTCCTGTCTTGCTTCGACGTATTCAACTGATCCAGGATTGTATCTCTACCTTTTTAACGTAAGTGTGTTTATTTCAAATCACACTGAACTTATTACTGTACAGTACATCTACTTCTATTGCTGTAGGTGTTCCTGTGGTCCATTTAGTTGATTTGATTTGTCGTGTCTATAATGTGTTTGAAGGATCATTGGTAATCAAGCTAATTTAGACACACTTTGTGTATGTGCTGACAAAGGTTTCATTGTTTAGATGCGTGAATTTAAAGACAAGAGTGAATTTCTGACATTGATGATGTGTCTTCCTACTTTACATTTAAGTACAGCCAAGATGTTTACCAGTCTATTGTATTGGTAAGTTGGACATGTCAGCAACAACAAAAAAAAGCTGATACCTATGTAGTTCTGGTCAAGAATTGACTCGATACAACAAACTCTTTTCTCGTATTCTGCTTCGTCTCTTAAACGAACACAAACACAAACGCACATTGAAGACATCTATCTATCAATTGATATCCTTATGCTTAGAGAAATGTGGCTATAGTTTTGCTGAACATATCTGTAAACCCTTGGTATCGTCTATCCTTCAAGACCTTCATATTGTTGAACACAAAATAACGGCTGTTCAACATCAGCACAAGAAAAGAAAGACAGAAGTCACGAATTCAGATGCACTGACAAATAAACTCGTCTCCGTCTCATCCACTGATGTCCAAATAGCAGCACTCCAATCCCTCTGTACTCTATTGGAAGTGTTTGGATTTGCTATGGAGAACAACACAAGGGCATCTGTCGATAGTTTGATTCTCTCTCGACTAATCCAAATCATGCCACCGAGTGATATGTCAAATGAAGACGTGATTCTTGTAAAAGCAGTGTTGTACACTTGCTTAATTGCTTCTGTCACACATCCTATGGAGACACAGGCCAGTATTCTTCCCCACGCTGCTCGGCTCTTCTCTGCAGGTATCAATGACCAGTCACATCAGTTACAGTCTATCTGTAGAAAGGGAGCCAGTGTATGTGATTTAATTATGCATGCAAGATTGCCTCCTGTTCAACGTGTCATGCCAAAGACGGCACCTGTAGTGACAGTACAAGCATCAGAACAAGCATCAGAACAAGCATCAGAACAAGAATCAGAACAAGAATTAGAACAAGAAGAAACAATTCAAGAACAGCCAGTTGACAAACAAGATATCCGCATGGTCACCGAGACTCTAGAACAAGTCATTGAAAAGCCTTCTATCACTTTGCCTTCTGTTCAAGAATCTATCTCTCTAGAGACAAGCAATTCTATTTCTTTAGAAAGAAAAGAAGAGACAAGCAAGTCTGTTATTTTAGAAGAAGAAGAAGTAGTGTCTATTTCCTTAGAAAAAGAAGAACAGTCAGATAAGCCTGTCTCTTTATTACATGTTCAAGATCATAGTCCCTTGATAGATACGACACCTATTAAGCCTAGTACAACTGCCACTGAATTAGAAGCCATTGACTTGAGCCTTGATATCGATATGGATATGCCCATGATTGACTTGACTGGACCTGACTCAGAAGATGAAGAATAAAATAAGGTTTTCTCTTTTGTAAATAAGCTTGATTATGTAACATGATTTAAAATAAACAGTGGTTAAGTTTAGTTATATATGGGCCCTATTTTTAGGAAATGAGATTGTTTTTTTTTCTTTTTTTTTCTTCTTCTTCTTCATCATCATGTTGAAAGCTTTTTTAGATTCTGCCACTCGACCTTCTGAAATTGCTGCTTTAGTTGAATACAAGTTTTCATCCAAAGCCAATATCAATAAACGTCTTGAAAAGCGTTTGGCAGGGGACGCGTCCAAGAAACGTTGTTATGAGTTCTTAAACTTGGTAAGTTCATATAGATAGATAAAAGAGTCCACTCATAGAGAGAGAGAGTAGACATCAAGAAGTTTTGCTGCTGTCATTCAAGAATTAGATGATGAATTAAGAGATGCTGTAAGTCATGTCAAGAAGTTCATAACACACTAAACAAGACCCCCCCCAGATTTGTTTGTTCTATCTCGTCTTGCGTGGTTTAGATACAATTGAAGATGACATGACATTACCCTTGGACAGAAAAGTTGAATTGTTACGATCTTTTGATCAGATCATCTATCAAAAGGGCTGGAATTTCCATGAGAGTAAGTGAACCCCAGGACATTGTTTAGTAAGACTCATATGATCAAAGATGGTCCCAATGAAAAAGATCGTATCCTGTTAGTCGAGTTTGATGTCGTGATTCAAGAGTTCCTTCGTTTGAAACCTGAATTCCAACTTGTCATTGCCGACATCACAAAGCGAATGGGTAATGGTATGGCTGACTATGCTACAGGAGAACATAGAGAGAACACGTCTGTGGCTACGATAGCTGATTTTGATCTCTATTGTCACTATGTTGCTGGTCTTGTAGGCTATGGTCTCTCGGACCTCTTTGCCGCTTCGGGACTTGAATCCCCTGAAATCAAAAAAGATAAAACCTTGTCCAACTCATTAGGTTTATTCTTACAAAAGACCAATATCATTCGAGACTACCGTGAAGATTTAGATGATGGACGTCAATTTTGGCCCCGTGAGATCTGGGGCAAATATGCTGACAAGTTTAGTGATTTCACTAAGCCTGAATATAAAGAACAAGTAAGTAAACCTGTATTCTTCTGTATCTCATATTTTCCCTCCTAGGCACAACAGTGTTCGAGTAACATGGTCTTAAACAGCTTGAGTCATGTTCCTGATGTGTTGGTCTATCTCTCTCAACTCAAAAACCAATCTGTCTTTAATTTCTGTGCTATCCCTCAAGTCATGGCTATTGCCACACTCTCTCTTGTATTTAACAATCCTGATATTTATCAGCGTAATATCAAGATTCGAAAAGGTGAAGCTGTCAAATTGATCTTGGCAAGCACACATATGGACAATGTGGTTGATATCTTTAGACACTATGTATTTGAAATTGGCAGAAAGAACATTGCCACAGACCCTAATTTTATGGAGATTTCTATCTTGATTGGCAAGATTGAACAATGGATTGCTGCTAACCATAAGCCTACTCAAAAGACAGTTCAAACATCTCAATCTTATCTTTTGTTACCTATCCTTGTTGGTCTTGTTGGTTTCTTTATCTATTATGTACGTCTTTAATAAACAAAAACAGTCATCATTAAGAAGCATGGTTCTTGAAATACTGAGTCAAGTTCTCATACACTAGAAATGTAATACATGTACCAGGTAAGACACGAATAATACTGGGTGCTAATCCCTTATAAAACCCTAAATAACCTTCTGCCTTGATCATCTTTTTACCACAATCTATCACACCTGTATAAGCATCTTTAGAAGAAAGGTTCTATGAATATGTTAAAGACCTAGATGAAGAGGGGATTTATATATATATACCTGAAGTCGACTCTTGATCACTTGGTAAGGATAAGTGGCTATCATCGCAGTCACTTTGGAAGTAGCAGCCATCATTAAATACTCGGATTGACTGAGTTGAGCATTCAGTTCGTCTGTTGATGTCAGACCCTTTTTATGTCGAATCTCGTTTCTTTTCTTTTTCATTTCTTCATAGACCATAAACTGAATAGCACCATGGGATGTACCAAACAAAGCAGGCACAAGTCCTCGGTAAAGACCCTTGATGCCTTCTTCTATATACAATCGTCTAAGACCATCGAAGAGTCCTTTATATGCATTGGGTGTATTGTAGGTGGTTGTGCACATGCGTGTCTTGACAACCCATAATGGATTTGCCATGAATGCAGTCAATGCACCTAAGGCCATCATAAGTCATCCAGTCATGTCCTTTCTCTTTTACCTGCTTCTGCTGATGCTACTAAATGTTGTACAGGGGATAATTTGCCTTCATCGTCTTTTCCCATATAATCCTTGATTAAATCATACCTAACGAGTCAGACTATGGTGTCCGTCATTTGTGGCTTACCATCCAAAATAAAAGGCCCAACTCAATGTGGCCCCTACCATGTTTGGCCCCACACCTCGATATAATCCTCGCCATACACCTTCTTCATGTACAATCGATTGAAAGGATTTTATGGTACCTCCTAAAAAGGGTCGTTTATCTGAATATCGAGCTGAATCAACTAAATATGGGTGGTGAATCATGCTGTGTCTGTTGCACTCTGTTTTTACCTTGAAATCGAACTTTGATCAAGTCAAGAGGGTGAAGAAATGTTGTGGAGGCTATACCAGCACCAAACCCTGCTAAAGCTTGATCCTAATACGTTCAATTCAAGTCTATCTGTCTATTTTTTTTTTTTTTTTTTTACTTGTTCTTACTGTATGGGGTGAACCAGTAAATGAAGGTGTATCTTTATCCGTAGCCATGACCAAAAAAAAAAGAAAAGAAGAAAGAAAGAGAAAATCTGGGGTTTATTTTTCATTTTAGAAGCAGGCTTTTTTCCCCCTCCGACGTGTATTTTTTTTTTTTTTTTTTTTTTTGGTATCGCATTAACATAGCATATTTTCAAGGTTCATGTTTTGATCTTTGTCTTGTTGATTGTCTTTGGATTGAATAGTCATTAATTCATGTTGCTTCACTATGTTCTTAAGATAGTCAATGTATTCAATCGCACTTTGAAGAATAGTCATCTTGTGAAGATGATCACGATCTGCACATGATGGAATCAGTTCTTTTAATTGAAGTATTTTATCATTGATTTTTTCTCGACGTCTTCGTTCAATAGCACTATGAGATAGTTTACGTGCTTGTTCTCTTTGATCTGCTGTAGATGGAACAAGACATGTAGGTGATTTAGGTAAAATAGGCTGAATATTGGATGTGGGTGATAGACTCACAGGATGAACAGGTACATAATAAGCTGGTGGATAGACTGGATAATACGAAGAAGAAGAAGAAGGGACTAACTGAGGATAAGGCAATAGTGTTTGAGTGGATCCTTTTCTTTTCTTTAAGGGTGCCATTGTATTGCTATCAAAAGAAGAAGAAGAAGAAAAATGAGAAAAAGGGCTTCTTTTACTTCTATTGTTCATTCTATATATCCAATAACAACAGTATTCTTATATCACGTGTGAGTTTGATTGGTGAAAGAAAAAAAAAAAGGAGAGGAAAGGAAGGGCTTCTTTTGATGAATTCAAAGGATATGTCGTTGAATAGACACACAGTAATGAGTTGTAGTATCAATGCATAGAGAACAAATCATGTAGCATGAAAGACAAGAGTAAATAAATAAGAGTGTCATTGTGTAGTTTATGCAACTGTGGATGAACTGGATGATCATCTATTTAAAGCCCGATATAAAAACCAAAGATGACTGAATTTATTTCATTTTTTTTTTTTAACATGACCACCTTGTTTAGATTCAGGAATACTAGGCTTTGTTCTCATATTCCATTCAAGCGAAACTATGTCTATTCGCGTTTCCCTGTTCCTTATCGTCCCTCGCCCATGACTGATGGATATACACGCTTTCAAAACAATCAACGAGTCCCATTTTATATGTCAAAGCGACTATGGTTATTTGTAGGCACAGGCACTGTATTATATGGTGGTTATTATGTGACTCATTTAGAAAGAGTGCCTATTAGTAACAGGGTACGTTTTATGGATGTCACACCTCGTCAAGAAGAAGGTAAGATATACTTAGAAAGAATATATGTATATATATATATATTTAACAAAAAATAGCAATGGCTATACAAGCGTATAAAGAAGTCATGCATGAATACGGTAGACGTATTCTACCTCCCAATCATCCTTACAGTCAATTTGTCAGAAGGGTAGCCAAAAGACTAGTACGTGTCTCTGGTATGGATCATATGAAATGGGAATTCCATGTTGTCGATTCACCTGAAAGAAAGTAAGTTTTTATTCAAGAAGTCGGGTTTTTATATATAAATAATTCAAGTGCGTTTGTATTACCAGGTGGTAAAGTATTTGTCTTTACAGGCATTTTACCTATTGTTGAAAATGAAGGCAAGTAAAGACACCCATATACATATATATATTGATAAATTAACAGATGGTATGGCTGCTGTCTTGGGGCATGAAATATCACATCAATTGGCTCGTCATAGTGCTGAAAAACTTAGTTTTGCTAAAGTGTTGTTTGCCCTTCGATTTACATTTGCATTGTTTGGTGTCGATCCTTCCTTTCTCTTTAACCAACTGACACTGAATTTTTTAATGATGAAACCATTTTCACGTAAATGCGAGACAGAAGCAGACTCGATTGGACTACAATTGATGGCTTTGGCTTGCTTTGATCCAAGAGAAGCGATTAAGGTATGGAAGCGTATGGAGGCTGCAGGAGGGGATCATGAAATAGCTCAGTTTGCTAGTACACATCCGAGCCATAAAAACCGTATTAGATACTTGACAAAAGAGGTAAGTGTGCTTTTATGAGAAAACATGTGGATTGACATGCGATATATGTAGTTGCCTGCTGCTTTAGAAAAGAGAAATCAAAGTGATTGCTCAAGCCAGATGAGATCATTTGCAGATCAATTTAGAACCACTTGGGTGCGTTGGTAAAACAAAATAAACTTTATTTAACGACTGTAACTTCTTGAGCGATTATAGCTACGTCTTCTATGACGAGAAACAGATCGACTACGACTTGTGCTAGAGCTTCCTCTTGAAGAACGACTTCTTGAAGAACCTATGCTGCTTGAAGAAGGACTTCTTGAGTCTCTTCTTCCTCTTGAAGGACTTCTTCTTCTTGAGACACTTCTACCTCTTGAAGAGTTTCTTGAAGGACTTCTTGAAGAGCTTCTTGAAGAGCTTCTTGAAGAGCTGCTGGAAGGACTTCTGGAACTACTGTAACGTCTCTTACGTATTCTACGAGGAGAAGGGCTACGTCTTCTCTTTCTCGTGCGTCCTCTGTCTTCATCTTCTTCTTGATCTCTGTAACGTCTACGTCTTTCTTTTTCCATCTTTTCTTGTCTTTCATAACGTGCTTCAATTTCTGCGTCTTTACGAGCCTTTCTTTCATCTCTTAATTTGGCTTGCAGTTCACGATCAAAAGCAGCACCTTCTACGTATTCTTTGTTGATCCTCAAGGCCTTTTTGAATTTTTCGTTGTCTTTTTCTTTAGCTGCTTGTAATTGATGCGTTTCGTACTCCTTGAAACTAGTCATGTTAAGGATAAAGGATGGCAGAGTATAAATACAACTTACTTTCTAGCATCTACAGGTTCCATCTTTTCCAGATCAGCCAATAATTTTTCTCTTAATGCTTGTACTTTTTCTTCAATCGCATCATCTGTTAATCTAATTCAAGTGTTATTAATGTCCTTTTCGTGTATGCTTTCTTACCCTTCTTCTTCCAGTTTCAATTGGTGTTCCATGCACTTGACTTCTATTTTACGTTTACGGTCATGATCAAGAATAGCTGCATTAGGTTTTCTTGTTTTGGGTGTCTCTCGATAGTCTTGATTAGCACGGTCTTGTCTGTCTTGACGAGGTGGTTTGATAAACGATAAGTTACGCACCACATAACCATTGGTACCTATGTTTTCTATCAGCATCCTATAGTGATAATATCGCTCTCTTACCTGAACCACGGGGTGTGCTTAAACCAATACCGTTATACATGTTAAAGAAAGAGGTATACGTGTGTGTGTGTAAAAAAAAAAAAAAAAAAGAAAAAAAAAAGAAATAGGACAAGTCACAGCTACTAATTCACCTTTTCTTCTTATTAGACCATGAATATTGATGATTTATTTAAGGTAAAGAAAGATGAACAAAGTAAATAGAATAAACACGCGTTAAAATAGATTCCGGCTATTCCAACAGGCCGTAACAAACGAAAAATGCCTTCGACACCTAACTTGGCGTTTTTAGACAAGTATAAATCTTCAGACCCAGAAGGCGAATCAAATGAACCTGACCATAAAAGACGTCATGTCAAAGAAGAAGAAGAAGAAGAAAAAGAAATAGAACATTATCAAGATCAAGATGCTGAGTTGGAAGATGAAGAAGGTCGTTTCTTTGGAGGTGGTTTAACAGCTGAACAAAGTAATATCCTTGACCTTGTGGATGAATACGATGCAGAAGAAGTAAAGTAGACCATGGCCATTCAATTCACTCATTCTAGCATAGCCAGAAGCATTGACTGCTGCTACTGTCAAGGCCATGATTCTCAAGTTTGAAAAAGCCATCAATAAGAACCAAGAAATGCGTGTACGTTATGCTGATCAGTATGAAAAGTTTATGGAATCAGAAGCAGATTTAGATGAACAGATCAAAAACTTGTTGTTGTTGACAGAAGCACCTCATCTGTATCAAGAATTCATTACACTTGGAAGTGTGTCTTCTTTAATGGCCTTGTTGAGTCATGACAATACAGACATCGCTATTGATACCATTGATTTGATCCATGAATTGATTGATGAAGATGTCGGTACAGCACAAGATGATGTTGAGAGATCCGAACAAGTAGAGACATCAATTAAAGCATTTGTTCAAGCGATGGTAAGTCATTCTCAAGAGAAGCAACGCATCATAACACAAACATAGATGGACAATGAGTTATTACCCTTATTGGTACAAAACCTGGATCGATTAGATGAAAAAGAAGAGACAGACAGACAAGGTGTATTCAAAATCATGGGCATTTTTGAGAGTATTATTTCCCTTGATCCTAAATATGCAGAGAATATTGCACTCAAAGCCAATGTGCTACCTTGGCTCTTGAAGCGTATTCAAGCAAAGCAATTTGATGCCAATGTTGAATATGCCAGTGAAGTCATTTCTATTCTATTACAAGAGAACCGAGGTAATATTTGGTATTAACCATATGAGATATCTCATACACAAAACGATAGATATTCGCCTTAAAGTAGGTGAACTGGATGGTGTGGATATTCTCTTAAGAGCATTGTCTGTCTACAGAAAGAAAGATGCCGAGATTGAGGATGAATCAGAAATGGTAGAGAATTACTTTAATGCCTTATGTTTGCTCTTGAATGAACCTGAAAACAAGGAACGTTTCTTGGCATCTGAGGGTATTGAATTGATGGTCTTGATGCTAAAAGAGAGAACATTGGCACGTATTAGAGCAGTCAAGGTGTTGAACTATGCATTAAGTGGTCAAGATGCCCGAGAGAGATGTATTCGATTTGTAGATGTATCAGGATTAAAGGCTTTGTTTCCTCTGTTTATGGGTAAAGGCAACAGAAAACTGAAGAAGTCACACTCGACTGCATTTAATGAGTCTGAAGATGAAGGTAAATTACACAGCATAAGATGATAGGAGTTGCTTATTTTACTGTAGAGCATATCACTTGTATTATCTTGTCCTTGTTAAGATCAACACATCAACAAGATGTACAGCGTATGCGTGTATTGCTTAAATTTACAGAGAATGATTATGAAAAAGTAGACCGTTTGTTAGAAATGAAACAACAGTATGAACAAAAAGACAATACTGTCAAGCAAGAAACAATAGAAGAAGAAGATGTAGAAGAAGAATATGTGAGACGATTGGATGCTGGCTTATTTACACTCCAACGCGTTTGTTTGTTAATTGCAGCCCTCAGTGAAGAAGACAAAGGTATTCGTAACAAGGCACTCATGTTACTTAAAAGACAAAATCAAGACATGTCAAGTGTATTCAAAATCATTGAAGAAGAGAATGCATTAATGGCTGATTTCATTGCATTAAGACGTATGGCTCGAGCAGAAGCATAAATAACAATGATAAGAATAATAGCAATAAAGAGATGATGTGTTCCTGTAAATTTATTATGATAAGAAATTAATTTATTCCTTTCTGGGCTTCTTGGACTTTCTGACACCGCGGAACTTCTTTTCACGGTTCTTCTTTTCCTTGCGTTGCTTACGACCACCCTTGGGAGCTTCAGCAAGACCAATACGAACAAGACGGTGCTTGGGTTCGAACTTCTTCAAGGCTTCAACGTTATCGTAGATCAAAGCGAAACCAGTGGTCTTTCCACCACCAAAGTGGGTCTTGAAACCAAAGACAGAGACAACTTCCTTGTCAGCCTTGTACATCTTACCAATCTTGGAACGGAGTTCATCCTTGGAGACATTGGCGAGACCAGGGTGAATGACATCAACAACCATTTGCTTACGTTGAAGCAAACGGTTAGTAAGGAACTTACGAGTGCGAATGGTGACAGTAGAAGCGTCGGCCTGTATAAAAGAGATGTACAGATTAGTGTATGGACTTATAGACTAGACCATGAAAGAATGAAGGAAGACGATGGTTGGCATGCATAGCATTACTTTCTTTTTTCCCTTTTCTTCTGCTTTTCTCTTTCTCTCTGTCTCTGTCTCTTTTTTCTTTTTCTTTTTCTTTTTCGTTGACGACTGTTGTGTATCCTTTTTTTTTGAGTTTCATGATAGATCCATCCATCTATAAAATTCATCCATCCATGTTATATTGATATCCATCCTGTCTTTTAGGTTTTCAAGTATCATCCCATCCTCATCATGTGTTGTTTTTTGAGTTATTCTTTTGATCCTATTCATCCATCCATCTATCCATCATCTCCTTCCTTTTTTCTTTCTTTCTTGGTCATTGTTAGTAATTACGCACCATTGTATTGAATAATAAAGAGAAGGATCTCTTTGTTGAGGCACGCCTTGCCACACGATTATACTCTGAGCGCATTCCCTATTTTTTCGTGTCTTTTTTTCTTGTCCAGCCGGAAATGCATTTTAAATTCCGACCAACATTGGATCGAATTTTATTTGACAAAAAAAAAAAAAAAATAGAAAAAAAAGGGGGGTATGCTTAATGATGATGTGTCTCATTTAAGGCAATCATAACCATGAGTCCAATACCAAACACCATGGCCACCAATTCTTTAATAGGCTGGAGTTTGTTGGTTGGTTTAGCTTCTAATAATTCAGGAATGACACCGACAGTGGCAATATACAGAAATCCTCCTGCAGTCACAGGAATCACAAGATCACTCCAAGTCATAGAAGTTTGCCAAAGACCATGATGATGATGGTGATGTCCTTTTTCATGCTTGGATAAACGGATGGCCATTTCTTCAATAGAAATGCCGATCAAGGTACCCATATAAGCACCAATGGCCGTTGTAAATTGAGCCATCATCGCACGCTTTTTAGTAAAACCTGATTTTAACAAGATAGCATAATCACTGACTTCATGAGGAATTTCATGAAAAAAGACAGCCACGGCTGTAGTGGCACCTACAGCAGGTGATGCATAAAATGAAGCAGCCATCGCAATACCATCTGTCAAATTATGCGTAAAATCAGCGAGTAAATTAAGATAGGTACTGGCACGAATAGGCTTAGGGTCTTGCTTGTCGTCTTGTTTTTTTGTACAGGCTACAACATGACGTTGGCGTAAACCTTCTTTTTTGGATGGCGTCTTGACAGCTACTTGATCGACTACTTGTTCCACTGGTTTAGCATGGTCATGATCATGGCCTGTCTTTCCAAGATAGGCTCTCATGCATTTATCTGCTGCATAGAAAATAAAAATACCAGCAAAAAGACCTAGTCCAATCAAGACATTCTTGCGTTCATTATCTTCATGTTGATGGTTGGGTGACTCATGGTGGTCATGGCTATGAAACGCGTGTGGTAATAAATGTAAGAATACATCTCCCAAAAGACTGCCTATCCATAGAGTGTTAAATGAAGTCTATTCAGAAAAAAAAAAAAAAAAAAAAAACTTTACCAACAGCAAAATTGACAAGTGTATTTAAAGTGCTGGATTTGATATCAGGAGGAACAAAATATAATAACAAATTGGGAATAATAGAGATATAAGAAGTGGCCAAAAGCGAATTTATCATGGCATTGCCAGGAAAAAGGAATGCAAACGTAGATACAGTTTGCGACATGTTTCCCCCCTTTTTAAAAAACAAGAAAAAGAAAGAGAAAAAGAAAAAAGAGAAAATCTTTTTTGGGTTTGCTAATCGAATGAGTTTTAAATCCAATAAAATCAACTCGTATACTGTTCTTATTGGATGCTCTCGTCAATTGACTTTATGGTCGAGTTGACCTGTTTGAAATGAGCAGCATGTATTTATTTATTTTCTTTAAGGATGCATTGAGTAGCTATATTGTATGTGTTGATTGTTTCAATAGTATTTATGGGAGCATATCAGCTACTCAAGTCACGATGTAAAATGACGAGTGATGTTGTACACTTTATTAAAAAAATATATATAAATTAAAGAGGTTGATAATGATTACATAAAATAATAAAGGAGTAATGTGTGTGTGTGTGTGTCTGTGTCTGTGTGTTTTTGATTAGCAGATAGCACACACGTTAGAAGCATTAGCACCGGCCAAAGTACAATGATCCAAAGTACCATTGGGGTCACCATTACCCCACCAGTCTGCTTGCCAGCCACTACCAGTAGACACACCAAAGATGACAATACCTAAATAAGAGTTAGAAAACAATACATCGATATGTACTTTTTTTTTTTTTTTACGTACCTGCAATGGCAACACCAGAATCAAAAGCAGCAGAAGTAATGTAATTGTATTTTGTCCACCAATCTCTATGGTATGTACGAACATAGTACATAAAGATGAAACCAGCAGCAAACCACATAGAGAAGTTAAGAGGTACCTATTCAAATGGTGAGTTAAATGCATAAAAAAAAAAGACAAAAGACTTACAGCAGGAGGCATCATACCAGTAGAGTTAAAGATCAAAGGGATATGAACATACTTGTACCACTTGTTGGGATATTTCTTGGACAAGTACCAGAAAGGAATAGGAATAACAAGACCAATCAAGAAGAACCAAAGCATAGGGTTATAAATGGATTCAGGACCAAACATTTTTTGAGGACCAATGGCACCCCAAATGACAGAGGCAGAATAGAAGGTACGAGCACTAGGACAAGTGAAAGGATAAGCAGCAGCAGTACAGATGTTTTCAATTGTGTCCATCAACCAAGTGGCCGTGGCAAGATTGACGACACCAGCTAAAGCAGTACCCACCAATTGAGTCCAGAACATGGCCTTGGGAGGAATCTTGGTGTAGTGACCCAACTTGAGATCACTGACAAAGGTAAGACATTGGTACATGGAGATATAGCCATAGGTCTTAAAGGTGACATTGGCAATAGGGTGACCAGGAAGTGCAAAACCAATAATGAATTCAGTCAAGACGTTCAAACCAGGTTGCTGATTGGTAATGGCTTGAATAATACCAATAGGAAGAATAAAGATAATGGCAATAACGATGGCTAGAATCAAACCCCACCAAGGAAGATAGATGGGCCATGCATAAATGACAGCAAAGGAAACACCAAACGAGATAAGAAAGATGCCAATGTACCACCAATGAGGGACTTCAGGGTAAGCTTGCATCAATTTATGGTGAATATCTTGTGACTCCTTGGAACGAGACATCTTGTATTGACGAACAATATCTTTACCATGATACAAAACAGTATGGGTCAAAATACTTGTCACACCAGCAAAACCAATACCATAAGTGAAGGCAAAGAAGGCTGTCATACGAAGAGGACCATATTGGGCATAGAGTTCAGGATCCAGAAGCTTTTGGTCGTTCAAGACAAGAGAATTGTCCCAGATTTCACCTTGGTCATTGAAAAGAGCAGAGGTAAGAATAGGGAACTTTTGAGCTTCCCAAACATTGCTGTAGTACAAGGCAGGAACAATGATCCAAGCAATAATGACAAAACCGGCACCAATGTTGAGAATAGCAAAAAGAGGAACAACAAGGGGAGAGCTCAAGTAAGAAGTAATGGTGGCCCAATCGAGGGTGATAGAGAGCATACCAAGACCGTTCAAGGAACCGGTGAGTTGAGCCAAAATACGGTTAGAAGGCTTGATCCAGCAAGCCCAAGAGAAGAAAGTCAATACTTGGAAGAAGTAACCAGGAAGCCAATAGTAAATGAACATGCCAATAAAGCAGTAAGCGAACCAACGGATACGAGTAGGACCACTCCAGTTAGACTCAACTGTATGGAAGGATCGGAAAAGAGAGATGTTAGCCAAATTACTGGGCCAGACCATGGCAGCAGGGTATACAAGGTAAGGACGAAGCAAGCCAGCCATACCGTAGCCAAGGAATTGAGTGGTCCAGATCAACAAGATACCTCCACCCCATCCAAGGTTTTGGCCATAGAACAGACGTTGGACAGTAATGATATCAATAGCGTAAGCAGTACTGTAAGAACAGTTAGCCATGACAGTGATCAATACATGTTCTTTCATGTTGAAGGGTCCAGGGTTAAAGAAGCGAGACTTGGGAATAATTTTTTCCATCAGTTTACCAATAGGGAAAGTGAGCAATTGGACAACAAGAGGTGACAAGGTCAAAGCATTTTGTCTGTACCAAAAGAATTGATTGACAAAACTGAGTAAAGCACTAAAGACGATACCTAGAGACCACATACGGAAAGTATAGACAGGAAGCGTAGGGTCATCTTTGCTGTGAATTGGTAAGTAAAAAAGAGAGAAAAAGATGCATGTTCACTTACTTTGAGACAACAGTACGAACTTCTTCAATTGGAGAATCTTCTTCATCTTCTTGATGCTCAAATGAAGACTTTTCCAAGTCACTAAGAGAGTGTTTTTCTTGACTGGTGGTAATAAAATCTTCTACTTTCTCTGAAGTCACTGTTGTTTCTGTTGTGATATAATTGTCTTGAATGGCATAATCCTGCTTCTTTTTATCAGAAGACGAGGCTATACTGGTGCCTGCCATTTTTATCTATGGTTATATACAAAAAAAAAGAAAAAGCAAAGGTTTCTTTTCCTTGCGAATATATTTATATCCAAGAAGTTTCATATTGAGTTGAATCATTCTATCAATTATGTCCATTTTTAGACAATTTTTTTGTGATCACAAGAATACAAAAAATTATCTTATTTCTGTTTTGGGTCAGAATCTCCAATTTAAGCAACTGAGTCAAGTAGGAATAAGATGTATAGTTTATGCATATCGAGAAAAAAAAATCTTGATTAGTATAGAGTCAACTAGACTTGGAAAAAAAAGAGAAAAAGAAAAGAATGATAAGGTGTTTATCAATTGCTGAATAATTATTGCCTTGATATGTATAAATTCTTCAAAAAAAGGAGGATTGAGTTATCAAAAGATTTGCCATATCAGTTGCTCTTTACTCGTTTTGTTTTTCTTTTTTACCTTATTTGAGACAATGTTAGACAAGTGGGTACAACTTGTTTAGTCTAGGGTAGTGCAATTTTGTGATCAAAGTTAACAAAACAGTTGTATATCTCCTTTTTTGACCCAAAATGCCTAGAAATTATGATTTGATAGCAGTGGTGTGGCCTTCTGTTATCTTATCATGGGAAAATCCAATTCGATATAATAAGTATACGTTGCTATTGGCTCTATTTTCTTTCTTTATCTTTTTTTTTTTTTTTTTTTTTTTTTTTTTTTTTTTGTCTACATGGAAGCAACATAAAATCTTACAATGCATAAAGATATACATTGACTCATTGTAAGTCTGAGTCATTTTCCTGCTTAGCTTTTAATAGTCATATGATGAATATTTAAGAAGGGTACACAAACTGCCACTGTTACTACTCTGCCAAACATGAACATTTATCACGATGAATTAGAATAATTTGTCTTGCAAATATATTCTCGTATTCGAGAAATATAAATACTAACACAAAAGAAGTTTAGCAACGTATCTCTTCTCTTTAGGTTGACATAATGGTGCTGGTAGGAATTCTAGTGAAATGTTTATCCTGGAACATCATTACGCATGTGGGGTCTTCTTTACCCGAAAGCTGATATCTAAAAAAGAAAACTAAAAGAGGCTATCAATCAGAAGTTTTTTTTTTTTTTTTTTTTTTTTGATAAATTATTTCGTTTTACTCTAGAATCAAGAACGGATGCAACCCGATGTACCTGAGTTTTAAAACCTTGAAAGATATTGAAGAACATACATATTGAAGATTTTCTTTTGTCTCATCAATTGTTGAACACCACTTTCAGTTTTATTTGATACACGTAACAAATAAAAATCCTTTAGAACACATATTGTGGATTTGATCAAGATGATACATCCTCTTGTCGTCTGAAAAGGAGTTAATCAGACTCTTAAGCTTTTCAGTAGCCCTGTTTTTCGTTCTGTAGCGTCGAAAAGAAGATCAGAAGTTGTTAAACGAGCTTTTTCATGACTAATACCCTTTGGTCAAAAGGCATATTTTGGCCATTTTTTACAAGTCTTTTTTTTTTTTTTTTTTTTTTTTTTTTTTTTTTTGCCCAAATCAACTCCAAATGTATCCTATATGTTATTAAACATAGTCTATAGGTATTTCAGGCATTCCTGTGTATATAAACAGACTTTGCGCCATTTTTATACGCCTAAGAGAAAGACAAGAATTTGTATGGATTGTTGTCTTGTTCTCACTGTTGAAGCAATTTTTTTTTCTACTTGGTTTTCTCTGTGACTTAAGTAATGAACTACCAGACTGTTTAGATAGAATATCTAATTGAAACACGCTTGATTCATTGAGCTGGTGAATCTAATGAGTTAAATCAACTCCTCGATAAGTATCTGATCAACCTTGATAGCTTGGGTACGTCTGTGTGGCACTCAATCTGTCAGACAATGATGTGTCATGCATAGGATAGACACTCATCATAGCTTCGGCTAGACTTGAAATGCATTCCCTGTACTTTGAGCATAGCATACTGGCTTTCGATCAAGTTAAGAAATGGTTGGATTATTATCCTCATTGTTTAAAAGACAAAAAAAAAAAAAAAAAAAAAGGAGGGATAGCTTATTGAATTGATTGTTAACGCAAAGATCAAGTATGTGGAAAAAAATAAATAAATATACGAGTGTACCTTCTTTCCAAGATGAATATTTTCTTCTAACTTGGAAAACTCATCTTGACTCAAGTAGACAAGATTGTCATGATTTTTGGTAGTTTGTCTTCCAATCTTAGCATTATAGGCTAATATTGTTGGCAATTTACGAACCCATCCTATTGTTAAAGACTAAGATCTCGCTACTGCGCCTGTAATGAATTGCTAAAGAGCAGACAGGAAGCAACGTTTCTGAAGAAAAACCCATAAGAAAAAATACTGAATGCTTTGGATACGATGCTCGAGATGCTTGCAAGCCTTTTCAACCATCTTCATAAAGTGGTTGAATACACTTCATACAATTAGTCCAAATAAGCATGACAATAGCCCATCTTCACTAAATTTGTGACGTTGACTTTGAATAATAGGGTCTGGCAAAAAATTTTCTTTTATTTTTTTTTCTCTCTTTCACTTAATAACAAGAACTATCAAGATGGCTGATAACAAGTTCTTTTGTCGCATGTACGAGAATGAGTTCCCCAAAGTTGACGATGTTGTCATGGTCAATGTCCGTCAGATTGCTGATATGGGTGCTTATGTCAAACTTGTAAGCATACATGAGTCTCTTTTTAAATAACTCACATGATATAGCTTGAATATGGAGACAGAGAAGGTATGATCTTGCTTTCCGAATTGTCCAGAAGACGTATTCGTTCAGTCCAAAAGTTGATTCGTGTTGGCAGAGATGAAGTCGTTGTTGTTCTTAGAGTCGATGAAGAAAAAGGTACCCATTTTTTTTATTATACGCGCGTCTGTATATTCATATGAATGATAGGTTATATCGATTTATCTAAGCGTCGTGTTACTCCCGAAGATATCATCAAGTGTGAAGAGAAATACAACAAGTCAAAAGCTGTTCACTCTATTTTACGTCATGTTGCTGAAAAGAACGATGTGCCTCTTCAAGATTTATATGAAACCATTGGTTGGCCCTTGTATAGAAAGTTTGGCCATGCCTACGATGCTTTTAAGATTGCCATCATGTACAGTATGACAGTAGTTTGATTTTGTACTGAGTAGCAACTGACCCGATATTCTATAGTGATGCTGACAGTGTTTTCCAAGGCATGGAAATTGCTCCCGAAGTTCTCAAGGAATTATTATTTATTATCAAACGTAGAATGACACCTCACCCTGTCAAAATTCGTGCTCAACTTGATATTAGATGTACTGGCATTGATGGTGTGAATGCCATTAAGGCTGCCTTGAAGGCTGGTGAATCTGTTGGTTCAGAAGACATTCCTATCAAGATCACTTATTTGGCTGCACCTTTCTATGTTGTCACTGTTGATTCCTTGGACAAGAAACTCGGTTTCGAGATCATTGAGAAGAGTATCGAGGCAATAAAGACAGAATTGGATAAGTATGCTTGGACTAAATTCAAGGTTGAAAAGGAAGCTAAGTTGGTCTCTGATTCTGATGACCGTGACTTCGCTGCTCTTTTGGCTCAAGCAGAAAAGGAAAATGAACTTGTCAGTGGCGATGAAGATGAAGGTGATGCTGTTGCTGCTAGTGATGATGATATGTAGATTTAATAAAGTAGTGAAAAAGTATGCTTTTTTTGTCGGTGTTTCTATTATTTTGCCAAGGTTTTTAAGCACTTGTTTTTCTTTTTCTTTCTTTCTTTCTTTATCTTTTCTTTCAATATGACAATTTATTATACTGCAACGTTTTTCATTCTTGTTGTCGAGGCAAGTCATTCTATAGACATCTATCTTTACTGACAATCATTAGATGGTCGCGTTCTGTCTCCTTGTGGCAAGTATAGTCCCGAGTAAGCAATGTATGTTACTAAATAAACTTATAGATTCCCCTTCCTTCTCGTTGGCGTAGAGCGATTCTTAAATTTGCCTCTACTTCCCCTGTGGTAATTATTTAAATGATCATTTTTATCTATTGACAATGGAGTATATATATATATATATATATATATATATAGGTTGCTAGAGCCATTAGTACCTTAAAGATTGTATTTGGGTAAGTTGTTTCCCCCCCCTTGTTTATTTTTTGACTAATGTGGACCTATCCTAGCTTTATTTTTGTCTTGTTTATTGGTAATACAAGAGAGAAAAAAAAATGAGACTTATGCAAACGTATTATAGATGCTGTAAACCGTTTACAACGTATTGATCAAGATCAGCCTGAAGAATCTCATCAATACCATGATTATAGTTATGAAACAAGCTTAAAGGCACGCAAGTTTTATGCTCAAAGAAACCTTTATTTGACTGGATTTACTTTATTCTTGTCCTTGTAAGTTTTGTTGTTGTTGTTGATTCAATACCTTATTCTGTGCACAGAATTCTCGAGAGAACAAGCACTTTATTGATTCAAATGTTGAAGCATGATGAAGCATTGGAAGATGCTAAAAAGGAACATCTTTCTTCTCAAGAAGATCAAAAGCGTCTATTGGAAATGGAGAAATCATATGAAACAAAGATTGAATCTCTTAAAAAAGAAGTATTTGAACTAAAGCAAGAAGAAAGAGACTTTGAGAACCTCAAGAAGCAAGTTGAACAACAAACTGCTGAATACCATCGATTGGCTGATGAACGCAGAAGACTCGAGTCTTCTTTGAATGAACCCAAAAAGACTGTTTGAATTCCCCCCTCCCCCTCCTTTGATTCCCTTTTCAAATAAAAAAATAAAAGAATAAGGCTTTTATATATCTACATATAAAATTGGTATGGTATGCTGTCAAATAAGCATATATGTATAGTTGTGTATGTATGTGTTTAAGCTACTGGAATACTTGTATCTATTTCGTATGATGTTTCTTCATCGTCTTCATCTGCAAATTCATCGGGATCATAAATAACTCGAATAATCAAAGAGCAAGAAGGACAACGAGCAACATCATCGCCATCCCTTAAATCATCCTAATGTAAATATATATATATATGAGTACAATAGACAATGATGTCTTGTTCTATTATTTACCACTGAGATTTCAAACTTGTCTCCACAGGGACAAGGATATGTATAAACTTGGTCTTCTTCATTAAATTCCATATCTTCAATTTCAATCTAGAACTGTCAATGCATGCTATGCTTGTTTCTTTACTCTTACTTCATCATAAAACGAAGTCATTTTAAGGCACAGTAAAGAAGAGAAAAAAAAAAGAAAGAAAAAGAAAAAATCCTTTTTATTGTTGGTCTTAAATGTGACTTTGTTTCAAGTGCGTTACCAATTATAGCCTTGAATCAATGTTAAACTTGGTATGAGATCCAGTATAGCATAAGCGATTGTCTTGATCATAAATTTTGGTAAAAATATTAGCCAGTGTCTTGCCAACCCTTTGAATTTCACATTCAATACGAAGCACGTTGTCTTTAGCAACACCACTAAGATAAGCAATGGATAGATCAGTAGAGATACCAATCAATTGCCATTGTCTTTTGTTAGAACTGACTAAGATGGCAAAACTACTGCAGATATCAATCAATGTAGCCACACAACCACCGTGTAAATTACCTAAGCTAAAATAACAGTATCAATATCACTCCTGGCAAATATGTGTATGTATATACCTATTGCAGTGTTGTTCATCCACTTTGAATTCCCAAGTCAGTTTATCAGGTTCAGCAGCAATGATTCTCAGGTTAGGACCCACATAATCCTCCCAGCAAAAGGGACCTGTGGGTTTTTCTCGGGCATAATGTTGCACCATGTCAGACAGCCTTGGGTATTCTTGAGCAATGGAATCTAATAACTTCATTTGAAGATAAAGGAAAGAAAAAAAAAAAGAAAAAGAAAGGTACAAGTGAGAAAACTTATGACAAAGCCTTAAAATACTTACTTTGGTGGTTACACTGAAGCATTGAATTTTAGTTGGCAAGCATATATCTATCATCCTGAAAAGCAGTCCCACTAGACTTTCTTTTCTTTTAAAAAAAACTTGGGTCCATCCATTTATTTTTCTTTCTTTTTATTATTTCATCAAACATGTCTCAACCTCAATTCAGTGAAAACGATCAACGTGAACTCGCCGAGGTAAAAAGAAAAAAAAATACATAAAGGGAACTGGTCCCCATATTCACACCTTTTTTAGTTCCTTCAAGCCGAACAAGCCAAGGCCCGTGTTCAAGAAACTGTTCACAGCATGACTGATAACTGTTGGGTAAGATAGTTCAATTTGAAGAGGATAGGTATTCATACCATCATATAGGACAAGTGTATCTCCAAGATTAACAACAAGTTGGATCGTTCTGAAGAAGCCTGTCTCGCCAACTGTGTTGACAGATTTTTGGATACCAGTTTATTCATCGTCAAGCGTCTTGAAGACATGAGATCAAGCGGCATGTAAATAGTTTATATACAATCCTTTCATATATAGAATAAAAAAAAAGAAAAAAAAAACGATTTGCTTTTTTTTTTTAACAAACTAGAGAAGAAACACCATGCATTTCTTCTCGAAGTTCATCCCAAACTTCATACATTTTTTCATTGATTTCTTTCAAACTTTCTTTGTATTCTTGAATAGTTGCATCAAAATCCTTATCAGATTCTTTTGCTTGAATAGTCAGGATTTGAATCTTGGCTGTCTATACATATATAAATATAAAGCATAAGTATAATTTCGTGCTTGATATCTTACTTTTTCCAATTTATCTTTTTCGATACGCTGTAAAGTGCGAATCGTATTAGCAATGACCGTATCCGAAATATCTCTTTCAATGCCTTGAATTTCATTTGACACGTCTTGAAATCCTTCTGTCACAATCTTACAGATAGAATGATATTGCTCTGCAGGACACTTGCCTTCAAGATAGTCCTTAAAAGCACTATATTTTATCAATATTCTCGGTCAGAAGGAATGATTTTACTTACATATCAAACTCTTTATAGAGTTCCATACGTGTGTCTTGAGCCTTCAAGATCTTTTGAAGTTGACCTGCTAAAAGTTCGTTTTTGTCTAAAGTCTTATTTTCTGCTGTCATTTATTTGATTGAGAGAGAAAAAAAAAAAAAAGAAAGAAAAAAAAGTGATGAAATATGTTTGGACGGACTTTATAGTGTCAAATGATGTAACACTTCAAGGATGATAAAGAGTATGGCAAGTGTGCTTCAACTAGTTTACTCTTATGATGCAGTAATGTGTTTCAGGTACTTGATTTGAGAAAAAACACAAGATCAGTCATTGAGCGATGGCCTTGCTTTGCTGTCACCTTGAACTTTCTGCTTTAATTTCAAATGGCAGAAAAAAGAGAAGAATATCTAAAAACATGCAAACCAATCAAGCAGCCTTGCATACTTTTTTTTTTTTTTTTTCGTAAAGGACATTTGAAGAGAATCAAAATAAACTGATATTACATAACATATCAATGCCCTGAAGAAGGCGCTCCTCCTTTCTTCAGGATAAGCAGATCAAATCCAAATCAGAAAATACGTTTTGATTAGCAACATGTCTATAAAATCAAGAGAGTTTCTTCTAGTTATGCACTTGTTATTACGAAACTTGTGTTCCACTTGTTTCCCTTTTATTGTATCACTCTCGGAATTCAATACAAGCAGAAGACCCCCTTAAGCCGGATAGTAATACTTTATAAAATAAATAAAATAAAGACTAACCAAAAAAAGTTCGCTATGATATCCTTGATATATAGCAACGTCATACGAATCAAATATTTTCTTTTTCTATAAAATAAAACAAGGAAGAGTTTCTCTGTTTTGCCTTTTAGTATACAAAAAAAAACAGAAAAAAAAAAAGACCAAGTCTGGTCTCTTTTTATTATTATTATTACTCACCTAAGCCCAAAATTCAAGTCAGCGCACTGTCTAAAAATATATCATTGCGAAAATATTTCTATATAAAAACTGCCAAGATCTGCATTTTTATTTTTCTTTCTTTTCCTTCTTATTTTCAATCATAAAAAAAAATGTCAGCCCCACCTTACAAACAATATAGCAACAGTGATTATTACAGTAACAAGACAGCATTGCCACCACCTTTACCACATCATATCGAAACCAAGCCTTCATCAGATCAATTTGGCTTAAATGAAGCCCCAGTGAATTCACCTGTGCCTTATGCTGCTTATACTCCACCTAACAACCCACCAGGCTTTGCGCCAGCTCCTTATCAAAATCTGAATGATGCACACCGAGACTCGATGTCCGATATGAAGTTTATGAACCACTACGATTCTGATGATGAAATCGAAAAGATTATCCCTCGTGAGCGAAAGCGTCGTTCATGTATGGACAAGCTTTGCTGTGGTTGTTGTACCTGCTGTCCTAAATGGCTTCGTTGGTGTAGTTGTATTATTCTGATTATCATTGTTATTTTGGCTATTGTGATTGGTGTATTGGCTGCTACATTCAAGGTGCCTACTATCAGTTATTCTGGTCTTCAAGGTGAACCTACAGTTGCATTCGCAAACAATGTGCTCAATATGGACTTCAAGATTGGTATCAATGTCGATAATCCCAATTGGGAAAGTATTACGTTTGAAAAGATTCTAGCTGATGTAAGTTGTTATTTACAAAACGAAAGCAATATATATATATATATTGATTTTTTTTTCTTCCTTTCTAGGCTTATTATCCATCACCTTACAATGTCTATATTGGCGGTGGCAATGTCACTGATTTACATATCAATTCCAATGGAGCCACTAATATCACATTCCCATTCAATGTCAAAGTAAACTCGAGTGATTCAGGTCAACAGGGCGTATTGATGGACTTGATGACCAAATGTGGTCTGGATGGTAGTACTCCTCAAAACATTGATATTGATTATTATGTTCATCCTACGGTTCGTATCATTGGTATTCCTATTACTATTACTATCTCTAAATCGATGAGCATGGCTTGTCCTATCAAGGTAAGAATTCGCGTATAGTGACAACATTTTTGACATTTAACTCTATAGAGTTCTGATCTTACTTCAATACTTGGTTCAGGCATTAGCAAAATTTAATAAAGAAAAAAACACATATTCAGCCCATATATCCAAACAAAGAAAAAAGGCTTGTTATTGTTATTGTTATTGTTATTTAAAATGCAAAGGATAATTTGTCCATACTATCTTCAGAGTCTGTAATTTCACCTTCTTCCATCTCTTCATCATCCATAGTAGAAGATGAACTCTTTTCTGAGGATGTTGCAAAGGTATGAACAGCACTTGTACTAGACTGCATATATTGGGGTGGTGGGTATCTAAATCCTTGCGATTTCAAGGGTTTAGTAGGAACTCGCTGTTGAGGTTGCTGGTATAATTCATATCGAGCTCGTTTCTGTCGATCCATCTCATCTTCACTCTCGGAATTATCATCACTGGCATAAGGGTGATAGGATGAAGCACTGGCTGTCATGGAAGAAAGGAAAGGTAAAATCGTCTTGCCGCCCATGTTGGAACGAGGTACAGCCGTACTGCTCGAGGCCATCGAATGATTCGTCTCTGAGGGTTTAGGTTTTTGGTTTCTGGCACGCTTTTCTGGCTTGGGTCGAAGGATTAAGGAGCATAAGGCATTGATGCGTCTGGCAATCACAAGCTCCTTGGGCCAAGCAATGCGAGTCAACATGATAGTAGTGGATTCCAGGTCTGGATCCTGTGCGTCTATCATGTCCTTTGCAATCTGATGAAATGGTAGTTCTGTGTCTGTAATCATCAAATCATGTCGACCAATACCATGCTTGCAAATGCCCTGTAATAATGCTTTATCATGCAAAGGTACTTGCCACCAACTACATACAGATGAGTCGTTTAATCATTCACACTATTTAAAAAAAAAATTACTTACGGTGGCAAGCCCGATGTCTTTCTGGCTTTGGCTATAGCATGATCAAAATCAGGATCGACCATGACATGCTCACGAATCATTTTCATCTGTTCAATGCGCTTCAATGCACGTCTTGCTTTATCGTATGGAATGATATTGACCAATGCTAATTCATCTTCTGTTACCGTTGTTGGCTCTTCACTTGACTCACGGCTCTTTTCATCTTGGTCTTGCTTTTGTTCTTGCTTCTTCATGATTTCTTTACAAGCAGCCAAGAATTTATAATAGTATTGATCTAAAGAAGCATCTGAACGTTTGTCTAAGCCCGAGATCTCTCTAAATCGATCCCAGCGAATATTTGGATCGCCAGACACGGTCTCTACGCCAAACGATAAGATGGTCTTCATGAAATCACTACGGTTCTTTTTTTGCCAACGATGACCCGAATCCGATGCACGGGTACGTTGACGAGTAGGTCGGTTCTCTGTCTGACCAGCCACAGCTCGTTTCTTTTTGTTCTCGATCCCTTGCTCACGTAAAAAAGCAGCAATGATGCGACGTAGACGCATACCGATATCTGCTTTGGATGGCCAGACATAGACAGTTGCATCATCTGTACTTGCAACATCCGAAGGATCTTCTTGCTGCTTCTCAGGTTCATCGTCGTCTTCTTGAAGTGTGCCTGCTTTACTGTCGTCAAATTTTTTACCAAAGAAACAGAACTCCTTGTCTTTGCGCATCGTCAAGTATTGTTGGTAACCGTGCTTACAGATCCCAAGCAAGAGATCACGATCTTCTGCTTCACCCCACCAATCACAAGGCAAAGAACCTGTGACTTTAGGCATCGCGAGTTGTTTGGCTTCCTGCCAGTCCTTGGGCACAATACGATCACGTACCATATGCAACATTTGAATACGAAGCAAAAAGTTTCGGCCTTTACGTTCAATATGCTCGATGTAATCAGCAGGTGCCTGAATCAAGAACGACTTGAATTCCGTGATTTGTTTTCGAGAAGCACCGAGGTAAGGCACTTGTTCATCAGGACTGTCCTGCTGAGCGTCCTGATCAAGAATAAAATCGATATCTTGCAACAACTTGCGATCTTCTTCTGTGTTGGCTTCCATGCCTTGTTTGATTTTACGCATTAAGCATCGAGTGACAGCCTTTAGGTCTTGTTCTGATCGACGGGGGAAATGGGCCTGCATTTGATGCCATGGCCCATAGCCATAAATCATCAGTTTGCGCTCGTATTTTGTCTTTTCAGAAAGTGTCCAAGGACGAGGCATGTCTCGCTTTCGGGATCGCTCAGATTCGTCTTCATAAGCGTCAGAATCATCTGCATTCTCTTGATCTGACCAAGAGCCATCTGCTGTACGTGTACCAAACCGTTGCACTTGTCGTCGACGACGTGGCTCATACACAATCAATTCATTTTCATCTTGGAAGTCATTCAGATCCAAATGTGCCTGTGTAGCCCATTTCTCCCAAAAATCAGGATCGTCCAATTCTACTTTCTGTTGTCCTGTCGAAGAAGAAAAAGTGGCCTTGGAGAAAATCGATCCTTTCTCGTTGCCTTCATGTCGAATGACGGTCGTGCGTCTTTCCAGGATTTGATCAATGTCTTCTTCACAGAACTGTGTACTTTCTTCATCGTCCATGATGGCACCATAAGCACCCTTTTTTAACAGGTCTTCGATTTCTTTGCGTTCAAGTTCGTTTTTAGAGAAAGGTAGGGTATCTTTTGAAGATGGCTGAGCTGTGTTTGAGTTCATGCGTTGCATGACTGCCTTGTCCAGACCGAGTTTCATACCTGCACGATCAAACATGTCTTTTTCGTATGTGTTGCGACAAATCAGACGATAGACTTGAACTGGTTTTGTTTGGCCAATACGATGACATCTGGCTTGAGCCTGTAAATCGTTTTGTGGGTTCCAATCACTGTCGAAAATGATACAAGTGTCTGCAGCCTACAAGTCCAAACATCAGACCAGTGATTTACATCTCTTTCACTTACAGTTAAATTGATACCCACACCACCTGCTCTTGTACATAATAAGAACACAAACGATTGGTCAATTGGCATAGTAGAGAATCTATCAATGGCAACTTGTCTCTGTTCACCAGGGACACTTCCATCAATACGTTCATGAGGATATTGACGGCCCCGAAGATAATCAGACAAAATATCCAGACAACTATGGAATAAAGTCAAAATATATATATGCAGTGTTTTTTTTTTACCTTGTGAATTGAGAAAAGATTAACACTTTATGGTTTCCTTCAAACAGTTTACGAAGTAGTTTATCAATCAAGACAAGTTTACCAGAAGAACCAATCAGGCATTTGAATTGATCTTGAAGTGTCTTGGCTCCAGTTTCATTCACAATCACTTCTTCTGCACCATCCAACAAATAAGGATGAATACAGCATTTACGGAGTTGCATCATGATATTACGCAACTGAGGCATTTCTTTGTTACTTTTGGCACCCTTTTTTAAGAAACTAAAGTTCTTCTCAAGAATAGCTCGATACCATTTCTTTTGAGGGTTTGTTAATTCGACTTCAATCACTGTTTCTTCTTTGACTGGAATACTTTTTTCAACATCTTCTTTAAATCTTCTCAACATGATGGGTTTTAACAATGCTTGAAGTTTCTCTACTTCTGTAGCTGTCTGTAGATTACCATATTCAGCAAAGAATGCCTTTTCATTACTACCAAGTGTATGAATAAGCCTGTTTGATACGCCCTATTATGCTTACCAAAACACTTCAGGTTGCATGAAATTCAATAGACTGTATAATTCATCCAGATTGTTTTGTAATGGTGTACCCGTCAATAACAGTTTATGGTCAATTGAGAAACTCTTGAGTACTTCACCCACTTTGGATTGCTAATCATATTTTAGAAATACATAAACTGTGTGTGTATGTCTTTACCTTGTTTTTTAATCGATGTGCTTCATCAAACACAGCGCATTTCCATGGAATATCTCTAATATGAGAAGAACCTACTGAAGCCTAACTAGGGATCAGTCATTATTGTTAACGTGTGTTTCCCCTTTTTTTTTTTTTTTTTTTTTTTTTACCATTTCATAAGTTGTGATGAGTACATCAAACTTGTATCTGTTTGGAATGGGTTTGTTCTGAACATCTTTGAAATAAAATTCTGTCTCGACCAATAAGTCGCGGGATAAGACAGTACCACGATAATCAATCACATTCAAATCTGTCCAGGCACGAAAGGCTCTTTCCCAGTGGGGAATAGCTAATTGTCTGTCAGATCCATTCATCAACAGGCAACTTACTTGATAAAGGTGCAATAATCAGAAATGGACCACGAATATTGAGTTGATAGTAAATGTCATTCAGAAAAGCAACCGATTGAACAGTTTTACCAAGACCCATTTCATCAGCTAAAATACAAGAACGATGGTTATAATAACAGAACCGAATCCAATTCAATCCTTCCAGTTGATAAGGTCTGAGTTGATTTCCAAACTTGTATTTCATGCTCTTTTCATAAGGCACAAAGGGGCCTAGTTCATAGCGCGTAGGTGGATCAGGCAGTTTCTCTTGAGAAATAATACGGTGGCGTTGATATTCAAGTATTTTAGACATGTCCATCTAGACAAGTGATAAGTAAAGTGAAATCATGGTCTGTATTTTACCTTTTGAACATCTTGTTCACTTTCCCAAGTACTGGCATCATAAAATAAGCCATTCCACTTGACAAGATAATAAAGACTAGGTTCCCCTGTATGAGGATCTACTAATTCACCTTCATCAATCACACGATCTATCTTGAGATACTCTGAGAAATCCTCGCCTCGTTGACCATCTTGATGCCATTTTGTCAGGAATTTCTTAACCCGGTGTTTTCCAAGATGTTCTGCTTCAATCTTTTCTTTAGGCACCCATTCAACATGATGATAACTGGCATACTAGTATATAGAATCAACTGATGGACGTCTTTTTTTTTTTTCTTACCTTGTATTTCACTAAAAGTTCAGGCTGTAAAGTAGTTGGGTTTAATCGATAATCCAGCATTTTCTCAAATGTTTTGGTGGCCATGGGAATCATCACTACAGGTACATCTGAATGCATTGTCTGTTGAGGTTCTTGGTCACTTTCTTGATCTGATTCAACTTGTTCTGCTGGACTCATGTCATCATCATCCTCTGAGAACTCTTCTTGATATTTTTTGACTTTTCGTTTAGACCTTTTCTTTATGGCTTTTTTAGTGTGCGTCTGCACAGGTGCTTGCTGAAACATGATTTGGTTCTGTTGTACAGGTGAATAGACTTGTTCATAACGTCCCTGTTGTTCAAACGATGGATAAGAAGAAAAGGATTGTAATTGGGTCATGTTGTACATTCGAGACTGTTGATTGGGTCCAGACATTTGGACCCCGTCGTAATTGCCCTGAACTGGATAAGCATGATTATTTAATGGTTCATTGAATTGAATCAAATTCATAAACTGTGACTGAGTAGAAGAGGACTGGGTCATGAAATGAGATTGTGTAAAACCAGTATGGGAATAGAAATTCAGCCCTGTTTGTGGTGCAGCCGCATTCACAAACAACGATGGATCCAACAAGTTTGAAAACAAGTCGTCTTCACCAAAAGACTGCTGCTGCTGTTGTGGTGGTTGTGGTTGTTGTGGTTGTTGTGGTTGTGTAAAAGGTGATTGCAAAGGAATACCACTTGCTTGTGGATTACTTTGTGTAGGATGGTGTACCATCTTGGTTTATAAGGATAATAAAAAGAAAGAGAATTTTTATATGGACGTGCACGCGTCTTTTTTTTTTCTTTTTTTTTTTAAAAAAAAAGATATATTGATTATGATAGTTTTGTTCTTTCTTTGTTCTCTCTTTAGTTATGTTTATCAAGCAACAATAAAAAGGGGAAAAAAGTGGGTAATTTATATATATATAATAAAAAGAAAAAGAGAGGAATATAAAAAAAAATAAAAAAAAAAGAGAGATTTTAAGCTTCAAGATCATTGAATTTGGCTTCAATTTCTTTGAAAAGAGCATTATACTTTTCACAGAGCACATCTTCACCATCAGCAGGATCTTCAAACTTCATAGAAGACAACTTGTAAAGAATATCACCCATCGATTCACGAATCTTGGCCCAAGTAATTTGGTTGTTTGAAGATTCAACAGCGTGTGTAGCATGATCATAGAAACCAATCATGTTACGCAACATCCAAGTTGTCTTGAAGAAAGGACAGTAACGATCATAGTTGGAATAACCGTTTTGTTGAAGGAAATCATCCTTAATGATCTGAGCAACTTCCAAAGTAATCTTGTCAGATTCATTCAGACCAGATTTACCGACCAATTGGACAATTTCAGAAAGGTTTTCTTCCATCTGAAGAATTTCCTTACACTTGTCACGAAGACTGATGTATTCTGGATCGTTCTTTTCGTAGTAAGGTTCAAGGACCTTCATGTACTTGGAATAAGACAAGTTCCAGTTGACGGAAGGAAAGTGCTTACGTTGAGCAAGTTTCTTATCAAGACCCCAGAAGACTTGGACAATACCCAGTGTGGAAGTAGTGACAGGATCAGAGAAATCACCACCAGGAGGAGAGACAGCACCAACCACAGTGACACTACCTTCACGGCTAGGGTTACCAAGACAAGTGGCTCTACCAGCACGTTCATAGAAAGAAGCAAGACGAGCACCAAGATAAGCAGGATAACCAGAATCAGCAGGCATTTCAGCAAGACGACCAGAGATTTCACGAAGAGCTTCGGCCCAACGAGAAGTAGAATCAGCCATCATGGCCACATTCTTACCTTGATCACGGAAGTATTCAGAGAGAGTGATACCTGTATAGATAGAGGCTTCACGAGCAGCGACAGGCATGTTGGAAGTATTGGCAATCAATGTCGTACGCTTCATGATAGACTCCTTACGACCTTCAATATCAATAGAGAGTTCAGGGAAATCCATCAAGACTTCGGCCATTTCATTACCACGTTCACCACCTAACAAAAAGTCAATAAAAAAAAAACAGATAATGGCTCTCTGTACTTACAACCAACATAGATAATGATGTCAGAGTTAGAATACTTGGAAAGAGATTGAGAAATGACAGTTTTACCACAACCAAAAGCACCGGGAATAGCAGTTGTACCACCTTGGACACAAGGGAAAAGAGAATCCAAGACACGTTGACCTGTCAACAAGGGATAGTTGGCAGTCAACTTTTCAGCAACAGGACGAGGAGCACGGACAGGCCAGAGCTGGCTCATGGTATACTTTGTAGTTTCACCTTCAAATTCAGTCTCAAGCACAACATCTTGAAGTGTGTATTGACCCTTGGGAGCAATGTAAGTGATAGTACCACGACTCTTGGGGGGCAACATGATATTGTGAATGCTGACAAGAGAGTTTTCGTACACTTTACCATAGATGTCGCCACCTGTGATGTGATCACCCACCTAAAGAAAAAAAAATATAGTTAGTGATGACATATATATATATAGTTAGAGAGATGTACCTGGAAGTTAATGGGTTCGAAATCCCAAGCAAAAGCCTTGTCCAATGCAGGTGTAGCAATACCGCGAGGAATATAAATACTTTGAGAAGCTTCTTGAATAGCCTGTAATTTTTTTTGAGTGTTTTATTCTTTTTTATTTTAGTTTACCTTGAGCGGACGTTGAATACCGTCATAGATGTTTGACATAAGACCTATATTCGTTTTTAACAAATGAATATCAAACGCGCATTCATTTATGTATGTTTATGCAGCTTTACCAGGACCAAGTTCAACAGACAATGGCTTACCAGATCTTAAGACTGGATCACCAACAGTAAGACCACCTAAGAAAAAAAATGTAAGCAAAAATAAAAAAAAATTCTGAAACACTTCAGTGGAAAAAAATTACCAGTTTCCTCATAAACTTGGATAGTTGTCTTATCACCATCAATACGAATAACTTCACCTACAAGTTCACTGTGACCAACACGAACCTAAATAGATATATAAATAACAAGGAACAGAAGCAAAAAAAAAAAAGAGGGATGTCATTACTTACCAATTCATACATGGCAGAACCACGCATATTTTCAGCAATAACGACTTGATGCATGTTAGAAAAAAGCGTGTCTACACTTCTTTAGCACTTACCAGGACCAGAGACAGAGAAGATGGAACCGAAATCAGACTCGCGTTCATGGTCTCTAATTCTAGGTAATTCTCTTTGTGCGTTTTCAAGTGCTCCAGCCTATATACAGAAAAAAGAAAATTACACGTTAGATAAAGCAACAAGATAAAACATCAACTTACCATGATTATGTATTATCTGAATAGACAGAAAAGAAAAGAAACGAATAAATAAATAAACACTATTTACTCTTTTTTATAGGCACTTTACCTTTTCTCTATTTTTTTTTGTTTGTTTGAAAAAAAAACCGAGATGGTATAACAAGAAAAGAAGAAAAGGAAAAAGAAATAAAAAAAAAAAGTGTGTCAAGGGGAATCGGTTGTGTGAGTGTAAGTTTGTTTGTTTCGTGGCAAAATGCGCAGTTTGAAACGCCGTATCTTCTTTTGGAGTAAGTGGATATATCTATAAAGTCTTTTAGTCAAGACAAACTTATCAAGGCACTTTATCTAACTTGAATAAAAACAAGTGAGAGATCTTTATAGTGACATCTTGTGCAAAAGAATCGAACAACGTATCGTCTCAAAAATAAAACAGACCAAGGGATGGCAACAGCAGGATAGCAAAAGTAAATCACTTTACTTCTCTTGCTCTCGAATTCTACATATGAATTAAAGACTAATGATTTGTTTGTGCAAAGAAAGAACATGGCAAAATTAAATCAAGAGAATGACTATAAAGCGAATAGTAATTGTGCTTTCAAAATCTATACATTTACATTTCTTTTGGAATAGACAGAGTGTTTTTGTCATTTTTTACCAAGTAAAACTAACAAAACGGCAGCAGTCTATGCTCTATGTTCTCTAAATTACAGTATTCGCTTTTCAAAGTGCTATTGCTTATAAATAAATGCATGACAGACATTGCAAAATAAAGACAGTATTCAACCTATTCATTTCCTTTCATTGTATGTCATGTAACTAGTGTGTTTACTAACTGGCATTGTACATCAATAACATCAAGTAGAATGAGCAGTAATTTGGATCAAATACAGATGGAAAAAGACAGAGGCTTTTCTCTCTGTTTCTCCCTTTTTTTTTAAACCCAACTTGAAAAGGAATGCATACATGAATTCCAATCGCAATCACGCAGCTTTTCTTGTTCCGAATAGATCACCAATCAACGCATGTTTGAGTATTTTAGGTCACGTGAATGCAATACGATTCGTTTGTTTGTCTTGTTTACTTAAGTTGAATTCACTTCTTCTTTTATCTTTTTTCTTCTTTTTATTATTATTATTCTTTATTTCCCAAATAGTAAGCAATATACACCATGGCTTCCGCCGCAAATATTCTTCAACGACAATTTAAAGGTACGAGTAAAAAAGTGAGTTTGTTAAGTATGCTTATTTTTTATGTAGAATTAACACGAAGTCCTGTTCCTGGCTTTGTGGTTGATCTTAAAGACGATAATATCTTTGAATGGCAAGTAATAATCTTATAAAACACATTGTCTAATCCATAATTAGGGATGTTGCACTTATTGGCTCACCTAAAACAATGTATGAGGGTGGTTATTTCAAGGTATGAGAAAGAAAGAAAAAATAGCAGCCGTATAAGTAGACTTACTCTTTAGGCCACTATGTCATTCCCTGATGATTACCCTTTCAACCCACCCACGTTTAAATTCAACAACGAATTTTACCACCCAAATGGTAAGAAAACATGCTATCTCCTGAAAAAAGACTCCTTATTTTATGTAGTTTATCCTGATGGCAGGCTTTGTATTTCGATTCTTCATCCTCCAGGAGAAGATCCTATCAGTGGTGAAAAAGCAGAAGTAAGAATTTAGCTGATGGGTGATACATAGTATTCATTTTATTTATTTATTTATTACTATAGGAACGTTGGAATCCTACACAGGCAAGTAACATACATATTTATTTTTATATTGTATTAACATTCATACTTAGTCTGTAGAAAGTAAACATTTTGATCTAGTATGAGTTATATATATATATGTATATTGACAAGTGATATGATAGGTGTACTTGTGTCTATTATTTCTTTACTGGCTGATCCCAACTGTTCAAGTCCTGCGAATGTAGACGCAGGTGTAGCATATAGAAAAAACCGAGAAATGTTTGAGAGTATTGTGAAAAGTAAGTATGTTTGAGATTATATGCATTTATTAACATGGAACAGTGCAAGTGGATGCTTCAAAGAAAGATATTCCAGCCGGATTTAAGATGCCAACATCAGAACAAGACTTTATGCCTACAGCTCCACCAGAAATAGAAGAAGATGACAACTTGTAAGTTCTTTTGTTTATATTATGATAATATTAAATCCATATCAGCTGGTATGAATCTGGCGATGAAAGTGATTTTGGTGTGGATGATGATGACTATGATGAGGATGAGGATGAAGATTAAATTACTTACTAGAAAAGGGCAAATTTTCTTGAAAATAAAATTGTGTATACATGTGTAGAAATGTCTCCCTCCTGACTGTGTAGATCATTCAGACTCCTTATAAAACTTATCTTTTTCTTTTTCATTTCGCTTTCTCTTTTTCTCCCTTTATTCTTTCTTATGAGTGACATTATTAAAACACCATTTTACTTTGGAGGCCTTGCATCTTGTTCTGCTGCTATTATTGTCCATCCTCTTGATTTAACCAAAGTCCGTCTACAAAATGCAAAAGGAAATCAAAGTATAGGTATGTTTGGTACAGTAGTCAAAGTGATTCGTACAGAAGGGTTCTTTAAGCTTTATGCTGGTCTGTCTGCTTCTATCCTTAGACAAGCTACCTATTCCACTGCTCGACTAGGTGGTTATGAAAAATTGAAACAAATTGTTTTACAAAACAATAAAAGTAAGTTATGCGTTACGATATGCATTATCTCACATATCGGATAGATCCCTCTACATTTCAGTTACTTGGATGTTCTACAGCTGCTGGTATTGCAGGTGGTCTATGTGGCAATCCTGGCGATGTCATCAATGTCCGTATGCAAAACGATGGCCAACTTCCGACTCATCTCAAACGAAATTATATGCATGCCTTTGATGGACTAGTAAGAATGACAAAGGAAGAAGGTCTTGCTTCTCTGTTTCGTGGCGTTGGTCCAAATATCAACAGGGCTATTTTAATGACTTCTTCTCAATGTGTTTCGTATGATCGTTTCAAAGCCTTTTTTCTTGGTCATCATTATCTTTCAGAAGGTATTGGACTCCATTTATTATCCAGTATGCTTGCAGTAAGTTGTATATGCTTATTTATTTTTTGTTGATGCATCAGATATAAGGGATTGGTGGCAACAACAGCTTGTTCTCCTGTTGATGTAATCAAGACCAGAATGATGTCTGCTAGTGGATCAGAAAGCACACTGTCTGCTATGCATGTTATGCGTACCATGTATCGTTCGGAAGGTGTTTTGGCATTCTTTAAAGGCTGGACTCCTTCTTTTATGCGTACTGGGCCTCAAACCATTTTTACTTTTATCTTTTTAGAACAATTTAAAAAATGGCATTCAATGTGGCACCATCACCCTTTGGTATCTTCTACTGTAAAGTTATAATTTTAGATAAAATGTGTTTATAAACTATCTCATGAAAATACCTCAAAACGGGTAAATGATAGACATCCCTTGCATGCAATAACTAGAAATTCTAATCACTCGTTCAAGCCTTATAGTTTTGGAGATCTGATTTGAATCCTTCTCCTTGTCTTCTTGACGTAAAAATGCAGGGGAAAAATGAGGCAAATTTATTTGAAGCGCTATTATTGCCCATTTCAGGTACCATCAAGTGTAACACGAAGCTGTCATGAAGTCATTCATTCATAGAATTTGTGTCAATAAGCATAAAACGTGATAAAATGTGGGGCAAGAGCACAAACACATCTTTAAAGTCGGGCAAAAGAGAAGCTAAAAGAAAAAAAAAAGTGGTTGTTATGCAAAAATACAGCATAAAGAAGGGGAGACAAAACTAAAATTATCAAATAAAGAAAGTCGAATAGTATCAGCTGTATTTAATGACCTTTATTTCAACGCAAGAAAAAAAAAGAGAAACTATATATAGTATTTTTGAATTGAACATGATATATAATTGCATTGTTTTCTTTTCTCTCTTTCCTTTTCTTCTTAAACACAAAAGATGAAGAGTCAATATCAAAGCATAAATACAGATCAACAAAGATTACCAGATGAAGATACTCGTTTAGTGCCTTCAAATACCCCACTAGAAAGCCATAGCAAAAGTAGTACTATTGACAATATGATTATTTTTTACTGATTCTTTCCAGAATATCAAGCATTACATATATTTCAATTATTACCATCAATTTTACTTGGATCTATAATATGGTTTGGAGTCACTCCTACAGAAGAACTCACAGTGACATCCATACGATTACTGGCGGTATTTATCAGGTAAGAAATCATATTTTGTTTATTTTGTATGAACAATGATGTAGTTGCATTGTTGCCCTGATTACTACGTCAGTTGATATATCAGTACTTGTCTTGACCGCACTCGCCTTATTATCGCTCACCCATTCTTTCCAATGTGAAGATCATGCCACGGGTTCAAGCATTGAATGTCGTCTCTGTGGTGAAATGGACCCCTTAACAGGAGATCTATATGACTGTAAGGGAGGAAAAGAAGCCTTTCATCATTCACTTGAGGGATTTTCGAGTTCGGTCGTTTGGTTGATCTTTGCTGCTTTCCATTTGGGAAAGGCAGTTGAAGTGACTGGGCTTGGAAAACGCATCTCCCTGTTCATGATCCGCTCATTTGGTAACCGTATCATAGGATTAGCTTATGCTGTCTTGATCTCAGAATTGTTTTTGGCTCCCTTTGTGCCTAGTAATACCGCTCGAGGAGGCGGTATTGTCTTGCCTGTAGTTCAGTCCATTGCTACCAGTCTTGGTTCTCTGCCTTCTCAGAATCCAAAAATAGGTGGGTTCTTGATGCTTGTAGGTGCCCATGCAAACCTTTTATCGGCTTCCATGTATTTAACAGGTACGCAAAAATAATATGTAAATGCAGCTCTAAATGATATGTAGGCATGGCACCTAACCCTATTGTCTTGGCAAAAGCAAACTTGTTATACCCTGAATTACAGTTTAATTTTATGACTTGGATCACTGGAAGTTGTGTTCCTGCATTAGTGTGTGCTGCTCTTTTACCTTTATTGTTGGCTTGGTCCTGTGGCATATTTAAACAAAAGGCGCAAGAGGAAGAAGAAGGACAACAAATGAAAATCAATGGGGAAGATGTGATCAATCATGCTAGTAAACAACTTGCCGAGATGGGCTCCATGTCTCATAAGGAATTGGTAAGTACCCTATAAACAAGACACATTGTTCTCAACTGAATAGCAACTCTGCATGGTTCTTTTCGCTTGTTTGATTTTATGGATCACTTCTGGCTATACATTCATTGACGCTACACTGGTTGCTTTGATTGGTATTGTTGCTTTATTACATATGGGGACCATCTGTTGGAAAGATGTTTCCAATAACACAAATGCTGTAAGTGAACAATGCCTATAGATGATTCATAACTGACTTGATTTCTATAGTGGGAAACACTGTTCTGGTTAGGAGGTTTTGTTACGATGGCAAACCAACTGTCTGAGTCAGGTGCATCTCAATTCTTGGGTCATCAAATTTCCTCGGCCATCACCCACCTCAAACTACCACCTGTGCCTGCGTTAAGCATTGCCTATTTCCTCACGACATTCATGTTCTCCTCTCTCAGTGCACATACAGTTGCGTTTGTTGCTACCTTCTTGGATGCCAGTCATGCATTAGGCGCAAACCCAATGATAATGACATGCTTATTAGCTTATTTTGGTGCACTTGGTGGCTGTATGGTAATATTTTTTTTTATGTATAGGATTCATGACTCATGAAATAATATAGACCAATTTCTCTACTGGAAGTTCAGCCATGTATTTTGCTCCTGGTTATGTCAAGCGTTCTACTTGGTTTATCGTGGGATTTCAACTGACTTTATTCTATCTCGTCATCTACTTTACTGTGGGTATGGGATGGTGGAAAGTATTAGGTTGGACTTAATTTATTAAACATTGAATCTATTTGGTATGCATTTTTTCAATTTCATCAAGCACAACATGGCTTAGATTTCTAAGAACTTGTTTGGTATAAAAACTATGGGTATCATCATTTTCTTTTAGTTTGATGCCCATCTTGTGGCCAGCCCAACGTGCTTCATAGATCATGGCAGAGAATTTGAGAGGGCCATGATCTGGGATGGGGTCTTGTTCTGGCACATAGTTTTTCCATATGTTGTGCTCACAAACACAATGAAATGTGAATTGATCAGCAGTGGAACTTGAGAATTGGATACCGAGTTGACCGAGTACGTGTTGCAAATCCATCGTCATTTGCAAAGGTGTCACACGAAACAAGTGACCTCGGTTAAAGCTAAAAAAGCTTTTAGGTGCAGGTGATACGGATTTCTTTTGATTCTTGGAAGGAATATGTTCAGATTTACTTTTTTCCATTATCACGGGTTGATCTGAAATACAAAATGAGTCATGTCGGTTTAAGTTTTTTTTTTTTTTTACCTTTTCGTTTGGGTTTTGGAGAGGAAGAAGAAGAGGAGGAGGAGGAGGAGGAAGGGGATAGGGATCGATGAGAAACTGCTGTAGAATGAGGGGTCGTATCCGCTTGTTGTTTTGTCAACATGGGATCCATTTGTGTCGGTAAATTACCAGTGGAATGATCAAGTGAATGGCGTATGTTTTTACGACTGAAGGATAATCTTCTCCATGAAGATTGACGAGTCGTTGATGGGCTCTTTTGTTTTTTAGGAAGGGTGTTAATACTGCCAGCAGAATTTCTTTTTTGTTGTGATGTTCCCTTTAATGAGGAAGAAGGCGAAGATTTAGGTACACTTGAGTTAGAATATTTGCTACTTGAAGAGGTCGTTGGAATAGCCTCATGATCGTCCGTTGTGTTTGAAGGAGAACTTCTGCCTGGAATTTTCAAGCCAAACTTCTTTACAGCCTGTAAACTTTTTTTTCGAATCAGAGTAGACGTGCTTATTCTTTCACTTTTAGAAGCAGTCGGTATAGGAGTAGTGGGCGTTGAGTTCTCCCTGTGTGTTGGCTCCCTTGTGAGGGGTGGTAGATCAGGCAGTTTTTTTGACGTATCAAACGTTCTTCTTCTGGTAAGATTGCCTGATGATGAAGGTGGTGGTGTCAATCCTTGAGAACGATCGCTAGGTTGTCTACTGACAACCAATGTACTTGTCGATCGACTGAGCGTCAATGGGTTAGGTTCTGCATTTAAAAGTTGTTTTTTTCGTTCATCTGATTCTTTTCTTTCTTTGACAAGGTAGTAAATAGACACGAGTGGATCATACATGGCTGGAAGAGACTGAAAATCATCTTGAATCACCGCCTTTTTGCGAGTGGATAAACTGCGTCTCCAACGAGGCTTGCTTGCTAGTGACTGATCGTCACTGACCTTCTTTTGAAAGTTTTGATCAATTTTAAGTGCTGCTGTTTGGTAGGCAGAAGAAGTAACAATTCTTTCAAGTTTATCTTTGATTTCTTCAGGACTTCCAAGTCCAAAACCATGCATGCCTTTCACAATGTCCATATCGATGGTTTCGATCGGCTGTCGGTGCGGCAAGTAATTACGAATAGGCTCTTCATAACCTTTATTCATCCAAGGATGTGCTTGAATGGCAGATAATGTAATTCGGCGACTAGGATCAACCACAAAAATTTTGGAAAGTAAATCAAGGCAGTCTAGACAAATTAGAGAAAGCTCCTTTGTTTATATATTACCTTTTCCTAAATGATCAGGGTAGTCTTCAACAATGCCAGACTTGATTTTTTCGTGTAATGCAGGTAAATTGGTATCGTCAAAAGGGACTCTGCCACACACCAAGACATATAATACTACGCCAAAACTCCAGACATCTACTTCTGGACCTGTATAGTGCTTTGCTCGTAACAATTCAGGTGCTGCAAAATAAAGCGAACCACAAAAAGTGTCGAGTTGTTGTGTAGGCGAATAGACATTGGATAGACCAAAGTCAATAATTTTCAATTGTTCAGATTTTGTAATTAAAATGTTTTCAATCTTGAGGTCTAAGGTTACAACTATGAGTTATTGCTTTAATTAAAATGCATGTAGACTTGCCTCGATGCACAATGGAATTTCTATGGCAATAGTCTACATTAGGGTTAGTTTTTATTTTTTTTTTATTTATGCATCTTCATTTCTTTACCTAATGCACTGACAATTTGGCGAGCAAATTTCCTAGCTTGCTTTTCACGAAGCTTACCATGTTTAATGATATAATCTAATAGTTGACCGCCATCAACATATTCCAAAAACATGTAATATTTATCGCCTTCTGCAATATATTCTTTTAATTGACAGATATTGGGATGCCGCAATAAACGCATGATGGCCATTTCTCGAATTGTTCTCTGTTCTCGTTCTTCAGGTGTATCTTTTGGATCTTTTGATTTAGTTTTGCCTGATGATGCTTCAAGGTCTACTTTTGGCATGATTTTCACAGCATACTAATAGAGTAAATCAATAAGATCATGATTCACAGCTTACTTTTTGCTTATCAACATCCGTTAGACATTCCGCTAATTTTACTTTTCCCATAGAGCCTGCTCCAATAGTCTTTCTATAGATGACATAGTTCTGAATCTTCATGACCTGATGACGCTCAGAGTGTTTGCGAGATAACGTCTCTTTGCTTTGTTTGGCTGATATTGTACTTGAAGGTCGACATTTGACTGCGTCTGTTATGTTATCTTCCACTGTTGTCATGTAGGTGCAGTATAAAATAAAGAAAACAAAAAAAAGAGAAAAAAAAAAGAAAAAGTGTCTGTTGGGTTCCTTTATGAAGCAAGGCTCTTGTGTCACAATGCTCTTAAGGAGGGGGATGTTAGTAACAAAAATGATGAAAAAAAAGAAAGAAGGAATAAGGGCGTTTCTTGTATAAATCTAGGAAATAGGCACTGTGCAGTGTTCTTTCATTCCCAAGAGAATGGCATGATATGCTGTTACTGATATGGTATGTGGAACGTGACGTGAAAAAGAAGTTGGATAGCAAAGCCGTATCACCATGCTCTTATGAGGCTGTTGATAGTTACACACATACACACACGTCAATAAAATTCTGCATAAATACATCTTGTCACTACAAAACTAGAGACAAAATGTTGGACATAATGTCGTACCACTTTAAATATTAGTATATCCATTTCGGTTTTATTATTATTATTATACGTTCATTTTGCTACAAAAGAGAAATGTGTTAATTTACATGTTAAAAGAGGCGATTAAAAAAACGTACAAACAGACATATTCAAGATGATCCCTCACTTAAAATTCAATGGCATCATAGCGTTTTCTTCTTCAAGAAGGTAGATAGATGATGTAATAATAATCACAATAGATGGGTTTATTTTCAAAAGATGAGAGAAAGTGTGTACAATAAACAAATGGAGATGCATACAAAAAGGTATTAAAAGAATAAATGATTAAATAAATAACAGTAATTTACGATGCTGATGATAATGATTTTGTAAATGATTTTGGAGAGGGTTCACTCAGTACGATATAAGACCAGTTGCCACTCTTTTGGTCTGGAAAACGTGTTTCTAGGTATTTACGAACAAAAGGACATGTTGGTATCACCAGTAAATTCGACTTTTCCACCCATTGGAATGCTTTGTATAATAAAAGGTCGCCTAGGCCCTGCTGTCTATATGCAACTGGAATTTCCTATTATAGAAGTGTGATTAATTTTTTTTTGGCTTATAAAAAATGGAATGACTTACAATATGATAGAATTCAATGATATTTTTGTATCGTGTCGGTAAATAGCATAATGCAGCTAATGGATTTTAAGTTTTTATATTTTATTTTATATTGACTTACCTGTATTGCCTTCTGTATCTAACTTAATTTTAAACATGCAATAATTAGAATCATGAACAATATCAAACGCATGAAACTGTGTTGGAGAAAGAATAGACGACAATTGTGGTAATGCATCTATAGGCTGTAAAGGTGGTGTTTGTGGTGATAGTGGTATTGATAAATTATCTTCCTTTTTTTCTTCTTTGTCTTTTAGTCGTTGTGATTGAATGTATTCAATGTTTCCATAGCCTGACATTTTGAAATCAGGAGGAGATGGTAATGGATGAGAATTTGTCATGACAGCAGTTTCGATATTAGCTGTATTTGTAGTGGGGCTCGAGATTCTTCTGCGTTTACGTCTATCCAAATCGGATAGATAGCTTGAAGTAGTTGCAAATTTAGATTGAAGTGTCAAAACGAATATAAAGAAAAACCAACAAAAATAATGTCCTCTTTTTTTTCTGTCTTTTATAATTGTTGTAGTAAGTGAAAAAAAAGGGAATTATGAAAAAGAGAGAGAAAGAGAGAGAGAGAGAGAGTGAGAGTGAGTGAGAGAGAGAAAGAATAAATAAATTACTCTTTGGAGTTTAAATTTTAAAGGCAACCCGGGATCAAGAGCTTCTCTTTTTTTTACGAAAAAAGGGGGTGTGTGTGTGTACGTTGTACGGGACCTGCACGGGTTATAATACAAAAAAGAGAGAGAAAGAGAGAAATAGATAAAAAGACTAATAAGGTTACCTTGATGCTTCATCACTGTTTCCACCTTGTGTTCGTTTGGTCAAAGCAACTTTATTACAATGATGAAGTTTTAGAGCCATAACAAATTGTAAGAGAAACACTATTGTTTCACTAAAAAAAAAAGTTCGATTACGAGATTCCAGATTTCCACCTGATCATTTATTTTTATCTCCTCTGTAAAATCTAGACTTTTTTAAATTTTAGTGTATTTTGGCTGTGAAAAAAAAAAGAACCTCCCATTGCTCCCTTTTTTTTTAAAGCAGATTATCATTTTCTTATTTGTTCATAGTAAAATGATCAAATTAACTCCCTTTTTATCAAAAAAAAAATCTGATGATCTGAGACAAGTTGATCTGAGACAATCTGTTCATATAATACAATTTTATTTTGACGATGCTAAAGATACAAGGGTAGATTCAGAGACAACATTTGATTTTGGTTCATGTAACATTGTATATGTCAATGTCCATTGAATACGATGAATGGCCCATAAACCTAACTGCCACCATCTTAAATGGCCTTGTTCAGAATGACGAATGGCTTTGATACCATCCCAGAAACCAAGTCCTTTTTGATGACCATAAGTCTTGACCATCTTTTGCACTTGTTCTTTGTCTTGCATAGGTGTATTGTACTTCAATGCAGCAGACAAATTGCGTGTATAAACAGGCAGTAAAATTAAGTCTGACAATGATCGATAAATAAAGGGAAAGCCATAAGGCGAAGTCATGGGAGATAAACGAAGGTGCATCAGAATAGCACCAGGAATGATGGTAAACCACGAATAACCCAATCGATACAAAGCTGCCATGGTATTAAAGATGGTAATCTTTCCAGTGCGATAACGATCAAATGTATGCAAACGTACAAGCATTTGATCTGTTTCCTCTTCTTCCTCTTTTTGTTTACCACCACTGACCACTTCTCTACTCTTTTGATATGTCTTTTCATTCTTCTTTTCTTGTTCCTTTTGTTCATGTGTAGGTTGAACCTGCTTCAGTTCTATAACAATATGAATACATACAAGCAACACTTAAAGAAAGAAATTTACCTTCTTGTTCAATCAGCTGTTCATTGTTGCCAACGGGAACTTGAACATTCTTTCTCTCTTCTCTCTTCGCATTTTCCAAATAAACAGTTTCTTCATCATACACAGGAAGTTGATCTACGTGAGAAACAGCTGGTGGAGGAGCATTTTCAAGGTTGGAGCTTGTAATGTCAGCAAAAGACTTTTTCAAATTGAGATCTATAAAATGAATTGTAAATATACGCATCACGTGAGAAAATCAACTTGCCTTTTTGTTCTTTCACTGTATCGTCTTCGTTGACTTGATTCAATCGAGAGATTTCAGAATAAACAGCCTTCTCATCCTCACCAGCATTTTCTTGAGCCATCAAGTTAGATTGACCCAAGGTAGGGAAATTGTCGTCATTGACAGCCATAGGATCTTCCTCATGTTTTTGGTTGAGAATGGTTTGAGCGCGTTCACTTAAGGGTCTCTTCTCGGGAGGAATCTCCTTAGCAGCTACCTTAGCAAAACTTTGAGAGGCAGGCACGGGAGGCACATGAACAGAAGGTTGTTGGAGCATATCCTTTACGTCAGGTAAATCAGACAATGGGGGTTGATCATTGTCTTGTTGTGTTTCATCGTGTTCTGGTGTAGGGAAACCCTTATTTGAAGCCACATCAGCAAAGGATCGATCAGGATTAGGTGGTTCAGTTGTATCTATTGTCATCTGTTGAATACCTTTTCTCTCTCTCTCTCTCTCTTTTTTTTTTTGGCTTACCTTGGGTAATAGGAGTTGTATTGTTCAACAGGTCACTTACGCCTGCTGAAGCTGGCACAGACGAGGTATCAGCTTCTTTTAAGCTTTCTTGAGGTGTAGGAAATTCTTCAGCCTGCTTTTTTTCATGACCAGCAACCGTGGCAAAACTCTTGTTATCATGGTTAGGCTGTAATTCTGGTTTTGGTAGCTGAGAAGACGCGTCGCTATTGTTCTTGTCTTGATTGGGTTGTGCAACTTCAGCCCAAGAAGAACTTAGACCTGTAGACTTGTCTAAATGACCAGCATCATTTGTTTTGTTATTGTTGTCATTGCCAGACACTGCTTCTTCAAGCGTAGGGAATTCATTAGGGTCCATTGTTACTAGATTGTTTTAGTATCTGAATTTTTTTTTTTGAAATACTTACATTGTATTGCTTTTGTGTTGAATTGATAAAAAAAAGGAAAAATAAGAGAGAGAGAGAAAAGAAGACGAATATATTTGTCTTTATCTTGTGAAAAAAAAAAAAAAAACGAACGACGAAACAAGAACAGTGTAACAATGATGTCATTTTCATGATTCCAAAGGACTTTTCATTCAACCATTGTCTCATTGGACATCTACCTTTTTTTATATATACTCTTTCTTCCTTTAAATACAGTTACCTACTGCCTTTAATTGTCGTTTCATACTGCATTGTCATAAATTACTTTGTTTTTTATTTGTTTGTGGTACAGAATAATGCAAATCTTTTCTTTTTGTTTAAAAGAGCGAAGTCTGTTTATCATTTTACATAATAACGTCATTTTTTTGGTGTCCCAATTCATGCACATGGAGTTTATTTGACTACCAATTGAGAACTTCTGTCACTGTTCAAAATCTGAGCAGCATGACTTGTCTATATATATAAAAAATGAATTTCTCTTTTTCTTTACAAATCTTATTACCTGAATAGAGGAAAATCGCTTCATTTCGTGAGGCTCCATAATTTTCTTGTTAAGACCAAGTATACGTTTACCGAAATTACGAGGTCTAGATAAAGAACGAAGTGATTGTGTGCGATTACGATAGTATCTAACACATGATATGAATACAATGCTACCTTGTCTTCATTTTACCTTCCAGAACCTGTAGAAGAAGGTCTTCTTGAACAATTTTCAGTCATTAAATGGCGTTTAGGTCTAAAGTAACTCTGCACAGCAAATTTGATAAGATCTAAAGGTGCAAACCAGACGATATTCCAAATCCAAACAATACCCGCCAAAGTCCATCCACAGCCCTCTATCTGTGTAAAGCCCCAGTTGGCATACACAGCAATAAACGTAGCAATCAATTGAGCAAAGACAAAGGCGCACATCAATAGAGTAGACGGACGTTCAGTGAAGAACCAACCTTGTGAACGAGTGATAAAAATAAGGCCTTGAGATATTGTAGAGACTTGCAAATAGACTGCAGAATGAAGAACACCATCATTTGGATCGTCAAAAGACTGGACACCACATCGAGTCTGGAAGAAGGACGTCTTGAACACAACAGCGAAGAAAGTTACAGTAGAAGCAGCTAAATAAAGTCCATACATGATCGCATAAGAAAAAATTTCAATTAAGTTCCATTGATCTGGAAAGGGAGAAGGTCTTACACGATCTGTAGAGATAGTCATGATAGTTCCATCATTTAAAATAGCTAAAATCAACACCATAAAGGGTGGGAAATTGTATTTGAAAGCAAAGACCATGACTGCAAAACCCACAACCACACGAATAGTAACAGAGCAGATATAGATAGAATAATTTCGCATGCGCTGAAAGATTTTTCGTGAATGAATTAAGGCTTCAATAATCACAGAAAGACCAGATTCAATCAGCACAATGTCTGCAGCAGACCGAGCAGCATCTGAGGCATCGGCTACGGCAATACCGACATTTGATTTAGACAGAGCAGGTGCATCATTGACACCATCGCCTGTCATGGCTGTCATATGTCCCATAGCTTGAAGACGTTTCACAATCTCATACTTGTGTTCAGGATAGACACCAGCAAATCCATCAGCATGTACTACTAATTCATCCACCGCACTATAACCAGATCCAGGAGGTGGTCCATCTTTCAAAGTTGTTGATAGATACATATTATCGCCTATCCCAAGGCGACGACCTGTTTCTTTTGCAATGGCTAATTGATCTCCTGTAATCATTTTGACTTGCACACCCAACGCAGTAGCACGGTCAATCGTCTCTTTTGTATCTGAGCGAGGCGGATCATAAATAGGCAAGAGACCAATCAAGCGAAAGCCAGTACCTTCTACGTCCTCAATGGCTACTGCAAGAGAACGCAAACCACGACAAGCAAACTCGTCCACATCATCATTAAGCAATTGTATCTGCTGTTGTGTTTTGTCACGCGTACAAAGATCCAGGATAAAGTGTGACATACCTTTGGTGGCACGGTAACGTTTATCTTCCTTTTGATAGGTGATTTCAGTACGTTTGATGGTAGGATTAAATGGTTCAAAATCAATCTCTCGTATCCCTTCTCTAGCTCCCTTTGGATCAGGTAATGAGTTGACAATACAGAAATCAATTGCATCTTGATTTTCAGTGCGAGAAGCATATGCAGCGATCAGGATAATCTCTTCAGCATCATATTCAGCATAACATTTGATGGTTGGTTTGTCTACAATCAGTCGATTAAGAGTAAGTGTGCCAGTCTTGTGAGAACATAAGATTGTCACTGCGGCCATTTCCTCAATAGCTGTAATTCTTGTCACAATCGCTTTGTGTTCAGCCAGTTGCTTTGTCCCGATGGCAAGAGTCACAGAAAGCACCGTGGGCATCGCAATAGGAATGCCACCAATCAGTAACACAAGTAGATTATTAATACCATCACGGTACGAATAACGAAAACCAGCATACATGACCAAAATTTCTACGACCAAGAAGATACCAATACTGCAAAGACAAAAGTTGCCAATTTTTGCCAAAATCGATTGCAAATGGCCCACATCATCGCCAGCATCACCTACAAGCTTAGCTGCACGACCAAAGAATGTGTTGAGTCCAGTTTCAATCACGACGGCTTCTGCTTCACCTTGCTTGACAGTTGATCCCGAAAAGATTTCTTCGCCAGCGTTCTTACTAACAGGAAGTGATTCTCCTGTCAAGGCAGCTTGATCAATAGAGACTTGACCATGAACAGAAAGTAAGCGTCCATCTGCAGGAATGACATCACCTAGCTTGATTGAAATAATATCGCCAGGAACAAGTTCAGCAGCTTCCATGGCGTACCATTCACCATCACGTTTTACTTTACATTCGGGTGCCAATGAATCCATCAATGCCTTGACAGCATTGCCTGCTTGTCGTTCTTCCAGAAATCCAATGACCGAATTTGCTAAGAGTAAGACAATAATGCCAATAAAGTCTTCCCAATCTGGTGGCTGACCACCACCATTGAATAATGCAATAGCTACTATAGCCGTAGCTTCCATAACCCATGATAAAGGGTTCCACATGAAGCTTAAGAACTGTAAGATGGGATTTGGTTCTTTATGATCCAATCGATTATAACCAAACTTTTCCAGACGAAAAGCAGCTTCTTGTGAAGTAAGACCATCTTTTGAAGTTCTATTTGTTTATTAAGTATATGGTTGTATAGACACATTACTTACTGTAAGAGTATAAAGACATCGCTCGGTTCCATTGTTGATAAATCATATCTATCCTTATCATAAAGTTCTTCTACGGTTAATTGCTGCATAGCAGGCATGCCTTTATGATTTGCATAATCATTTGAGCCTGTAGGTACTATGTTGCCTTTTATTGACATGGTATAGCTAAAAGAGAAAGAAAAGGAGAGAAAGAGAGAGCGAAAAAGCTTATTTTAATCACAAAATTACATACAAATCAAGAATATATTCGCCTTTTATATTCAATGCAATTCTCATCAGATTAACTAAGACGAAAACAAGCTTTTTTTTTGTTGGACTCACGTGCATGGATGTTTGTCACATTAGTTACTTTAGGTAAACCACACTTTTTTTTTAATACCTGACATTCTTATTCATGCAATGTTGCTTCAATGTGGACACAAGGCAGTCACAAGCATATTTTATGAGCATGTTTGAATAACACAAGAAATTTTTTCTTTCGCTAAAAAAAGAATTGAATATGAATGAGGATGAAGAGATTATCGATATTGGAGATGACCAAGTTAAGCAGGAAGCTATCAAAAAGTAAAAGTTGAATGTAATTTGTTTAAAAAACTAGACTGAAATTAATCATTACTTTTCAAACGCGTATAGTACACTCTCAATAGAACAAATAGAGTGGACAGAACCTGCTCAAACCGTTGATACAGATATGGATGAAGAGTCTCGGAAATTGATTGAACAAATGCTTGCAGAGGAAGAATACTATTATGGCACAGATACAATTTCTGCTTTGAATTCGACAAAGAAAAAGAAAAGAAAACCATCTCAACAAGCAGTAGATTCGCAGACCAAAAAATCAAAAAAAGAAGGTAATGGACAATGGAAACAAAATATGATAAATTAACAATAAAAAGGACTGTCTTCTGCTTCTATGCCCTCACATAAAACAAGATGGACAGAAGAAGAAGATCAGCGATTAAAAGAAGCATTAGTAAGCATACATGGGTACTGTACATATGAATATTAAAATGATGATAACAGGCTCGATATTCGTATGGTAACTGGAAGTTGATTTCTGAGTATGTCAAGACAAGAAACCCATTACAATGTAAAAATCATGCAAGACATCTTCAGCAAACAGACAAGGTATTTCATTGGCATCACAAGTAAAAGACAACTCATGTTTATAGATTGATCCTGAAATACAATCAAAACCTATACCTGTTATCCAGCAAACACCATCACAACCACAACCATTAACGCCACCAACACCACCACAACAACAACAACCACTACAACCACTACAACCACTACAACAAGGCATATCAGAAAAGGCAGGGAATAAAGAAAATGATGAAGATGATGACGACGATGAATTGTCTATAGACGATAACATGAGTATCAGTCATGAAATAACAGGAACAGAACAAAAAGATATACCCGATGGAAACAGGGACGAGGAAATGCCTCTCATTGAATACAAAGAAGCTGTGCTTGATAACCAAGATAAAATACTTGACAACGAAGACAATGCACCTTACAACGAAGACAATGCACCTTACAACGAAGATAACGAACCTAACAACGAGGAAAAAGTATCTAGCAACGAGGAAAAAGCACCTAGCAACGAGGGTAAAGTACCTGACAACCAAGATGAAACCCCCGATAATAAAGAGACAATACTTGGCAATGAAGAAACAGTACCCAATGAGATAAAAAGAGAGAGTGAATCTTCATTCTCTCCATACGTTATCACTGAAGATGAGAAGTTTAATAACCCTGAATGGTTTCGACAAAAACACAGCAAAACACCCGATCGTTATCTCAAGATCAGAAATCACATGTTAGCGTGCTGGGAACAATGTAAACCTAGATACCTTACCAAGACCAGTGCTCGAAAGGGTCTCAAAGACTGTGGTGATGTGAATGCAATTGGTCGAGTGCATGAATACCTTGAGTCCATTGGGGCCATCAATATAAATTGTGTGACAAGTGCGCCTCGTCCTCCCAAACGAACTTTCCGTGAAAAACTAGAACTAGATGATAAAGACATGTTTGATGCTGCAGAACTAGTGATTGGTTATGATGGACCTCGAAAGAGAAAAGTGAGGAATGAACATGGTGATTGGTAAGCAGATCGAAATCAAATTATATACTTATACTCAATGTAAGGGTGGATCCTAAAGAACTCGAAGGTCGAGTGATTGAACATGATCAAGTAATCACACGTTTAGGTAATTTGTGCTTATGACACTATATGTGTGTGTATATCAACAATCTTTTTGCTAGATTCAAAACCAAAACGTATCATGAAAAGATCACCTCATCATCACTATTATGGTGGTGATGATTTTGGCCGAGGTCATGATCCATTTAGACTTGTACCAACTTTACATTATGACGAAGAAACACCTGCACCTTTTGAAGTTGAGATTGTCAGTGATGCATTGGTATGAAAAAAAAAGAGAGGAATTTGGTTGATTGGTTTTATTAACAAACAAATAAGCTTGTGATGGATTTCCATTCTCACTTGGCACATACCGAAATCATTGGTCTTTTAGGTGGTAATTTCATCCGTAGAGGAGAATCCAAGATCCTTCAGGTCAAGACTGTCTTTCCTTGTCAGAGTACAAGCACTGGTATTCAATGTGAAATGGACCCAGCTTCCGAAATGAAAGCACGCGATGAGTTTGCTGAAAAGGGATTCAATGTGGTTGGTTGGTATCATTCGCATCCAACATTTGAGCCCCATCCTAGTATAAGAGACATTGAGAACCAAACATCCTACCAGACACTTTTTAGAGAAGAAAAGACAGGCGATGAACCCTTTATTGGTGTGATTGTAACACCATATGATCCCGAAACACAAAGCGATCATTCACAAATTCAATATTTACATATCAGCAAAGAATGGAACGAGATACATTCATTTCGTAAGTAAGAAAGATCTTGTACAAAGCTATTGACATAGACAATAGGTGTGCCTTATGCCTGTAGAAGAACAGTCATACAAAGCGAGCAGGTCTCTCAAAACATTTTACAACAAATAGTTGCTCTTATTCATGAATATAAAGATTATGAACAGTAAGTAGAACAAATGAACAGGCATCAGGTTAACATATGTTTAGTAAAATGAACATGCTGGATCCCTTTGGTTCTCAAACAAGATTAGAGAAATTATTGGATTCTTTAAAAGCTCATTTATTTGTCAGTGAACAAGATGAACAAGCATTTTTGGTGGCTGTAAAAGATGCTATTCTAAAAGATTTTGTAGATAAAGAAGCATCAGGCGCAGCAACAGAGTCTGCTAGAATAGAAGAACCTTCAGCCCAATAAAAATGTACATATGGAATATAATTCATTTTCATTTTATTTTATTTTTTCATAAAGAAATACAAATGATAATATAATAGTAAAAAGTAAGAAAGAATAAAGTATATATATATATAATATATGTGACATTTGGTATTTTTTTATAACAATATATGTATAGAGAAAAAGAAAGATGGGTATATTTTCCACTTCTTTTCATTAAGCAATTTGTTGTTTGTTAATCAAATTAGTTACGGCACTGCTATACTTTCTTGATTGTATCACATTAGGTGGATAAGTAGGAGTGGTGGGTGAATAAGGAGCACGGGCCTCCGAATGCTGTTGATGAGCAAAATAAGCTTGTTGAGATTCACCTTGTGGACCACCAGGAGAAGGAACAGATGAAGAACCAGAAGAAGAACTGTTATATCTTGCACGTTGCCAGTCATAGCCACTGTGAGGAGATTCAATAGGACCTGTTTGTTGCATATGGAAATGGTGTGGCATCTTGGGTTCTTCAGAAGTAGGAGTAGGGTTATTGTGGTAAACTTCATTAGCATATGGATCAGAATGACTAGCATCATGAACTGCATAATTAGGAACCTGAGCATGGTGTGCGTAAGGGGATGGAAGAGGAGGATGAGACATGGGAGAAGAAACACTAGCTACTTGTTGTTGCTGCTGTTGTTGTTGCTGTTGTTGCTGTTGTTGCTGTTGTTGTTGTTGTTGCTGTTGTTGTTGTTGTTGTTGCTGTTGTTGGTGTTGGTGATGTTGCTGTTGCTGTTGCTGTTGTTGAACATGAGGATAAGATGGGTAAGCAGAATAATAAGGATATGGTTGCTGTTGTTGTTGAGTAGGTGGTGGGGGAGGGGGAGGATGGTTACCATGGTCATAGCCGTGTTGCATCATGGGTTGGGATTCTTGTGCGGCTGCTGTTTTTTGGTAAGGATTAAACATCATTTGACGATTGCTAGTTTCTTGATGAATAGGGGGGTAGGTTGAGGTGTCATAGGCTGAGGTGTCATGGACTCAGAAACAGCAGGAGTAGATGCAGAATAAGAATGACGTTCTTGATTATCGGCATAATGACCAGGACTTCTACCACGAACAACAAGAGGAGCCGATTGACAATAAGCAATCTTGACAAGTTGATTTCTGTCTGTCTCAGCAAAGAGTTCAGCAATACAGATATAGTATTGTTGAGCAGCTCTTCGCTTGCCATTGTTTGCAGTGGCTGTCTTGAATTGAACACGTTCAAAAGTAACAATATTTTGATTGTTGGCTACTGAGCTCATGGTTAAGTTACCACCAGGTGTGATAGGCTTAGGCTCAGGCTTAAATTGAGGGCCTTTGTCACGTTTAGGAGTATGTTGAATTAATTCGATTTCCTTGTCGCTATTGGCTACACGAGCAGAAATACCAAGGAGGAAACGTTGAACAGGTTGTAAAGAACCATCTTCTTCCATCCTGACATACACACGGGGTTCATTGACAGAGTAATAATGGTTGAAACCATGGACAGAAAAGACACTGCTTACTTGGAAATAGTTGCGTCTATAGCATGTCCAGTCATTATCAGCTAAAAAGAAACCTCTATCCATTTTAGATTGAACACGAACAGATAATCTAAACATATTAGTTATTATGACTATATCAATGGTTTAGTTTACTCACAAAGTTTGTTTGTCAGAAGAGTATAGGTTATCACAGGATTTTGTTGAACTAAAGTAAGGACCAGCTTCATTAGCAAATAAATTAGATCTTCCTCTGCACACATTGCGGGTGGTGAAGGGAGTATGCTGTTGATACAAAGAATTTTCTTGTTGTTGTTGTGTAAGAGCAGCATTGTTGCTGTTACTGTTTTCTGGACGAGGTGTTCCGGGTTGAGAGTGGGCCATCATTCTGGAATAACAGTTATTATAAAAGGAAAATAATGTAGGGAGATAAAAAGCTTTAAATTAAACTATTGAACCAATAAAAACCCATTACAGGTTTTAAAAAGAAAAGTAGAATCTTATAGGTCAACAGTAAAGAAGAAAAGAAAGGAAGGGCACTTACCCTGGTAGTCTACCGTTAGGGTCTGCTTCTGGAGGAGTATAAGGTTGTTGTCTAAAAAATAAAAATTAAGTAACTTTCTCATCAACAGAAGAAAAAAAAAGTTTTTTTTTGTGTAGTACCTGTTGCACTAAACAGCGACAGGTACAGCATAATGCACGGTCTTTATAACAGCACATCAATTACATATGAAAAAAACCTCTTGTCTTTTCAACTTACAAATTACTTTGTTGCGATTGTGCTTGATAGACACTGTTTTGTGGATAAGTAGCAACAGAGGAAGTAGCAGCAAATCCGTTCGAGCTGTGGGAAAGTTTAGGGGATGAAGATGAATCTACTGTCATTGGTGGGGTTTGTAAAGGTGGTTGTTGGCAAATATTGCCTTGCCAATCTTTTGATTCGTGTACTGGATTCATCTTTTTTATGAAAGAAAGAAAGAAGGAAGAAGAAAAAACAAAGAGAAAGGGTTTTTAAAAAAGACAAAAAAAGTTTTGATTTAAAGTGAGGACCAAAAAAAGATTTCCGAAATTTTGTACTACCAAAGGAAAAAAAAGATTGTGAAAAACGTAAAAACAAGAAATAAAGAGAGAAAAAGGAAAAGAGCTATTTAAATCGACTAGCAAAGATCGGGTGCTAAATAATGCATGTATCAATGAATAGAGAAAGAAAAAAAGAGGAAAAAATGAAAGAGGAGATGGTCGGTTGTATACTCCTGTTCCTTTTTTTTTTGCTTTTTGCTCTACTCTCTTTAAGCGTAGAGTAACCAAGAACCCAAAAAGAAATTTGTGTATCTTTGTAACAAAATGTCATTGTCATAAAGCCTAACATGTTCAATGTCTATCAATCTTTTGTAGCGGGAAGGGATTTTCATATTCTTGTACAACATTATACTTGCTGTCTTTTTTCAGCCCCTAAATTTTTTTTCTCCCTTCTCTTTCTGTTGTTCTTTTTTCATCATTTAAAGTTTATTAAGACTTGTTTTAGTCATCCCGGGTAAGATTGAGTTTTGCCCAGACCTTTTTTTTTCTTGCTTTCTGCAGCTTCAACCAATTAAACATGCTTAAGGTCACACACATAGTAACTGGGCGTTTCTTTTTTTAAGACGGAGCCCTAATGTATCATCTTGTTTAGCTCATATTTTATGATGATGTTTCTGAGAAGAAGTAATAAAGAGAATTGAACACATAGTATAGTGTACAGAAAAAAGACTTCCTCTTCTTTAAATATTATTTAGTCTGTGCGTAGTTGTATGAAAGAGCTGACTACATTTTGTGTAAAGCTATATTTTTTTGTTCTCGGAATGTTTCGCCGTAGATTACTCTCGGCCTACTTTTTCTTTCTCCATCCTCTCTCTTTCTAGTTCCAAACATAAAAAAAGTTTCTTCTTCTTTGTTTATTGTTTGTATGAATTCATCACAATTGTAATCGAGAGAGCATCAAACAGGTTTGAGCTATAAATACACAAATCATGAATTATACACTTCTGTTACCGCTACACAAAATAGAGCCACAGTTTGTACACTTTACATGTTAGAATCACACTATGACATTAGCTATTGAACCCTTCTTTCTTGTGAAATGTAACAATATAGATTGGAGATTACAAACTCTCGAGTATTTTATAAATTCACGATAATTAACCAAAATGTCGGGTTTAAAATTATTTTTGTAAAAGTATATTATCGAACTCTATGCTAACGAGCATACTTGTTCATTTCAGCCACTGTTGTACAATTAGAGGCATGTCCTCTGTATGTTTTCTAAGCTATACATTGCATTACATGTAACGCATTCGCATCATTTCTAGACATTTGATGCATAAAATATCTTTAGACTGGCATGTATACCTCACGATAATTTGTGTAATCTCAGATGCATTTCCAATGTCATGCTTAATAGACTCGTTTATGCAAACAAACAACCTCTGGTTTATGAATTCGAGGTCAGACATTCTATGAACGACTTCACTTGTAAAACCACACTAATAAACGAATGTGGGGTATTTCTGAAGTTCTTTACTACCGTTCAATCAGGAACTGCGCCTCTCTCATCGAGAGAACGCTGCTTACTAAAAAGGAAAGTCTCTCTTTTTTTAAACTAGACTGTAGTTCAAACAAGTGTTTACATCTGATTGGCTGTTATGCGCTAATATTCCCTTAAATACTACGGGCCCTATCCTTTTTTTTTCTTTTTTTTCTTTAGACGATATTATATACTCCATTGGGTGGTAAACTTGGTTTATATATATTCATTTTAAAAAAAGAATTTGTCATAAAAAAATGTCCAACAACAGTAAATCCAACAACAGCAACTCAAGTAATGATTCTCTTGCAGAATTATTATCTTTGCCAGTTAATTTCACTGTTGAACCTCTACTTGCAACCCCTGTTGCTACTCCAACATTGTCTCCTACCATGGCTCAAAAGAGACCTGCTTCTCTTGAAAAAGATGAAACTGTGTCCCCAAGAAGTCAAGGCTTTCACTGGATGACAAAGACCAAAAGACAAAAGAAAGAATCCTTCGTAATCGTGCTGCTGCTCAAGAATCTCGCGATAAAAAGCGTAGATATGTGTTCGACCTTGAAAGCAACAACAAAAAACTTACTGAAGAAAATCAAAAACTGACTGACCGAGTCAAAAGTTTGGAAGATCAAAATGCCGTTATTAGTTCACAATTAGAAGCATTCACAAGACAACTAGCTACATTACAAGCACAAATCAAATTCAATGCTGTTCATCCCATCTTGTTTAATGACTTTTGCGATTCAGCACGGATCGCGAAGAAGGAATGCCTTGAAGTTTGCTAGTCCCGTTATGATGAATCTTATATCGCCTCACTTTTTAAGACCAAGTTTACCACCCAAATCTACTTTCATCATGACCTACATATACTATCAATGTTTTCTCCTTTTCCCTGCAGCGGAGGTTGTTGCTCAAGATGAGAACGACAAGCAAAGAAGAGATTATTTAGTCCCCAAGTTACCATCACCCATGCTGTCACCTTCATTTTCATCAGATGAAGATTCTGTGTATTCACCAAACACAATAGTCAATCAAGACTTTCAATTGGACGATCTATTTGACTGGGATGGCCAACAAGTTGCTCTTTAATTACTAATTCTCTTTTTTGTTTATACTTCTAATCACATACACGGCATTCATTCTCTTTTTCTTTCTTTCTTTTTTCATATAGTCATATTTTTATTATTTAAATAAACTAGACTTTCTTAGTCTGTAAACAAGTATCTAATGTCATTAAAATAAGCATGATTTAATGCATCTTTAGCGCTGATTCTTAATTGAGGCTGATATTGGAGCATGCGATTAAGTAAGTCTAGACCACAAGAATCAATCGTAGGCAAAAATTGAGAGATATGCTGAGGTGGATAGACCACTTGAGCAGGCTTGTATTCAGGCAATTGTGATATGTTGGGCCATGTTTGTTCATTGGGTGTACCCATTAAACGAAAGATCTTTTGAAGTTGATCTTCATTGGTTGTGCCTGGAAACAATGGTCGACCTGTATACATTTCTGCCATAATACAACCTGCTGACCAGATATCAATTGATGTAGAATACATACGGGAACCCAACAAGACATCAGGCGCACGATACCATAATGTAACTACTTCATTAGAGAACGTGTTGACTGGAATACCAAAAGCACGGGCGAGACCAAAATCACCTAGTTTGAGCTGATGGTGCTTGTTGATAAGCAAATTTTGTGGCTTAAGATCTCTATGCAAAACACGGTTTTCATGACAATAGGCAATACCTCTCAAGAGTTGATACATAAAGGACTTAATTGTATTGGCGTCTAAGGCACCGTGGGTTGAGCGCGCAGCTGAGTCCATGTATTTCTTCAAGTCTTGGTCCATGTATTCAAACACAAGCGTTAGTTTGTTCTCGGTATGTATAATGTCCTGAAGGCGTACAATGTTGGGATGCTTTAGCTCTTTCATGAGGGAAATTTCTCGAATAGCTGTAGATGGAGCACCTTCTTCTGGATCCAAGTGAATCTCTTTGAGTGCGACGATTTCACCAGTAACTCTGCTTTTTCCTTTATAGACTGTGGCATAGGTACCTTCACCTAACTTTTCTAAACGCGTATATCTTTGGTCAGGAGGAAGACTGTTAGCTGCCATATTCAAAACTGAAGAAAGAAGTGAGAAAGAAAAAGAAATAGATAAAAATAGACGAGGCTGTGGTAATGAGGGGTATCATAGAATGCTTGATTGGGGTGTGTACAGTGCTTCATTTAACGAACCAATTGAATAAACTCAATCAAAAATATGTTTATTCAAAATATGTACAAACAAAACATTATAGAATGAACTTAGGAAGGTACTATCTTGGTGGCGTTGAGAGGAAAAGGAGACATGGAACTGTTTGCTTTTAGTTGACTCTCGAGCAAAGAAAGATTGGAATAGGAGCGTTCTAAAGAGGTTTTCAACTCTTTGTCAACATCACTTCGTGTACGAGATAGCCTTGCACGGGCCAAGAGTGTCTTTTGAGTGCTATGAATAAAGTCTTTTTCTTGTTGAATCTTGTCTAGGATATCTTGCGTTTTTGTAGTCAGACTAAGCATGCATTAATGGTTGTGTTCAAGTTAGTTTTTATTGTTACCTGTCTGAATGCTTAACATCAGATTCTTTGGGTCTCAACTGCATTGATTTGTGTAGTTTTGATTTGGATGGATAATCGTCATAGTCTGTGTTTGGTAAAAGTGAATCTGGTAGAATATGACAAGATTTAGAGGGTTCAAAGAAGAAAGATCGACTATTTCGGTTGTCTGTCTTGTTCTTGACCATTGACTGATAGACATCATTGTTCTTGTCTTCTTGTTCCTTCATAATTTGTTCAAAAGAGTGCTTCTGAAAGCATCGGACTTCCTTCTTCAGACGCAAGACTTGCCGTTTGGCAAAGGCAAGCTGGTCCTCAGAGTCTTCCAGTGCTTGTTGCACAGTCCTGAGTGAGTCTCTATCACGCTTCCACATGGTTGCCAAAATAGACCTTCCTTCACCAGGTGAATGTAATCGAGCAGACGACGATCCTGTGATAGGCACATGAGGCAGAGATTTCTTTTGGCCATAATGTCTCTTTTCTTGCTCTTCTTGTTGTTTAGCTAATTGCTGCTTTAGGCTACTGCTTTCATCTCGCGATTGTTGAATGAGTAACTTGTAGTCTTGATACTGATCCTTCAGTTTTTGCTTACATTTCTCTTTGAGCTTATTTGACTTTTCAGCCTCATATTCCAGTTTGTCCTTTAATCGTTGAATGTTGGCTTCCAAATCGTTTATTTTAGTTTCGTGCTCTTTGGATAGATGCTCTATGCATATCTTCTTTTCCTCCTGCAGTTCTACAATACGCTGCTGACTACTTTTGATCTGCTGTTCATACAGTTGTGTCTTGTCCTGAATTTCGCTTGTCATCTTTTCTAGTTCCTGCTGCTGATTTTCAATCGTTTCTTTAAACTGTGCAGATGCATGATTGATTTCCAAAGCCGCTTGTAACTTTTCTTTTTCTAGCAGTTGTTTATGGAACGAAGCTTGAAGACTGGCACGTTCTTGTTGAACCTTTTTCAATTGCTGTTCGTAGTCTTGCTTTAATCGAGCTATTTGGTCTTGAAGTTTGAGCTTTTCTTTCTTTTCGAGTTGCAATAGACGTTCATCCAATTTTGAGGCTTTGGTTTCCGGTTGAGCCTGTAATGCCAATTGCGATTTTAGTTCTTGTACTTGTTGTTGAAGTCGCTCAATCTCCTGTTGATGGGTTTCTGTGTCATTGTTTGTTTTTTGCTGCAGTTCCGAGTCGTTAGTGTTACGATGGATATAGGTGTAGCCAATAAACGGGTATTCATTATCGTTCAAATCATCTTGGAAATCATTCTGATACAAGTCATCTTCTTCATCTTCTTCTCCGTCTTCCATTTTTGTCGAGGAGAAGAATGTCACATCATCTGGTGAAGTAATCGTAGGAATAAATGGTGGTGTTGCTGAATTGCGTATGGTGTCCCAATCGATTGAACTGAAAAATGGATGCGCTTTGATTTCCTGTACGCCGCAGTAGCCCAATCTTTTCTCCTTGTCCTTTGCTAATAAACTTCAATAAAACAAGTCAGTACATCCAATGTTTTCTTTTTTGGCTTGGTTTTGTACCTTGATAATAAATCTTTTGCTTCCGTTGAAATGTTGACATCTGGACTAAACTGAACTTCAACCTAAAAATAAAAGTATATAAATAAATAAAACAAAATGTCATATTTTACCTTTGGGTTTAACAAACTCATTTGAATCTTGATATCAGTGCCAGTAAAAGGAGTATCACCATAAAGAAGTTCGTAAAGTACAATACCCACAGACCACCAGTCAACCTCGGGACCATAAGCAGGACCATCCACAGGATTACTTCCCTCAGAATCACACATTTCTGGTGAAACATATGGCATTGTACCCACCATAAAAAGATAGTCCTACATAGGCCTAAGTATACAACTATCATATACACACACACGCGCAACTTACATTGGTATCAATCGAAATGCAAGAACCTAAGTCGCCTAATTTGATATGGCCTGTCTTGTCAATAAAGATATTGCCTGGTTTAATATCTCGATGCATATAGCCTAATTGGTGCAATCGTTCTACGGCCAATATTAATTCGGCAGAGTAAAACTTTGCTTCTTGCTCTGTAAAAGGTTTGAATGACCTTCTTTCCAAAAGACCTTGCAAATCGCCTCCTGAAGCATACTCCATAACCAAATACAAGTTATTTTCATCCTGGAATGATGCATGTAATCTAGGAAACCAATGGTCATTTTGGTCTGTTGTGATAGACATAATAAGTCGTTCTTCCATAGGTGATGAGCGGTCCATTTGGTTGATGAGTTTTAGTTTGTTGGATGTCTTCATGGCATATATGTCGTTCTCTTTACTTTTTACAATCGTTACTTTTCCGAACGCACCTTCTGCAAATGAGTCTTTATGAATGATTTGAAAGTCTTTTATTGATAGCTTTGATTTTAAAATGTCATGGTATACTGGTTTATCTATCATTTAAATCAGTTTTAGTATTCAATACGGATACTACATACATAGTTGAATGAATTTGTTAAGATTGTCATTTTGCTGACATTTAGTTGCATTATGATAGAGTGAAATTAATGCATCAATTAATGCATCTTTTGCTGTTAATTGTTGAATAATATGCTGTTGTTTTAAGTGAATCATCGGAATATTGTAAAGAAAATACAAAAAAAAAAAGAAGAAGAAAAAAGGTATAAAAAAGAACACACACACACACACGCACAACTAAACTTGTTTAAAGCAGAAAATAATTGGATAAACATTCTCCTCTATTTGGCAGGTAAGACAAAACAATCAAAAATAATTCCGATTACACCATTTGATTTGTTTTTTTATGATGTGCATTGTTGAATGGAAATTTGAGCTTATTATGAACAGCTTTATTTTAACTTTTGTTATTTACACTATTTTCAAGTTTCAGTCTGAAAGAAAAAAAGAACTTAAAAAAAGGGGGGAGATCCTTATTCTAAATCCATATTAAAGAGCGTCTTGATTTTGACTCGGTAGTAAACAATATGAATGATAGGCAAGTTGTCTTTTTGTTTGTAACTCTGTCAAATTCGATATGCAAGTCAACTTAAACAGACTTATTAAACAAATTAGCCTGCTATCCTAGATTGTTCAAAAATCTTTCTTGTCATTTGACAGGAGTCATTCATACAAAAACAGATGCTTTAAGTAGTATTTAAGTCTTTATTTTGACCCTATAAGCATGATTCTAGCTAGCTTCATACCACAAATTGGGTATGTTGCTTTGAATTACTCGAATACCATTCGATAAGTAGAAAGAGAACACAATACTTGATATTCAACTCAGATTCCATTTGTTGTTTTTGTATAGACTAAGTTTGTATAGACTAAGGATGCTCAATTGCCTTTTCTTGATAAAGAAACACTGTGGTAGTAAAAAAATAAAATGTCTACATTAGAGTAATTTCCAACATCAAAGCAAATTTTAACACGAGTCACAAGCAAGCAAACTAGGTTTAACCCTTCATACTGTATTTTTTTCTTTCTTTCTTTTTTTTTACAGACTGTATTATGTTAAGACTAACACGCTTGTTATCCTCGAGGGTTTTGACTCAACAGCCTGCTAGAAACTTGGTATCTTTCTCAAAGCAACCAACAAAAGTTTTTACGAGATCAGTACATGCTGCACCTAGAGAATACAATAGCTTGCAATCAGCAGCTCATCACTTTAAACAACAAAGACATATGCCCTACTTTTTGGAATATCTTATGTGGGTCGTATTTGGATCTGAAGCGCTTCATCTCATTTGGCTCAAAATGGACTATAAAGAATATAGAGAAAGAACAGCTCATAAGACGAAATTGCTCGAGGAACTTATTGAACGTATCGAAAACGGTGAAGCAATTAATGACAGCTTAAGACAAGAAATCAAAATGGTCCTGTTGAACAACAAGCTTCAGCATAAAGATTCAAATGAAAGTGAAGATATTGATGATGATTATTTAAACCATTGTAAGTGAATGCAGATTCTTTTTTATACTCATGTTTGCTCTAGTGATTGCCTCTTCAGAACAACCCATTCAGACTGCCACACAAACAAAACAGTCAGAACCAATAAGTGATTCCAATTGGATGAATGTTAAGCAAGATGAAAACACAGGCAATGAAAACGAAAAGAAGCCTTTCTTCTTATAAACTGTATTATAACAAATTGTATATCATAAATTAGAATTAAAAACGACTAATGTCTCTACCCAAAGTAAATGTCATGAACCTAATAATAATTAGTTGGAATTGGGCGAGAAATCTGTCTTACCAGTGATAGGCAATCAGCATCTTATTACGGATACTGACACTTTTACTGATATAAGCGGATCGCCACAAGAACCAGGAAAGATGTCCAGACATTTTTGCCCATTTCTTTACGGCAGACATGTCGACTAAAGCTTCATAAGAACCAATATATGCCATCATACCATTATTTTTGTATTTGAATTCTTTGTTTAATGGGTCTTCCTGACCTTGTTTGGCAATAGTATTCAATGCTATCATTACATGTTAGATCAACAAAAGCATAAACATTGTTTACCTTTAACGAGATATTTGCCCTTTTGATTAGCAACTATCACAAAGATGAGTGTTTGTCTCTACATAGAATAATGGTGTACCTTGTGCAGTAGCAGGTAATTCGTAGTCTTGAATAGTAGCACAATCACCCAATGCATACACGTTAGGAATAGGTTCCTTTGTCTTGTCATCAATCACACGTAAATGTCCATCTGTCAAAATTCTAGAATAATCATGGATAAGTTATAAAAGAATCTCTTTGACAAACCTTTGACCCGATCTATCTTTGGCTGCGTCAGTAAAGGCCTCCACTAATGGATTTCTCATTAAGCCTGTAGACCAAACGAGCAGGCCATAAGGAACTTTGAAAGCGTTAGTTTCTATTTCATTACCGAATAGTAAAAATCACCTTCTCCTTCATTTTTGATGACAAGATGATCTTTTTCTACCCTTTCAACAATTTTTTCTAAACAACTCATGAGCATCTACATTTTGTATAGATATTTATACCTGTCTTGATCTGGATTCCTTTACGGCTAAATTTCTTAGAAGCATATTCTGACAGATGAGAGTCAAAAGCGCTAAGGATTGTAGGTGCAACATCGTATAGAGTCATACGTGTCTTATCGACCAAGTCTGGATAAAGTCTAGAGATATCATCAGCAATGAAATCGTACAATTCGGCTGAGAATTCAACACCCTATGGTCTTATTAATCACTGTGTATGTTGATATATCAATGTGATTTACCGTCGGGCCACCTCCTACAACAACAAAGTGCAAATGGGCTTCTTTTTCCTTGTCAGAAAGCCCTGGCTGAGAAGCATATTCATAACCTATTAAGAATTAAGACTTTGTCAAGTATACATGACTAGCCTACAATCAATAACTCTCTTTCTAATTCTTCTTGCGTCGTTCACTTCTTTCAAAAAACAAGCATGTTCTTTGACACCAGGAATCCCAAATGTTCTAGAATAAGCACCAACAGCAATCACAAGCTTATCATAATCCAAAGAGAATTGTCTTCTTTCTAGACCTATACATGCAGTGTTAATTATTTCTATAGATATATTGCTTTACTTGCCATCTTCATCAATACTAGAAGTGCACTGAATGACTTGATTTTTTAAGTCTATTTGGTCGCAATAGGCTTGATAATAGTTTGTCTCTGAAGAATATGTTCTAACAGGCTCTGTAATACATCTGAATTCTAATGTACCAACAGAAGTACTAGAAAAAAACAATTAAGCATTATCCTCTCTTCCAATCATTCCTTACCTTGCAAGCAGAGGTGTAAAGACAAAATGATTTCTAAAAAAAAAAAAATGAATCAATCAATATGAATGTATATAATCACATACCTTGGAGAGACTACCGAGACATCATAATTCTTCTTGTCTAATTCACTAATCAATCGAAAGCCTAGACGACATGTTTAATCATTTCTTCTTTTAATCATCATTTTACCTGCCCAGCCAGATCCTATTGATGAAATAATTTGTAAGAAATGATGAAATGATAAAAAAAAATACAATAAAATAAAATAAAAATTATTACCTAAAATAATAACTCTTCCTATATAATTCGAATTTGTTTAATATTTGTTATTCATTCATCATGATGATTGAGTACCTTGTGATTTTCCCAATGTCCGTGTCTTTGTTTGAATGAAATGTTTAGCTACAAAAAGGTGAACAAAACATTGATAGCAATAGAATTCTTACATTGAACGGGTAATGTCAAAGATGTTGTTTTATTGAAAGGTGTTTTGGTGGTATTGAATCTTTTTTGATTAAATTTTAAGTTATGCTTTGTCAAAATAAGCATTGAACGGATACTCATCACCATAATTGGCAAACCTAGTTTTGATTTTGTATTAAAAAAAAAAAGCGACTTATATTTATAGTTTCTTAACCCCTGAAAAATAGAAAGTGACAATGACTTCATTTGTTTATTAGTCTGTTCACGATATTTAGTTTCTGAATATCAGGTTTTTCTCGAGACTGAGTTTTTCTCCTTACAAATGTATTTTGCTTTTGAACAAAGAAATCAGACTTTGACATGCTTAAATTTCTCATTTTATTTCTGATTTGCTCATGTTTCACAAGAGCATAATGATATCATGTTGCCATTGCCTCTTTCTCTTTCAAGTCAATGTCTTTTGATAATCCTTTTATTTAAAGAAAATCAATTCGGAAATAAGAGGAATGCGGAGCAATATATGTTAAGACATGAGTCTTGTACACACATTTATGAGTCATATACATGTGTATTCTTGACTATGCTACTCAAAAATGTTTACTCTGAAGCAATTAAGTTCAAAAGACTTTATAGAAAGACATATTTATGTTCAAAATACCATGTTATTTCTCTGTTCATTTCTAATTCAAACGAGTTATCATGCCTTAATCTTGACTAGGAGCAAGTCGGCAGCTGTCAGTAAAATATATTTAAGCTCAACTATGCTCGCTCAATCTCATTTATTGGGGGATTATTTTAGCCACTGTATTTTTTTTTCGGGCTCTTTATTGATCCGTTATGTGTGTGACCTCATAGGATTAGAGTAGCTTTGTGATTTTCATGAGTGATGACTGAGAAATAAGCATGCTTTCAAATAAGACATCATATGAGTTACCGTGTTTTTTTACTTGTTGTTGCTGTTGCTTTGTGTGTGTGTGTGTGTGTGTGTGTGTGTGTGTGTGTATATATATGGGCTGAAAATGCATGTGAAGCTCTTTTTTTTTTTTTTTTTTTTTTTTTTTTTTTTTTTTTTTTTTTACTGATAACATTTATCTGATTTATTATTTCTTATCACTCCACAAGGACTATTGGTGCATCAGTTTGTAGAAATCATATAGCAGTGCCCTTATTTTCTATATATTTGCAATATGAGAAGATTACAGACAATACTAGTCATATGTATATTGGTGCCTGATGTTTCATGATTCACTGAAAATATGATGACAAAAAATACACGTCAAATGTAAAAGTATATGTATACAGAAAAAATTGATCAGAAACTAGACAGTAGACATGTAATTTTGTCTACATCATTGAATGCACCTTATCAAAATCTATAGCTCGTTATTACTGCATTTTTTTGTACACTTTTTTTTATATATATTTAGGCGAGACGAGGGTACGCAAATTCCGACTAATAATAAAGATACTCCTTTTTAACCAATGAGCCCTTGTATCCTTGGTAAAGAGCCTAAACATAATACCTCTTTCTTACAATGCTACTGCTTGATTATGGATGTTCTCTGTGTTCTCGGTAATTGATTTTAATGTCCGGGTAAAGATTATCTGTCCACCAGAAAAGGGAACAAGCCCCCCTTTTTTTTTGCATATTTAATGTCTGTCAAAGATTTGCCCGAAGAACAACGAGAAGCTATCAGAGTAAATAAGCAAAACTCTATATAGATTCGCCACAGAAGCTAACTCAGTCTCTCAGAAACTTCAAGAAGAAGTTAGCTCTCTTTATACTGCTGTCTCTGACGACTACATGGAGGAATGGAAAGTTGAATGTCAAAAGCAGAGATACACCGAATGTCCTGACGTTGTGAAACACGTAAGCTATAGACTATGGTCTGTTTGCATATGTATTCATAAACAGTATAGGTAGAAGAAGAGTGTAGAAAACTTGGAATTTTAGACAAGTGTCAAATTATCCCTGTAGAATCTGATTATTATGATTGGGAACTCCAACAAAGAGCGTAAGAGAATAGACTGATATTCAAGTGTATATGTTTAACTAGAATATCATTAGTTTTAGAGTCAATGCACCATCAAAGGAACACATGTGTAAAAGTGTTATTTTAGAAAACACTCGATGCACTCATAAAGAAACTTCAGGTACCATTCAATATATACAATAATGAAGATTAATATGGCTGTAGATCCACTTTATTCTCGATACTATTGTGTTATTACTCAAGTAAGAAAAAAAAAGAATAGAATACGAGCAAAAATAGATTAACTATGTTGTAATAGTATGTCAAACCTGTCAATACACAAAAATTATTGAATTATTGTCGTGCCATGAAGAACAAAGAAATCAGTAAAAAGCATTACAATTACCGTCTTGCTGATCCTCAGGTATCACTCGAATTGACTGGATTTGAAAAAGGAGGTGTCAGTGCAATTGGTAAGTTTGGTCTTTTTCTTCTCTATGATAGACACTGATGATGTTAGGCATGAAACAACCTATTCCTATTATTCTTGCCGAATCTATCACCAAACTACAAGTAAGAAGATACTTATGCTTGCACAAACTAACTTGATAATCTAGCCTGGTGTTATTTATCTCGGTGCAGGACATATTGATTGGAAATTTGGTATTCCTGTTTCTACATTTATTGAAACAACCAATTGTTTTATTGCTGATCTAGACTAAGTAAATAAAAAAAGAAAGAAAGAAAGGGAGATGAGATATAGTATTCTATGAGAAACAAATGGTGAAAAACAGACTATTGTTTTATTATATAGAAGAAACGGCTGAATAAGCATAATGACAATGCATATTACTCAGATTACTTTCAAACGGCTCAGGGAAAGTGTTATAGCTATAACTATGACAAAGCTTCGTTTTTTAGAGACTGGAGAGGTATCAAGTAAGAAAACGAAAGTGCAAATCAACTGTCTTCATACAGCTACTCCTGTGAGTAACTTTATGGAGTCAAACTAAAATTTATGCAGAATGGTTGTTGGGCGGAGATTCAAAATGATAAAAATGAAAAGCAATTCAATCCTTCATCCAGCTGCAGCCATTCAATCTATTTTTGACCGAATACCAGTTCTTCAATATGTAAATCAATTTTGATAAATAAACTAATCACTTAATACAAAAAAAAACTTCATCCAGCTGCATGAAAAATCGAGCTTTCATCTAAAACTGCCTAAAGACGCAGTTATTGAGCTTTGATGTAATAGTGAAAGTTGTAGAGTTTTGTTCCCTAATTCTACTGATAAAAATAAAATAATATTCATCAAAAACTACAGCCTCTGAAGTACATTTTGAATATTTAAGCTTGCAAATAACTTTATTTTTCATCTTGTAACGTCAAAAAGAAAATCAAAGGTTGTCAAATTGACGATTTTCATGAGTAGTACCCTTTGGTCAAAAGGCATATTTTGGTCATTTTACACAAGTCGCTTTTTTTTTAGTCCAAATTAACTTCAAAGGTATGATAAACATGGCTTGTAGATATACAAGGCATTCATGTGTATACAAAGCCTATTTATACTCCCTTTATGTGGCTATGTAATCCTGTGTATTAGATGGGTACAATTTCATCATCAACTAAATCAGTGACATTTTGCTAAAAAAAACAGACACATTTCTCTCAATGATATGCTTATAGCTACAATTCTTCCAGAATGAATACATTCAACTTTTGCTTTGTACGAATATAATTCAAAAAAAGAAAAAGAAAAAGGGTACTACGCAACAACGAATATGGAAAACCACTAAGACTTGCTCACGGTTAACTATTATCATGTCTTGCTGTCTTGCAATTTAAAAGCAAGAACTAGCATAATTTTCTTTTTTTCTTTTTTTTTAAATATACATTTATGGTGAAACTATACACATTCGCGGTATTGTTTACCGCCTATTGTTCAATCCAAGCTATTGAACTTGACCAAGTAGAACCTCAAGTGATTGAAAGTAAAAAAGATGGCACACTGTAAGTCTTGACTAGTCGCGTTCTTTTATTAAATAAAATAGTGTTGTGGAATACTACCATCCCGATTGTAAAAAATGTGTAGAGTTTGGTAAGCCTTTCTAAAGTTTGGTAAAGTATTCACGTAAAACATGATAGAACCTACTTTTGCTCAACTTGTTGAAAAGTATCAACATAATGTCGCCTTTGCTAAACTGAACTGTGCTGACCATAAGACCTATTGTCAAGAGAAGGGTATCGTGCGCTTCCCAACACTACAATCCAATCTGAATGGTGGTGACTGGAAAGAATACACTGGAAGTTTTGATATGTCCTCTCTTGAGCGTTTTGTACAAACAAATCAAATGGCTAGAAACCCAGACGGAAAGAGCATTGAAATCAATCGATCTGCTCAATTGAAGGCTATACTTGAAAGCAAAGAACCTTGGTTTGTTAAGTTCTATGCACCTTGGTGTGGGCATTGTAAGCAACTTCAGCCTACTTGGGTTGATATGGCAAAGCAGTTAAAGGATAAAGTCAATGTTGCTGAAGTCAATTGTGAAGATAGCAAAGGTAGAAATAATTTTGAAAAAGCTGAAATTCATGGCATGATTCTATAGCGCTATGTCAAGAATACAAAGTCACTGGTTTGCCTACACTCAGCTAGTAAGTAGAGAAAGATACCACCCATGACATACGAACAACTTATCCTATGTTAGTTTTGTCCATGGTGCTATTCTCAAATACTCTGGTCCAAGAAAACTAGACAATCTAGTTGATTATGCAGTCAGAATGTCTGGTTCGCCTGTTCATAAAGTGGAAACAGAAAAGGAATTGGACGAGTCTTTAAAAAATAGCGATGTCAATCTTATTCACATTACTACCAATGAAGACAGTACAGGTCTTTCTGAATTAGAAGCCATTGCACCTCAATATATGGAAACAGTGCCTTTCTACACCACCTCTGATTCCAACCTTGTTTCCCGTTATAAGCTCAAATTATCCCAACTTCCAGTAGTTATCATGGTCAAAGATGGCACACACCTTGTATACGATGGATCTATTGAACAAATTGGTCTTTGGATTCATCAAGAGCGTCATCCTCTTGTTACTCATATTACTCCTCACAATTCCAATGCGATTTTGAAGGGTCCACATGTCGTTGTGCTGGGCATTACTCAGTCTGACGATACAGCCTCTGAAGCCAAATTGCGTGAGCTGGCTGAATTGTACAAGAAGCAAGTAGGAAAAGACGTCGTTTTTGCTCAACTCGATGGCAAACAATGGGGAAACTTTGTTTCTCGTGTCTATGGCATTCAAAGCAAAAGTCTTCCTGCTCTTGTTGTACTGGATCCCAAGAATGAAGTCTATTACAATCGTCATAAAAACCAACAATTGTTCAACCTAAACAACCCAAAGGCCATTTTGAACTCGCTTGGACATTTAAACAGTCTCACTGGTATTTCTACAGCACCTTCCAAGACGATGGGTATGGTAGAAAAGGTTTTGATCTTCTTTGGTGATCATTGGATTGTGATGAGTACTTTATTGTTTGGTTTCTTTGGTCTCTTGTTTTGGTTGATCAACAGTGATGATAACCAGTTGAGTAGAGAACAGATCAAAGAAATAGCTAAGAAGGAAGTTGCTGAAAGAAACCAAAAGACACCTATTGAAAAGAAGGATGAATAACTGCCTTGATGGACTCATCACGCATGAGTTGAAACTACCCCCCTCCCCTTATTAAAATATTATTTGATTTCTATCGTCTTTGATTTTTCACATATGAATCTTACTACTTACTCAATGAAATGTGTAGATACGCTCTTTATGTCTCTTTGTTTTACCAGCAAGTAATTCAAAGACTATACTTAATTTACCAAGATGAGATCTATGTTATGTTTTCAACAAAAGAGAGAAAAAAAAAAGTCAAGTCACTGAAGCCAACGTCATCTTTTTTTGATATGAGACGGTGTGCGCCAATTTGCACGTAAAACACAAGCAGGCAACTCAGCAACACAGGGGCTGGTGAGGTTTTATACACCACCAAAATAAAAAATATTTTTTCAACCCTTCTCTCTTTTTTTCCTAAAGAAAAAAAATGAACTTTACTCGTGTTTTAGGAAAGTCTTCTGTCAACGCTATCCGTGTGCAAAAGGCCAATGCTCGTATGCTTGGTCGTGCTATCGGTGCCCAAACCTCCATGGCTGGTAAATAAAAGCACACGATAGACAAGATTCACACTGACACTTCTTCTAGTTCGTTCTTACGCCTCTGAAGCCAGCTCTGGTCAAATTCGGTAAAATATCAACACATCAATAGAGTAGACAGTGTGCTAACAACATGTTTAGTTCCGTCATTGGTGCCGTTGTCGATGTCCAATTCGAACAAGACAACTTGCCTGCCATTTTGAACGCTCTTGAAGTCAAGGATCACGCTGGAGGTCGTCTTGTTCTTGAAGTCGCTCAACACTTGGGTGAAAACACTGTCCGTACTATTGCTATGGATGGTACTGAAGGTAAGACAATGTCATTCTGTATGAATTTTATGTTTGACATATATATATATATATTTGTAGGTCTTGTTCGTGGTCAAAAGGTTGTTGACACTGGTGCTCCTATTACCATCCCCGTCGGTAAGGAAGTCCTTGGTCGTATCATCAACGTTATTGGTGAACCCATTGATGAACGTGGTCCTATCAACACCAAGGCTCACCGTCCTATTCACGCTGAAGCTCCCGAATTCGTTGATCAATCTCCTACTCCCGAAATCCTCGAAACTGGTATTAAGGTTGTTGACTTGTTGGCTCCTTATGCTCGTGGTGGTAAGATTGGTCTTTTCGGTGGTGCTGGTGTCGGTAAGACTGTCTTGATTCAAGAATTGATCAACAACATTGCCAAGGCTCACGGTGGTTACTCCATCTTCTGTGGTGTCGGTGAACGTACTCGTGAAGGTAACGATCTTTACCATGAAATGATTGAAACTGGTGTCATTCAATTGGAAGGTGATTCCAAGTGTGCTCTTGTTTTCGGTCAAATGAACGAACCCCCAGGAGCCCGTGCCCGTGTTGCCTTGACTGGTTTGACCATTGCTGAATACTTCCGTGATAACGAAGGTCAAGATGTGTTGCTCTTCATTGATAACATTTTCCGTTTCACTCAAGCTGGTTCTGAAGTATCTGCTCTTTTGGGTCGTATCCCCTCTGCTGTCGGTTACCAACCCACTCTTTCCACTGATATGGGTGGTATGCAAGAACGTATTACTACCACCAAGAACGGTTCCATTACCTCCGTCCAAGCTGTCTATGTCCCTGCTGATGATTTGACCGATCCTGCTCCTGCTACCACTTTTGCTCACTTGGATGCCACCACTGTGTTGTCTCGTTCAATTGCTGAATTGGGTATTTACCCTGCTGTCGATCCTCTTGACTCCAAGTCTCGTATCCTTGATCCCCGTATTGTCGGTGAAGAACACTACAAGGTTGCCACTGAAGTTCAACAAATCCTTCAAAACTACAAGTCTCTTCAAGATATCATTGCTATTTTGGGTATGGATGAATTGTCTGAAGAAGATAAGCTCGTTGTCGAACGTGCCCGTAAGATCCAACGTTTCTTGTCTCAACCTTTTGCTGTCGCTCAAGTCTTCACTGGTTATGAAGGTCGTCTTGTCAAGCTCACTGACACTATCCGTTCTTTCCAAGAAATCTTGAACGGTAAGCACGATAGCTTGCCTGAATCTGCTTTCTACATGCAAGGTGATATCAGCGATGTTCAAAAGCGTGCTGAAGAAATCGCCAAGGAAATGGGTTCTCAATAATTTGATGTAATTTAATTTCTCTTTTTCTTGTACTTTCAACACTTTCTTTCTGTCATTTACACAACAAATTTTATCAATGTTTGATAAAAAAAATCATATTAGAAACACAATGTCTTTTTATTTATTTATTTTTATTTTGCTATTGCCTCTCCCCCTCCTTGATGAATAAGAAAAGAGACATCAATATGGGAAAGTGTTCCCACTTTAATAATAGGCAAATCATCAAGATCAATGGTTTGGATTCCTGCAAGCATAGATTCCATGGTTGATAGACTTCTTTGGCTATTTACTTGAGATTGGTACAGAATGGATTCAGTCAAATGATAGGAAGACCGTGTGGGTTGATAATAAGTTGTTGATGAAATAATGGCCGAACCTAATTCTTCATTGTCTTCTTCCTCTTCAGAAGTGAGTAATAATGAATGTGCATTTGCATTAAATTTGGTTTCCTCTGGATTTGGATGGATAGGATTGATCTTATTATGATGGCCCAAATAATAAGATCGACTAGGTTGACTTGCTAAACTTGGAGATGAGACTGTCATCACATTCGGTGATCGGTGTGGTGCTTCAATAGTAAATATAGTGGTGGGTGGAATAGGAGACCGTATTAAAAAGAATAAAGTAGCCAATAAGGCTAGAACCCAACTACCTACAGCTGCAAATGCTAAAAAGAATGAATTCTTTGTTCACTCCTATGCCTATATTTACCAAGCATCAGCGTTGTATGAAAGAGTTCGCATACATCATGATGGTCTGAATAATGTACAGGATTGTTAAATTTGCAATGTGCAGATGGTTCTATACACATTATTAGTTGAACAAGCATACAATCAAGTTGTGAATACCTTGTGAATATGTCAAGATCAATGAGACAACAACAGTCCATAAGGCAATGGAGATAACAGAAAGAACAACTTCAATAGCAGACAATGTCCTTGGTGGAGAAAAGGATTGGTGATCCATAATACGAAAATACAAGTGTAAATGAAAAAATAAAAAGCACGTAGTGATAATAAATGAACTTGATCCAAGTATTAACAAAATATAATCAATAAGGCCTCCGTGTTGATTCAAGATGCCTAATGATTGTTGTGAATGCTTAAGCAAATACAACGCTGTTGCATTTAAAATGACAACAGCCAGACTTGTCCATTGGATGAGTATGAGTAATACAATATGAAACGCTGACTCTCTTCGAGCCCTTGACATTTTAAAAACAAATGATGAAAGAAAAAAAAAAAAGAGTTAAAAAAACAGTTTTTTTTTAACCATGTCTATATGTCCATTTCAATCGAATATTTGTCACAAGAAATTTAATAAGAAAGTATATCTCCTTGAAAAAATCATATTAAACCCAAAACCTGGACCTGCAGTAACGAATCAGTACTTCCTATAGTTTGATTCTCCTCCATTCCTTTGATTTAATTTGACTGCAATCATCACGAATAAGAAAAAAAGCTCCTTTGATCTATTTAATGTGACAATAAATTTCTTTTCTCTCTTTTTCTTTTCTTTTTCTTATTCTATGATGCCAGTCTATTTTATAATGATTAATATTTTCATACAAAGTAAAAAAAAAAAAAAAAAAAAAAAAAAAAAAAACAATCATTTGCTTAATTGACAAGCACAAGAAAGACTAATCAAAGAAACTGCAGATGTATATATTTGTATAAATAAACATAAATGCATAATTGCAGGAAAAAGAATGTTACTGCAAATGTCAATGTAATGCCCAGTTAGGAACTCGCTTGTGATACAACCAAGGCAGTCACTTGTCATGTCGTCTTAATTTGGTCATTCTCTTTTAGGGTTTAGAAAAAGAAATGATCTCTTTTGATTATTATTATTTATCCCTTTTCATCCCCCTTTTATTTTATTATTTATACAATGTCAATTTCACCTTCAAAACAAGCTGCCATTACTGCATATCGACATCTTTTAAAAACACAACGTCAAGTGTTTACAGGTAGACATATATATATATATATATATATAACAAATATTTTGTATTGATCATTCTAAAGATGATGTGAAAGCTATACAAGGTGATAGAAAAAATTAAATACTGCTAAAAATCATGCATGAAACTCTGTCTTTACACTTTGATTATTATAGCTGCAAGAAAAGAAACGCATTTAAGGTTTATGCAATACAAGAACGAGACAAATGTTGATGTTTTGGATGAAGTATGATCCTTTTTTTTTTCTTGACTTAAAGTGAGCTTTAATGACATTCTTCTTGTTACTAGAAACTGAAATTAGCAGATCAAGTGTGTGCTTTGCTAAGAGAGAAGGGTGTAAAAGCAATAAGAGAAGAAGGAAGTTCAAGTAAGTAGGAATCTTGACATACTCAAGTCACTCATAAATCCAGAACTGTTTATCAAAGGCAAAAAAGACAATATCAAATTTGGAGATGTACCAAGACATGTAAAATAACATTTCTCAATGCATTTCTTGTTCCTGAACAAGTGTCACACAAACAATGTGCATAAACTATAAAATAAAAAAGTAAATTGACCTCATACAGGGTTCTACTTGATCTAAGAAAGGCCTTTACTGTAATTGAAGACTATTTTATTATCTTGCCAAAATACACTTTATTTCTTTTTATTAAACAATCCTTTTTGTAACCATTTAGGAATGGGCTTTGATTTAGTTTCAGCAGTAGAACTCGTAGTAGTACTAGATGCTTCAGAAGGCTGAGGAGAAGCAATGGGCATATCTTGAGTCATATCCAAATACTCTTGTTTTAAATCATTAGGCGTTTCTGCTATAGTGTAAGATACGAGTAAAGGTACGAGTAAAGCATGATTTTTCCTTTACCTTGATCTGTCTTTTCAATCCATCCAAATAACACGTTTGAAGCAGGAGTCAATCCTGCCTTAAATAATGTCACTGTTGGTTCAATCAACTTTGTTCTAGGTGGCAAACACAATACAAATTTGCGTTCAGATGTCACTAATAAAGACCTCACAAAATCATATAATGCAGCAACTAATTTTACATGAGTTCCCTCCCTTTTTTTAACGGGTTCTATACCTTTTTCTTTAGACTGAAATACAGCTTGAACAATAGTATGATCAGGCATACGGATACGAATGGTAGTCTTGGGATACTTTTTCAACTTTTCAAGTTCTTCTTTGTCTCTCATTTTCTGTGTCTTTAAAGGACTAAATAAACCATAAGCATATCATTTTGCACTTCTTCTTGTTTACCTATTCTCAAGCTTTTCTCTACGTTCTACAGTAGATTGATATAATTGTTTAACTTCATTGGCATCTAATTTATAAGCAGATTCAGGCAATTCAGCTATGAACATGAGTAAAATACACTTTATTGTTTGACCAACATACGAACAGATCCTCCGTTCTTCGGTGGACTGAGAACTTTGATTTGCCTATCAAAGGTTGTTTCTTCTGTTGTGCTAGCACTTGTTGTTGACATTGAATATCCTAAAAAATAAAAATAAAAAAAAAGGCACACGTAAGAAATGAATTCAGCTTATTTTATATGCTGAGTCTGAAATAAGCTGAGAGGAGTCATAGCAACTGTTGCCATGGCATCTCAGTATTCAGTTTACAATGCATTTTTTTTTTTGGAATAAACGAGTGTTTCATAAAGATAAATCAAGTACGACAAATAGAGTTGTTTTGATACATGTAAACAAACATATTATCTTTTACTCTTTTTCTTCTCTTTTTCCTCTCTTCTTCAAACATGAAACAAGACTACTTGTCTGTACCAACACACTTTAATACAGAAAAGTTAAACTATAGCTATTTTGATGAGAAATACGCTTCTTCACATATTCAAGACGAAGAAAGAGGTAATCTGTTTAAAAGAATCAATCATAAAGGATGGTGGGAATACGCTCTTGCTTGTTTGCTCTTTTATCACCCAGAAAAAGAGAAAAGAGTAGCAGAAAGAGACTCGTCATGCGCTCACGTACTCAGTGCATCAAACTAGCATGGGTACTGGTGGTCTGCGGCCTATCTTTTCATTTTATTCGTCGATTTGCCAATGCTCGTTATAGTAAGCCGTGTTGTTTATCGTTCGAAAGCTAATGACCGTAGACATGCCTATAGACGAAGCCATGCATTTCATTAAATCAATTCCATCTATTGAGTATCTCCAATATCATTTGGGCATGTATGCTTCTCGATGCCCTCTCGCTGGCTCAAAGACAGACAAATCACTGACTGAGTGGACAAAAGAGAGCTGGATTCGATACGGTATCAAAGACACCCACATCGAGACGTATTATCCAGTCCTCAACTACCCACAACAAAGACGCGTTGCCCTATTGAGAAATAGTACTGTTGTCTATGAAGCGACATTAGGCGAGGCAAAAGGAGACGGCATGCCTCCATTTCATGCCTATTCTGCAAATGGAAACGTTACTGCTCCTGTTGTTTATGTGGATTATGGTCGATGGACAGACTTTCAGTTCTTAAGTATACGAGGAATTGAATTGAATGGTACGATTGCATTAGTGAGAACAGGTGGAGACATCACACACGGACTTAAGATCAAGATGGCTGAAAAGTTTGGTTGCGTTGGTGTACTTGTGTTTCCTGATCCTGAGAATTCCCGGTAAGTTTGATTTTTATCTTGTTATTTTCATTAACATCATCATCATTAGCGATGTGTTGGATCGAGTAGAGAAGGGTTCAGCTCAATACGGCTATTATTCAGTAGGAGACCCTTTTACTGTTGGTTATCCTGCAATAGAGAACGCAACGTATACACCATTTGAAAAGGCTAAAAATATACCCAAGATACCTTCGTTACCCATATCTTTGAAAGACGCATTGCCTATTTTAGAAGGACTTGAGGGAAATGGCATTCAAAAGATAACAGGTCCTTGTTATTTTAGTGGCCCTAGTAAAGCAGCTGTGAATTTAGTGAACATCAATGACTATAAAGCAAGACCTATTTGGAATGTTGTTGGCCGAATCAAAGGGCATGCTGAACCTCAAAGAGCGATTATTGTAGGTCATCATCGAGATGCTTGGGATGATGGTGCAGTGAATCCATCTACTGGTTCTGCTGTTTTGGTAATTTTCATCCAAAAGGAAATAGTGTTTCTGATTTACGTTATAGACAGAATTAGTGAGAACACTCGGGATATTGCTTGAAAAAGGGTGGAAACCAAGACGTACGATTATTATTGCTTCATGGGATGCACAGAAATATGGTTCAGTGGGATCTACAGAATGGGTAGAGCACCACAAGGCGTGGCTGCAAGAAGAAGCCGTCGCCTATTTAAATGTGGATAATGCTGTTTCTGGCAAATATTTTACTGCGCAGGCATCGCCTTTACTTAATCAACTCTTGTATCAAGTAACACATCAAGTTCAAGATCCCGATACAGGCGATTCCATATACACAGTATGGAAATCACAGCATGAAGCCCTTCAGGACAAGCATGTTTATTTCACATCATTTGCTGACACTCAGGAAAATAAATCAGTCTCATTGACTAAGCTATTGACTACAGATGCAGATCATACTGCCTTCTTTAGCCACCTTGGGATCTCTAGTCTCTCTATAGGATTTAAAAACAAGGTTCATGGCATGCAACACGGCCTTTATGGTACCATAGACCGAGCAGATGTATCTTATTCGACGCTTCAATATCATCAAGCACTCACTCAGCTATGGGGCTTACTTGCCCTTCGGCTTTCTTCCGATCGTTTGCTGCCACTGAACCCTCACGATTATGCATTGGAGATGAACCATAGTATTCACAAGATCAGCGCATACAAAGGCTGCTCAGGGTTTTCTTCTATTTCTCTTTCGCTGCGTGCATTGACTACCACTAGTGTTGAGTTCAAGACACAGATGGATGACTGGCACCAGCAATTGCTTGTCAAAAAGCACTACTCTAGAAAGCTCAAGCAACAAATAGCTCAAGCCAATCAGCGTCTTTTGGAATTTGAAAAAGCGTTCATTGATCCACACGGATTGAGTAGCGACAGACCATGGTTCAAGCATCTTATCTATGGTCCTGATCTGAGTACAGGTGAAACTGTTGCATTCCCAAGCTTGATGGACGTTATTGAAAATGATGATTTTATCTTTATGCAACGAGAAGAAAAGCGTATTAGCCATGCCATCCATCATGCTCAAACACTACTACTTTCATAATAAAAGAGTCACTATTTTTGCAGTCACCTTATAGATTTCATGCCCCCTACTTTTTTTTTCTGTACCTTTTTCTCTTTATGTTAGCATTCACAAAAAGAATATCCACAAGACAGTTTTCTACAAGTCGAGCAATCCTTGCTAAAAAGAAAGCCAGTAAAAAGGAACCTGTTGAGAAGCCTATTTTAGGCAGACCTTCAAACAACCTTCGTATGGGTGTTGTAGGTTTACCGAATATTGGGTAAGGAGAAAACTATGGACACAGAACAACTAAAATCAATTGTTTTCTCAGTAAATCTTCCTTATTCAATGCATTAACAAACAGCAGTGTACCTGCAGAAAATTACCCTTTTTGTACAATTGACCCCTCAGAAGCACGGGTTCAAGTGCCTGATGAAAGATTTGACTGGCTTGTTGAGACATATCAGCCCAAGAAAGTGACACCTGCTCATGTATGTCTTGGGTTTATCCACATTGGCTTATGTTTTTATTTTATTTAGTTAACTGTAGTAGACATTGCTGGTCTTGTACGAGGTGCTTCTCATGGCGCTGGTCTAGGCAATGCGTTCTTATCCAACGTAGCCTCTGTAGATGCTATTTATCACCTTGTTAGAGCCTTTGAGAATGACGACATTACACATGTAGAAAACACTATTAACCCAGTGCGCGATTTGGAAATCATTCAGAACGAATTGAGAATCAAAGACGAAGAAATGCTTGAACGTCAAATCACCGAATTAACCAAACAAGCCAAATTCCCAGATACAAACAAGACACTGACGAAAAAAGAAGAACTCAAAATTGTCGAGGGATTAGCAGAATTCATGGCTAAAGGAAAAGACATGCGCAAAGGAGATTGGACAGCCACTGAAATACATGTGATTAATGGACTTCATCTCTTGACAGCTAAACCCATGGTTTATCTCTGTAACACAACCCAAGATGATTATATCAGCCAGACAAACCAGTGGTTGCCTGATATTAAGAAATGGGTTGAGGAGAACAATAAAGGAGATCTTGTGATTCCCTTGTCTGTTTCGCTTGAGTCCAAGTTGGCAGGTATGTCAAAGGAAGAGGCTGACGATTGTCTAAAGGCATTGGGTGTTCAATCTCAATTGCCCAAGATTATCTTGGCTGGTTACAAGGCTTTGGATTTAATTCACTATTTTACTTGTGGACCACAAGAAGTGAGGGCTTGGACAGTCAGAGTAGGCGCAAACCATGATAGATTATTTTCTGACAGACAATAGAACACATCAAGGGCACCGCAAGCAGCAGGTGTTATTCAGTATGTAGACATAGGATTATCATTAATTTTGTATCTAAAAATTTTATTTAGTACTGATTTTGAAAGAGGTTTCATTTCAGCTGATATCATGAAATACAAAGACCTGCGACAACTTGAGTCAGAAAATGCAGTAAAATCAGCAGGAAAGTACCTTCAAAAGGGCAAAGATTATGTGATGGAAGATGGTGATATTGCACATTTTAAGGTAAGCTACTATGATATATATGTATTACTGACTATGACTCTTTCTTTTTTATATATATATATATATTATAGTTTAATGGTAAGAAATGAAAAAGCATATAACATTACTGGTATCTAACTTGCATATTATAGTAACCAACAAGAAGAAATAAAGGAGATATGTATGTAAACAAATAAGGTTACACAGCACACAACCCAACCACACTCAATACACACACACACATAGACATATTTTTTATTAAAATAATAATTCCTTTTTCTCTCTCTCTCTCTCTCTCTCTCTCTCTCTTTTTCTGCCTCTATTTTTCTTTTCTGCTCTTATTGTACATGCTGCAAGAATACCCAACACAAATTCAACCACGCTCATCTTCAACAAGGAAGACACAAGATGTAGTTGAGCAACAAGTTGTGGAATCCCCTTCAAACACAATAGACGCAGAAGCTAGTCGTATTTTGATTGATTTAGCCAATCAAGACACTACTAGTTTAAACAGTTGTATGTAAAATTCAATCTTTTTTTTTTCTTTCATACACTTACATACGATAGCTTCTGATACAAGCATGGTTGACAGCAAAATAACCAAGAAAAGACCATCTAGTAAAAGTAAAAAAAAAAAAAAAAAAAAAAAAAAAGAAAAAAAAAGATAGAGTCAATAACAATATGTATATTTAGTTTCTTTGCCAATTAAAACAGAGGCTAATTTACATAACTTGGAGCAAGAACGTTTTCAACCTGATCCCATCATGCTATTGGCTGCAGCTGCGGCTGTCATTGACGATGAGGGAAACTATAAAGGCCGACTATATGAAAGAAGAGAAATCAAACTGCACGGCAGACAAGGTAAACTAAATAAATCTGATTGACACAGCTACTCACTCATAGACTAGCTTCATTGAAAAGAAAATCATTTACATATGGATCTAATGGCAGCAGTAGCAGCAGTAGCAGTAGTAACAGTAGTGCTAACAGTAACAATGATATTCGGACAAACAATGTCATTCATCGTCGTCATAGTGAGAGACGTCATCGCTACCATCAAAGAGCTTCAGTATCAGAAAAAGCAACACCAGAAAATATAAAAGGAGTAAGGTTCTATGCTACTGAACTAGAATGTGCATTGACACTTGTTTCCTTCTCTTTATCTCTTTCTATCTTTCTTCTCTTTAGAATGTAACACAGTCTGACGGCACACACGCTTTTTCCTGGCAGTATTTATCGATGGTAAGAAAGCAAAAGGCTTGAACCAACACCTCATTTTCTCTTCCTTAGAAGCAAAATCCTCGTATCAAAAGAAATGCTATGCACGCATACATTACATACATGATTTATACGGACATGGCCCATGAACAACAAAGAGTAAGCTTTTACAAATATAAATATGGTGTTGTACATCTGTAACACAAGTATGTGTAATCTTTATAGAGACCTGATAGCAAAGCCTTGTATAATAATAATAACATGACATCGACTCAGCATCATCACTTTCAGCAGAAATATAATAAAGAAGATCCTCATTTTGGTGGACTATCTTCTTCTTCTGCTGAATGGTACAATAAGCAACAATTGCAACAGTCCTATCGATTACCACCATCTCCTCGGCAACGGCATGATCTTCCACCTCCTCCGACCGAGTCTATCATTGGTCGCCCACTGACTGATTTTCTATTCGAGAGAAACAAGCCTAGTTTATTACCACCTCCTTCTGCATCGACGGGAAATACATCCAGTTTTCTTGGTCCTCGTGTCAATACAAACCCTACGCCTCCTCCTTCAAATGCGTTTTATGATTAAAGAACAAGAGAATGTTACTCAACATACTAAAAAAAGTAAAAACAAGAGGATCTTTGCGTTAAAAGTGAAGCACATCTATACTTTAGCAGAAAAAAAAATGAAGCACAATGATTGAGAGTGAAAGTGATACCCGAGATATGTTTCTTAATTTTTCTTGTTGGTCCATGTTTTTTGCATGTAGCAGACTCGATGAGATTACACAACCAAATGCTTTCGTGTGACAGTACCTTTTTTTATATATACATTTCAAATCAGCGAAGTATTATCGTCAGAAAGGATAAACATTTTCTAATTTCCATTAAAGATACGATAGAAAGAAAAAGGGACTAGCCCTTATCCATGATTACTCAAGCTAAAGTTAAGAAGAGCAGTAAACTAAAGAAGAAAATGAATTAAGAAAAAGAAGAGAATTCTGTTGTTCTGTAACCCTTCGGCTCCTTAGCTTTTTCTAATTTTTCTTTACACACACACACGTATATTTATATATTAATATACACAACGTACAATGCACTCGAGCAATACAGTGTCTTCCCCCGCCTCTCCGCCTCCTCTCTGTCTCTCTCTTTTTCTCTCCTCGTCCCCTCTTTCTCCTTCGATTTTTTTTCCCTTTTGGGTGGCAATCTTTTTTTTTTTTTTTTTTTTTCTGTCTCTCTTTCTTTCTTTTTTTTTCTTTTATTTATTGTTTATTTTTTCTCTTTCTCTTTCCCTCTCTTTTTCTCTCTCTTTTTCTCGAAAGAAAAAAAAAGGCTTCCTTTCTTTTCTCTTCTTTCCTCACTCGCTCATCTCGTTGTTGTTGTTGTAGTGGATTTAAATTATCTTTTTCACTCAACAAATAACAAAAAAAAGTGGTCTGCTCACTATGAGTACCTCACCTACGCTATTTAATACTTCTAGTTCCTCAGCGGCGACTCGACTAGCTTCACCGCAACACAAAATTATGGATAAAGACGCCAAACCACGTAGATTACGTAACAACACAAATATAAATAGCCATTACAAATCTAATACACATCATAATCATCATACCAACACAAATACCAATAACAACGATGCGCACTCGAAAAGGGTAAAAAAAAAATAACGTTTTACTGATAAAAAAAAAATAAACAAAATTAACTATATAAAAAAATTCAGGCACCATGGCGTGTTCCTGGTAACTTTGAGATACCAGATATCATCAAAGAAGCATGGGAAAAAAACAAAAATAAACTAATCCATCATACCCAACAACAACAACAACAACAGAAATACCAACAGCAGCAACAACAGCAACAGAAAAAAAAAGTAATAGAGAACAAGCTTACAAAAGTAAAATATAATACATGCTGTCATCATTACTGGCTAACACATTTTTTTTATTTAGCGCTGGATTCCAGTTGGGAAGTCGCCTAGTATCATACCATTACCGCCACCAATAGTCAAAGTCAAACGTAAATTACACGCTGAGTTTGATGCTAAGCTTCGGAAAGTCCTTCCCGGATCAAAAATTATGGACTTGAATCCAAAAGAACAATTTGAAGGACTTTGCCAAGTGGGCAGCGGGTAAGGAGGAGTGTTACACATACATGTTATACCTTACAACTATCTATAGTGCGAACGGAGCAGTAGTTCGAGCAATTAGAAAACATACCAAAACACATGTAGCTATCAAACGATGTTACATTGAGGATCAAGACACACCTCACCACGCTTATATTCTTAGAGAATTGCGTATCATGGGTTGCCTAAATCATCCTAATTTGATTCAATTAAAAGAGGCTGCTCTCTGGGAAGATCACCTTTGGATGTGCATGGAACTCATGTCTTGCTCTGTCTTTAATCTACTTTACAATACCACAACTGGCTTAAGTGAAGGAAACACAGTTCGTATTGCTAGAGAGGTAAATTCTTTGAAGTCCAATTCGAATGTACTTATCTTCTATTTTTGTCTCCTCTAGTGCTTGGAAGGTCTCGTCTATCTTCATTCTAAAAACTACATGCATCGTGACATTAAATGTGAGAATATCCTTTTGAGTCGAAACGGTCAAGTCAAATTAGGTAAATTCGGTTTTTAACAAAGTCTGTCTTTTGACCATCTATCTCTTTTTCTTTTTCTTATATAGCTGACTTTGGTTTAGCAACACCCATCAACAAAATTAATACATCTTGTTTAGGTACCGCCAAAGTAAGTACCACATTAAAAAAAATCTCGCTCAAATCTGATCATGAATAGTGGATGGCACCTGAAGTTGTCTCAGAAAGCCCTTACAAAGAGAATGTTGATGTTTGGTCACTTGCCATTACTATCATTGAAATGATGGACCGTGTACCACCTCTTTATTACCTTGAAAACACTGATGACATTTATGCTGATATTCTCTATGGCGATCCACCTAATTTCCATTTTGCTATTCCTTCAAAAGGCATGTCCGAATTGGTCCGTTGGATGTTGACTCATAATGGCTTGACTCGTCCAGGTGCTAAAGCTGTCTTGAAGGTAAAAGATAGATTAAAGTTTAAACCTTATATATTAAGACTCTTTTTTTCTTTTAGCGAGTGAACAGTGACATCAAGAAAGGTGTTCTCGAAATCACTAAACAAAAAGAATTAGCTTATTTAGTTCGTGAAGTATTCCCAGATGCTGTTGCTTAAAATGTATCTTTCTCCTTTTTCGTTGACAGCAAAATTTACCTCTATTATCTCAGACCAAGAACAAAAAAAACGAATGATAAGCTTTCCTCTCTCTCTCTCTCTCTCTGTTTATTTATCATTTCACACTTGCATAAACTCGCGCACACAAACAACATCAAAAAATCAACAAATCAACAATTCCCTTCTTTCGAACCGAGAAAAAAAACTCACTTGGATTTTATCCCCCTTAATCTTTGCATTGAGCGATCTCTATTTTTCTTTTGTAAATTATTTTATTCTTAAAAAAAGACATCATTACCTATTATTATTTATTTCTATACTTTATTATTAATATTACATACACATTATTCAATTTTTTTTGAAGAACTTGTCTATGTTAGATACCTATAAAAAGAGCTTAAAAATAGAATGTCTCCTTTTTAGTATGCTTGAATAAAATGTATATAATCGTGTGTGTGTATATATGCAGTGTTCAATAGAATACACTTACCGTGCATTGAGATGACACATACTAAAACAAACAAATCGAACCTGTCGGATCGTTTCCTTAGTAACCGTGCCTGATTTTTTTTATCATCTGTCAGAATTCGATCTTGTCAAAAAAGAAAGAAGTTTTTTTTTATGTTTTTTGTATTTTTATTGTATGTTTTTTTTTCTGTTGCATAGTGAGCTAGGAAAAAATGAGATAATTAAAAAAGAGTACAAAAGAGACGTGTTTACTCGTCATCTTCTTCGGCGAGGGTCATAGCAATACGATCCAAATCACGTTGACCATCTTGAGTAATCTTACGACCACTAATAAAATACAAGTCAGCATTTCATTTAACACTTGTGATATATGACTTACCCCTTCTTATCCTTTTCGAGGACACCAATCTTTTCCAAAGATTGAAGGACCTTACGGTTGACGGAACCAGAAGCATCAACGTGGTGAGAGGGACGAGAACCACGGTTGACAGTACCACCGTGAACCTTGTTCAAGGCACCAACACCAACGGACTTACGGATGTAGATGTGACGAGCAACAGAGGCAGCACGGATGAAGTACCAGTCGGGATCATAGGGTGCCAATTCCTTGAAGGTACCAGTCTTGACGAGGTCAACCCACTTGGGGACTTCGAGCTTACCAGTACGCTTGAGGTAGGCAGCGTAAGCCTTGATGAATTCTACATTGTTTGAATTGAGTTAGCAAATGTTGTCTTGACTTGTCTTGCTTGAACAAAAAAAAGAGGACAAGGTTCAGGATGCTTGAGCCAAGCCACCCAACTTTTTCCTTAGTCTCCATGACAAAAAGAAAACGTTTGTGCTGACAAGTTGACTATAAGAGGCAGAAAAAGAAGAGTGCGTGTTTGTTAGAGGAGTATAAACAAACAAACAAGGAAGAAGGTAGAGAGTAGTATGTAAAAGAGAAGAAAAGAATGTCAATGTTGTTTAATAATGAAGAGAAAAAAATTTTCATAGAAAGCATACACACGAGTGTCCTTCTAAGCACGCACTCTTCTCTTTATTCTTCTTGCCCTCTTGTTTGTTCAAGCAAGTTAACTAGTAATGTGGGCAATAGCTTACCGTGGGCGTTGACGTCCTTAACAGTGATACCAGCCATAATGATAAAGAAAGAGAAAGATCAATTCAGTTCCGCTGTTTGGTTTAGACAAATACCACAAAAAAAATTTTTCTCTCCTTCAAAAGCCAATAACATTTCAGCGGAAACTTAAAATGAAAAAGAAAAAAGGCTCATTGTTCATTGCATGATCTCCTTTGCAAGAAAAAAAAAAAAAAAAGGGCCTATCTTACATGTAATTTTTAATGAAATTAAGCCAAAAATGACGATGTATCTAAAGAAAATTGGGAATTTAGCTTTCCTCTCTTATGATGGTTATATTTCTCGACTCTCTTCAATTTTCGTTCTCTTTTTGCACGCTTCTCTTCAAGTAGTTTTTGTGCTTTCTTTGTAGTAGGTTGAGGATCATCGTTCTCATCTTCTGACCATTCAATTGTTCTTGTCTTTTCCATACGGGCACTAATTGTCTTCCAACTGAATCGCATTATACTAGGAAAGCCAAAAAACGAGTCTTCATTGTTGTTCATCCACTTGACTGTATTGGGATCAGAAGGGTATCCAGAACCAAAGTCCTTTGAGAGTTCTAAACCAGTTTCTGTCCATACCCAATTTTGAACAATTTGATCTCGAGTAACTTTAGCACAGATACTGGCAGCACTTACAATTGGGTAAAGGGAATCAGCTTTAGGTTCAACTGTAATGGCAATACCAGGGAAATGAGACTGAAGCTTACTTCGATATGAAGCAGAGGGACCCACTGGATCAACATAAATCTATTGTTGTTGATTAGTTTCCTATCTTTTCTGTTTTTTGTTACTTACTTCTTCTACATTGACTTTTTCATTCAACACTTGTCTGATTAAACGAATAGTTGCATCATGAGCCATTTCATTCAGATTATAAACAGGTCTATTTATCGTGAATACATTATAATACATCTTTTTCTTCTCATTTACTTTTTGAACATGCCTGTGGATATATCTTGTGGTGAAATGACATACACAGCCCAACCAATCCAATCCTTATTTTTTTCAATAATCTTAGCAAGGTCTGCACGCTTTTCTTCTGTTAATTTCTTGGAATCTAGATACACAAATTATGAATATAAGAGATTATATTTTGTAAACATAAATTACCATCAAAACCGAGTTTCTTGAATTCTTGATGTCTTGATAAAGGACAATAACTAACTGCATAAACCATTGGACCTAAACAGGGCCCTCTTCCTGCTTCGTCTACACCTAAAACACAGGGCTCATTGATCTGGTCAAGCTTGTTTTCTACCAGTAGTGTGGGTACTGAGCTTTGATATGTGTACGACTTGATCACTGGAAGCTTGACGGAAGGTAACAACTCTACTTCTGCTATTGCTTTGGTCATGATAAACTAAGGAAAAAAAAACCATGTTTTCTTTAAACGCGAGTTTTCATAAATTTCAGGTACGAGTCACAAATCGCGTCTTGTTTATCACGCGTCTTCCTTTTGAGTTCAATCAAAATGGACTTCTTGTCTTTTAGAATGTAGAGCGCAATGTATAGCCACTTAATTTAAACCAAAATAAGAAGGTAGTCTTTCTTTACAATAACCAAATCGTTTGAGGACATAATTTAACAGTGGCATTTTATACAGCCATTAAATCGCGTGGTATTACAAACACTGTCAAACAATATTAATTTATGCAAAAAAAAAAAAAAAGACATTACCATAACAACGGTGCCTGAATTATCGTCGTTTCCATGACAACTGTCTCGATCAATGATTCATGCAGGAGAAGTACTGTATCCGGTCAAGTCCGATGTGATATCAATGATGTTCTCGCGCTCCTTTAATTTGTTCATTATAAAAAAAGAAGACTAAATAATAAATAACTCCTTTATTCATAAATTCACATATGTCTAATAAAGAAGAAACTACAGTTGACACTTCATCACCTACCACGGCCAGCGAGATGGTAACAGATCAGGCTAATACAGACTCGTCTCCATCTCCAGTAAAAGAGCGCAAGCAATCTGCTTACTCATTCCGCTTTATGGAGTCCGAAAAAGAAAGCGAGTCTGACAAAGACCTTATTATTCATTCTTTAAACGAGTCGCTTCATATTCACAAAGAAATACTAGAACGAATTCAAAGTGAAAAAGAAAGCTATCAACAACAAATTGAACAAGAACGCGAACAAGAAAAGCAAAAAATGGAAGATTGGCGACAAACAGCGGAATATGCTTTGGAAGAACAAAATAATTACTGCTTCGAACTTGAACAAGGCATTGAGAAACTTCGAAAAGAGCTGGAAGCCAAAAAAGAAGATTACAGAAAACTGGAAATTAAGTTTTACTCGTACGTTAAGCAAATTCGTGTTACAGATGACGATTTGTCTACAATACAGCCAGAAATCTCGCATTTGCTTAGTCAATTGAATAACACGTGCATGGGCCTCAAATCAAAAATGAACCGAGAAAAGGGAACTCAATTTGTATTTGAGCGATGGCAAGATAGAATTGATCTTATCAAGAAGTACATGATGCCAGCGGAAGGAAGTGAATTATTAGATACATCTTATATCACTTTCTTTGTGGAAAAATATCTTATTGAGACACTTTTACATCATCTTATGGATGTTCCTATTCATTTGGGTGTCTCTATCAATAACGACTTTGAAGCAGTGAATGATTGGATGGCAAGTAGAAACAAAGAATGGTCTAATCGCCTAAGACAGCAAGTGTGTGCGCTTGTAATACAACAACCAGGTGATGAAGAAGCTCGCATTACTGAAGCAAAAAACCAGCTATTACAAGAAATTGTTGAAACACTTGGCCCAGTCTATCCTTCACTGAAGCAAGACCCAAAAAAGATTGAAAATCTCATCCAACGAACCTCTAAATTGAATTTAGCTGTCAAGGGTCAAGAAATAAAGATTGAGCGACTATCAATTGAAGAAGGTGTCACCAAGTTTGACTCAGAGTCAATGAAAGCAACAGTAAAAGGTAAGCCTGATGGGATCGTCTTCTTGGCTATTACGCCTCCTTTTGTTGCCAGAGATGAAATAGACAATGAACATGGATTCACTGTACCTGGCAAAGTGTTCTGTATTGAAGACGAACAACAAAAGGAAGAAGACGATAATACAGTCGAAGACAATAATACAGTCAAAGACAATAAAGATCAAGAAGAAAGCCAAGATGAAGACCAAGAAATGAACCAAGTTTCTGAACAACGAATTGAAGCTAAAGATATTGATAAAGAAACCATTGAATAAAAGATATTCCTCTTTCTCGATTCAGAGGAAAAAAAGTCACGTTCTGAGTTCAACTTGCAACTTTTTTTCTTGTCTTAATTTCTTTTTTTTTTTATTTCTTCAACTCTTTCTTGTAGAGAAAACATATAACAGGCACTATGGCACAGACACCTGTTTCACCTGAAGTGCTTCAGCAACTTACCCCCGTTCTTACCAGTCTTTTGTCTTCTGACAATAATCAAAGGTATATAAATAGCTCTTTTGAGGCTGTGTATCACAATAAACTCACCAATTTTTTTTTCTTTCATAGAGCTGCTGCTGAAGCTCAACTTAACGATCACTGGGTTGCTCAACAGCCTGATCTTTTACTTTTAGGTCTTTCACAGTTTGTTGCAACCAATAATGAAGTTCAGGTACGCATACTCCGACTCAGCTCACCTTTATATTAATTTCGGCTTTTTTAGCTTCGTTCTCACTGCAGTGTGCTCCTTCGTCGTTTAGCTTATAAGCAATTCACTACCAGTGCCAACCCCGATACTCGTCTTTGGGATATGGTCCAAGATTCCACCAGACAAGGTGTCAAGGAATTATTGCTTGTAGCTCTTGCTAATGAATCCGACCAAGGTACTAGACACAAAGTCTCTGATACTATTGCCGAAGTTGCTAGATCCGATTTGAGTGAAGGAAGTAAGTTGGAAAGAGAGAGAAAAAGAGGAACAGCTGAATATTGATTTTGTAAACAGACAAATGGGACACTTTGTTGAAGGCTTTGTTTGAATGTTCTCAGTCTCCCAACCCCGCTCTTAGAGAATCTGCTTTCCGTATCTTTGCTTCTGTTCCTGAATTGATTGCCGGTCAACATACTGATGCTCTTAGAAACGTTTTCTTGGCTAGCTTGACTGATGCCGAAAGCCAAGCTGTAAGTAATGATAGATTGTGTGTGTATATATGTGTGTATTGACCTAATGATTATTAGGTTCGTTTGGAAGCTATGAAGGCTGCTGCTGCCTACATTGGTCAAGCTGATGAACAAACTCAAAAAGCTTTAGGTGTTTTGATGCCTCATATGCTCGATGTAAATATAGAGTGTGCCTCTTTTTGTGTATATATATATATATATATATTAATGCTTTTGTTAGCCCTTGTCACCCATTATCGCTGCTCGTGATGATCAAACACTTGTTGATGGTCTTGTTGTCTTAATTGAATTAGGTGATAATGCTCCTAAGCTTTTCCGTCCTGTCTTTCCTAATGTCCTTACTGTCATGGTCTCTATTGCCAAGGATAAGTCTTTTGATGATCGTACTCGTCAAACTGCTTTAGAGTTGTTGTTGACTATCTCTGAAGCTGCTCCTCCTATGGCTCGTAAGCTTCCTAACTTTGCTACTGAAATTATTCCTGTAGCTATGGAAATGATCACCGATATTGAGGATGATGAAAGCTGGTACACTACTGACGATGTAAGTATATAGAGAAGAGATAAAGAGATGAGTATGTTTATTCATTATACGCTAGTTGGACGAAGATGACAATGAAGAAAACTATGTCATGGGTGAAAGCACTTTGGACAGAATTGCTCGTACTCTTGGTGGTAAGGCCGTTGTCCCTGTTGCTTTCCAATTCATTCCTCAAATGCTTCAATCTGGTGAATGGCAACAACGTCGTGCTGCCTTGATGGCTATTTCTTCTATCGCTGAAGGTTCTATCAAGATCATGAAGCCTGAACTTTCCAACATTATGAACATGATATTGCCTTCTTTCAAGGATGCTCACCCTCGTGTTCGTTATGCTGCCTGTAACGCTGTTGGTCAATTGTCTACTGATTTTGCTCCTTACATTCAAAAGCATTTCCATGAGCTTATTATTTCTGCTCTTTTGCCTGTCATGGAAGATCCTCAACCCCGTGTTCAAGCCCATGCTGCCGCAGCTATGGTCAACTTCTGTGAGGAAGCTGATAAGAAGATCCTTGATCCTTACCTTGATGCTATTTTCGAACGTCTTTTGATTCTTTTGAAGACTCCCAAGACCTATGTTCAAGAACAAGCCATCACTACCATTGCCACCGTCGCTGATTGTGCTGAAGATAAATTCAACAAATACCACAACGTCATCATGCCCCTCTTGCTCGACATCCTTCGCCAAGCCAGTGATAAGCAATACCGTCTCTTGCGTTCTAGAGCCATTGAATGTGCTTCTCTTATTGGTCTTGCCATTGGTAAGGAAGTTTTTGCTCCTTACACTGTCGACTTTATCAACATTCTTGCTGAAATCCAACAATCTGTCACTGAATCTGACGATATCCAAACCACTTACTTGTTGGCTGCCTGGGCTCGTATGTGTAAGATGATGGGTCAAGATTTCTTGCCTTATCTTCCCAACATCATGCCTCCTCTTTTGCAATCTGCTAAGCTTACTCCTGAATTCACCTTTGTTGATCCTGAAGATGATGATGTTGAAGCCAAGTATCCTACTGAAGATGGTTGGGAATTTGTTGGCATCAATGGTCAACAAATTGGTATCAAGACCTCTGTTTTAGAAGAAAAGCACACTGCCATTGAAATGCTTGTCAGTTATGCTCGTGATTTAGGGGCAGGTTTCTTGCCCTATGTTGCTCAAGTCCTTGAGATTGCTTTGCCCTTGCTCAAGTTCTATTTCCATGATGGTGTTAGACATGCTGCTGCTGCTCTTATTCCTGTTCTTTTGAAGGATGCTAAGGAAGCTAATGTAGCTCCTGGTGAACTTGCCAACATGTGGAACACTATTTTTGAAAAGCTCAGCAAGATCATGACCATTGAAGACGATATTACTTTCTTGGCTCAAACATATGCTACTTTCTCTGAATGTCTCGATGTTTTGGTTGGTGAGAACTGCCTTCAACCTGCTCAAATCGAAAGCTTCATGAAAGGCGCTGATGAACAACTCAAGAAGTTCTATGAGCGTTTGACCGAACGTGAGCAAGAAAAGCAAGCCGGCGAATATGATGGTGAAGATGAAGACCAATTGGCTGATGAAGAAGCCACTGAAGAAGATGCTTTGAGCGAATTGGCTCGTGCTATTCAATCTTTATTCAAGGCTCTTGGTCCCAACTTCTTGCCTTACTTTGATCAAATGTTGCCTCTTGTTGTCCAATTCTTGTCTCATCCCAACAATGCTGCTCGTCAATGGGCTATTTGTGTCTTTGATGATTTGGTTGAATTCACAGGTCCTGCTTCTTTCAACTATTCCAACTACTTCTTGCAAGGTATGATTGCTGGTGTTTCTGATAAAGCTGTGGAAGTACGTCAAGCTGCTTCTTATGGTGTTGGTGTCATTGGTCAATTTGGTGGTCCTCAATACGCTGATGCATGTGCTGCTGCTCTTGAACATTTGTTTGGTATTATTGGTGCTCCTGATGCTCGTGAAGATGGTATTGTTTTTGTTACCGAAAACGCTATTTCTGCCATTGCCAAGATCTGTAAATTCAACAGCTCCAAGATTCAATTGGAACCTGTTTTGTCTGCTTGGTTGAGCACTTTACCCATTGTGAATGATGACCAAGAAGCACCTGTTGTCTACACATACTTGCTTGATCTTTTAGAAGCAAACCACCCTAGTATTGTTGGTCCCAACAGCTCCAATCTTCCTCACCTTGTCAAGATCTTTACTGAAGTGTTGGCTGCTGATATCTTGTCTGCTGAATTGGCTGCTCGTATGGTCAATAACCTCAAGATTATTTTGGGTGGTCTTGATGAAAACACTCGCAACCAATTATGGAATGCTATTTCTGTAGAAACTAGAACTATTCTACAAAAGAAGGGTTATGTATAATCTTTTCTTCTCCCTCCTTCTTTCTAATATACACTTCATCTTCATTTCTTTCTCTAACTATAAAAAAAAACTTGTATCGCTTTAATTGTAGAAAAAAAATACATATGCATTATCTTATTTTAAACTTCATTTTCAATGTGTCTTTAAAGTGTTGAACTTCCCTTTGCTACAAGCATCGCCCACCCCCTTCCAATTCACTTTTTATCTCAAAAAAATATAATAAATGACCATGGTAGTTTTTTTTAAAAGTGGTTTAAACACACAACTTTAATCTTTAAGAAAAAAAATAAAGAGAAATAAGCCGTTTAGATGAAACCGATCTTGTTGGCAACGTCCAAAGCATCAACATCAGCAGTCAAACGAACAAAGGCCTTCTTGTAACCATCAGGTCTAATAACAAAGAATGTGTTAAATCCAATTACATTTCATGTTTTGATGTTTTACCTGATGAGTGTGTTAACTTGAGCAGCTTCAACATCATAGAGACGCTTGACAGCATCCTTGATTTGGTTCTTGTTAGCCTTGACATCAACGAGGAAGGTCAAAGTGTTGTGTTCTTCAATCTTCTTCATGGCAGTCTCGGTGTTGAGAGGTTGACGGATGACACGGTATTGGTCCATGCGGGGAGCGTGGGCAACAGACTTACGAGCATACTTGGGGGTACGCTTCAAGACCAAAGTCTTGGGGATGTGGAAGTGGGTGGAAGTGCGGATCTTGCGCACATTCTTACCGTGAACACCTTTGAGAGCGGCTTTTTTGGCGGCTTGAGCCTTGGCGGAAGCTACAAGAGTAAACAGAGTTAGTTACAGTGTTTAAACTGACAGCATAAGAGAAAGAGAGACATGGTGTTATGTTGATTAGTGACTGATGGTGTCTACCACATCATTTTGTGATCATTCTCGTATTCATCAATCCATCTTGTTCTATGTTCATCTCATCTTGTTCTCTTTCTCTTATGCCTTTTTGGTTAATCGTTGTAATGATTACCTTGGTTGGCCATTTTTAAATCGTCTACCACGTTTCTCTAAAGAGGAGGATGATATAGTATACAGCTACACATTGGTAAAAGAGACAAGAATCCCTCCATTTATTCCGGTCCGGAATAATTCGGATGCTTAAATTTTTTTTTTTTTTTTTTTGGTTTTTATTTATTCGTTTTTAAATGTCATGCTGCTGTTCACAGCGCTATGGGTGGTATAAGGTAATATCTTGCGAGGTATAAATGCTGCTGCAGGGGTATTGTGTGAAATGCAATGCTGGGTATTGTCAGGTAATCCAGTGGCAAGAACATTTTCTGTAAACAGCTTATGGGTGGGTGTAGGAACCAACATCATATCTGCTGCAGACATTATGCCAGAAGTACCCAAGGTATCTGTGCATAAAGGCATTGTAGCTGCCAAAACAGATTTGTCTTGCTCTTCTTTCAACTTTTTCCTTCTAAAGTGTTGTTGCAAGTTCTCAATGTCTTTCTTGATGATGTTACGGATGCCCATCATGTGTAAATATTCCAGAATACTGCTAATCTTTTGTCCATTGTTCAGCAGTTGCAAGATAAGCTCTTTGACTGGCTCAGACTGTCTTCTGTGTAAACTGTAGACAGTGCAGTTGGTGGGTATGGCGTGATTATGGTTCCCATAACTGCGCTCAATCAACCACTTTTGTTCGACAAGTTTAGCCTTTATAAAGCACTTGCAATCAGTACGTTGTGTTTCTTTCTTTCTAGACTTGACTGTCTTTGTGGGTTGATTGGTGTTCTTATTACTTTTGCGATAAACACCTGCGTGTTTGCACCAGAGATGAATACTACGATAGTTGGAATTCTTTGTGCTCATGACCACATTATGCTTTTGACCGTAGCTTGAGACTGTTGAACGAAGGTCCCCAATACTGTCAAAAGAATTACCAGGTGCAAATAATGCATCAAACTCTTGAAGAAATTCTGGTATTTGTTCCTCAGTAGTAACTACAGGCATAGGAAGAGGTATTTGAGGGGAGGGTATAGGACTTGTGCTCATCTTGAGAGGAAAAAAAAAGAAAAGAAAAAAAAAAGAAGAGGTGTTGTTATTTTACAGCGAATCTGAGAACGACCTTAAAACGATATATTTAAAGCCAGTTTCGGCTGTGTGTTGGAGCTCTCTGAACGTATTTTAGTTGAAAAAAAAATACAACATTGAGTATATATACAAAGCATATTGTTTATACAGTAATATCTCAAGAGGATATTGAAGTATTTGGCTTGTTGATAGTTCAAGTGTTTACAGATAGATTATAAACTAATAAATTTAGCTTGCATGCGTTTTATGTCATAATAAACAAGTTGCTCTATATGATAGTTCATTCTGGATGTTGCACTTTAAGTTAAATTCCTTTCATTTCAAGATAAAGAAACTAGGCAGGTCTTTTATGCATTATTTATTATTGTGTATTCTCTTCGTGGTAGTAGTATTGAACTGAAAAAGGAAGAAAAGCACTGTTTTAATGATGACAAGAACAAAAAAAAAAAAAAAAAAAGTGAATCCTACATAAACCTATTGAAGCTTCTTTCATTTATTAGTGTTATTGTACTCTAACAAGAAACCAAATAGACGAATATTTACTTTTCAATTTTCGTATAGTAAGGCTGCTTGCATTGATGAGCTCTTCTCAAAAAATTTTCAGGGAGGGAGGACTTGATTTATCCTACATTTCGTAATAATTGATGTCAGGTCTTGATTAAAACAACCAGAGTGAATTTCAAGCAAAATCAATCTAATGAAGACAGAGAATACCTCTTCTTAATAGCCTAAATATTTATAAGCAAATAGAATACTTTCAGCAAAAAACAATAGGTATCTCTTGAACTCCAAAGTGTGCATAAATTCATGCTAATACAAAACTTGAGCAGCAGTACTCTAGGAGGCAAAATATCTCAATTGGCTCATTCATTTACAATGTATACTGTATAGAAAGTCACGCAAAGAATTCTTCAACTTTCTTTGGCACAACCAAAAAATTAAATATGCGTTAGTTATAGCATGTCAAAAAAAATGGTGGTGCATTAAAATTTTTTATGTCTTTTTATTTCTCTTCAATTGTACAGTTTGACACAAGTGATACAGCAGAAAACGAATTGTTCGAAATATTCAATCAACTTCCTGAAATCCCTGCTAAAGCGGATCAAACAACTGCTAGTGCGATTATTGAAAAACTTGCTACAGAAAACAACTTTACACTTGTTACTAGCAAGTCTGAAAAGACTCGTATGCACTTCAAGTGTATCAAGGGTCAGAAATACAGAAACATAAAAAACTTGAAAGGAAAAGCTCGCCAAAGAGCCACAAAATCAGTTTGTAATGAATGCCCATACCTTATTCGTCTTCAAAACAAAAACAACAAAGGATATAAAATACAACCTCTAAAGGAAATCAAATGATGGAAAAATATCATAATCATCCTATCAATACAGTCAATCTTCTCAGTATATTTAAGGGCCATAGACGAAACCTCAACGTAGCAGAGATCAGTTCCATTAGCACGGTATAGCCCAAAATGCAAAAGCTCGCGATATTCAGAATTCGATCAACATCGGTAATAAATATAACAAAGTGCCGGTCTATGATGTCAACAACCTTCGATATACAAAGAGGAGACCTGAGACTAATTCTAAAGCTTCAGAAAGTGAAGGAACCAACTTGATTTTGACAATGGAGTGCAATGGCTACACTGTTGCATATCAGTATAATGATGTTAAATGTTTGGAAAAATAACTTACAGAGCTCTTTCCATACTTCGCTGGGAGCTTCATCAGGAGGTTCATCCTGCTCGAGATGGTCTTGTTTGCTGCTGCTTGAACAAAACCAAGTATGGAATGTTGTATCGTCATGACCTTGCCAAGCCAGAGCTTCAAAGGACCGAATTGAAAGACATCCCTCCTCGCTGGGAAATTGATAACGCAGACAGCCTAAAAAAAAGCTTCTGGCATAGCCGTATCACCTGAAGAGACATGAATGAAGTATGTAGTTGCACTAGAGTAAGATTTTCGTCACAGCAGCAAAAGTCTTCAGAAAATGTCCAACCTCAAATGGCATCAAACAGTTTCTCAAGAACGAGCAAAACTTCGATGATGAATTAATGGAATTTGGTAAAAATAGGAATATCCTGAACTCTATCTTCCACCTTCGGATGCCATTTCTAAAACAGGGGAAAAAAAGAAGATTAGAAGGTTGGCATCCTTAAAGAAAGACTTTCGAAAGAAATCTTTCAGAAAGAGCTACTTTTGTTTGAGTAAACATGATTTGATAAAAGAAGGTAAAAACCAGCTTCGACCCTACAGAGAAATAGTAGTCTGATCCACACAAAAAAAAACATATAATGATGGACGAGGGAAGTGTTTATGTTGATAAAAATAAAGCACACCTTTAACAAATGCCCCAAAGTTTATCCCTTATATTTACAAATTCCAGCCAAAAAGGCAACATCTTCTTGCATACGAAGAGCTCACTAAGATAAAAAACAGTTGGAATCATGGAAGTGTAAGACGTTTCTTGGTACCATCATTTCTTTGGCACCACCATGTCTTGGCATGATATTATGACTAGCAAACATTTTTTTTTTGGTTGTGCCGAAGCAAAGATTCTGGTTGTGCCTAAGAAATTTCTTTGCAGATAACGTCATCACTCAAATCACCCAATCATCAATTTCTGGTGGTTACATAGAGTATAGGTTTGATTGGCCTGTATAGCAGCGATAGCTTGAGGGCCTGCAGAATGAATAAAAAATTGTTTTATATTTTCCTCGTTTTTCTTTTTTTTCCCTTTACACCCCACTCTTTCATAAAAATGTCTCTTGTCAACAGACCCAACAACGTTCAAGCTTACCAAAAGTTCTTCCAAGTATGAGATTGAAATATTTTATAAGCAAAACTAACTTCATGTTAGGCTCCTTCCAACACCCTCTTGTGGCTCCGTGGCCCCAGAGATAAGCTCTTTGTCTACTCCACTTTCCTCGTTCTCGGTACTGGTCTTGTTGGTTCCCTTGTTGGTGCTGTCAACATGGCTCGTGTACGTATCTAGTTTTTGACATTTTGTTTGTTGTACATGTGTTAATCTTATTTTTTATATACAGGGTAAGAAGAATTAAGAGGATAAACAAAAATGATTGGATGATAGATACACGCACAGCTGCAGCATTTTTTTATATTATAATCATTAAAATGTTGTTTAAAACTACCACAATGGAAATTGATCTTTAGGCCATTGACCAGATTCACGAGTGGGCCAATACTGTCCAGAATATTGCCATTCATCGCCTTCTTTTGTAAACCACCGAGGTTTCCATTCTTTGCCCACTAATTCAAATTCTTTTCTTCTTTCTCTTTGTTGTTGCTCTATTCTTAGTTTTTCTTGATCTGCTTCATCTACTTGACCTATAGAAATTGTGTTTGTAAGCGTAGTCTAATAAAAAAGTTGAGAGACTACCTTGCTCGTAGAGCCTTTGATCTGGTCTAAGACGTGTATCAGTAATAGGTAGTTTGCCTTCTTCTAGTTCAGTAATTTCATTTAATTCTGTGGCAAATTTGGTAAAGCCAAAGTATTTTTCATGGTCTTTGATTCCTGGTGGACGCGCACTCCATAGCACTTGAAGTTTGCTCTTATCAAGTCCAACTTCTTCTGCTAAGGCTTCACTCCATTTACCAGATACACGACGCACTTTTTTGCCATTGGCATCATAAATAGTAGTAACAACCTCATTGCGCTTTGTAGGTGCACCAAACAAACCACCGCCTGTGCCTTCTTTGAATACAATAACAGCATATTCACCTGTGGTTTGATTTACCACTTTGCATTCGCCAGAGTGTTCTAGATATTTTTCACCGGCAATCATATTCTTGATCCAACTTGAAGGCTTGGAGAAACAGTAACGATCATCATGGCCAGTTAAAGTGACATAAAAATTACCTTCTGTCATAAACTCCATGGACTTGCCCCAAAACTTACTTTTGATATTGGTTGATTGCCAATATTTAAAGCCTTTTGCTTCAGCATGAGCAGCAATGATAAGCGGGTTATGAGATACTTTTTCAGATATGTAGCGAAATCCCTTATCAGGGCGAATGGCTTCATAAGTTTCAGTCATGAGTGGATTAAAGGGCTTTCGGCCTGTGCGGTATTGAGTAGAAGCATAGGTAGAGATGGAAAATACAGCCACATACATAAGACGTTCAACAGAGTCTTGCAAAGTAGAGGCCTTTTCAAGCAATTCACAGTATTCTAGTTCTTCACATGCCTTTTGAAGCATATTCAAGGGCTCATTCATACTGATGGGCATAGCAATAGTACTCAAATCTTTACCAACGTTCTTTCTAAAGACAGCAAGAGCAGACCCTGCATCAGCAACGGCAGGAGAAGGTAGTTTTGTACGACGTGTGATTGTGCCCATAGAGTTCAAATCTAAAAAATTCGAAGTATTGCTTGCTCCAGAAGATGCTATCTTTTTGTGAGATACGAGCAAGGACAAGTGATTTACTTACCACTGTCTTCATCACTGCTATCTCCTCCATCAATAGTAGATCCTTGGTCTACAACATCATACTCTTCTTCGTCTTCTTCACCACCGCTAAGTACAATATCTTCTGCATCAAAGAATTGGTCTGAGTAACTAGACATGCGGGAATAAATGCTTGATGTGCGATTGATTGCTTCGTGGTCTTCAGGAATAGAGTCATCAGCTGGCTGAACGATAGGCGACATGGAGCCAGAACGACGATAATTTACTGCAAAATGGTTCTGTAAATTCTTCCAATGCAAGACTTGTTCTTGTGTATCATTAACGAGTTGATTTTTATGAGTATCTAAACGTTCCACGAACTGTTCCACCAGCGCCAACGCATTATTGTTCACCAAAGCTTGTTTCAACTCCTCTATTGCGTTATCTAAAGATAGTGTATTTTGCTTTTGCTTTATGGCAGTTTCGAGTCCTTGTTCAATATCTGCACGAATGCGGCGATTATCCAAGCCTCCACCACGGTTTGAAACACGCTTTGATACTAAACTGACACTGCTCCTATTGTATTCTTCATTGAGAGGTATATCGTCTATACCGCCATTCTTTCGACGTACTTCTGTCAATGCATTCTGCCATAGTTCGTAGTCCGATTCGGTCAATGTTTTAAGCTGATAGAGCATGGTGCCCGAATCAATGTTAATTTGATGCAGGTTGGGTTTATATGAGATGGTCGACACAAGAATTTGAATAGAACCACGAGTGACACTATTCTGTGAAGTTGAATAAGAAAGCACACCTGTATGTGATAGCGTGAAATAACGTTTAGCCCAACCTTGCATTCGTTTACGCTTCTTTTTAAGTAACCATCCCGAAACTTCATCGCCGGGTACCTTGACATCCTCAGGATTTCCCAGGGCAACAGAAAAAGTCAGCATTTTAGGCGTATTTCTCGAAAAGGAGTTGTCTGATGTATTTAGTTTAACAATCAATTACGTTCTCCCCTTACCAAAGACTAAGACATAATTGCCAGGTTCATCAACTACATAAGTGCCTTCGACTTTTTGATCAGAAGATTGTGCGTGTTGGATAGGAATGATTTCGTCCATGCCACCGTCCTTGAGTTTGGAGGCTGCAACTGACTTGGAACGGGGTCTATTTGGAGACAATGCTTGATGAATGGATTGAACACTATCATCATCCTCTGTATGAAGCATGAATTTGAATTCGTTCGAACAATATATTTTTAGTTTTTACCTTGTATACTATGTCGAACGCCTAAGCCTGAAGGTACTGACGCTTGCTTCTTTTGCTGTTGTGCGTGAAAGACAATCTCAGATGAGTTAGGTAAAGGTCCTTTACCCTTTCTTCGAAACAGGCCAAAAGATATGTTGTTTTTCTTAGTGGTAAAAGACCACCGAATAACAGTGCCTGTTGCAGGAACGTAAATATTATGTAAATAGGCGTCTCTTGGTTGAACTTGTACTACTTCCATTCGCTAATAATAAAAGAGAAAAAGATGAAAGAGAGAAAGAAAATACATTTATTTATTTATTTTGAGACAAAGGTTGTTCTTGTGTTCTCTTTTTTTTTTCTTTTTTTTTTCTTTCTTCTTTTCTTAGCATACATGCTTATCAGCATTTAAAGGCCATTTTTAGTTGTGCTTGTTTTTGATTTTTTCAACGTTATTGTGCTCATTTATTACACAGTAACCATTCTTTGACTTTACATGGTTATTAAAATATCTCGTCTAAAAAAGGTTAAGAAAAGCATGAATTCGTTTACTCAAAATATACGTAATCTTTTTATTTAAGCGCGTTGACGAACAACAAGGTCCAAAAACTACTCAATGCAATTAGCTCAATACTCTCTTTATTTCGTTTTCTTGCTTACCTGTTCATAGTTAATCTGAACCCAACCGTCATTATCATTATCGAATTGTCTGAAAGAATCAGTCAAGGTCTTGACTGTGACACAAGCTTGGACGAAATTATCGAATGAAACGTCTCCTTTTCCTGTATTTTTAATAGTGGCTGTTAGAGTCACGTTAATATGTGCCAGTTGGGAATAGCGAGCACATACCATAACGGTCAAACTTCTGAATAAGAGTGTGAATGAATTTAGGTGAAACATTAAAGCCAAAAGATCTTAAGGCGTTACCCATTTCAGCTTGGTTGATACTTCCTGAATGGTCGACATCAAAGGCTTGGAAACATCGCTTCCAGTCTTCAATATATTTCCATAATCCAGCAAATTCATTAAATCCAATAGTGCCGCTATTATCTATTCGGGAAAAGGGTGTCAATAAGACCTGAAACGCGATAAAGAACAAATGAGTCTTACCAGTATCAAACATGTTCACCATAAGACGAACTGTTTCGATATTAAAAGGACTCCAGTCACCGTTAATCAAGGCTCTTTGAAGTTCGTCAGCTGAGAGTTGACCTGAGCCATCTGTATCAACTGCTTTAAACCAGCCATATAGCTGTTGATCTACAGCACTTGGAGGAGCTCCAGCAGCTTTATAATAAATCTGTTTAATGCCTACTCTTCTGACTTTTTTATTTGCTCCTTAACATTACCTTGTTGACCATAATAAGCTTGTTGAGGATTGTATCCTCCTTGTTGTGGTGGGGGTTGTTGTTGATTATATTGAGGAGGGGGAGGAGGTTGATAAGACATTATGTTTTAAGAAAGAAGAAGAAAATAAAAGAGAACCAAAGAGAAATGGATAAAAATAAAGTTTATTTATATATGACTTTTTTCGTCTCTCTCATGATTCAATAAAACCCCGCCCCGAGAAAATATAAATAAACATAATGTTTACATCTTTGCAGTAGTTGGATTCCACTTCCTATCATTTATCCATGCACTCACTAAAGTATGGGCAAGAGATCCCTTAGGCGCCATAGAGAAAGAAGCATTGGTTTCGCTATTCAAAGCAGCAATGACTTCAGCACGAGAAAACCAAGAAGCAGTTTCGAGCTCATCATCCGCATATTTGATTTCGGTCGAAGTAGCCTCAGCAATAAATCCAAGCATCAATGAGTTTGGGAATGGCTATATATATATAATAGAACTTAAATAAATTTGCTTGGCAAAGATCAATATTTACCCAAGGTTGGCTACTATGATAAGCCACGCGATTCACAACAATACCAGTTTCTTCATATGCCTCACGACGCACCGCCTCTTCTAAAGATTCTGCAGCTTCCACAAAACCTATAGATTGGTTAGTCACTTTCAATGTAAATATTTCACTTACCAGCTATACAAGAATGCATCTTGGGTGGCCATTTTTTTTGTCTTCCCAACAGGATTTTATCGCCATTAGGATGAACAATACATACAATAATTACAGGGTCTTTGTTTAAAGTGTTATCGTCGATTTTTTTTTTTTTTTTTTAGAATGTTACCTGTTCTAGGATAAGTGAAATTTTGAATGCCGGTGTGGCTAATGCATTGCTGAGTGGCATTATTAGGAGGACAATGACGTTTATAGCCTGCTTCTTCAGAAACAGTGTGTCTACCACATGCAGAGCAATACATGTTACGAGCATTCCAATCAACTAGGTCGATTTAGTCAATACTTGACAACAGTAAAAGAAAAACTTACTCATGGAAGCTGCTTGTGCAATAATCGAACTGGTTGACCTATCCATGGTAAATGCACGAGGTAATGTGCGACAAAACTCTAGTCCTTTTGATTCAAGACCTATCGTAAAGAAAAAAAAAGAGTAACAGTTAGGCCTGTATATAGTATTTATATGACTTGCCTTGAATAAGTTCTTTGTATTCTTGTTCATGTGCCCCTCTAGGCGTCACATCTAGGGCCCAGAAAGCAACACTTTCTTCTTGACGTTCATCCATACCCAAGAATACTAAAATGGTATTTGAATTATCAGGGATAGCTGATTCTTGGCTATAAACTCGATCTACTGCTGAAGAGACATCGTTATAGGTAAGATAACGCAAGTTGCCTTCTGCATCATACAAGGCCTTGAGTTCATTCAATACGATGTATTTAGAAGTGGAAGCATGAGCCATTGGGGCTAAAAATTCGGGTTTGTTTCTTTTCCATCCAAATCTACCCAAAAAAAGAGACATTAGTCATCAAATTTAATAAAAAGAAAACCTTTACCTATTTAATGGATTTCCTGCAAATACAGATACGTGATTTTCAGGAAAAGGGGATTCCTTAAGTTCTTCCTTTACACTCAATAATTCAGCAACTGATGTATTGCCCCAAATTTTAGCAACTTGAGCGGCTGTCTTGCCTTCTGCGTTTGTAGCCAACAAGTCAGCACCTTTTTCTTTAAGGAACTTTGCTGCTTCTAGCTGCCCAAAACGAGCTGTAAAATGAAGAGGAGTCCAATTTCGTTCATTCTTTTGGTTAACAAGAGGTAAGTTTCGTTTCAAAAATTCAAGGTCGCCAGCTGCAGCTGCTTCAAAGATATCGTTCGAACTCATGCAAAAAATAACTGAAAAAAAGGAAAAACTTTCGGTAAGTAAAAACTTTACAAACAGATTAAAGTGACTGACATTTCAAGTTTTGATTACTCATATGGACGTCTTTCAAAGAAACACTGTACCTTTCATGATATGTGGAATTTGATTTTTTCAAATTTGCGTTTTTACTTGACTGAAAGAACCATATAAAGAGAATATAGAGCCTGCTCATCCTGACATGAATTTCTTTAAATACCTACAAACAATGTTTACTAACATCTATGATGCATTTGGTATTGATTTGAATCAAACCCCCCCCCATTTGTAAAATGGCCTTTCGACTAAAAGGTACTACTCATGAAAACCATCAAGTTGACAATTTTCTAAGCTTCTTTTCCTTCTCCACATTTTATGTTAGAAACCAGGCATAAACAGCAACCTGAACCAAACTCTAACTACTACAACGAGAATCTTTTGCTTTGGACTCATATTGTTAGATCAAAGAGGAAAGGCAATAACAATAAAAAAAACCAATTTATTGTTTCGTCTAACCCTACGTTGGTTAGTCGTCTGGGTACTGAAGAAGTGTCATCTCAACATGCTCTTAATGGCTTTATCTCTCCAGCTCTCATTGCAGTTATTCGTCCATTAATCAAAGGAATGGAACAAGATTCAGTCTTCATTGATCTTACTCCAGTCAAGGATCGATCTTTATCAAACAAAGCTCTGCTTAAGTTTAACGAAGATGCTGAAAACACAGGATTCTACGAAGATTTTCTGGGCTATCGAAAGCAAACACGCAACTAACTGGGTCATGACTTTTTGGAGACCATATGGCTTTGTAATAGCGTTGGTCGCAAGACACTTATTGAAGAAGGGATTACGTTGGAAGATGGTATCTCTGTTGAAGGTTTTCTTTCTTACTCAGCTGACGCTACCATTGTCCGCTTCACTTTAGAAAATCTTCCATTCCTCCCAGCCATCCAGTTGAGAGAGGAAAGGGCTGCTCGCCTGTCGTGCTTGGGTGAAGTTCTAGATCATGGCATCTCGATAACAGATGGTGAATAGTATGCCATCTTACATCTAGCTCCTGAAAATGACTGTATGGAATCTCACGCGGATGAATCGGAGTGTCCCGGGCATAGATACTTGGAGTCCTTATCTCGCCTCATCATTTGGGATCCACATGATAATGAACAGAGAAAAGTACTCTTACAGTGGGATGAGATGTCTGACTTTCGTCGTAACTGTCAAAGCTCTGATCATTGCAGAGCTGATTGTCTTGACTACAAGAAATGGGCGCGCTACTACCACTGCAATGAGACTGACCATGTCATGCGAAACTGTAGTCGCAATGGTTCAATTGACTCCACTCCCAATAAGGTCCATGCAGTAAAGAAATTTGCAAGTCAACCAAAACCTAGAAAAGAATCAAACAAGGAATCTACTGAGCCCCCCAAGGCTGTCCCTAAGAAACTAAATGCACAAGAAAATGCCCATGTAGGTTCTCTAGCCCCTCAAGGCTTCAAACATAATGAGAGAGAAGCAACAGATGCTCTCAATGACACAAACGGTGGTGAGGAGGACACCGCTATGAATAAAAGCAGCCCTAATCCGGTAAAAGGCTCTGACGCGTAGAAGACTATCTCAAAAGACATAGTAATGAAGGAATCTATACTCTCGTCTCCATCTGGCATCTTTTTTTTTTTTAAATGTGTTTATTGATTGAGCCGCGTACACTAAGAGTAATAGTCAAAGTGAAGAGGCGGGTGCAATTAAAATGAAAGTTAATAAAATAAAGCGAAACACACTAGATAAAATAAACTAAACTAAAATAAATTATATAGAAAAAAGTTACAGGATTGAATGGCATTGATCCTCTTCAATAGTCTGACGAACATTGAATCGGATGCTTGCTAATATGGCCGTAGGTACAATGGGGGTCTTGTCAAAGATAAATCTCATATGAGCAAGCCAGATTTGTGAAAGAGTAATTATGAGGATTCTGTATGGTTTGATTCCTTTCCGTTGGCAGTACCAGATGTACGAGAAGTCCAGGGACAGAAGAGCCTCTTGGATATCAGATATTGAAGTGGTAGGCCAAAGAAACTCAAAGATGATTTCCTGCCATACCTTCTCTTTAGTTGGACAATGAAAGAGCATATGGTTAATAGAGTCAGTGGTAGTTAAGCACACCGGACAGAAGGGAGAGTCAAACACGTGAGGCATAATAAAATGTAAGAATCGACGATGAGGAATACACCCCAAGATATACCGGTATGTCACATTACGTTGAATGGTGGTAAGAGACAGAGACCAAAAGAATTTCCATTTCACTTCTGTAATATTTCTCAAGGCCAAAGGAGGAGCCATAGCCGAGAGAACTGACTGACGAAATGTCTTAGCCGATGCCTTGATACTACAAATACCTTGATCATCTTGAAACCGAAACTGGTTGATCAAAGGCGCAAATGAGACCGTCGAGTCTTCAAGTGGAGCAGGACTACATACAGAGCTAAAAAATGGCTGAAGTTTCAAACTCCCAGATGCAAGACCTTTGAAGACTGTGGAGGGAGTACGCTTCCAATAAAGTAGTGAAGGATCACGAGTATCTTTCCAGTGAACAAAGTTGAGTCTAGCATCAACTTGAAAGACATCTGACACCATCATTTTCTTGACACGTAGGGGGACAACGAAGGACGAAGAAGGGGGAACGTAAAGCACAGCTTGCAAAGGTAGGACCATAGCGGTAACAGTATTAAGGCTAGCATTCGCAAATGATCGAGGAAGACAATCAATGGCACGATATAGCATATTAATAGTGCCAGTTCTTTGTTTTTTCAGCCCTTGTGTACGAGAAGAAGGAAACAACAATGGAATCTGATGATATTTGCAGTCATTGATATTTCGAATATGAAGGCTAAGTAAGTACGTGACCGGATGAGCATCAATATTATCTTGATTATACGCCAACAAAGGATGCAGCCAGCGAAAAAATAAAGCCGAGGCCTGAACCTGAATATCAATTACTCCAAGTCCACCTTTTTCTTTTGGCAACGTCCATACTTTCCAAGGAATAACAGGAAATATATTCTTACGCAAGAATCGAATGGCCAAAGATTTCAATTGTTTGAGATCAGCAAGTGTCAACGGAGTAACCCGCAAGATATACCATATTTTAGACAATATCAGTGAATTCAAGACAGTGGCTCGGCCCACCACAGATAATGAACGTGTAGAGTGGATTTGTATAGCAGTCTTAATCTTTGTTATCATAGAACCCATAAAATTGACTCTTTGAATACGGCTTTGTATCAATGGAAAACCCAAATAAATTAAGGGTTCATCATCTTCGACAGAGTGCAAATGCTTGATACCCATTTGAGAGAGTGGAGCTTCCCAATAAGTCCATGTATTTCTGCCAGACACCGAGAAGGCTTCCACCTTTTCATGGTTGAACTTTGCATTGGAGGCTTCGCAATATCGAGTCATATGCAGTTGTAGCCGAGCAAGATCAGTGGAATTATGTACAAAGACCAGAGCATCGTCAGCGTAACATAGAAGCTTCGTCCGTTCAGTACCCATTATGTAGCCTTGAAATTGACGATCATGGAGAATGGAGAGCAAGAAAGGTTCAAAAGCCAAATTATACAGAATAGGCGAGAGAGGATCACCCTGTTTCAATCCGCGTAATTTAGCAACTTCGGAGGAGAGATGACCATTGATGTTGATTCGGATAAGATTATCGCCCATTAACTTGTAAATGCATTTAATCAGTGGGGAAGGGAAGCCAAACTTTTTCATCACTTTCTTCAGGTAGTGTAAATTCACTCTGTCGTAAGCCTTTTCTTGATCCAAGAGAAGACCAATATCAGCATTCAAGGTACTAAAATCAGGATCATTATCCAGTTGTTCAGCGATCGACCATTTCCTTTGAGCGTCTTCCATTAGCAATTGACAGATCATACCATTTTCAGCGATAAACCGTCCAGGAATAAACCCCAATTGATGACGGCTAATAAGACGAGAAGATACCTCCATGAGTCGACGATTGACGATACGTGTGAACAGTTTGTAATCCGTATTTGCTAAGGACAAAGGACGATAGTTCTTCATATCCGCAGGATCACCTTTCTTGTACAGCAGACACATGACTGATTCATTCCATGACTGAGGAAACTTACTCTTCTGCAAAGCGTCATTATAGACAGTCGATATCAGATCATGATATGGAGGGAATTTTATAACCAAATACAAAATCTCATATGGCAGTCCATCTGGTCCTGGACTACTCTTACGAGGGGTGCGTTTGCTCTCGTTGAGTATGTCATCAACATCGATAGGCTGCATAAGTTTTTCCTGTTGTTCTGAGGAAATCTTCAAGTGACTAGGGATAGATCGAGTCATAGCCCTAAGAGCTACAGTTTCGGTGGGAGAAGGAGTAAATAGCGAGGTATAAAATTTAGTTGCTATACGAGAAATATCATGTTGCTCTTGACAAAGCTCTTCAGTCACTGGATCTCTCAATTCAATGAGGGTTCGCTGATTTTGTCGAGATACTTCCATCTGGCATCTCAAATTTGGGACCTCATCTTAATGTCAAAAAGATGGGTAAGTTTAATGGATCTGATTATATTAGTGCTGCTCAGCAACAAGCGGCGGCTTCAGCTGCCTCACAACAAAGTGAATTGAATGAAAAGGTTAATGTAAAAGTTAATGTGCTCCAGCCTGATTTGATGGGCCAACAATCACCTCAACCTCAACATTAATTATGAAAATTAGACGTCATACAGTTAAAATCGCCACTCTCAATTGTCGTGGCTTGAAAAAACCAGAAAATACCAAAAAAGACAACAATTCAGAACCCTTGGACATGACATCCTGGTATTACAAGAAACTCATGCTTCAAATACCACTACTATAGATTTACTTAACAAACATTTTAATTACAATTCGAAAATTTGGACTCAACACTGTGGTATTATATCACTCTCTTATCACTTTACAATTATACCTGTCTCAAAAGGAATTGACAATGGTCGATATATATTGGCTGATATTCGCTTAACTTGAGATTTGGAACATTCGTTTACTATAGCACCTATAGCAACAATTTTAAACATATACGGGCGTCCAGCACTTCATTCTGATCGATCAACACTCTATACTAAGCTCCTTGGTATTCCAATCGTCAAGGACGCTTTATTAATACACATGACACAACATTTATCATGGAAGATTTCAACTATCAATATAAAGATCGTTGTTTAGATGGTACTCTAATTTGCGCATCACCTGAATGAACAAATTTACTAGATGATTATTACATTGATATTTCTGGGAATGAGAAGCAGATTACTTGGTATAATGGTAGCAACTCAGGAATATTAGACTATATTTTTCTGTAGCTCTAGCTCTCATCATCAGGTTACTAGTATCAGTCAACAATTTTTGTCACCAGAGTGGACGGATCACGACCTCTTGGAGTTCTCATCTACATATCAAGACTCAAATGATCCAGGTCCTGAATTTTGGAAAGCAAAGACTTCAGGCAAGCACTAGCGTTTCATTTAGAATTAAACATGGATTGTTTCACAAAGATCAAGCGATTTGCTAGACCACAACAGCAATGGGATTGGATTAAGGGAGAGGTAAAGCTTTTTGTGAAATCCTATCAGAAGGAGGATTTGAACTAGAGGAAACAACAACTACACAAATTACAGTCTAAGAGGAACAAAGAAATGCGGCATCAGAAGCATAGAGTATTGGTATTCCAAGGCATGGATCATCTCAACTCCCTAACCCAGTCATTACAGCATTTGATAGCATAGATTGAAGTCCTGAAGTCGGGCAAGTTCTGGAGAGAACATACAGAGAAATCTGCGAGTTTCTTGAAGCAAACGGCCACATCTCGGCAAAATAAGTGGTGTATTACTGAACTGAGAGATCCGGTGACTGAAGAGTTTTGTCAAGAACAACATGAAATTTCTTGTATAACAACTGAATTTTATACCTCACTGTTCACTCCTTCTTCTACTGGCACTGTAGTCTTAAGGGCTCTGACACGATCTATTCTAATCACCTAAAGATTTTATCAGAAAAAAAGAGAAGCTTATGCTGCCAACTGATGTTGATGACATATTAAGAGAGCAAGCGTACCCCTCGCAGGAGTAGTCCAGGGCCAGATGGACTGCCGTATGAGACCTTGTACTTGGTAATGAAATTCCTTCCATATCATGATCAGGTCTTGACTGTCTACAATGAGGCTTTGCAAAAGGGCAAGTTTCCCCAGTCAGGGAATGAATCTGTCATGTGTCTGTTTACAAGAAAGGTGATCCGACGGATATGAAAATAACAATTTCTACTCCACAGATATAGTTTTGTAACACAAGAAATGATTTATATGATTTCACATAATACTATAGGAAAAGAAATTTTTATGCTCTGAAGATATGTTTTATGCAGAGCAGAATAAATAGGCAAAATAATTAAGGATTACTGCCCCTCAAGAGAGTTATTTTATAAATTCATATAACTTTATTTTCTGAATCTATAAAATTCTATATGACATCAATGTAATTCTATATTCTTTTGTATACTGTTATATGAATAACAACAAATCCGTTATTATATCATATATTTTTCTCTTGAACGGCGGCAAATATTTATAATATCAGATAGAAACGTCTTTACTGAAGAGAGAACTATTTGAATCTATATAGGATATTTGCAGCACAGTTATATAAATATATATAGGTTTATATATAGGCTTTTATTTAAATAGACAGGTATACATATAGTCTATTCTTGCATGTAGAAGCAAGCACATAAGTAATTGGGTGATAATGAGTGCATATGCTTCAAGCAGTGACTCGTCAATGCAAAATAGGTCATAGTCAAGTGAACTATCGATACTCTACGTTCGCGAACAAAATTTTAGATTCTTTAATATAATAGAAATTCAATAGCTTTATTTGATCGGGCTAAAAACTCTGATATGATTTAAAAATAAAATCTTACGTTTTGTAATCCTGCAATTAATTTTATGAAAAGGAAGACAATGATAAGAATAAATAAAAAATAAACAAAGTGATAAAAAAGAAAAAAAAGAAACTAGCAAAAGACATTTAGCTTCATAGAAGCAGCAATACGAAACAATTTGTATACAAAGGCAACAAATAAAATAAGGGTTTTATTATTTGAGCGACAGCTTTTTTTTTTGAACACCCAATCATACTCTCAGATTGACTTTTATCAACGATTTAAGGTACGTTGAACAGCTAATCAAAATTATAGGCCATCTTGAATTATTAATAAAAGTCAATAACAAACCCCTAAAATAATACCCAAAATAAGAAGCAACACTCTACACTTTTTACAAAATAGCGGTAAGATGAAATGATGAATAAAAACTACCATGGTTGTGAGCAATTAGATTTGTTCTACTAATTTTCTACGTGCCTAGGCATATCTACAATAAGGTATTCACCTTTTTCCTTGATGCATTGACATAAAAATCATGAAAGAAAGGCTTATTCTACATCCATATAAAATATCTAACCATAATATATTTTTCTATAGATTCATATAGTTTATCTAAGTTAATATAAGTTTTTTTATATTATAGATGATATCTGCTTTTAGATAGCCATTTATAGAATAACATATTTTATCTGATACAATATACATGTTTCTGATATTATAACCACTACATGAATTTATAAGACCCTGTTTATAAATTCATATATCGGTTATGTTTTAATAAAGCTTATATAGATTTATATAGCTTTTATGATATCAGATAATATTTATAAATTTATAAATTCTATATAATATTTTCTGATATCATAAGTTGGTTATAATATTAGAAAAATTTTAGCTACTGTAGCGTCTTTACTTCCCGAATGACAACTTCAACAATCCGAGCTCTGTTTTGAATACTTCTAACTATCAATTTTTGACCAAGTTCCCTGTTGTAACAGAGTGATTACGACAGCCATAGCAGCTGCAGTGTTCATAGCAACCATAACAACTATAATAGCCATCATAGCCACCATACACCACAGCATTTTTCTCCCACAGAAGATTTCTGCATACAATGGGAGATCTTTCCATCGCTTACGCTGTAGCGATAACTATACAAGAAAGGTAGCTAGAGCGATCAAAAAATTATGGAAAGAAGTTTTGAATACTAGAATTTATAATTGAGCCAGAAAAATAGAATAAGAAAAATATGATTCAGCATCCAAACTTATTCAGCCAGCGGGTGTTACTGCTCCCCAAGCTATTAGCCCTTCCTTCTCTTTGAAATCGGACTCACAAGTCAACTACATCCTTCTCGGATAAATTTCAGCAAATCCTAATCAAACAAGCGGCAGCTGAAAATCCTATTTGTAAAGCAACTGTCAGCCGCCGAGAACGTCTTTGCTTCCCAAATGACAACATAAGTGATTCGGATTTTTTCTTCAATGCTCTTGATCATCAATCTTTCAACCAGGTTCCCTGTTGCAGCAGAGTGATTGCGACAGCCATGGCAACCATAATAGCGACCATAGCAACCGTAGTGCCCATAGCGTAAGCTGTTGCATTTTTCTTCCATTGGTGGAGGAAATATTTCATTGAATGCGTTTTTCTTCCATCACTTATGCTGTGGTGAAGATGTATCCTATATAAAACAATTATTTAGCAGAAATATTCTTAAGACTTACTAGTTATATCCCTAATGAGGTACTCAACAACTAGCCTTCTTTAGACTGAAATCAATCTTTAGTGCACTGAACACTGCAAGAATAAGCTTATTAATTCCTTTAATGATCTTTGCAAAATTTAAGAGTGCCTTTTCATCTTCTTAAACTCCTCTGCCTATGGAAATAATCTATTGTCTCTATTACCATAGGTAACATCTCCTAACTTGGAAAGACAGCTTTTAAATGACCTAAGTTACAGAAAATGAATAAACCACTGAGAACAGTCGCTCGACTAAATTCTATCCGGCGTGATCAGATAAGGAAGCTCTTCATTTAGTATGTGTGCATAATGTCTCTGCAAATATGGTCTTTTTTCTAAGTGAACAGAGTGCTTCCTATATTTTCTACTTGAATTTGTGTTAGTAATTTTTGTTGTTGCTGTTTTTTTTAGTTAGTTCATGTTCATTGTAGACTAGTATCATATAATCATTTTATACACAATGTATTGATCTATAAAGGCGATATATTATTCAATCTAACAGCCTTGTTTCGAGAAGAGTATCTTCATTTGAAAGAAATACTATCTATTAAACTTGGATAATAATGTTTTATTCGTATACTTTTTTTAAAAAAAAATTTTCACTCATATTAATCGAAATAGATGTTGAAATAAAAGAGTGGTCAATATCAAACAGCGATATATAGATTGATATGTTTAATTACAAGATGACATGTTCTTATTGTTTCGCCTCTTGTCGCTCTTCTTGTGTAAAACTATGCATTTTTTGGGAGAAGCTTTATACCGAAGAGTATGTACTTTTTTTCCGCTATTTTTTTTTACTTATTGTTGTAGCCATTCGAAACAAAAACATTGGCATACACCAGAGGTGCAATAGCTATCTTATTAACCCTACTGTTTCTGGCATTCTGTGGTTATCTAATAAATCAAGTAAGTAGTTTAATATTCTCTTTTTTTTTAGCTCATCCACTTTTCATGTACCTAGATTTGCGACTATATTCCATTAATTCAGTATTCATTTGAAGATATTGGACTGAACGTGTCAACACCTGACATTGAGGTCTGCGCACAAAACTCAACGTTTCATTTTGTTAAATGCACAGCTATGTATTACAACTGGACAATGATGGATATCCCCAACTGTTTTGGACGGTTCTTTCGTCATGGTGATGATAATGAGCTTTCTAAATGTCGAGTTTTTCAAAGCAATGATACTTATCGTATGGCTGCAGGCTTGACACTGGATAACAGAGATGCTCTTCGAAGACTTGATTTTTATTGGGTGATTGATAGTGCAGAAAATATGAGTTACTCGACGATTACTGTGCCAGCAATGGCTATTTATCTTTATGACCCACGATTTAGTCCTTGGAGACCTGGCTCTATAGGCAATACAAAATACGAGGTAAAATAACAAAAAAAAAAGGCTATTTTACAAATACTTACCGAACAGAACGAAACATTTACAAATATACAATTGGGTTATTCAAGAGCAACAACCTATTTGAATCAATCGACCTCTATTTTTTATTCCATGGAAAAGTATCGTGCTATTCAACGACATGATGCAAGAGCTATTTTAGGATTAGTAAGTCATGATGATGATGTTACTTTTTAATGTTATTTAGACACCCAACTATGTGGATGTGGTGACATTGAGTAGCTTTCAACATGACTGGCCACTTCAAATTAATCCTCCACCTCCTTCTCCTGCCCTTGATTTGAGCGTAAGATAAACCAACATATGTAGACAAAAAAAGTTAACAAAAAGACTACCCTAGTTATTCCAAGGGATTTTCTCGGTTCAATTATCAAAGAACATTATGGATGTTCGGGTATAATTTATCATTATTGCTTTACTTTGATTTATTTTTTTTAATAGGCAGAAGTACGGCAGCACAGTATTTTGGGTGCATTAGCTTTGGCGGGTGGTTGTTATGGTATTTTAACATCGGTTTATATTGCGTTATTTGGTATGCCCAGGTTAGCACCATGGGGTTTGGTTCATCATGCACCTACACTGGCTTTTCAAAAAAAGCACAATGATAATGATAATAGCAAAGAATACAAAGAAGAAGAAGATGCAAGCTATCATAATGAAAGCGGAAGCCAATTGGATGTTGCTCAATATTCGCAAAAAGAAGATTCTATTATTCTTGTGAACAAAGACAATGCTGAAAATAAGCAAAATATCCCTCAATTGAGTATATCGACTCAGATATCAAAAAAAGACAGCAAAAAGACATTACATCTACCTGATTTGTGTCTGTTTGATTCAAGAGATGTGACAGAATCTCCAGGTAAACACTTGCATTTTTTAGTGCATTTATATTTATTATGTTACAGAAACAATGAATTTTTCATCCTCTTCTACAGCATGCGTAAAAAACCATACATTTGTGAATGACGAGGACTTTGATGTTCTTATAAAAACATTAAGTCAAGAACAAAATCGAGTTAAATGCTTACAGACCAAAACAAATGTACTGACAGACCGTATTGAAGAGTTGGAAGTTATCTTAAGTCAATACTTTATCAATACAAACTATTTGGATCGAATGCGCTTTACAGCCTTTTCCAATGCTCATGATAAAAGCAACTCCATTGAGCGCAAACACACTGGGCAATAACTAATAAAGTATTTTGTATGCACACGTGATATCCACATATGAACAAGTGTCAGCCCCCTTTTTTCTTCTTGCTTTTGTTTATTATGCTAGGCGTAGATATTACTGTAAGAAAAAAAAGATATATATATTTGGTCTCATATCCAACTTTTCTCAATAAAAGAAAGAACTTTTGAAAGACTCTACAAGGCTCACTATTTTCTTACAAGAATGCTTATTGTTGGGCAGTTTACGAGTAAGTAAAAGAGCCGTATTATCTTGTTATGCTAAACAATTACTTTAGGGGTTCCGGCACTTTGAGACGTTTGTTAGAGGGAGAGAAGAGTTGATCTTATGTGTCTATACAGATCAACACCAACCAGAGTATACAACGCTTATGCCACAAGCCATACTCGAGAAAATTTACCCCAAGTAAGCAAACCAAAGATCAAGATATCTTATAAAAAAAAGAAAAGCAGTTGAATGGAAAACCCAAACATTGATTAGTCCATCGGATAAAGATCTTTCACAGGTATCTACCCTTTTACTTTTTCTAAAGTACTAAATATATTGCATGTAGGAAAAAGAGCGTATTGTATTTCTAATAGCAGGATATGCCATGTATCGATGTCCTTACGTTTGGGTAAATAATATAAAAGTACAATCATGTCTTTAATTTCATTAGTTGAGATCACATCAAAAAGAATATCTTCGTACACAAACTGATAAAGACGATCATCCCTTACACTTAAAAAAGACAATGGAATGGAAGAATAGCAGTAAGTATGAAAAAAGAAAGACAAATTATTTGTTATTCATAGACTAATTTAGATGTGTCTTTATGGGAAATTGTGACCGAAATTTTGTCCATGACAACTAAGCCTGATAATCCCTTTGAACTTGATCTAGCTTATATTGATAATTTACCTTTAGAAGAAGCTATCTTGTTAACAAGCTCTTTACTCTGCTTTCTTGAAAATGTATGGATTCAAGCTGATCCTAGTGTTATTTTCATGGACAAAGGTATTTATGTCAATTTTAAGTACCATGGTTTAATTTTTTATTAGTGTATCATGATATTCAATGGTTACAGTCAAAGCATTTAGATAAAAGGGACACATATGTAAGAAAAAGAGGCTGACAAATGGACCTACATTGTGGCTTATCCTCTGCTCATCTTTTTTAAAAAAAGTCCAATTTTTTTGCAGTACTTTTTTTTTCCTTCTATTTTTCTTTGAATTAAATAAAATGGCTGATATGCACAACCATGACCTTGAAAAGGATCCTCTCGAACCTTTAAAGGCAGAATATTTTGAAGGAAAACACCTATCTGCTCCTGTTCGAGAAATCGAGGTATTTTTCCTTTCGATATTTTCTTTTTGCATAGTTATTTATACCTATGTTTACTATTAGGACAAGTGGAAGCTATTGCCTGCATTTTTAAAGGTCAAAGGTCTTGTAAAGCAACATATCGACTCGTTCAATTACTTTGTCAATGTGGATTTAAAGAATATCATTAAAGCAAACGAAAAAGTCACATCCGATGTCGATCCTCACTTTTATCTCAAGTAAGCTATTCATTTTTCGTTAGTGCAACCATCATTAATCAGATGAATAGATATACAGGCATTCGTGTAGGCAGCCCTGAACGCACGGATGCAGATGTTGCCAATCGTAGTTATACACCTCATGAATGTCGTCTTCGTGATTTGACATATTCTGCCAATATCTATGTCGATGTTGAATACACTCGTGGTCGCCAAATCGTTAAACGAAAGAATGTTATGATTGGCCGTTTGCCTATCATGTTGCGTTCGTCTCACTGTGTATTGACTGGTAAAAACGAAGCAGAATTGGCCCGTATGAAAGAATGCCCCTTGGATCCTGGTGGATATTTTGTTGTGAAAGGTACAGAAAAAGTCATTCTTGTTCAAGAACAATTGTCCAAGAACCGTATCATTGTCGACGTAGATAAAAAAAATAACATTGTTGCTAACGTCCAAAGGTAATCTATACTTTTGCTAATACATGTTAACTTATCATTGTATAGTTCTACACATGAACGTAAATCAAAGACGGCTGTTTTCGTCAAGAATGGCAAGATTTATCTGAAGCACAACTCTATTGCTGAAGATATTCCTGTTGCCATTTTCATGAAAGCGTTGGGTATTCAATCAGATAAAGAAATTGCTCAGCTTGTTTGTGGTAATGATCATGATTTGAACGATGCTTTTGCTGTCAACATTGAAGAATCTTCTCGTTTGCGTGTATTTACTCAAATGCAAGCCCTTGATTATATCGGTGCCAAAGTTAAAATCAACCGTAAATTATCGACTGTCAAAAAAACATTGGCAGAAGAAGCATTGGAAGTACTTGCTACTGTCATTTTAGCCCATGTACCTGTAGAAAACTTGAATTTTAGAGAAAAGAGTATTTATGCAGCTGTCATGATTCGTCGTGTATTGGTTGCCATGACAGATCAAGTTCAAGTCGATGACCGTGATTATGTCGGTAACAAGCGTTTGGAATTGGCTGGTCAATTGTTGTCCTTATTGTTTGAAGATTTATTCAAAAAATTCAATTCAGACTTGAAGATTAGTGCTGATAAGGTGCTCAAGAAACCTAACCGTACTCAAGAATTCGATATTTTCAACCAATTGGTCTTGCATGGTGATCATATCACAAGTGGGTTCATTCGTGCCATTTCAACTGGTAACTGGGTATTGAAGCGTTTCAAAATGGACCGTGCAGGTATCACACAAGTATTATCCCGTCTATCCTATATTTCTGCTTTGGGTATGATGACACGTATTTCATCTCAATTCGAAAAGACAAGAAAGGTTTCTGGTCCAAGAGCCTTGCAGCCCTCACAATGGGGTATGCTTTGTCCCTCAGATACACCTGAAGGTGAAGCATGTGGTTTGGTCAAGAACTTGGCTTTGATGACACACATTACAACAGATCAAGAAGAAGAACCCATTAGAAAGATTGCATTTGCTTTAGGTGTAGAAGATGTCAACCTCTTGACAGGTGCTGAGATGTATTTACCCAATACATTTATCGTCCTCTTGAACGGTAACATTTTGGGTATCACACGTCGTGTACAACACTTTGTACGCAGTTTCCGTCGTCTTCGTCGTGTGGGTCGTATTTCAGAATTCGTCTCCGTGTTTGTCAATATTCATCAAAGAACAGTCAATTTGTCTTCAGATGGTGGTCGTATTTGTAGACCATTGATCATTGTCGAAAATGGCAACCCTGCTGTTACACAAAAGCATGTCAATGATCTTATTGCTGGTAAACTCGTATTTGATGATTTCCTCAAAAAGGGTCTTGTTGAATATGTAGATGTGAATGAGGAAAGTGATTCCAACATCGCAGTGTATGAAAAGGACATTATACCACAAACAACCCACTTAGAAATTGAGCCTTTTACTATCCTCGGTGCTGTCGCTGGTCTGATTCCTTATCCTCACCATAACCAATCTCCTCGTAATACTTATCAATGCGCTATGGGTAAACAAGCTATTGGTGCCATTGGTTATAACCAACTAAACCGTATTGAAACACTGATCTATTTAATGGTCTATCCTCAACAACCTATGGTAAAGACAAAGACAATTGAACTTATTGGTTATGACAAATTACCTGCTGGTCAAAATGCTACTGTGGCTGTCATGAGTTATTCTGGTTATGATATTGAAGATGCCTTGGTCTTGAATAAGTCTGGTTTAGATCGTGGTTTTGGTCGTTGTCAAGTCATGAGAAAATATGCCAGTTTAGTGAAGCGTTATCCCAATGGTACTCATGATCGTTTAGCAGATCCTCCTGCTCGTAATTCTGATTTATGGAACGATAGTTATGATGCTATTGAACCTGATGGTATTGCTGGTGTAGGTGAGCCCCTTGAAGCAGGCTCGATCTATATCAATAAACAAACACCTGTCAGTAGTGGTATTGATGCTGGTGTTCCTGGTGCTGCGCAAAGTGTTGCTTATAAACCTGCTCCTCAACGTTACAAGTCCCTCAAACAGGTTATGTTGACAAGGTGCTGTTTACAACAACAGAATCAGATCAAACATTGATTAAGGTCAATATTCGTCAAACACGTCGTCCTGAATTGGGTGACAAGTTCTCTTCTCGTCACGGTCAAAAGGGTGTGTGTGGTATCATTGTGCAGCAAGAAGATATGCCTTTCTCTGATTTGGGTGTTTGTCCTGATATTATTATGAATCCTCACGGTTTCCCATCTCGTATGACTGTTGGTAAAATGATTGAGTTGTTGGCTGGTAAAGCAGGTGTCTTGGATGGCTCACTTCAATATGGTACTGCTTTTGGTGGTAGTAAAGTAGAAGATATGAGCAGAATTTTGATTAGCAAGGGCTTCAATTATTCTGGTAAAGATTATGTGACATCAGGTATCACTGGTGAACCTCTTTCTGCATATATTTTCTTTGGTCCCATTTATTATCAAAAATTGAAGCACATGGTCATGGATAAGATGCATGCTCGAGCAAGGTAAAGTCTTGAACAATAACACTATAGATCTAACTTATAAACAGAGGTCCTCGTGCAACGCTTACTCGTCAACCTACAGAAGGTCGTTCAAGAGATGGTGGTCTTCGTTTGGGTGAAATGGAGCGTGATTGTTTGATTGGTTATGGTGCTTCTATGTTGTTGTTGGAACGTTTGATGATTTCTTCAGATGCTTTTGAAGTTCATATCTGTGATAACTGTGGTTTGATTGGTTATTCAGGTTGGTGTCAATTCTGTAAGAGTAGTAAGTTCATGAAAACTATGGAAATACCCTATGCTGCCAAATTACTTTTCCAAGAATTAATGGCCATGAATATTTCACCCCGTATGATCTTAGAAGACTCTATTTAAATACACTATATTACATAAGACTGTACATAATAAAAAAAAACAAAAAATTTTGCATGAATAACGGAAGAGATTAAATCCCACCAATCAAATCAAACTGAATCAGATGATTTTATACAGATTAGTTATGTTTCGTTTTTTTTTCTTTTCTTTTTCTACAAACATGCTTCGTATTTTATGTATCTTGTTTTTATGTCTTGTATTAGTACAAGGTATTTGATTTTAGAAAGAAATGCTTAAACGATATTTACATCAAATAGCCTCTCGAGTGGATTACATTGTTGCTCTTAAATCACCTGTGTCTGAAAACTCATACAAGGAGGCTAAAAAGGATATTGAGTCAATGGGTGGCAAAGTAACCTATGAATTCCGAGCTGCTTTTAAGGCCGTACTTGCTTCTTTACCCAGTGATCATGTTAGCACATTAAGCTCAAAGCCTTATGTTGACTTTATGGAAGAAGATAAATCAGGTAAGCTTACTATATGCTCGTAGTACGTACTTATCTCTTGTCCAAGTTCATACTGCTTAGTTTATATTATCGTGTGATGTTTATCCAATAAAATATGTATATTTTTTAAACTAGTTTATTATTGCAAGAAAGAATTGTACAGTGATTTATAAAAAAAAAAAAAGAAAAGCATATCATAGTGTTGCGTGTATGATCAATAATCGTATTGTGTCTGAATAAAATGATAAACGAAATGGTACAATATCATAAATGATAGAAGAAGAGAAAAGAATGAGACAAAGATATACAACATAATACATAATGATATTTAGATATCACCAAAGAATTCCTTCAAGACGCCATCAACACTGTCAACAGCATCTGATAACACTTCCTTGAAGTCCTTCTCACTAATACCATTGTAAGCAAGCAAGTTGGGAGTGTCTTTAGGAAGACTTTCAAGAGCGCCCTTAGTAGCCAGACGAAGGATTTTGTCCTTGATTTCCTTGGGTGTCACTTCACCTTCTTCTAAACTTAACAAATAAGCAGCAAGACCAGCAATATGAGGTGATGCCATAGATGTACCAGAGATAGTGTTGGTAGCATATCGGCTACCTTTCCAGACAGATAAGATATTAAGACCTGGAGCAAAGACATCTACGCATTCACCGTAGTTTGAGAAGTAAGCACGTTCATCAGCAAGAGTAGAAGCACCAACAGTAATGGCCTTTTCAGCAGCAGCAGGACTATAGTTACAGGCATCACGGTTATCGTTACCAGCAGCTACAGCAAAGACGACACCTGAATCAACAGCACCATTTACAGCGAGATCCAAAGAGGGAGATTTACCACCACCCAAACTCATGTTGGCAACAGCACCCTTATACTTTGTGTTGTTCTTCTTGGCCGCAGCAGCTTCCTTGAGATGTTCAGTAGTAGCCCAGTCAACACCACGCACAACATCACTCATTGTACCACTACCACTGCTTCTCAAAACCTTAACAGCAACAGGTTGAGCTTTCTTTGCAACACCATATCGTTTACCAGCAATGGTACCAGCACAATGACTACCGTGACCATTTCCATCTTCATCCACATCGTTTGAAGGGACAGTGTGACCCCAGGCAGCACGATTCTCAAAATCAATATGATCCACATTAATACCAGTATCAATCACATAGACCTTAACACCTTTACCGCCTTCAGGATTGAATTCGTATTGTTGGTAGTTCTTAAATGTGAGCGGGTTACGATGAGAGATACGAGCCAAACCCCAAGGAGCATTACGTTGTAATTCATTGGCATAGACCACAGAGTCGTGTTCAACGAAGGCAACATCGTCTGATTGACGAATAGCCTCCAAGACTTGTTCATCAAATTTGCCTGCGTAACCCTTTAGATTAGGTGTATCATAGACATGCTTGATACCAGCCACAGTAGCATGAGGATCCAAGAAGTCATAAGCTTGCATTTTGGCTCTGCTAGATTCAGTCAAGGTATTGATCCAAGCAGCATGTTCTTTGATTTCATGAGATTGAAGAGAGTCTTTAAGGACAACAATGTAAGAATTGGCAATAGTTTCTGTTTCTGGTGAGATATACAAAGGAGCTAAGTTATTATTAGGATCTTGATAAGAAAGAGGCTTTGCATTGGCTACAGAAGCAACTAACAAAGCACTGGCGATAAGACTAAGTTTCATATTGGAGAGATAAGAGTAAAAAAAAATGTTGTCTTTTAGGTCGTTGAATTTCTATTTATTTATACGTTTTTTTTAATGAACGATAAGAGAACAAATGACCTCCGTATGAAGAGAGCAAGTGACCTATTGTATTTAGACACTCTACTTTATTAGGAAAGAAGAGTCACTTGAATATCAAAAGTTACACACCGCAAATAAATTTCTTGAAAAAAAAAAAATTTCCCTACACGCTTTATGATGATGTGAAAACGTTATTTTATTTCAAATTGAACTTGAGGAAATAGCATTGACCCGCACTAATACTGATTGGTGTTTCGGAAACGAAATATTTCATTGTGTGTGAAGAAAATGAAAATATCGCACATTAGATAATATGATTATATCGCATTAAACACTCACCACTAAATTGTCTATCAAGCAATGTAGTTAATGATAGTTTATAAGCTATGTTTAGTAGAAACAAAGACACTTTTAAAGGAGATAATTAATCATCGGGTCTTTCTTTACAGTGAGTGTAACCTGTTAGAGGTCACATTATTGAAATTGCTTTACGTTTAAATGATATTGCAAAAATTGATAAAGGATTTTGCGATATCTTATTTATGGCGAAAATGAGCATTAGGCTATCTTGGCTATGAACATTATTATTCTTTTGTCAGTTATTTCTTTTGCTTTATTATCAATGAAGGCTATATTGTAATAAAACCTTCAAAAGTTCTAAACAAATGAAATAATGATTTCGCTTAATTACCAGTGCCAAGAGGAACAAACAAAAACATACTTCTCTTCACGTTGATAAAAATATAACCGAAATGTTCTCTCTGCCAAATACATTTGGCCATAAAATCAGTCGATAAACCACTTTCTTACTTAAATTTATCATTGCCAATTGCGCAGTTATTTCAAATTGAACTCTGAGAATATACCAATATCATGCATTGATGAGTGTTTTGATCGGGGAATGAAATGCTTTATTGCGAGATAGACAATCGCATTGAGAACTCTACAGTGAGTGTAACTTGTTCAGGCATCACATTACCTTGGAATGCATTCTTGAATTAACAAAACAAGATTCATACATCTGAAAAATTAGTGTGTGTCTATTCTTTACTGCATCGTTTTTTGTCTGGAAAACATTAGTTACTCATAGAATAACTTTATCGACAACTGACTAACTGCTGATATTCTCGTACAACTTGATCAATACGATATGATCTCTTTTGCATAAACTGACGAGTTTGAGGAATTCACTGAATGTGTGTAGAAACAAGGTTACACGTAAACTGTCACTGTTTTACTCTTTTGGTTGCATATACATGTGTAAAGTAACAAGTCTCCAAAACAAGTGAGAAAATGAACCAAGCCAAAAAAAGAGAGTGAAAAAAAGGGGGAGCGTGCCTGTAAAAAAAATGCCTTGCTTTACCACGTCATAGCGCAAGTATTAAAAAAAAGTGCTCCAAAAAAGATCGACTTTATATTTATTTAAAACATTATTAAGGTATCACAACTTCTTAAGAAAACAACTCCGTTTAGTACCAACAATATTTTGTTTGCGTGCCTCCCCTTTCCTTCTTTCTTTCTCTTTTTCTTCTTTTTGAACACATTATAGAATTATGCTTTATAAGAAAAAGAAGAACAAGCTGTCACGTCAAATTTCACACCGTCCTTATATTGGGGTGATCGAGACAACCATGATGTACCACTCCCAAGATCTACAAGATCGCCTTATTTCAGTAAGTTTAAAATTTCAATTCAAATAGAAGGAGAAAGTCAAATTAATAAAAAACATGAATTTCTAATCCAATCAGGTTTTTACACTGTTTGTTGAAGAACCTTCGAGGCATCTGATTTTGATTCGATTTTACGAAGATTTCGAAGAATTTGACAGAAGAGTAAGTGTGTAAAAATGACAACTAGAGACTTAGTGGAATAGATTAAACATTACTCGAAAAAATTTAAAACAAATTTACCCAAGTTACAACGGGAACAAGAAAGTGAAAGCATATCCGAAACTGACCATAGTCAAACAGAAATACAACAGCAGCAACAACAGCAGCAACAACAGCAGCAACAACAGCAACAACATAGTTTTAGAAAGAAAATTCTCTATAGCTTCTCAAAAAAGTCTAAACATTCGAATAGACGTAGCAATTCAGATAACATTGAAAGATATTTACGTCATTGTGTAAATGATTTAGATATTCAATCATGCTCACTTTTTAAAGAATTCCTTCAACCACAAAGAGAAGAGGACAACGTCATTTTAAAGGAGGTTGTTCAGTCTTATGTTGAAGAAGAGCACGAATCTGCTCTGCAAAGCGTTACGAGCAGCAGCATTAGGCAACGAGGCATTATTATAGAAAATGGTCCTACACCACCACCTGATGATCATGATGCTACTGCAGCATCTTCTATTTATTCCTACTCCTCTTTTCCTTCTCATATTGAACCAGTTATTACGCCACTCCAGCCAAGACCAAACCAACAAACACAGCATGTTACTGACGAAAGTGACTATAGCTCTTCTTTAGCACCTCGCGTTACAATTCAAGATTTCCAGCTAATTAAAGTAATTGGAAGAGGTTGTATGGGCAAAGTAAGTTTTGTAGCACTTGTTAAAAGCACAATTAACAAAAAAAAATTTTTTTTCTTTTATAGGTACTTTTGGTCCGACATAAAAGTTCTTCACGTCTTTTAGCATTAAAGGCTATCTCCAAAAAAGCTGTCATTGAACAAAGCCAGATAGTTCATATTAAAGCTGAGCAACAAATCTTGTCTGACATTGCGTCTATTCACCATCCTTTTTTGATCAAGCTTCATTATTCATTTCAAGACATGAACCAACTGTTTCTTGTGGTTGATTATCATGTTGGAGGCGACTTGGCAACTCAGCTCAGAATCAATCATATATTGCCACCTGAAAGATGTCGGTTTTATACCGCCGAAATTGTATTGGGAATTCAAGAATTACATCGTTTAGGGATCCTGTATAGGTAAAAAAAAAAAAAAAAAAAAAAAAACACAAGATGTTCTATGGATTATGAAATTCATTTGTCCTTATTAGGGATCTTAAGCCAGAAAACATCTTATTAACTGCAGACGGTCATCTGGTCCTTACTGATTTTGGACTCTCAAAGCAGTTTTATGACGGCCTTAGTTTAGAAGAACAGAGGACTGACACATTTTGTGGCACAGCAGAATATTTGGCACCTGAAATCCTGAATGAGCAGCCTTATTCGTATGAAGTAGACTATTGGAGTATGGGCACCATCCTGTTTGAAATGCTGACTGGAATTACGCCTTTTTGGGCTGAAAACCGTGACGAAATGTATCGCCGCATTCGTCAAGATCCACTTCAGTTCCCAGAATACATTGATATAGAGACAGCCGATTTTATTGCACGGTTACTTAAACGAGATCCAAAACGCCGTCTTGGCAGTGGACCCGATGGACCTATTCGCGTTCGTTCCGATCCTTATTTTGAATTTATTGATTGGAATCTTATTTACACCAAGCGAATCAAACCGCCTTATGTTCCCAACTTGTATTCAGAAACTGATTTTAGTCACTTTGATAGTGAATTTTTGCGTCTCACACCAAGATTGTCACCTGTAGGAAGTGATTACATGCTCAGCCAAAGTTTGGATCGTGCTTTTGAAGGCTATTCCTATACAAATAGGGAAGAGAACTTGTTGGATTCACCCCCTTCAGAACTTTACAGTATGTCTGAATACCCTCCTCCTGTCACTCTTATGGATACGGCTATAGCTCAATCTGGACTTGTTGGAGGAGGAGGAGGCACACGCTATTTTGTGTATAACGACAGTGATGATGTGATACCATATGATGAATATGCAGAGAGTATGATGAGCAGTAATGACGATATTCATTCTGCAGATTTTGTTCGTCGTAATAGTGGCACTTTCCAACGCTATAATGATGATGATGAAAATTATTATCCACCTAGACCTGCTAGACCTGTCACAAGAAGTAATTTGTCAATGTCACCAGCGTCAAGCCATCGTCGCACAACCAACACATCCGCCTCTTCTATCACAAACAACTCTTCCATTTATTAAGGATAGAGTACATACAATATGAAAATTAGACACCCTATTTTATGACACTAGTTAATTTATACGCTCTCCTCTTTTTTTTTTCTTTGAGGCAGGTTCTCAAAGTTGATTTATATAGATAGATAGAAAGAAAGAACCCCTCTTATTTTTTTTATTGCTACACAAACCATCAAAACAACAAACAAACAATTCCCCCCTGTCAACTTTATACCTCTCTTTTGTAATACCAAGATTTTTTTATATCATTAATAATAATTACCAAAATTATAAGCTTATATAATGTATGCTTTAGAAAAAGAAACTACTTTAGTATTCGAGTTAGGTTTGAATGAATTGAGAGCTATGACTGGCTGCAGTTTGTTATTCCAGCGCTATTCTGATTATTTGACTATAGACCAGAAAAAAAAGGGAGCAAGCACAAGGCAGTGAAAAATACAGAACCACTATAACACCTTGCTTCTATAAGATTCTGCTATAATTGCTTACAGGACTTGATAATAAATTATTGCTACTGATAAATTTATGGAATAATATTGATCTATTCATAGTGTTCTCCATAATAACCCTCTCTAAGGTCAATTAACTCCAACCAGAGCCAAAAGACTAACTCAACTCTAGTCGCAATGTTATAAAGACAACCATTGTTAGCTGAAATGTCAACTCTGTTTATGAAATAAAGACTTTCAAGTAAGCGGCTATATCTTTTATACAAAGACAGCAAACTGTTCAATTCAACCCCTTTTTTTTCTCACGTTGTTTTTTTTTTTAGTTTTGTAGATAATTTTCCATTACGCATTCAATATCCGTTTTCGGAATTGTTTTCAAAAGCGGTATTTGACTAGACACATCTGCATGATAAAATCATGCATTGATTTAGTACTGAGGATAGTAAACTTTCTGAATAATTGTCAGCTAACATAAAAAAAAATATACGATTGGCTCATCAAGGAACAAAGGAGCTATTGTTTTCATTCGCCGCGGAACGGCAACTTTACAGTAAAATCCGGGGTAATATTTTAAGGTTTATTAGATGAAATTTATGAAATACATAAAGGAGTTAAATCACTTCCAAAGTCAATCACCATAACACGGTTCTCTTGTCCTGAACTAAACAAAACGTTAAGTACAAATCACTTTTTCTTACTTGTCATTGCTTACCTGACTATACGAGTTCCTGAAGATAAAACGCTAAAAATCCAGCTTGAATGACCGCTTTGGAAACTAAGGATACAAGCACCAGTCTCTGCATCCCAAACTTTGATTGTTCGATCGTAACTACCACTCACAATTTTTCCCTTTACAAAAGCATGAATTTCACATGTCAAGTATTTTGTATTTCTCTTACCTCAACACAGTCAATAGAGCGTATCATACCAACATGACCAATCAATGTATTGAGACATTCTCCAGTATCAATATCCCATACTTTGATCTTTCCTTCTAAACCTCCACTGAATAAGTGTTTACCATTGAATCGGACACTTGCTAATCCAAGTCGATGACCTTCCATGGTTCTGAGACATTCACCCGTTCTAACATCCCATAACTTAAGTGTGGCATCACCTGACGCTGACACAACTTGGTAAGAATCTTCTATTGCTTCAATAGCATTGACTGAAGCAGCATGACCTATCATTTGACGTAATTCTGTGCCTTTCTCTTTATCCCATACACGTAATGTATGATCTCTTGAAGAAGTAACAACCATGTCCTTGACAAAACAAACATCAAGCACACTATGACCATGTCCCAAAAGACGATGAATAGGGATCAAGTCAGGTAAAGACCAGACAGTACAGGTAGCATCAGAAGATCCAGTCAAAAGGGTAGTTCTGTCCTTATTGACCCGCAAACTCAAGATACTACCCTCATGTTCATGTTGAATTGTTCGAACACATTGGTTCGTCAACACATTCCATATTTTTAATGTCTTGTCCCGGCTACCACTGACCAACAAATGAACGTCTATCCAAGCCAGGCAATATACACTATCTTGATGTCCTTGTAAAAAGCGGGTATTTACCTTTCCCGTCAACCAGCGTTTGCCTAATTTAAGGTGATTTTGATAGAGTTTCAAATTAGTGGAAGGTGGCATGATGCTTGTTCTCCTTTTTTTTTGTCTTCTTAGTACAAGTGATAATGATGTATCTTGGTCTGTAAGTATACGAGGAGGTACGGATCCAAAGTCGGCATACAATAGTTTTCGCCATAACTCATTGTCATGACAAACAGCATACATTTGACTACAGGTGCGTGAGAATTTCTGAACTGAAGTGTAGTCCAAAAAGAATAGAATATTGGATATGATCTCATTAGGTAAATTTGTCAGTGGTGAAAACTCTATGAATCATTATTAGTAAGTCATATGACGATGTAATGTAACGTACTAGTTGATCTAGTGCTAGAAATACTCTGCGAGTGATTGTAGTCGTTATGACTTGACTGATAGCTACTAAATGAGTAGAGAGAGGAAGGTCGACGATGTGGAATAGTTCCTCGAACTCTAAATTTGGTCAAAATGGCTGAAGATGATATTTGTAATTTTCTTTTCAGAGGCTTAAGTGTATATGAGCTATTCTGTGGATTTAAGCATTTCGTCTTTGCCGTGGTTCCATCTTTTCTTGGTGAAATAGTAATATAGGTTGGAATACATATCATATTAATAACAAGTAGAAAAGTACAATCAGGGAAAAGACTAAAGTTTATTAAAGAGATATTTATAATAAAATGATTTACAATGTCAGACACACATGAGAATATCTAACCATAAGCGCTATTGACACATTTTCCCAGAAAATGTAATTATGCCGTATTTATTCACATGAATGAATACAACAATTGGCTTAATATGAACCGCTGTATTCTTTGTACCAGAATATGTGCTACAAAGGTCGGAAACAAGACTGAAATAAAAAATGTTTTTTTTCAAAACCGGCTAAAGACTGGAAATATATACTGTTATTCATTGAGAAAGATATCAGTTACCTTCCAAACCAAAGCCTAAGAGAGTACACATATATGTATATATTGGCCTAAGTATAGTTCTTTCTTGATCAAACTCTTTTAGATTGTTGAAGCTATGTGTATAGTGTGAAAAATCAAAGATTTCTTGATTCTTACTTTGCTTATGCATTGAAATTGCTATTAACTAGCTTAAGAAATCTTCAGGTGATTTATTTGATAATTATGTCTTGTTCTGTTTGTTCAAGTAATCATAAAACTTCATTTACTCCAACTAGCTTTTTGCAGGGCAAGTGGGCCAAATTATAAATTCCGGATTTTTTTTAATTTATCTCAGAAATTTTTTACCTTATGTTTGTGAAGTGCATTACTCGATCAACGCTTGACTTCAGCTCTCGAAACCTTAAGATAACAGTCATGATGTTTATTTGATTAAAATAAAAAAAAATAGAAATCAATAACGAGTATGACCGCCTTTGGCATCAATCACAGCTTAAGATTGATCGGTCATATTGTCGATCAAGCGTGTAGTAGTATGAATGTAATGAATTGAAGACTATCTTATTTTTAGCAATTATGCAATTGACAAGATAGTGGTATTCAACTACCTCCTCGTATCTGTGTAAGTATTTTACATATACTGGTTAATATATGTTACTAATTTGTTTCTCTTTTGTCTCCCTTCTATTCTCTTCTCTTTCTTAAGTCTAATGTAAGTAACAATATAAACGTTACTTATGTATCTCATGCCCTGCTTAGTTATGATTTAATTTTTGCTCATTTCAATAAAGTGTAGCTGTGAAAGTCCAAAAAATTTACCAATGCTCAAGTCCAATTTTTTTTACCGCAAGCGTTGGCCTGGTTTACTTCAAAACAACTTAGTCAAAAGAAGATAACAATAGTTGCAAAAAAAAAAAAGAGAAAGAACAGACGGACGGATCGCCTGTCGGCTTAAAGTAATAATTCTAGCTCTTATTGCAAGGATCGACATTCATGATTTATAAGCTCCTGTATGTAAGCTGTTCATAGTTATTTTCTTCAAGCTACCTCCTCTCAGATAAGCTTCACTCTTGTAACTCAAGAAAGAAACTAATATATTGTTAGTTCATTGAGTGCATCCTAATTGCCACCATTGTGCATTAGCTTATGAAGAAGCAAATGGCCTTTTTCTATTGACAAAATCAAAAAATCTTTACTAAAGTATGTTTTGCTGAAGATTACACTCCAACTCCACGCGTTAATTAAGGTATCTTGATTTTAGCGCTTCATCTTTATAAACAAGCTATATTTGTATCATACAAAAGAAATTGAAAGTGTGCAATTGAGAATATATAAAAAGAGATCAACTTGCTAACATAAAAATACCAACGGCGAATTAGCAGCCCGCCGTAGGCGCTAGCTGGAAACCCCAAGAATGCAGGTCGATAATTTTTACCGAAGCTTGGGTAAATCCAACTAGTGATGAATAAAGAGAAAAAGAAACAAAGTATATTTAGACGAAATAGTTTGGTACTTTGTATGTATTTTGCTTTATCCCTACACTGAATAGAATAGTGTGTGAATTTTTTTCGTGTGGGTCCAAGCAGGAATTGTCTAGAAAAAAATCCCGCACATAACAGCTGCTTCCCCGCAATTTGAAAGTCGTTAGTGCCAGGTTAGAGTTCATGACGCTGTAAGGGACAATTTGACTGAAAGTGTATTATAAACTAAACTAAAGTTTGAAATAAAAGGGGGAAAAGAGATTTCTTCCTCTTTGGTTTACTAAGCATATTATATCTTATGATATCGATAACTTTCATGTATTAATTTAAACATGTAAAAATCTCCTAATTTACTATCTGAATACGCTTACAAGTTCTTTCAAACAAAGGTATGTCAGATAACTATAGTAAAAATAAAGGGTTGACAAAAGACTCGGCTTAAAGTTGACTAGAGGCCAAATGTGGGGTAAGTTCAAAGAGATTCACCACTGTTCAAAAAACTTGCCCAATAATATTTTACGAGGCCTATGGACATGTTCACACTTACTTGCCAAGTCAATATGACATGTTGGTTGCTATAAAAACGTTTAGGAATTAGATCTTTCGTTCTTACCCATACTTATTGATTGTTTGCTTTAATTTTTTATTCATTGATTATAATTTGAAACAAACATGTCATGTTGATCTGCACTTGTTTAAATGATAAACACACTTTTTTATGTTTGTTACATAGTTAGTGAATGTTTATTATAAGGACTTAGTTACACAACTATTTAAACTTAAAAGAAAAAAAAGAGACCTGCAAGCTTGTTTTATTCCAGTATTTCTCTATTTACATGTCAATTGATTTATGACAAAATGCATATGCTTTACTTAACGTGTGTAATTTCTCAGAGTGATTGAAATGACATAAACTTGTATCACTTGCAATGATGTATAGAGAGGACAATGGAAGTGAAATTGTTTCAATTTTTCTTATTTACACATGTCAGATATTTACGTACTTGCTCATGAAAGGCATTGTTGTACACGTTACGTATAGCATAAATACATTCATTTCTTTCCTTTTACGTAAATCAAAGCATGCAGGTCAGTTCGACTGTATAAGCAGCAAACATATGTATTCTCTTGGGTAGAAAGGGCTAGAAGATCGTCACTTTATACTTGCTTGTTCAACATGTACACTCTCTTTTTTGTGTGGTTGTAAAAAAGACTAACAAATGTTTAGTGTAGCGATCAGACCAGAAACGTCACACAAATTTAGTAAAATTGTCTGGACTTAGTGAAACAGAAGCCAATCATGAAGGTAAAAACTCTACTTTTTTTTCTGAAGAATGAATTATAGAGTGTGAAATAAGACAAAGAAAATAATATGTATTGAGTCTACATAAAGAAAGAACTGCCCTGAACTATTCTGGAATTGCTCTTATCAGCCCTTCATCAGCCCTCTTAAAAAATGAGTACATTGTAAAACAAACAACGTTACATAAACAAACTTAGAGTTATGATAGGACTTTATACAAAGTGTGGTCAACTTAAATGAAAGTCATTCTTCAGCGTATAGAAATCCTGTCGTTCCATTTTTATTTTATTTGATCTACATCTATACTTGAATTTCATTTGTTTTATTTCTGATAAACTATTATTTTTGATAAAAGCTTCTTTTTTTTTATAAACCTGCCCAATAAGACTTGAAAAGCGCTGATCTTTTTAGACTATCTAATAATAGCAGGAAAGACATTATTGGTTTGGATCTATTTATACAAGACCAAATTGACAGGTCTATAATCATTTACTCACAAAGAATACATAGAGATCATATCAATAAAGTCGTTTGAAAAGCATAGGAGAATCAAGCTTTATGTTTATATAAATTTGGAATTTAGCTCCTCATTTGTAGATTCCCCCCTCTCTTGCTCTTGAAAGTCAGGTGCTTTTTTGTAATACAGTTTTCCTGGAACTAAGATCTTAATATGTTCATTGTTTAAAGGAAATCGAACATTTTTTTAATTCATAAACAATAGTGTAATTAAATTAAAACAAGCAATAATGGCAGTAATAAGAATAGATAATAATAATGATAATAAGTGTCAATATGTAAAAAAAAAAAAAAAGAGAGCAGTAGTAAATATGTACATATACATAAAGCAAGGTATAATTTTTGTGTGCAAAGAAAAGGGAGAATAAATATAACATTGTCACTTATTGAGAGCGACTTGACATGGAGCGCTTTTTCTTGGATATTGTTGTTAACAATCGCTTTAACTTTGTTGAGAGCGGCTTTTCTTCTTCGCCAAAAGTAGTGGGCGAGGATGGAGCGGAGGAATTACTGCTTTCAAAAGAACTAAATGATTGTGTCATGATAGGGTCGACAATTGTACGATGGTTTTGAGCTGTGCTTGATTCAGTTGAAGATAAAGATGAGAATGATGCTTTGGAAGGTGAGCTTAATGCTTGAGAGTATATGGCAAATTGGTTTGAGTCAAGATCAAAGTGTTCTGTAAATCGAGACATTGTTCTTTCAAGAGCAGATACAGATAGAGAGATCAAAGGGAATCAGAAGAATGAAAGTGAGAAGAAGAAAGAAGTAAGAAAAGGAGAAGGTAGAATAGTAAAAAAAAAACTTGCCAGTATTTATATACTCGCAGAAATATATGCTTTCTTGTATTTTTTTAAAGCGCAACCTCAATTTACCTCTCAAGACGTATCCAATCCAAATTTAAAAGTCCTTGTCAAGTCCTAAAAAAAAGAGAAGGAGATACATACAACTCCGCCAGCGACTATCGTTGTGATACTGCTCCCATGTCAAGGGTATTTCCCAAGTAAGATGGGATCCCCGTTTCGCTCAAGCACATAATAAACACAAGCACTATTTTTAGTTCTAGACCTCAAAACACAACAAATAGAAATTTGATATTTTCTCAATCAATTGGTCCTACCTCAAAACCTCAGTTCTCTCACTCTCACTTCTTTTTGTTTTTTCTTTGACCATTTCTATCTTTTTTTTTTGACTCTTGTAAAGCTTGTTTTAATGTTGAATTGTTTTTTTTTTCTTGTACAACGGCTCCCCTGCTGGCTCAAATACGATAAACTCTTGTCCCACCCGGTGGTCTATTCTCCTTTTCTCTACTTGAGAAGTGTTTTAAGACTCCTCCTTCCAATGAAAAGCTTCGTTTTTAGTAGTGACTGTTATTTATTGAAAATTCCTCTTCTGATATTGTTTTGAGGTATGTCAATTAAAGGGTGGGCAAATCAATCAACCAACTTGTCCTTTTTTTTTTGTTCTATAACTACACGATGCAGACAGCTTCCAAGATCTTTGTCATTTCGGGTCCTTCTGGTTCTGGCAAGTCCACTTTATTGAAACGCCTCTTTAGCGAATACCCCAATACTTTTGGTTTTAGTGTTTCTCGTATGTTCTAACTTAAATAACCTGAATGATTAAGCCTGTTATTAGATACCACTCGTAAGCCTCGCCCTGGAGAATTAAATGGTAAGGACTATCATTTCGTTGAAAAGGAAGATATGATCAAGGAAGTTGAACAAGGAAAATTTATCGAAAGTGCTACTTTCTCTGGAAATATGTATGGTAAAGTGTGAACAGCATAAAAGAAAAGGGTTGATCTAATCGAATTTCAAGGTACTTCAATCAAGGCTATTGAAGACGTTGTTGCTCAAGGAAAGGTCTGCATGCTTGATATTGATATGCAAGGTGTGCAATCTGTCAAGAAGACTCAATTGAACCCCAAATACATATTTGTTCAACCTCCTTCTGTTGAGATTTTGGAACAACGTCTTCGTGGACGTGGAACTGAGAAGGAAGAAGCTGTCTTGGCTCGTTTGAATGCTGCAAAGAAGGAATTAGAGTATGGCGCTACTCCTGGTGCTTATGATCATGTCATCATCAATGATGATTTAGAAACTGCTTACAATAATTTGAAGAAGGCTATTTTTGTTGAATAAGACACACATATATATTTACATACACGCTTTAGAAGATTCTCTTACATTCATTACCATTTCTTAGAATAAATCATGATAATACATATATTCTGCATGGCACTTTTTTTAGTAACACAAAATCATTCTTTGGCAAGCAAATCCAAGCAAGTGCTCTTTAAAAAAAAGTATATCTTCTTGGACCCTCAAGTCTATTACTTTCATTAAAATTTCTGAAAAACGTTAATTGAACTCTAATCATGATGGAAACTTGGCATGTAACTCATATGAAATTCACAAGAAAATAAAAAAGGGAGCAGCACAGTATGAATTGTTTCCTATCTGGATTAGACTGACTTTATTTTATTTTCTCGACTTTGTTCCAAACGCAATCTATTGTATTTAATGTAGATCGGATTGAATTGTTTGTGATACACTCTAATAAATTTCCAAATCCTAAGTTTCTTTCAACGTGGTGTACTTGTGTGTGAGCGTGTTAAAGTTGACTGAGATAAAGATTTAGTGCTAAAAAAAAGTTATGAAAAATCATTCGACGTCTAATTTAAAGAAAAAATAGAGATAATCTTCAACTCTATCAATTGATCTGATAAGAACATCAATGTCATCAAAGAAGAATTACCCGTGTATAAAAGTAAGAATAAAGAGAGGACCCGGTTATAAATTGCAAGCGGCGCATTTTATCAACCTCGTTTTTTTTGAGTAAGTGTAACCAAGTGTCTTTTTTTATTTTTCTAAAATAAACCTCATCCAGTTTATATTAATATCTTTTCTCGGATCTGCAAAACGATCAACTTTCTGGACTCTTTGCAGTATTGTCACTTTTGAAATGGTCTGCCTAGAATCCTATCTATAATAAAGACTATTAATTCTTGGCATTGATTCACTGCAAGGCTAATAATCAATCACTCCTGGTTCTTTTTTGTGTCTTGACAGCTTCTCTATCTTGTATAAAGCTTACTCCATAATTTGAATGATTCAAATAAAACTTGCTAACATAGCAGCGGCAAATTCTGCTCTTTTTTTTTCTTTAATTATTTAGAAACACACTCGCCCTCCTTAAGCTATCTTTTTGCTCGTGGATAAAAAGAAAAAAAAACTAGAGTTTTTATTTGAGCCATCTTTTGCCTTCTTTTTTTTGTCCCACATCAAAGATTACAACAAAAACAATGCAATGTTATATACTGTGTAGCTTATATACGGAAGTACATACTTGACTTTTGATATAATCACCAAGAAACATATGCCACAATCAATTCAAAGTTAAGAAATTTTAGACCTTATTCCGAAAAAAAAAGACAATGTTTTACTACCATGTATGGTGTTGTTGAATCTTCAATTTTTCAAAAAAGAATCAAGTTTATTTAGTCTCTTGAAGCCTAGTTCAGTCATCTCATAAAAAAAGACTTGTGCGTAACAAAAGACTTCCGCAATTGATTTATCTCAACTTGTACGTTCCACGGAACTTGCCACCATCCAGCACAAGTCAATGAAACATGAGTTGCATACGCTTGCAGCATTTTTAACCACTTTTCAAACAAGCTTATGTAATATCTCAAAATTTTGCTTTTAGAACCGATGGTCCTCAATTGTAAGCCTCATGATTAGTAATGTTTGCCCTTCCTTTGTAGTTCACTAGCAATTTCTGTGTTTCGCCATATCAAGTCTTTTTTTTTTACAGAAAGAAAGAATATGTTTTTGTTTTTTTAATAGTAGATAAACAAAGTTTCATAGCATATATAGTACAAGAGGACAAAGAAAGGAATAGTGTATCATGTAAAGGCGTTATATATGTCTCATCCAAAGAATCATATTAGGAGAAGGTCTCAGAGTCAGTTGCTGCTTCTTGACAATCTTGAGGTCAGGCTTTTCAAAATACTGAATATTTTTGATTAAAATAGACAACAGAAGCTTGAATTCAATCAAGGCAAACTTGTATCCAATGCACATACGACCACCAGCCAAGAATGGCATGTATTGGTATGTGTTACCAAGCTTGTCTGGTCTGTTCCAACGGGAGGGGTTAAATTCTTCTGCATCTTCGCCCCAGATGGATTTTGAGTGGTGTAGTACAATAGGAGATAAAAAGACGGTGGTTCCTGCAGGAATTACGTAGGAACCAAGTACGGTAGGTACACGCGATTGACGGCTTGTAGTAGGAACGGGAGGAATTAAACGAAGTGTTTCACGCACAACATTGTTCAACAAAGGCAGTGCATTTAACTCATCATAAGAAGGGATATAATTGTCTTCTTTAAAGAGAGTGCGTACTTCAGCTCTTAATTCGTCTTGAATGGTTTGATTTTTAGCCAATAACCAAAGACACCAGCTTAAACTGACACTAGTAGTTTCATGTCTTTACAAGATTTGTTAGCTATTCACACTATTTATGATAATATGTACCCAGCAGCCAAGAATGTCAAACATTGATTTCTCAGTTCCTCCACAGTAAAACCTTTACCAGTCTCTTCGTCGATTAAGTCGACCATAGTAGCCAAAAGGTTTTTTGGTGCATTTTCTGTCTTATCTTGGGCTTTTCTCTGTTCAATACCTTTGGTAACCAACTTTCGACTCTCTTCTTCCAACCATTTCAAATACAAATTTGTTTGCCTGTTTCTCTGTGTTGGAAACTTGCGCAAGAATGGGAACACAAGTGTCAAAATTCGCATAATACTAATGTCGTTGGAGAAAATATGGAGATAGGCCTGACTCAATTTACTTTGATGAGGCGTGCCTGCAAATTCAAGCGATTTGAAATCCTGACCAAAAGCCCAACCAATAACATCCAAGGTAGCTAATGAAAGACCACTTGAGACCTCGATTTCGGTAAGTTCTTGACCATCCTCTGTCTTAACCTTACTGTCTTGATCGTTATGAATCTTTTCCATCCAAACGTCTCGAAGCAGATGACCGGGTTTGGCCATTAGAGGTAATAGTTCACGTAATGAGTTGACTGAGAAAGCAGGATTGAGCATTCTACGTTGATGGCGATGTGTTTCGCCTTCCGAGATCAATAAGCCATTACCGAGAATACGCTCAAGAAACTTGGATGCTTCAGGTGTCTTTGTGAAATCATATTCTTGCGTAGTCAAAATTTGTTTCAAAAGCGTATCGTCAGTGACTATAAGTCGAGGAATATTCCATTGGCCATGATAAACGTAAATACCACCATATTTTTCGGTCCAGCGTTTGTGTGTTACGCCGGCTTCTTCTCGCAGGATCTGTGGGAAATTGCCCATAAACGGAACCCATCCTACTTTGGGCCCTGGAAGACGATTGAGTGGATGCAGGTATAGACGATACACAATCATTTTAAAAAAGAAGTAAACAATGGTAGTAGAAACACCCAATTGGATTGCGAGTTTCTTGGCGGCCGAGGACTCTAAGCCTGTGGGTTCAAGTACATATTTTTCTATATGTTTTTGAATGGTATCATAAACTAATTGATAGTCGATCATTAATGTAAGTTAAAGAAAGAAAGAGAGAGAGAGAAAAGAAGAAAAGATGCAAAAGACACGGGGACTTTTATCAGTATCAAGCATCGCCTTTTGAAATATCCCAAGTTAGAAATTCGCATCATCGTTTGTCAGTTCCGCGCACTCGAGAGTTACCTAATTCAATGATTATGCTTTAGTGTATCATCAGCAGAAAAAGAAAAGAACATCTTTTATAAGGTCATTATTACATATCAGTATCTTTTTTTTCTCATACCAAAAAACTTGTGTCGATTGGTTGCATAGTACTGCGAATTATATCCAAATACAACTCATCATTTATGCACAGGTTAATCTACATTAAAGCTCCTTAAAAGACTTGCTTAGAATTTGTAAACAAAGTGTCAGCTGAGCTTTGCGTAGTATACACTCAGCCTCAGGCAGTAATTGACAAGCCTTGAGCAGGAGCCAAGATCTTAATCATGAACTTCACAGGATGCTTAGAAAGAACAAGAGATAAGTATGCTTTACACAACCTTAAATGTTTTTTTTTCTTGATAGTACATTTCCAATAAAGGCTAAATGATCAAACGCAATATTTTCTTTTATATTAAAAGTCATAACATTACACATTCAAGTCGGGTACTAACCAAGTTATCCTAAATTTTTATGCTCTTCTCTTTAACGATGCTTTGGGTGGACAACAAACAGCATCGAATAGAGTGTTTATTCTCAGCTTACAATTTTGTCCTATTACCAAAGATGGGAGTTTTTTTTATGTGGCAGACGATTGTTTTTCTCTTAACCCAAGGTACCCTGACAAAGGCAACTCTGATAACAAACAAGAAAGCCACCATATAAGAGATAAGCACAATTGTTGCTTTCTTGAAGAAGTTTTAAGTAATTTCTTTTGAGAGTATACTTGATAGAGCCAACTATTGTAGGATCCAACGCTCTTATAAGAATTTGTACTAAGCATTTCTCAATATTCATGTTGAATGTGATACGATGAGACTTTTAAAGAGAAAAAAGCATTGCATAGAATGAGTAATGCAACAATGCCCTATTATCCGCACATCTTTTATCATGAAGAATTGTTGTTGAAAAAAAGGCTCTTAATGACTTGCCTATTGAAGAATTTTGATCAGAGAATGAAGCGTTCTGACGGAAATAAAAATTGTGCTTGTGGCTTGAGTTCTGAATTAATGGTAGCGGGATTAAGGGTAGCTTAAAATGTTTGGCAATTCTACTCGATGCAGCAGCATTTCATTCATTTGAGTAAGCAGTTTTAATTTGTTTTGCTTGTTCAATGTAACAACCATTCTTAAAGCTAAAAACGAGAGGAACCGTACTCCTTTTATACAAATATGCTAATCCCGATTACTTTTTTTCGAATATCAGTGGCAAATTTAAATAACAAATCAACACTAAGAAAGGACTGTTTCTTTCAGAACAACCCAATGAATGAAGAGGACAAAAGTAGAATACGAACTCAGAAGATATGAAAAAATTTTCAATGTCACTCCCCCGCGAAAGAAGGTATAAAATAAGGACGGTTGTCGCGTGGCTTTGTTTTTTCCCTTTTTTTTCTTCTTCCTCCACTTTATTCCTTGAAGTAAGTCATATCCTTTGATGAAAGTTATCATGACGTTAACCTGTTACTCAATAGAATGTCTGACGATCACGATCACACCTTCGAAACCGCCGATGCTGGTGCCTCTTTGACTTTCCCTATGCAATGTTCTGCTTTGAGAAAGAACGGCCACGTCGTTATCAAGGACAGACCCTGTAAGATCATTGAAATGACCACCTCCAAGACTGGTAAGCACGGTCACGCCAAGGTCCACTTGGTTGGTACTGATATCTTCACTGGCAGGTAAAGAATCAATTTTCTCTTTATTGAAAATTTTTTCTAACTTTTTGATCTAATCTTTTAGAAAGTATGAAGATCTCTGTCCCTCCACCCACAACATGAACGTCCCTAACGTCAACCGTCAAGATTATGATCTTATCAACATTGATGATGGTTTCCTCTCTTTGATGGAAAAGGATGGTTCTACCAAGGATGATGTCAGACTCCCTGAAGGTGAACTCGGTGAAAAGATGGAAGCAGACTTTGAAGATGGTAAGGAACTCATCGTCTCTGTTGTTTCTGCCATGGGTGAAGAACACGCTTTGTCCTACAAGGAAGCCCCTAAGTCTTAAATGTACTTATTTATCTGTTGTATAAAAAGTGTCTTTTGTATAAGAAATTCTTTTATATTAAAGAGCTATAAAACTCAAAGTCTTTCTTTTGTCTAATGATATAACGTTAATTATTGTTTCCATGAATGTGGAAATTTTTTTTATTAGCTATTGCTATTTGTAACAGTATTGTTCGTATGAATATTCGGTATGCTTGTTGGTGTCTTTAATACAGTGGGATGTCTAGAAATAGATGGTTTTCTACCAATACCACTCATTGTAAAACTTATCACACTAGAAGCAGATGAGTCACTGGTTGATCGTGGCTGTTGTTGTTGCTGCTGCTGTTGTTGTAATGTCTTGATTTGATTTTCTGCATCTACAAAGAGCGTTTCATGCTGAAGAATAAGATCTTCTAGCACTTTATCAGAGTACCATTCTCCCGCGTTTTCTGCTTGGTTGTGATCATGGAATATTGCTGGTGTGAATATCACAGATAAATTCTTCAAGTTCATTTTATTTAGGTGAGAGCTGTTTTGGACTCTATACTATTGTTAATAAGGTTATTGTGTGATAAGCACTTACTTTGCCAAATGGCTTATTACTGCATGAAGCGTGTCTCTCTGAGGCTGAGACAATTCTGTCAGCTTGGTTTGAAGGATAGATCTACGTTGTTTATCTTCTTTAATTTCTAGATAAGACGATCATCAGTACTATTTTACAGAATTATACATTTACTTGAGTATTCAATGCGGTCTTGCATGCTTAGATTAAATAAAGGTTGCTTCAATTCACGTAGATAGATTTTTAGAACAGCAGCAATTGTAAATACATCAAATTTAGATTCTGCTAATTCGACTGTTTCCTCATCTTTTTCAAATTCACTTTTTAGTTGATCAACATTACTCTGTCTCCCAGATATTCTGTAGATGCCTTCTTTTTCTAAACCACCTAGCTTTTCAACAGACTGGATACACTTAGCGACAAGTAGAGGTACAGTGCGGTTGTGCTCAATAGCATATTCGTTTAGATTGGATCCAAACAGGATCTCTTTACAGCGACCATAATAGTAATTATCGTAATAAATAGGCTTTGGTTTTACAAATGATAGTTTGTCGTATTCTGCAAAGAAGCGTTCTGTATCCTTTTTACCGTCAATCTTGGTTACTACACCAAACAATTGATTTAAAGTCTTGTAGATATATGTTAGAACTACATAGATCTTGCTATATTCTTACTTCAAGTTCACTAGATAATGTGTCTTCTTGTTGCTTGCAGATAGTCACCATAGCAGCCTTTACTACATCCGACTTCCCTACCAAAATGGCTTCTACATGCTATAGTAATGTGTGAGTACAAATTACGCCTTTTCTTTATTCTCTTACTCTCATGGCATGCACGGCTGTTTCAATCTGCTTTTTTCGCAAAAACTCCAAGACTCGAATACCTTGTCTATATTCTTGATCTGACAATAATCGTCAAAAATAAACATTAATACTGCCTGACACTTTACCAGCATCTGTAATGTCTTTTTTCAATTTAGCAATTCGAGCTGTTTGTTTGGATGGATCTGCTGCTGCTGCCGCATTTGCAAGCTGAGATCGCATTTGAGTAATGAAGCCAGCCATACTATTCTTTTTGTTATTATGAGGTGGTGAAGAGGTTTCATGTAAAGAAGAAGAACCGATGGAATGACTATCATCTCGTGCACTATCATTGGATGCTCTAGGTTCATCCGAAGATGTTCTCATCATCTGTGAGCTTTGATGAGTATCACTCATCAATGTATTAGTACTCGAAATAGATGCTGTGTCGTCGTGAGACGAAATCAATATTTGTTGCTGAAGACTAGCGTATTCTAAGCACCTGTTAAAGTAGGTCTTGTGAAGCTTTAAAGAAGATTAAGAGTCTCGTTTGTGTGGTCGTTGTCTCTTACTTTGACTATCTCGCGCGTACGAAAGTTGATGTAATTTGTGTTTTTTTCACTAAATACTGCCTTGACTTTCTTTCTTCGTTGCTCATGAGAGTCCTATGATTTTGTGTTACCCATCTTTTCGTTTTAAAGATATCCATGACATACTTTTACTTTGACCAACAGCTCCACTTGATTCTTTAAGTTCGCAATGAATTCACGTCGTGCTTCAATTGTTTTTTCCATTGAAATTTCATACTGCATGGCTGTTTGTTGAAAAGTAGCAGAATGATCGCTAAAATAATTGTGGATTTCGATCGTACTAGTCGAATTTCCTGCGTTTTCCACGTTACTAGCACTGCTATTATTAGCGCTACTGCTCTTTGTCATTTTAACTAGAGCAGAGACATAGGTTTCTTCTGCTGTAATTCTATTGTCTTTTTTTAGCCAAAAGAAAAGAAATTTTAACACACTATGCATACCTTGTTTTTAATGTATGAATGAATTTTTCTAGGTCCAATATACTCCATTTTAAAACTTTATTTACATAATCGAGTTGCGCATCAATACTTGCTATCTACAAGACACGTTAACAAATTGCTCTATATAAGCTTGAATAGACTCTCTCCCTCTCTCTCTCTTTTTTTTTTTACCTCGTCGTCTTGACCTGTGTTCAAACTTTTTGTTGGCTTGTGCATACTGAAGACACTTTATACTGTTGCAATAAATGGATTCCTTTTTTTTCTAAAGTGTTTATGCGCAAAAGAGAGAAATATAAAAGGGAAGAAAGAGAACAGTTTAATAAATTAAGGGAAAGAAAAAAAAAGCGAGAGAAAGAGAGATTTAATTAAGTTTTGAAATAAAAATAGATTTCATTACCAGGAAAGCATCGACTGTTTGGCATAACCTTTTTTTTTTCTTGTAAAAGACTAGATTAAGGCTCCGAAATGCACTCTCAACAAGAATAAAGTACAGGATGAAGCTATTACGCCAAAGAGGTCATTATTATTGTAATAATCGAGAACAAGAAAAGTAATTGAAAAAATATCAATTTAACTAGCTCGTGCTTGTACTATTTGATTTATTACTATGCACCGCACAATTAAATAAAGCTAGTTTTTCTCGAATTTGTTGAGATACAGCGTGTTTTCTTAGTCATAAAGAATTGATTTATGTATAACAGCATGCCAGGATGATCATTTACTTTAGTACAATTTTCTTTATTCAGTCTCCATTATCTGCATTTCAAGCAACGACTATTATTCAAAAACTTGAATCATGAAATGTGCATTATTTACAAAGTGTGACAAACGTAAAGAGAACTACGCACTTTATACGCAAACTATAATTTTTTATTTATACATTTTTTTTTTAAAAGCTTTCATCTTCTAATTTGGATTGAGGTTTAGACTTTCCGTGTCCAAATCCAAAAGCAGATGTCACGTCTTCAGGATCCATTCTAATAAAAGATATTAGCTGATTGAGGCATTGTGAGAAACACTTACTCTCTAAATTCATAATGACCTTCACCATCAAATCTTAGGAGATATTCGTGGTGGCGAATCAAAGATGTTCTATTGTTATTCATAAGTACATTGTCTAATCCATGTTTAAGCTCCTTATACCTATGTGATACGGTAAACAGTGTGATGCCTTCTTTACGAGCGTGCTCGTACATGATTGCTTCAATATCTACGCTGACTGCGCTTGTGCACTCATCAAGGATAGCCTAAATCAAGCAATATAAATACGATACACAGAACCAAAAGATAACACTTACAAATTGTGGTTTGTGATAAAACAAACGAGCCATAGCCACTCTTTGTTTTTCACCTCCAGACAAGACATCAGCCCAGTCTTGTACAGCATCCCAGCCACCTTCACGTTCAACCAAATATCCCAAGTGCACTGTGTCCAAGAGCTTCATCAAAGCATCATCATTGAATCCTTTAGCTTCAGCTTCTGCGCATGTATCAGGGTAAATGACTTGGTCTCTGAATGATCCCAAGGGAAGATAAGGCTTTTGAGGCACATAGAATAATTTGTTGGGTGCAGGTTTAGTCAAATTACCACCAAACAATGGCCATAAATCACCCAAGATACGGAACAAAGAACTCTTACCACAGCCATTAGGACCAGAGATCAAACAGTTCATGCCAGTGCTGACCTTGAATGAAAGGTCTTTAAGCAAGACATCGCTGTTGGGTGTCACAATAGGCACTTTGTCAAAAATAATTACGCCATCACGAATCAATACTTTTCCTTTTGTGTTGTTGGTGTCAACAACCTTATTCTTTGAGCCAGTGCTATTTTCTTCGTTTGTCATCATTGTACGCTTGTATTTGCCATGGCGAACATCACTTAGTACGCCAAACAAATCAGCTACTCGAGACTAGAACGAAATATGAGCATAACTTTACACATTTGCATATACTTACCGTGTAACCTGCAAAGCGAGTCAAATCACGGCCAGTTAAAATGAGTCTACCAACAGCTTGAGATAAGTTGATCAAATAACTTGCTATGATAAGCCAAAGAGTATGAGTAAATGCACATTAATGTTTTCTTTTGGCTTACAATTTCTAGAATAATCTTCCATCAATTTGGTAGGATCCGTGTCAGCACCCATGTGTTTAGTGGCTATACATAAATAAAACAAAAACGTCAATTATCACATCTATGTATAGATAAAAACCTTACCATAACGAGGATCAAAAACAGGTCTAGCCAGTAGACTAATTGATTGTTGAGTGAAAGTTCAGTCATCATATGAAACAATATACTTACTAGTATGCTGTCATAGTGGCACAATATTTGACAAGAACAGAATCGAAAATACCATTAAGGAAACGAAGTGTATATACTTTGCGAACATGATCTGAGATTTTTTCAAACGTATTGTTTACAACCTCCTTTTCGCGTTCACCACCACGATAGAAAGCAATTTCTTCAGAATGTGTAATGATACGTGACTATGATGCCATTAAAATGTATTCTATAGAGTTAATCCTATCTAACTACTTACATGTGTAAATCTGAAATCACCTTCCAGCTTTTGTTCAATTGCGGTATCTATATGCAGCATGAGCTAAAAAAGCCATAATAGTTTTTCCTTACATCTGCCAAAAGGAGGGGAGAATGCACGGAGCAAGACACCGGACAAGACAAAGTAAGCAATCATAAAGAATGGAGCTTCATTACCACTAGGAATTGTTAGATAACAGCTTTTGTTGTATGGTATACTTACATAGCCTCACCCAGCTTGTAGGCAAACAGAAATATGTCAACCACTGGTTTTGCGATATCTGAATAAAGATGTGATAAGTTTTCTGAAAATTTGTCAATGTCTTGTGTCAGCAATTGATCGGCATTTTGAAGTCTATTGTCGAGATTGGAAATCTTGTAAAAAGTGATTCCATCCAAATATTGGTTGTGTGCATGCTAATGTCAAATATAAATAAAGCTTCAACTCGAAAATATCAATACTACCTTTGTTAAACGTTCACGGAAACTAAGAGCAAGAGCATTGATAGTCAGCTTGAGTGAGTTATTGACTATACTCATTGGCCACTATATAAAATATGTCAGGTTTCCCTTTTTTTCAACAAATGATATTCTACCATCATCAAACCAAATTCTACAATTGCTCTTGCAATAAATTCTTTCTTATTTCTTGATACAATCGACTTCACAACAGAACTAATAAACAGTTTAGAAAGCAAGTCAAGAATAAAACAACTTACCCGTTAAATCCAGAAAACCAGATATCTAACCATGTTCGAGCAATGAGTACAGAAGCAAGTACTATTAAAAGACCCGACTCTTTCGAAAAGACACCTATGTATTGGCTGTTTAGGATCTCGTCGAGATCTTACAGAAGAAAATTACCTGGAATACATATAGGCAACAGCTTCTTCATTTGCTCGAAAAAGTCAGCATTCACGCCAACTCTTTTATGTTTTTTCTTGTTCTGTTGGGGTTGTTTCTTCTTATCGCTACCTTGAATGTTAAGCTTAAACTGTTTTCTTGCTTTATAAACTGCGTAGACTAAAGAAATAACTAGTACTCCAGATAAAGGTTTTTTAGCGCCCAGGCTTGAAAATGCGTTAGCCATATTCTATGAGAAAGAAGCCAGGGGGGATAAGGAAGTAAGGAAAAGAAAAGAATGTATTCAACAAGAAAAAAATATTATTAATAAGTAATATGCGACGGGCATTTATCTGCTTGTGATTGGATCTTGTAAAAATGTGGAGAAGGATTTCGGTTAAATAGGTTGAGCTTGAATAAAAACGCATTATAAATTGTATTTCTTCAAGTGGGAAAATTTTTCTGTTTTGTCTGACTGTACTTTTCTTTCATGATTGGTTAGTATGTCACTGAATATGAAGTTCATGTTCTTTCATATGTCCTTGTCGTTTTTTGAAAGTTGGTTCTGCGACGCTCTATTTAAGCACTCATTTGGCATGGAGTACGATAAATAACTCCTATTTACACACAGCACATAATGTGATTGTCAACTATGCGCAAGTGTGTGCTATCAATTTGATTTTATGATTGGGTCTGCTTACGCCAAATGATGACTTTTTTCTTATTCTTTTGGTTCTCTATACGTGGGTTGTATGCGTGGTGATACAACCGGATATAATACACGCAATTCAAAAATAAACACTGCGTCCTTTACGTGCAGTGTAGAATCGTTTTACTGTACCACATCAATCCAGTTGCAAACAACGAACCATGTTCCTTTTTCTATATAATCGCCTCTTCAACTATTAAGCCAAAGGGGATGCATGATGTATATACATACACATTATACTTGTTTGCGTCAGTACAAGAGTTTAAGGCGCCATCAAAACAATCATAAAGAGCTAAAAAAGAGGAGGTGTTGCATTCAATTCAACATGATCTGTAGAAATTACACTTTGTACTAATGTGGCTGTGCCCTTAATAAAGTATATGCATTCATTTTAGAACAGATTCATCTTGTTGTCATTCCTGACTATAATTTTAAAGACGAGAGAGAGTGTGTGTCTAATTGAGCAAAAAAACATAAAGACAAGAGTAAAATGGTATTTATTGTGTTGTATAAACAATCATGGACTATGCTCAAGAATAGTAAGAATCTAGGGATCATCAAAAAGGGGGTATTGAGAATGACTAAATTCTAGTGTTTCTTGATGTTTATGTATAAGAAATACATATTGATTTGCAGCAAACATAAGGATTTGCAGACATATAGCTTACAATTATTACAAAAAAATAAACAAACGTATTTTTGGTATCACATAATTAAAAAAAAGCTGGTTTTCTTTATTTTTACTTTGACATTCTACACTAATTCAAGGGAGAAAAGTTAAATTTAATGTTAAGCAACGCGTTTTCTCTTTTTTCTTGTTAGAGGACGTACATTCTTATTGATAATTAAGCAGTTGTCTCTCTCTCTCTCTCTCTCTCTCTCTCTCTCTCTCTCTTTCTCTTTTTTTTTTTCATGTACGTAGAACTTATTGCGGCACTATCCCTTTGTTTGAAAACACCCCTTTGAATGCTTTGCATAATCTTTATTTTTTTCTTTTGAAAACACAAGTGCATATAGATCCGCCAAAAGAAAAATTGAATTTAATATATAAAGAAGCACTTTTTTTTTTCTTTCTAAACAACTACCGATTCAATCAATTCATAAAAAAAAACCAATATGCGTTTTACTACTTTAACCCTTGGCTTTATTGCTGCTTTCATACTAGGATGCTCCGCCGCTAACCTTGATGATGCTCCTGTCGCTAGTACTGGTAAAGACATTGCTGAGCAATTTGGTGACGGTACCGAGTCATTTTTTGACGGTGCTCCTACTGAGGCTTTTGAAGGTGTTACTGATGGAGCTAGTGGTCTTGCACAAGACATTGGTCTTGACAGTGGTGCTTCTCATGTTGTTGATGGTTTCAAGAAATTAACTGACACAGTTGCAGATGCTTCCCACATTGGCACCAAGGCTATTACTCCTCATCTTACTAGAAGAAAATACTTGTCAAAGAGAGCTAATTTGTACATGATTCATGAGCGTCGTGCTGCTGCTGCTGCTGCTGCTGCTGATATTGCTGCTGCTGATGTTGCTGCCGATGCTTCTAAGGCTCCTACTGATACTACCAAAACTGGAACTCAAGCCCCTCTTGCACCTGGTGAAGAAGCTGACGAAGAAGAGCCAGATGAAGAAGAACCTGAAGAACTTTTCCGTCGCTCCAGCCATGACGAAGAAGATGAAGAGGAAGAAGATGAAGACGAGCCAAGTGAAAAGAAGCATGATGAAAAGGATGAAAAGAAGAAGCGTAGCCTTACTCGCCGTACAAGTGAAAACGAAGAAGAGCCTGACGAAAATGAACCCGATGAAAACGAAGCTGACGAAAACGAAATTGATGAAGAAGAAGCTGATGAAAACGAAAACGAACCTGACGAGCTTGGTGATGCTGCACCTAACAATCACTAGATATTTTCTTTATGCTTTGGTTTATTTGTTAAACCAGTTTTAGTTGTTCCTCAAGGACGTAGTTTATTATTTTTTCTAATTTAAAAATTCAATAAATATTGTATTTCTTATAAAAATATCATGTCGTTGTTTATCTCCAGATAATGCTTATATGCGCATATAACAACAAAGTTGTCGAGTGAGATCACTGTTTGTAACACAAACATAATGTGCTACCAAGATTGCATTGAATACACGGCATATATGCAAAGCAGATCAATACCTTTTTTTCTCTTTATATCATAGTAGAGAGAACAAGGAAATTAAGAGATGCATGCAGTTTGCTTGAACATAAACAAATAGATACATATATATATATATCTTTAACTTATAGAAACTGTTTGTTTTCGTCCTTTTTTTTTTCGAGACTCCTCTTTTAAATGCATGTGCATTATACAACCTTAAGGAGGACTTTATTGCTTCATCAAAGTACCGCATCCCTTATTCCATTTAAGGACTAAAAAAAAGAAAACAGGGCGAGTCTTTACTGCTAAAAGAATTGAAAGAAAAAGAAGGATCATTTAGCAATATAGAATCTGCAAGTCACCCTTATCATCTCTCCCTTTGGTTTGCACTATCTTTTTTTTTTCTTACAAAAAGATAAGAATGGAAATTTCGATTGTTGTCAACTTATATATATTTAAACAAAGCTGAAAGCTATCGTCTCTTTTTCTCTTTGCTTTTCTTTTTAACTCTTTAAAATGCGCTGTGACCAATTTTCTCTTGGCTTGATTGCTACTCTTCTCGTAATGTTCAGTTCCAACACTTTGGCTGATGGTTTTGGAGATACTCTAGACGGTGCTATTTCAGTGGTACAGACAACTGGATTAAGTGATGGTGCCCTCTCTGGTGTCAATAACGGCCTTCAAGGCAAATCTACCGGGCAAACAGGTACATCAAATTCTGGTTCTGGCATTAGCAGTCTCACAGGAAACACTGCCCAAAATACAGCTGCAATCACCAGTACCGTTCTTTCACAGATCGAGAAATCAAATGCGTTTAGTGGACGTCCAAAGGTAGATGAAGCGAGTACTTTTGATGCAAAAATAGCCAGAAGATCTTACCTTACGCGTGCTAAAGTTCGCCGAGATACACCATCTACGTTAATACCACCTATCGTTATACCCCAGATTCTAGCTAATCAGGCTGCCGCTACTCAACCTCAATACACACAACCTCAACCGTATCTTCAGCCCCAAGTTGCTCAGCCTGTTGTTCCACAAGTTCAGCAAGTGGCCCCTGCGCCAGCTGCACAAGCACCACCACCACCACCACCAGCAGGAAGTAGCGAAGACGATGAAGAAGATGAAAATGAAGAAGATGAAGAAGACTATGATGCTGATGATCTTGTAACACGTCGCTGATTTTTTTTCTTTGTTTGCTTCCTAAAAAAAAAGGCTGTATTATTATCCAGAATATACTTGAGCAGTCTATATACACACATGTCTCTCGCCATTTTTGACATTCCTATTTAATTTTAACTAATCAATAAAGAAAAAAAACCAAACAACTTTACAGGTTGACTATATATTTTATGGGGCTGTAAACGCCAATTATACAATACTCTTTCTCTCTCTTTTTCTTTATTTTACAGGAGTAATGGTTACTTACCGAAACAAGTATTGTATCCTCCCTATGCATGACCTAAATTCATTTTGTTGCCTATCACATACTTTAAATTAAAGGGAAAGTGCTGCTTGATAAGGAGAAATGACAGTGAAATGTTGTCAGATCATGACATGCAGTTGTACCTGGATTTAGTGATATGGTCAATTAGGACCAAACCTTATCATTGAATACAGATAATAAGGATCTCTGATCAATTGTTGTAACCATGAGTAAAACAGTTGCATTGATATGATTGAAACTGCTACTTGCAACATCAGATTAAAAATGTGTAACAAAAAAAAACAGTACATGTCATTATGTATAGCAGACAATCTTACATCTTCTCTTGCTCTTTGAATAGATGCGATCCTATCTTTGTTTCAAAGATTATGTCAATAGTATAGATCCAGTTCAAAAGACACAAAGTTTTCTGGGTGATTTAATGAAACCAATAGCAACTTGTCTTAGGAACTAATTCATCATTCCATATTTTCAGGCTTCAATAAAAGCGTCCCTTTTTGTTGTGTTGATGCCTTTTGAACTATTCTTTCGGCTAATCTTTTTCATTTCTTGAAAGCTATATACTGCTTTAAATCATACGATTTCTTCAGATTAGGGCATTATTAATTCCATTAAAACATGCAAAAAAAGCATCATTTTTTTTAATTTATTGTACATTTGCTGTCTAAAGAATTGTAATTCCTCTTATTATATGGCTTAAAATAATGGTACATTTTTATTTATCCAAAAATCAGAGAAATACAAAGAGTCGTATAGCTGCACAAAGGTTGCATAAAGCCCATTTATACTCACATAGAGACTTCCAATGCCTATAAAAAAGTGTTTACTAACATCTATGGTACCTTTAGAATTGATTTGGACATAAAAAAAAAGCGACTTGTAAAAAATGGTCAAAATGACCATTCAACTAAAGGGTATTACTCATGAGAAAAGTTTGTTTGACAACTTTGGATCTTCTTTTTGACGCTACAAGACGAAAAATGGAGCTATTGGCAAGCTTAAATACTCAAAATGTACGTCAAAAGATCTAGTTTTTGATAAATGTGTTTAATCAATAATTGTACTATAAAAATGGCATGATATGATCGAAAAGCCTCATACACATTTTTGTCTATTTGGCCAATACTTTGTCAGTAAAGTTGCTGTGTTCTTTACAGTAACAGGCTCAGAAATTACAAACCTACAGCTTTTGTTATTGCACCAAAACCAAATAACTGCGTCTTTATGCAGTTCTCAGCAATAGCTCGATTTTTTAATGACTTTATCTGCCGCACGTATTAGTGGTCTTGGGAGGGACCCACTAAAAGAGGTGTTCGACAATTATTTATTGTAAGAAAATATAAAAACAAAATTGGTACGATAGTAAGAAAGTAGAAAAATATAAAAGGAAAGAAGAGCAGCTATTGCGAGAAAAGACCTCTCAATATGAAGTGTCATTTTCAGCAGCTATACGCTTAATTTGATAGCGAGTGCTGTGAAGAACAGAGAGATAATGGAATAATTGGTTCTGCATGGTATATAGCTCGATTTTTCATGCGCTGGAAAGAGGAACTGAATTGCCTATGTTTCAATCTCAGACACGTGTCTCTAGAGTGTGTTTTTAAAAGTCTTAAAGATGAAAATGTCAGATCAATCTGAGCATTGCATTCAAAGTTTATTTAGTATTGTTATTAGCTAGAAAGAAGCTCTTTTTGAGCAGGTATCGAATAGTAAACACGTTTAAAGCTGTTCTAAAGCTGTACTATCGGAGTGTCAAAGATCTCCATGCTGCTTTGAGGTTGCTATGTACACACTATAACAACTAGATGAGCATGATTCTACTTGCAAGTTGCCAGTAAACCACCATTCTTTGTCATTGTAATAATAAAAGGAGTTTATAAATGTATATATATTAGCTCAAAATCCTATTGTTCACTAGTAAAATACTTCTAAATGGGGATTGTAACATGTATTTTGTTGTTAAAAGATCAATTCCATCCAATCAATATCCTGGTTTTATGATATAATGGCTTCTCTATGCGATAAAAGAGATAGGAGTGTCTATGTTAACCAAGCTAGATGTTATGAACAACAACAATAAAATATTATGTTTGATTGTACTCTGTCAAACATACAATTGAAGCCAAGTTTATGTTGTTTAAAGAAGAAGAAAAAAAGACAGGAGCACTTTGATAGATTTAAAATGCGATTTCTTCTTTTTTTCTTTTCGTTTTTTTTTTTTTCAAAAACACGTAATACAATATGGTCAATGACAACTCAGACGACAATGTAATCAACATCACAAAAGATGGACAAGTGACAAAACGAATTTTAAGAGAAGGTCCGGGGAAGAAACCAGAAAAAAACAATACTGTCAGTGGTAAGACATACTTTTGATAATAAAAAGGATATGCGTCTTATGATTCCATAGTTCATTACGAATCTATTCTTTATGATACAAATACTCTGTTTGATTCCTCACGTGAAAGAAAAGCCGAGTTCAATTTCAATCTGAATTCAGGTAACATTGTCATGTCTAGAGTTGTCCATATTGACGCATTTGTTAGGCAAAGTAGTAAAAGCTTGGGAGTTGGTTATACCTACAATGAAAGTAGGGGAGAAAGCTGAGATTATATGTACAAGTGATTATGGTAAACATTTGGACGCGTTTTTTTTTTTTTTTTTTTTTTTTTTTTTTTTTTTGGCATAACTTACTTATGATTAGGTTATGGTGATGAGGGAAGAACATATATTGTGCCACCTAAAGCCAAATTGAAATTTCATGTAGAATTGTTAGGTTTCTGGGAGGTAACAAAAATATATGGAAATCAGCAGTATGCTTACTGAAATAGGTTGCTGGATCAGCAGCAGAACGTATTCGATCTGCAGAAAAGAAAAAGTTAGAAGGAAATGATTTGTTTAAGCAAGGCGCTGTGAATGAAGCCTTGACTGCCTATAGAAAAGCAAGAGATTATATTAAGGATCTTTGGAACTGTGAGCCTGAAGAAGCTGAAGAATGCCGTATTTTGATTGCTGCCATCAATCTCAATATTGGTGCTTGTTATTTAAAACTAAAGAATTATGACTTTGCTATTGAAGTCTGTATAGAATCCTTGAATCGTGATCCAACCAATGTCAAGGCACATTATCGTATAGCCACAGCTTATCTGGGAAAGGGAGAATATGATCAAGGATTGACTTTTGTCAATTTGGGATTACAGGTAAGCAAAAAAATAAAAACACACACATATCGTTTATTCTTTCCAGTTAAAGCCAAGTAACCCTGAACTCAATGCATTAAAATCAACATTAGACAAAAAGAAGGAGAAATGGGTCAATGATAGTAAAAAGATTTACAGAAAAATGTTGTCTTGATCATATACATAAATACATGACTACCATGCTTGATGCATATATTTTTGAACAGCCAAAAGGGCTTGGTATCTGACTTCTTGATCTTCATGTGTCATCAGTTCCATGATACGTTGCTTAGCTCCGATTTCTTGCAGCATACTATAGAGAAATAAGCATTTCTACAGACATCTTAGATAGACTTACTTTCTGCCTGTTTTGGTAGCATGTTTGACATAATAACCAATGTCGCTAGCAGCTATAGCCAAGACTAAAGGATTGCTTGATGTACTCAAAAGACGAGCGAGTGCCTTAAGTAATTGATAGTTATTGTCTTCCAATTTCTGTGCATTTTCTTTCCAAAAAACTTCGGATTTATGAGGAGGAGACCATTCCAATTTACCAGTCTCGACTTCAGAAGCATATTGTTCAAATGTGCTAAAGCAATTCCCCTTTTCTTTTAGATACAGTGGTCATGGGTATCCTATGACTTACGTAAGACTCTGAAAGTTTTCTTGCAATCTCTCCTTGATAAAGTTAATGTCATCCAAAATATCAGTATCTGACCATTTACGAGTACTCAAGTTTTCAGTAAATGGCAATAACTTGGTAACTAGCATAGCAGCCAAGTTTTGAGCAGGAGCCTTTTCAACAAGGTTCTAATTACAGACTATTGGTTAGATATCATAGTATATATATACACAGTAAGCTTACTCTTAATGTAGCTACAGACACACGAATCACTTTTTCTTTAATAGCAGACTTGGCAATCTCAACTAACAAGGGAATAATATCGTATTTTCTATAAAACATTAGCTTGAAATCCATACACACATATACACACACTTACTCATTGATATTGGCTGCGATTTCTGGTTCAAAAGTAAGCAACCATAGACAAAAGATGATTTGATATTGGATTTGAGGTGTAGATGCTGTCTTGTTTAAGAACAAACGATGCGTCAACCTAACAAAAGGGATCAATGGCTTGTGTATGCAACTAAACATACTCTTTAACAGCATTTTGTGTATGCCAAACAGCCAAACGATAAGTATTGACACGTAATATAGACTCTAATTCTTGAATCACCAAATGAACAACATCACTGTTTGAACCAGACAGTTTGTTGGTAATCCAACGAAACAAAGCTGAAAGATCCACGTTAGAGGGTGATGGAGCGGAACTATAAAATGTTCAGTATATTTTTTTGTCACAAAAAAGGGGGGGCAGACTTTACCAAGCAAGCATAGTCAATACTTTAGATGCTTCTAATGCCATGAAATCATCATCTGTCTCGAGAATTTTGATAAAAGGACCAAAAGGAAATGAAGGGTCTTCTTTAGCAGTTTCATGGAAATAGCGTGTATTGTCTTCATGAGCTATGCTGTATTCAGTATGTGTTTCCTTTTTGTTGATAGGTTACCTATAAAGATATCGTCTGTCATTAAGCAAACATATTGAACAGTGTCAGGTCGAGACAAGTTTTGTAACAAATACATGATAAGAGAAGCATACGTTTGTCCTTTTTCATTCATAGCATTCTGAACAACGGAAGCAGACTTTTTGTCGATAGCTTTGATGAGCTCAACTTGTTCGTGTTTCAATAAACTAGCGCGCTCATAACCCTATTTTATCGTCAAATTTATGTATTTACAGAGTTGTTTTTTTTTTACCTCCCAAAGAATAGGCTTTTGTCGAACAACAGCAGCCTTCTTTTCCAAGTAAGGATTAGAGATAAGTACAAGAGGAACTTCAGGAATTTCTTCAGACATAGTTTAAAGGAAGAAGAAAAAAGGACAAAGACGAAAATGACGTTTTTTAAACGTATACTAAATACACCCCATTTTATTAGTTGGCTTGTAACATACTGAGTAAAGAAGCTTGTGATCTCAAGATATCCAAGGCTTGTTTGACTTCTAAATGACGACGAGCAGCTTCTAACCAATCCAAAGATAAACGCTTTGGCCATCCTGTTAATTGGTTCATTTCTCTAGCAGCACTTTCTAAATCTTTTTCTGTGTTTAAATAATACTCTGCACGGGCTAATCTGGCTTCCACATCTTCACCAGGCACAAGTCCCTTCTTAGCAAACATAAAACTACTGAGGATAATAGAGAGCAAATGAGACAACATGGAGGCATCTTGTTCAGGTATCAGGGAAGCACGGCGAGCTTCGCGTGCAACAGTCTCAAATCGTTCTGAAAGAGCAGCAAGGGATGTCACACCATGTTGAGCCACTTGGTGTTGAATACTGGAAGCAACCAATTGGATCAATTCATCGGATTGACGTTCACCGAGCTTAGCAAAAGGTGTCTTTGCACTCAATCGCTTTAATGCCTCAAGTTCAAGTTCAAAGCGTGTTTGTTGACCTGACATGGCAGCACGTTTCAAGGCATCAATGGCAGCTACCAACTGATGGGCTTTACGAACATCATCCAATAACTCAGCATCAGCACAGACCAATTTCTCCAACTGAGCTTGCTTTTCAGCAACCTCTTCAATCTTGGACAAACGACCACCGCGTTCTGTCTCGACTTGTTGTTTGACTTGAGCCACATAACCAGCTTGGATCTCAACAGCCTTGTCCTTTAATTCGTTTTGCAATTCAGTCAAGTAGTGTTGGCGTTGAGATGTCAATTCCTTTGTGTGAATGGCTTCTAATTGGCGTTCCAATTCAGCTTTATCAGCAGCCAAGGCGGCCTCAATTTGACCTACACGGCTTTCGACACGAGCAGAGGCCTTGTCTTGAGCTTCCTTGATCTTTTGACCTACTTGTTCACGATGGTGTTGCATCTTGATTTCGAGTTTTTCCAATTCTGCGTTCAATGCTTCCAATTCTTCTTTGGCTTTGATTTCTTCAGACTTGATGAGAGAAAAGGCCTTGTCTAAACTCTCGATATCCCGAGTAGCAAAATCAACAAGACGTTTAGCATGACCAGCCAATCCAGCTTCATTCAACATGACAACAAGACCTTGGACAGTCTTGGCAAACTCATTCAAGCTTTCTTCTTTGGATTTGGCAAATGTAGGGACAGGTTGTGCATCTGCACTATGGATCACATTGGCAAAAAGAGATTCTTGTTGAGTAGCCTTTTTGATACGCATGCGTTTGGTGTTGGAAGGTGTAGGACCTGTGCCAGGAGCCACAGGGGCTTCCTGTTCACCAGTCCATTGAGCAATGGCCGTGGAAATATAATCATACCAATCTTGAGCTGTTTCTGATGTTTGTGAAGCGTATTTTCTGATTTGTTCCGTATGAGCAGAAGCCTTTTGTTTTGCTTCGATCAACTGGTCATAAAACTGTTTGAATTGAGCATCGGATGCCCAGTCTTCCAAAGTATCCAAGATCTTTTCACCACCTGGAATGTAGTTGGTGTAAGTGTCATAAAATGCTTCATTCTTGAGAGCAAAATAAGTGGCACCAGAATAAGCAGTACCAGTCAATAAACTGACCCATAACAGCTTCTTGCCAATCGATCCTGGCTTGTGTTCAGTTTCTGTTGAATAGACACGCTAGAAAATAAGAAAACATGAGTGCCTCTGTGTGATGATGCATACTCTGCTTACACGAGTCAAACGGTTCGATCGAGAAGCAGCTAAACGTGCTGCTGATCGAATAGCAGAAGCACTTCTCAACATATGAATAAATAACAAAGAAAGAAAGAAAGAGAAAGAGATACACCAAATGGAAAAATTATTCGCGCATTTTGGAAGAAAAGATTAGCACATTTTTTAAGAAAATTTGGCATAGTATTTGAGAAAAAAATTAGCATGCTCATGCATACACGAAGTGAGCAAGTTTATTAGATAGGTCTGCCTTGAAAGCAGCAGAATACCTGCAGAAGCCTTTAAAATCACCTTCCAAGATTCTATTGCAAGCATCTGCAATTCTCGAGGTGAATATCTTCTCTTCCAAAAGCTGCTCCCTCTTGAGTTTTCTTTTGTAAACCGAACAGAATTGCTCGATCGTATTAAGCTCAGGCGAGTAAAAAGGGAGGTACACGTACTAATAACCTCAACTCTCAATGTGGTTTTGAATGTCTTGATATTTGTGAATAGGAGCATTTTTCTTAATCAAACAATAACCACGAAATTCCTCATAACGATCCATGGCATCCAAGGCACCAGAAAAAGAGAGCTATAAAGCTACGCTATTTTCTTCTTTTTTATTTGATATGCTAATTTTTTCTCAAAAACTATGTTAAATTCTCTTTCTCTCTTTGATTTATTTTCCATTTGGTGTACACCAGGGCATTTGAGGCTCTACGAAAATACGTCACAAAAAAAGATGACATAGGCTTTAGAGGGCTCTTATTCTTGAACCTAGGACAAAGCACCTGAAGGTGTTGCTGATGGCGCTTTTCTGGGCACCTTGGTCATCTTGACCTCTTAAGAGCTGTTGTGGCCTACTGTTGATGTCATAGCCTGAACGTATATATTCACATAAAATGCTTCTTATGTTACATGCGGCATTAACATCTTGGTTGCACTACTAAAACATTAGTCTTGAATGAACACGGTAGAAGAAATGATTATTTACTAGATCATGTTCTTGTGCTAATGAATACTGGGGGGCACAACTTCAACGCATAGACAACAAGATGATTAATGGATTCAATAAAACAATGATTACATCTACTTCTTCTCTGGATTTGACATATGAGGCTTGGATATTGCTGTTCATTCTACAGTGTAATTTGCAGCATATGTTGAGCTACAATAGAGCCATAGTTTTGTGAGGTCTTTCTATGCAAGATATCTAAAGTAGGTATATTATACAGCTATTCATCAGATCCGGCCGATTTTCTAGAGAGATCAAAATCTGCTTTTTATGAATCTCTAGTCTGGCCACTGACACCACCTTTCACAGTGTCAGCTCTTACTTGCTTTTCTCGAGATCTATGGCAGACATAATCCTTCGTATTATTTGATGGTACATCTTCTGTAAACCCATTTGACACCAAAAACTGCTTCAGGGGCTTTGATCTCTTCCTTGCAGTTTTCAACGGCATGAATCACAGTGGTTGTAGGTAGAGGTAAGTACTTCTTAATAATAATACTGTTGGGTATATTTTTCTGCTTAATAAAATTGAATGATTCTCGAGTGTTTCTTTGAATTTCAATGTTTATTTTAAGTTTAATGCATTTCTGTTAATTATTTTAGAAATTCACTAAAAAGAAGGCACAAACTTGGTCAACGTCACCTAAAATGGGGTGTTATAAGTAAACCGGCAATACTTTTTTTTTTCAGTTCTTCATGTTGTTGCCTACACGCCATTGTCTTTCTAAAACAACACGTCGTTTCTTTTCAAACAAACAAGGTTTTGATAGTCTTGTGCTTGGTGCTTATTCATCCAAACAGCCTGTATTGACTCTACCTTCTATTTCTCGAGAAACAACCGAGCTTATTCAACGACAACTTGGCTTGAGTCAGTTTAAGAAGCGTGGTGATACACGCGTATTCTACAATATAGGTGGTGTTCAACAAGTGGCTGTTGTCTCTCTTGGTGAAAAACCGCCCCTGAATAAGCAAGAGCAACAAGAACATGTTCGCTTGGCTGCAAGTATCCATTATTCTTTGCGTTTATCCATGCTGACATTAATTTTATGATAGACAGCAATCGGTGTACAAACCCTTCAAAAGCAAGGTGCTTTATATACAGGCGTCGATGTTTCAGTTGATGTTCAAGGTGCTGCAGAAGGCGCTGTCTTGGCTCAGTTTTCATTTGATAAATTAAAGCAGAAAAAGGAGCTTCAGGAAAAGACGGTTGAACCTTATTTCGTCGAGGATCATGCGACTCTGCAAACCGCATGGGAAACAGGACAGATCTGTGGTGCCTCACAAAATGTGGCTCGTATGCTGATGACTTCGCCTGCTAATTTAATGACGCCTAAGCTGTTTGCAGATGAAGTGGCCTATTTATTAGCAGGGCTAGAAAACATTGATGTTAAAGTCCATGATGAAGAATGGGTATCAAAGCAGAAAATGAATGCCTTTTTATCTGTTGCTAAAGGAAGGTAATGTGCCTATGAGTATACTTGGCATTAAGGATTGTTATCTAGTAAGGAACCATTGAGATTCTTGGAGATTCATTATAATGGAGCCAGAGACAAGCATGAAAAACCATTTGGCCTGGTAGGCAAAGGCATCACATTTGATTCAGGAGGTATTTCGCTGAAGCCTTCTGCCAACATGGCTTTGATGAAGGGAGATATGGGTGGTGCTGCTACAGTGGCGGGTGCGTTGTACGGTATATCTAAATTAAAATTACCTGTGAATATTGTGTCTATCATTCCCCTATGTGAGAACATGCCTTCAGGCAATGCAACTAAACCGGGTGATGTAGTCAAAGCCATGAATGGTAAATCCATTGAAGTCTTGAATACAGATGCTGAAGGCAGATTGATTTTGGTACCTACATACATGTATGGGACATTGGTTAACACAAAAGTATATAGGCAGATGCATTGCATTATCTTTCCTCTCAGTTCCGACCCCAACATATCATTGATTTAGCCACACTCACAGGTGCAATGGATGTAGCTTTAGGCCAAGTCTTTGCAGGCGTATTTACACAATCAGATACACTTTGGCAACAATTGGAAAAAGCAGGTCAAACAGTATCAGATCCCTTTTGGCGTATGCCTCTTCATCCACACTATACAAAGGACATGAAAAAGTCTCTGGTTGCCGATATAAGTAATGTAGGATCACGTCGTTCAGGTGGATCTTGTGCTGCAGCAGGCTTTTTACAAGAATTCGTGGATCCAGACATTCCTTGGGCACATATCGATATTGCTGGCGTCATGGAATGTCATGCTACAGAAGGTCATCATATCAAAGGCATGAGTGGTAAAGTGCTAAATCTAGTTAGCTTATATAACTTACATGTTTGTGTTAGGTCGACCTACAAGAGCATTGATTGAGTTAATGAGAAACATGAAATAAAAACCTGAATATCAAAAACAAAAGTCAAAAGTAGAATGGAGCCTAAAGTAGACACTACATATGATTTGATTGAAAACAGTGATACGCTTTAACCACAAGTTGATTTCAAAATGAAATGCGCATACTGAATAAAATTCTATGTGATTCTAAAGCTATCAAAATAAAAGCTATTTCATTTTGAAGATCATTCTTATTTTGAAGACAATACAAACAAATACTTAATGACTATAATAAAACTTGTTACAGAATAAAAGCAAAATTTGACATGTTATGCTATTCTCAAATCAAAACAAAATTGATTGTAAAGAGAATACAGAGATTATTTCTATTGGTACAATATTTGTGTGAAAATCGAAACAAGCAGACAAACAAACATTAGATCACAATTCAGTCTGGTATCTCATTTGATATCTGGCAAACGCTCCCCTCCTCCTTTTTCTGCAGCTTATGTATTACTTATATTGCAGTTAAATTTATACCCAAACTACTTCCATTCGTCAAAAAAAAAGAGGACTGTATTGAATTAATAAATGCATTGAAAAAGCCAATATTAACAAATTTATGCAACTTCGGATCACTAACAATTTAAATTAACCAGGAATGTGCGACCTCCCTTCAGGGGCAGAAGGATTGCCGCCACCTCTTTTTTCCTTTTTTTGTTACTTTTTGACGCACAAACAAACTAAATGGTGATTGTTACTGTAAGAATTATAATAATTTCATTTGCAACCCTCTTTTTTTTTTTGTCACAGAAACTTAAATTGTTTCATTAAAAGTTTTCTTTCCTGATATAAATAGCTATAGCAATTGAACATAATCGCTTTTCTTCTTCAATATGACAGATTCTTTAAATAGCCCTTTTACTATTTTGACCTGTACCGTTGGTATTGTAAGTAACAAGTTGTTGATGTGTAACATATGTTTATCCTATCTCTTAGGCAGGTTGGATCATTGCGTTTATTGGTCTGTGCACTTCGCATGCATTCACTGTGTCACTTTCTTGGTGGATTATTATTTTCGAGCTCTTTGTTGTGTGCTCATCATGTGCTGTATTTTGGACAAACTCAATTCGAATCTATTATCCTGTCGTGAGTTGTTATTGATTCAATGCGTTCTTGAGAAAAAGAAGTACTCATGACAAGTAGATTCTCTGTTTAATTGCCATCAGTATTCCATATAACACAAATGAAATTGCAACCTATCTTTTTGCAGGAAGAGTTTCATTATCAGCAGCGGCTTCTGGCTATATTATTATGTTGGTGACTCAAGTAGGTTACTTTGTACTTACACAGCGACTAACAATAACTAGTTCAGTTGGATCTTTTTGTTTGGTATACAGCAAGAAGATGCTGTTCTACGGTCATTTAGTGAGCTTAATCATAGTCGAATGTACACAAACAACATTCGACAGTATCAGAAAGATACACTCATGTTTGACAATAACTCCATCATGGACATCAAAGGAACACCAAACTATCCAATGCCTCCCCAAACTTCTTATTCCGCTACACCCACGCCTGAACATGTTGCGATTCCCATGTATTTGAATAGGTCTTCTCTTCAAGACACTCAGCAACCAAGCACAATCATCTTGTCACCTCATCTGGAGTATCTTATACCTGTTACTGCTATTCATAACTGTAAGTCAGGACTTTGAATCACTGTTTCTCTAATTCTTGTACCACTTAGATCATGCAAACAAAGAAGATCCAAACGAATTATCGTTCACAAAAGGCGAAGTCTTGTATGTTCAGGAAAAGAAAGGGAGTTGGTGGCAGGCCAAAAAAGCAAATGGTACAATAGGTATGATACCTAGTAATTACGTGACGGACCACAAGCCCATATAAGACATATTCTATCATCTCAGATTGTATTATTATCATTCTCCCTTTAATTTAATTGTATTCCTTAATTTTATGAATAAATGGTCACCTTGATCACTATCTTTAAGTTTGAACGAAAGCTAAAACTTGTGCAGATCATTCGAGCTAAGCAGGCAGAGTCTAAATCAGTTAGCAGCTTTCATTATTTGAAACATGAGCTAAAAGCATGGCAGTACAGATCTCTCTATAGAAAATAAGGGATAATATAATCTATATCAAAGTGGATCATTCTCGTCCTTTTCGTTTTCACTTTTGGCAAGTATTTAAGAGTGTTGTTTTGTATTCAATGTGGGAAATGCTTTGATGGTAGAAGTTGTACAGTGTATTTTTCAGCCAATAAAAGCTTGAATGTAGGGTTTCAAACACAAAGAGGTATAATTGACAAAAAAGAAGATCAAGGCGATATAAAAAGAGCAATGTACTCTCACACATCCTCTTTTTTTCTTTCTATCTTTCTTTTGATTTTACTTCCCCTCAAAATATCATCAATATGTCATGAAATACTTTTTTAAGACATGCAAGCAATTGAACACTGTTTAAAAGAGGCTTATACTAAGGAAGGGCCATGTCTGATCTCTATCAGCAATATATATATATATATGTATAGAGAGAGAGAGAGAGAGAGAGAGAGAGAGAAAGAAGCACGATTGATATGGCAGATGCACAACTACATCATATCAGCAACAAAATCAAAAGGAAATTTTTTTTAAAGCCGCATTTAATGCCTATATTCCCGCTCGGCTATATTATTTTCTCCAATTAGATAGATGAGAGCGATAGACTTTAATTTATTTTCCAGTCATGAACTTTGAAACACTATCACTCAGTTTGTTATCAGATTGCTACTCTCTTTTTTTTAGCAACAATACCTCAACAGGATGAATGATCACTTTTTAACTATTCTTAGTTATTTTTTAAAGTTGTCTAATCAATACGTCTTAGAGGAATGCTTTACTAATCATCAAATGAAAATGCGAGAGAAAAAAGTAATCGTGATGACCAAACGAAATACACAAAAAAATGTGGGGGAAAAAAAAGAGGCTGGGGATAACAGAAATAAAAAGTTGTTCCTGAACATGAATTTCTTATTCATATACATATATCAAACAAACATTGATGATGAAAATCCCTTTTGTCAGATATTCATACAAAGAATGAGAAGCCTAATGCATGTTGAATGTTGAGCAATGAACTATTGATGTTTCTTTTTATCATTCACGAGTGTCACACAAATAAGTGGGGAGCCCGCTTTTTTTTTATTTTGCGGGGGAGATACAAAATTACACTAACTGGATAAGCCTTTAGGCATTTGAAAACTTCCAGCCTCTGTATCACCTTGTGCTTGATTCCTGTGACATCATGATTGCTGTTTAAAGTAGTTATCGATGACAAGAGTGACTTCTTTTTTGAAAGAATATGTTGTGCTTTTCTTTAAACAACTGCAAATCCAAAGAGTACCATAAGCGGGGTTCACCCCCCCTGCATGATTATCCATTGAAAGACAGAAATGGGATTGACCGGGTATTTAATTTATATAATCAGTTTTTATATAAACCCTTTGTCGCGTTTCAATTTGTGATTTTTTTCTTTTTTTCTTTTTTTTTCTTTTTAGAATAAAACATGTCTGCTCTCCGTGCATTCACCTCTCTTAAGGTTTATATTGATAAAGCCACATTTTGACATTGTCTAATCATTTTCCGTTAGGCTGCCACTCGCCAAACCTCTTTCCGTTTCGCACCTGCTGCTGCTGTTGGTGCCACTCGTGCTTACTCTTCAAAGGTTAAGGTAAATTTAAATCTTTTATCGATTTGAGCGTTGTACATATATGAATTAATCCATTCTATCATAGTCTTTGAAGGAACGTGTTGCTGAACTCATTCCTGAAAAGCAAGCCGAAGTCAAGGCTTTCAGAAAGGATTACGGTTCCAAGGTCCTTGGTGAAGTTACTGTTGACCAAGCCTACGGTGGTATGCGTGGCGTCAAGGGTCTTATTTGGGAAGGTTCCGTCCTCGATGCTGAAGAAGGTATCCGTTTCCGTGGTTTGACCATTCCTGATTGCCAAAAGGTCCTCCCTGGTGCTGAAGAAGGTGGTGAACCTCTTCCTGAATCTCTCTTCTGGTTGCTCGTCACTGGTGAAGTCCCCACCAAGGAACAAGTCAAGGCTCTTTCTGCTGAATGGGCTGCCCGTTCTTCTATCCCTGAATTCGTTGAAGAACTCATTGACCGTTGTCCCAAGTCCCTCCATCCTATGTCTCAATTCTCTCTTGCTATCAACGCTCTCCAACACGATTCTCACTTTGCCAAGGCTTACTCTGCTGGTATCCACAAGTCTCAATACTGGGATCCTACCTTCGAAGATACCATGGACTTGATTGCCAAGCTCCCCAAGGTTGCTGCCCGTATCTACCGTAACGTCTACAAGGATGGTAAGCTTCCTGAAATCGAAGCTGACAAGGATTACTCTTACAACTTCTCCAAGCTCTTGGGTTTCGAGAGCAACAAGGACTTTGTTGAATTGATGCGTCTTTACCTCACCATCCACTCTGATCACGAAGGTGGTAACGTCTCTGCCCATACGTAAGTAGTATAACGGATATTTGGGAAAATAACGTCTCATGTATTATATTAGTACACACTTGGTCGGTTCCGCTCTCTCTGATCCTTACCTCTCTTTCGCCGCCGGTTTGAACGGTTTGGCTGGTCCTCTCCACGGTTTGGCTAACCAAGAAGTCCTCCGTTGGACCTTGAAGTTGAAGGACAACATTGGTGTTGATGCTTCCGAAGAACAAATCAAGAAATACCTCTGGGACACCCTTAACGGTGGTCAAGTTGTTCCCGGTTACGGTCACGCTGTCTTGCGTAAGACTGATCCTCGTTACACTGCTCAACGTGAATTTGCCTTGAAGCACTTGCCCGATGATCCTCTCTTCGGTTTGGTCTCCAAGTTGTACCACATCATTGTAAGTACATTTTGAAAGAAAGGTAGATGTGAATAGGATACACTAACTCTTTATAGCCCGGAGTTCTTACTGAACACGGTAAGACCAAGAACCCTTGGCCCAATGTTGATGCCCACTCTGGTGTCCTTCTCCAATACTACGGTCTCACTGAACAAGATTACTACACTGTTCTCTTTGGTGTTTCTCGTGCTCTCGGTGTCACTTCCCAATTGATCTGGGACCGTGCATTAGGTTTCGCTCTTGAACGTCCCAAGTCTTACTCCACTGCTCACTTGAAGAAGATGCTTGGTGCTAACTAAGTTCTGTAAATAATAAAGTAATTGTAAATGACATTAGTTTGAATAATTGGCCAATTAGACAATTTATGTATTGAGCATGTCAAAAAATAAACTCCCATTGAATGATTAGAGATACGTATATGTGTAGGAGTGCTTTTTGAAAGAGTATGAATATTCTGTCAGGGACATATTCACAATGGGTTTTTGAATAGTGCATAGCTTGAGAGAGAGAAATGACAGTGACTCTATCAATACGCATCTCAGATTTTTCAGCAAGAAATAGTCCAGATAAGATAGATTCTCAATGACGTGCCTAGGAGTTACTCTGCTCATGGTTGTTTTGATACACTCACTGATGACTTCATTTTATGCAATAAACAAAACACAAACATGTTTACAATGCTGGTTTCGAACAAGTTGATAAGCCTCTTCTTTTTTTATATATTTCCAATTACCAATGAATGTATAGATTTGAACGAAAGGGACATGTCATTACATCTTCTTTTCTTGTTGTTGTTGTTGTTATTGGAATGTATAGCCATTGTATCCGTCATGGATTACATTGAAGCGGGATAAGCGCAAAAACGTACGATGTTATTCGGGAAACCTTGATTATTTTTCTGAAAAAAAAAATGCATTTTCAAATCCCCTTATCCAATCAATTCTCTTTGGTTTGCATGATAAGCATAATCCTCTCTCTTTTTTTATACAAGTTTCCAATGTGAAAATAGAAGTTTAATCCTTGTGGGAAATCTCTGAAAATCAACAAAAGTGATGTAAAAGTATTCAAGCATAACCCGTGTTTTTTCCTCGCTTTTCTTTTCTCTTTATCAAACAATAGAATGAGCACAACGCCTACTTCTACTAGACCTCGTCGTCTATCTATGCCTAAACTTACTCGTCGCTTAACGAATGTTGTTATTCACGTCGATAAAGATGACAATGTTGAGCCTGTTACCCCCACAAGTGTCCCTTCTCGTGCCTCTAACCGTCAAGAACTGGATGAACATGCCAAAGCCGTATGGAACAAACACATTCATCCTGAAAAGAATGATGCCGAATCTATTGCAAGTGACATTGTGCACCATACAATTACTACCCTTTGTCGTGGTGTCTATAACGTCGACAAATCGGCCATGTATCAAGCAACTGCACACTCTGTTCGCGACCGTCTCTTAGAAGATTGGAATGTTACACAGGAAGCTCTTCACAAAGAGAACCCTAAGCGCTGTTACTATTTGTCCATGGAGTTTTTGATTGGTCGTGCTCTTGATAATGCATTGCATTGCTTAAAAGTCAAAGACGCTTATAAAGATAGTATCAAAGATTTGGGATTCTCACTTGAAGATCTATTGGAACAAGAAAGAGATGCTGCTTTAGGCAATGGAGGTAAAGTGTTTTTTGTTATATTTGTCATGTATTGATTCAATCACATAGGCCTAGGACGTCTTGCTGCTTGTTATATGGATAGTGCAGCTACTCAAGAAATCCCTACTTGGGGATACGGTCTTCGCTATCAATATGGTATCTTCAAGCAAATCATTAAAGATGGGCATCAAACAGAAATGCCTGATTACTGGTTGAACTTTGACAATCCTTGGGAGTTTCCTCGTACTGATATCCGTTATGAAGTTCGCTTTTATGGCTATGTTGCTACCAAGATGAACGAGAAAGGGGAATCGCGTATGTCTTGGGAAGGTGGCGATCGAGTCCAAGCAATGGCTTATGATGTTCCTATTCCTGGATTTGATACTAAGGTGTGTGGTAATATCCGTCTTTGGTCTTCCAAGCCCTTGAACACCTTTGATTTTGATTCTTTTAATGCTGGTGATTACGAACGATCTGTTGCAGAACAAACAAATGCTCAAAATCTGACCTCTGTCTTGTATCCTAACGATAATCATCTTGTTGGTAAAGAGCTTCGATTAAAGCAAGAGTATTTCTTTGTCAGTGCTTCTTTGCAAGATATCATTCATCGTTTTAAACGTGCTGGACGTCCTTGGAAAGACTTTCCTGACATGGTGGCTGTTCAAATGAACGATACTCATCCTGTTCTAGGTATTCCAGAACTTATGCGACTCTTGATTGATGTCGAGGGTTTGGAATATGATGATGCTTGGGACATTGTCACAAAGACGTTTGCCTTTACAAACCATACTGTCCTTCCTGAAGCTCTTGAACGCTGGTCTGTTCCTATGATGGAAAAGGTGCTTCCTCGTCATATGCAACTTATTTATGATATCAATTTGTTCTTTTTGCAAAAAGTGGAAAGAGACTTTTCTCCTGATCGTGAACTTTTGAAGCGCATGTCTATTATTGAAGAAAGTTCTCCTCAACAAGTTCGTATGGCTTATTTGGCCGTAGTAGGCTCTCATACTGTAAATGGTGTTGCTGCTCTTCATTCTGACTTGATCAAAAAAGATTTGTTTAATGACTTTGTAAAGTACTATGGCCCAGAAAAGTTTATCAACATTACAAACGGTATCACACCTCGACGTTGGTTGTATCAAGCTAACCCTGGACTTCGTGATTTGATTACCAAAGCTCTTGGTTCAGAAGAATGGGCCACTCAATTGGATCTTCTCCAGGGTTTAAAAAAGCATGCAGATGACAAAGATTTCCAACGATCCTGGGCTAATGTCAAGTTTGAGAACAAGAAGCGTTTGGCTGACTGGATCAAGCTCCATATGGGAGTCAGTGTGGATCCTCATGCTCTTTTTGATATTCAAGTGAAGCGAATTCATGAATATAAGCGTCAATATATGAATATCTTAAGCGTCATTTATAGATACAAGAGTCTTAAAAGAATGGCACCTGAAGACGTTGCTGCTCAAACACCCCACGTAGTTATCTTTGGAGGAAAAGCTGCTCCTGGTTATTATATTGCTAAACTTGTTATCAAGTTAATCAACAGTGCTGCTGAGGTGATCAACAATGACCCTGATGTTCAGGGCAAACTCAAAGTGGTCTTTATTCCCGATTACAATGTTTCTCTTGCTGAAATCATTATTCCTGCTTCTGATATCTCTCAACATATCTCCACTGCTGGCACTGAGGCATCTGGTACCTCCAACATGAAATTTGTTCTAAATGGCGGTTTAATTTTGGGCACTGTAGATGGTGCCAATATTGAGATTGGTGAACAAATTGGCAAAGAAAACATCTTCTTTTTCGGTGCACTTGCTGATGAAGTCGAGGATCTTCGCCACAATCAAAGATACCATGGTGTTCTTATGGACCCTAGCTTGCAGGTAGTAATTGATGCTATACAGAATGGTGAATTTGGTGATCCTTCTGTCTTTGGTCCTCTTATCAACACATTGACTTATGGTGGTGATTATTATTTGATTTCTGTTGATTTCAAGTCTTATCTTCAAAAGCATACTGAAGTTGATGAAGTCTATCGAGACAGAGCTACATGGACTAAAAAATCTATTATGTGTACTGCAGGCATGGGCTTCTTTTCTTCAGATAGAGCCATTCATGAATATGCTGAGAAGATTTGGAAATTGAAGCCTTTTAAGATTCAATAAATATGTTTATTAGGATTAGTATTCTATATTACATTGTTAAACTCATATACGATTCATTTTTTGCTTTAACAAAAATCTTCGTTTAAACTCTTCAATTCTGTCATCTGCGTCTTTTTGTACTCTTCTGGCCCATTCATCATCAAGTCTAGAAGGATCACTGATCATTCGCTCTACAATATCGTCAAACCGACTTCTATATTTTGACTTTAGTATCTCAAAGTTCCTTTGATATTCAGTAATCATGTGTTGCTTTTGAGCTTCAAATTGGTCTATGCATAATCTTAATTGTTGTTCATATTGTTCTTGTTCTACTTGTTTTCGGTAAAGAGACATGGCTTCAGGATATTTGGATAGTAAGAAAGTAATGGCATTTTGTTTGTCATTCACTTGGTCTTTTTCAAGTGCTCTTTCTAGTCGTCTAATGCGCATTGCTTGTGCATCAATATGGCTTTTGATTGAAGCAATCAACTCATCATCAGCTAAAGAAGACGGCGTTTCAATCACGTCCGCAAATGCCACTCGTAATTTGGTTGGTAATAAATCCGCTTGATCTGCCTTGATACTTGACTGTGAGGAAACAGAAGCCATACGCCTATTACTTGTATTCTCTATACGGGTTGTTTCACTTTTGCTTGGCCTTGCTATTCGTGTTGGCTTCTTTGACGAACTCTTGTTGTGTTGTGGAATATTGCGATGACTTGCCGAGTTGCCATCTTGAACAGACAACCTATGGATAGTTTTATTGAAAGAGTCGGTCTTTCTCGGTCCACTCATAAGACTAAATTGTACATAAAGAGAAGGAAAAAGAAGATATGAAGAAAGCAGCCCTGAGGTTTCCTTTTTTTTCTTTCTAATTGACACGTGTTTTTTCACTGCTATTAGAGTAGAGTACCACTTTTTTTTTTTCCATACAAAATAATATTCGAGCTAGTTCTTTAGCAATAATAGGCTTGCCTCTGTCTTAAAAAGCCCCAGTCTGTTTGTATTCTGCATACAATAAGACATCCTTGTTTTGATGATGATTTTGTGTGATACACAATAGGTGTAAATCACTTTTAGTGCATATGAACATGATTTCTTTGCATAAATGTAGTAAGTGACTTTCAATTTTTCGCAAGCACACAGACAAACTTGTTTGCTTTATACAAGACCTTGATAGTTCTAAAAAAATGAACTGCTTTCAGGTCCAAAATCAAAATTTCACAATGCGTAAAAGACCATATTTGTATTTTGAACATTCTAGATTCTAAATAAAGTTTTAACTTTAGAAGTTATTTTTTGAATTTTGTAGTAATATTAGGGCTTTTTCTCTCTCTCTCTCTCTCTCTCTCTCTCTCTATCTGTCTTTGTTTTGTTGAACTCTTCTCAATAACTCAATTGACTTTATTACGTATTGTAGCACTGTTCCTCAAAAAGAGAAAGCGAAACAAATGATAGAGTTGAGTTTGTTGCCTGGTTCAAAATTGAATCAAACTACATTTTTATGATGTTTCTATAAATTCTTCTTTTAGATCAATTCATATTAAACCCTTTAAAATAAATATAAAAAATGCGTTGGCATTTATTGTTTTTCAACTGACAGCATATATCTTACCAATACCAAGCTTATTTTATAATGTAGTACAATGTATGCATATAGCTCCTTGCTATACGTACGCGATAAATGTTATCTTTCTTTTCTCCTCTTTTCTTCTTTTGACTACTCTTTCTTATGGCATACCTTGTTTTACCCAAACTGCTCTATGTCTCTCTGTATTCGATGTATGGCTCAGCAATAGCCTATTTGACACTATTTTACAGTCAAGTACTACATTTAAGTTTTCGTCAAATCGGACTTCTTTTAGCAATTGCCCCATTTGTCCAGGTAGTTGCGTGTCCTTTCTGGGCAGTTTTGGTAGAGAAATATCCAAAGTCGCGCAGTTTAGTTGTAGGTATGTTAGCAATGATTGGAGGCTCAGGCATCCTGCTGCTTTACTTTTTGCCGGAATGGACACAAGATAATCGTTCATTTATGATGGTCTTGATCTGTGCATTTATGCTTGCCTTCTTTGTTGGTCCCATTTGTGCCTTGGTAGACAGTTCGGTCCTCAAATTATTAAGAAACAGAAAAACACTTTATGGTAAGCACAGCAAAAAAAAAAAAAAAAAAAAAAAAAAAAAAAAGGAAATTAAGAAAATATAGGCAATCAACGACTTTGGGGATATATCTCTCACAGTGTGTTTACGATGTTAGTTGGGATCCTCATTTTGAAATATGGGATTTATGTCTCTTTTGGTATTTTTTTTGTGGGGCTAGTGATATTCGTGATATTATCTGTGTTTACTCATATGACAACAACATACAATGAGCCTTTGTTAGGCAGAAACATGACTGGGAAACCAAGTGACAGGTATGATTCAGTCCTATATTCCACTTCTTCTTTGGCCATGGACGCACAAATAGAGGCCAACAACGAATTACATACATCAGGTGCCATTCCTCCTTTAGGTTTAGTGTTATCCTATATCCCAACAAACGATACCTGTCTGTCCTCTCTGGGAATGGTACATCAAGCAAACCAATTACCAGAAAAATCCATATTAAAAACAATCCTTGTTTATACGTTCATGATTTCTATTTTCCTTTATGGCTTGGCACATGCAATGATAAACCAATTTTTGTTCCTCTTGCTGAGCGACTTTGGCTTGAACCCGTGTCTGATAGGGTTGACGGGACCAATAGGTGGCTTGGCTGAACTGATTACTTTTTGGCTTTCTAGAGAGGTATGTTCAAAACAAAATGGTAGTATAGTAATGAGACACAATACTAACTCTTTATATGATTCGGCATATGAACAACATATGCGCATAACAAAAACAACAACAACAACAACAACTAAAATAAATTATTTTTATAGCTATTTGATAAATACAGTGTCACTTTTCTTATGACCATGGCCTACTTGTCATTTATATTTCGCGCTATAGTATACACGTGCCTAAGTTCATATGAAACTAAATCGATCGTCGCTGCTTTAATACTCCAGCTTTTGAACGGTAAGTTTATTCCGGACCTGAAGTACACTTAGCCTCCTAAAAATAGGTTTCGTATATGCCTTAGTCTGGTCCACAACTATGTTTGAAATGGACGTTTTTTTTCCTGCAAATCAAAAAGAAGTAGCTCAAGGTATCTCGGCAATCTTGTTTTCTGGCATAAGCTATGGTATAGCCTCTGTACTGGGTGGGTTTATTTATGATATCTATGGTCCTCTTAAATTGTTCCAGATATCTGCATTTATTTGTAGCGTGAGTCTTATTGTGTTCTTGTCTGGAAGAAGACCGATTTCATAAGAAAAATTGTAGCACTCCTTTACCTCCTCTGATCAAATATTCTCCGACTTCAAAACTAATAAAGAAAGTGTCCGATCAAGAATAAGAACATGCAGCTTCTAATGCATTGAGTAATCTTCTTTTTTTAGGAATATCTCTTGTTACAGCACTCAATTTCTATTTTCGTTTGTTTTAAAGAACATTGGCGGTTATTGTAGTAGCGAATCCACAGCTGTTTATTCGGCGATGTCTAACCAAAAAGGTTAATTTTCTTCTTGTTTCCCATACATCTTCTAGGCCACCAAAGTAATAAAAGAGAAGCGGAATAGGTAAATACAGGCTTGATTGGACTGCGCTTCCCTTTTTTGATTTGACATATCAGCCTTCTTGTGATTTCCCCCTTCCCCTAAAAAGAACTTTCACAAAAAAGGGTAAATTTTGGAGAAGCTAAAAGAAATTCTCACTCTGTCTTTTTTTATAAAGAGACAAGAATAAACAAATATTCAAAGAGCGGTAATAACATTTGCATATGCAGATCGATCACTTTAAGCCTCCCCCCTTTTGTTTTTATCAAATGGAATTTTATTCTTGTATCATCGTATATATAGACTTTTTTGTGTTCACCAATCCCCCCACTTCTGTTCTGTTCTTAGTTTCTTTTTATTCTTTTGTCTCCCCTAGTTTTTTTCGAATTCTTTATTAGTATAAATAGGTAGGACTTTTTCCACTTTCTCTTTTTTCTCTCACTTGTTTTTTTTTTTTTTTTTTTTGCTCAATTATGTCTTCCAATATTTTATCTAGTCTTCCTTCAGACAAAAAATACATTGACGACCGAAAGATATACAACTGTGATAAATGTCAGAAATATTTTACTCGGCCCAGCGCATTGCAAACACATATGTATACCCACACAGGGGAAAAACCTCATGTATGCGATATGTAAGTCTTATGAAAAATCATTCTTTGCATGATACTAATTGAGTTTCAAGGCCTGGATGCGGTAGGCGTTTCGCCGTCGTCAGTAATTTGAGAAGGCATTTAAGGGTTCATAAACCTTCACATATACGACGCCAATTGACTGCTCAGGAGAGACGTGTATGCGTTGAAAAACTTATCCAGAAAACTGGTGGCGTAAATGAAAATTTTAGTACCCAACTCGACTCTTCCTATGTATCACCGTATTATATCATCTCTCCATATTCCTATTCTGCCTCTTCCGATTCTTCGTGCTCCTCCGGTTCTCCTTCTCCTACCTTATCGCCTGTCATGGAAAACACTACCTATCGCTCTATAAAGCCTAAAGAAGCTCGCCCATTACGCTTAACAGTGAAATATTTGCTGACTAACAATGCACCATCATTACCACCTACGCATCGCGTGTTGAACCCAAAGCCTCGACCAGCCTGTTTATCAGTAAAAAGCTTGTTAAATTAGTACATAGCCACAAGACACTTATGAAAAAAAATCATACAAATTCATTCTTTAGCAAGCAACCATGGACTCAAATGAAATTCTATCCTTATAATGTATATGCCGATTGTAAATGTCTCTGGTACGTTTTCTCTTATTATTACTATTATTATCTATTCAGCAACAAGGTTGCTCGTTTTTTTTTCCCTTGTCTTACATACACACACACACACACACATACGCACACAACATATATATACAGAGAGACAAAAAAAAAAGATAAAGGGAGATACACTCCCATACGTACATATATGTATATATCACATATTCCCCCAGTATTCCCGTTATTCTAAACATAAAAGAAAACTATAATTTGTTTTACAAAAAAAAGAAAGAAGAAAAGCAAATTTAATCTTTATATTTATGCAACCAGAGCTATAATTTATCGTATCCTTACGACACTTTAATTAAGCCAATGAAAATTAAGTGAGGCCTTTCTTTTTTCTTGTTGACACACGCATTTCATTTACAATTTTTTTTTCCTTGTACAAATAAAATGGCTGAGCGCTTTGGCTTGTTTCATACTATGACGATAACTCCAAGAACTTTTCCTCTTATGAGCTTGTTCGACGTTGAGGTAATCTCAACACACTTGCCCTCATGGCGATGCCAAACTCATTTCAATAGGGCACCGAACTCGATATAAACACATTAACTCAGAAATATCATTTAATTCTCATTACGCTAAAAAACACAGTCTGTCCCGCATGCCCACAGTTGCTCAAGCTATTAAATCTATACGGCTTGGACCCCCATACCAATCAGTGGATTGATACATTTACTAATCAAGAATATCAAATCGATCCTGTTCGAAAAAAGGTTAGATGTGGGCAACACGCAAAATGAAAACTAAATTCTATTTAAAGTTTTTTAGGCTTCTTTTAAAGTATGACACATATTTTATTATTCTTTGTCCTGGCACGAATGCAGAAGTGCAGCAAGTACAACGCAAAACGCCGTTTTTGGATTACCCGTTTGTATCCACAGACGGAGGTGCAAATGCGTTAGTAAAAGCACTCAAAGTCCAACTGTCGGAAGAAGAATTTATGCCCGCTATGCTACGAGTAAGCCCTCATACACTCTCTGTAAACTCTGTTTATATCGGTCGTGGCCCCGGACAATACTTTGAGAACTATTTGTTGAAGCATTTGGTCGAGTTACGATACAAACAAGAAATAGCAGGGATTACCGCAGTCAAACAAGCAAATGAAGCAATCAATTTGCTTAAGCGAAGAGAAACCAAATGTCAAGAAGGAAAGCTCGTCAGTACTTTCCTGAGTCTGTCTCCTAACGCGATTCAAAAAACAGTTCCTCATCATCCCAATGATATACCGATAAATACATCTGGTTTAAACAATCTACCCCGAGAACTCCTAGAAGCTATCTTTTATTCATTTGAGAACGATATACCATCCTTAGTCAATATTTCAGGTACATGTCGTCTCTTTTACAGTGCTATCTGTAACGTCATAATACAGCGTCTTAGGGCCCAGATAGCCTCATTGATCCCGGCACTACCAAAACTTGGCGGAAATGTGGTTTGGGAGGAAATGGAAATTGCCAACATCGGTCTCGATCGATGGCCATCCTCACACCCAGAAGGAGTCCCTTTCAATAAAATTGCAAGACTTACATGTAATTTAGAAGACTCACTTGCTCAAATCAATCAATGGACTCGATATTGGAATCCACGTCGAATGAGGTCAAAATGAGGCTCATTTCCTAAAAAAAATAAACAGTCATTTTTTTTTTATAGTTTAAGCGATTTCTCACAAGAAACTAGCATTTCTGCATTAAGTGTTTGAGGTAGCACTAATATACCAAATGACAATAATAATTGTAATGTTGGTACATGTTTTTTTCTTTGTGAAAAAAAACAGCTTTTATGCGCCATTGAAAATTAGACTTTTGAGATTTCTGCTAGAATTCATAAAACAAAGTTTGTTTTGTCAGTAGTTCTATATAAAAATGAGATGGAATTGACTACAAATAACTATCTAAAGAACACAGAATCGACCGTATTTGTACCATAAGGTAAACTCTATTTTAACAATCTCGATAACGACTCTTTCTCAAACAGAACATGCTGCACATTTGCGATTCTCCTCCTCATAGTGCTGTAAATTTAACTATATACATCGATCTACAGCCTATGAATTCCAATTTATATCTTAAATCTTTTTTGGAAACATAAATATGTCCATGTATTTACTAAAAAAAAAAGAGCTTCAATGTGTTTCTCCTCCTTCTATCTTTAATTAGATAGGCGTGAATGCATGTTTTTTGTCGATTTGTAATCCTTGTACAAACAAAACATTTCGCAAATTGGTCATCGGTGGTTCTCTATTAAGAAATTTGTCCATCATATCAAATTAGCTTAAAAGTCAATTTGTTTGTGTGCCTGAATTTACCCCCTAATTCTTATTACACGACGTGAAAATAGCACATATACAGACAAAGACAACAATTTCAGACTAAGCAAATGGTGATAAGGTTGACGAGCTCTGTATTACTATTTCAGACTGCTTTTTTTTTTCATGAATTCTGTAGTATCACAAGCGGAAATCAATCTTTATTTTTGTTTTGATTTTTTTGCCATTAAAAAAAATATGCACATTTTTCCTTAATCAAAAGAATTCGATGTTTAGTCATGCGGCATTTTTTTCCATTGCCCTTCTTGTCTAACAAGGAATATTCTATTATCAGAAAAGCCTATCACGAAAAAAGATCTCGCATCTGTATATTTTCTATTTCTTTACTTATTTAATACACATCCTTAAATGTTAGAAAAAAAAAGCTTAAGGTAAACAAGGTTCTTTGGTTCTTGTGTGTAATGTACATTTACCCTGTTACCCTACCCTTGGGTCTAAAGTACCTCCAAAAGACTATATTTAGCTATACACTACAATGACTAAATATAGGCTGCTGACTTATTTATTTGTTTGTTTTACCTGAAAAAGATGACAAGAGAACCTCCAAGTAGCATTGCTAGAAAAGTAAAACCTCTCGAGAAAAATACATACTCATCAAAAGAATAATATTGCCACTGAACAGTTAAGCTGAAAGAAAAGAAAAAGACGCTGTAGAACAGATAAATTGTATAGATAAGGTGAGAGTATATAATGTTCTTTTTCAGAAGAGAAGTACAAACAAACCAAGTATTTTAGCCAGCAAATGAAACAGAACACTATGAGAATTCCCTTAGGGAGTACCTAAAACAAGGTTTTGATTATTTGTCAATAAGCAGCAAATTAGCTGCTAGCCTTTTGTAGATGCTTTAATTGCATCAAAAGATGGCTTAGGATTTTTGTAAACATCATGAAAATCCCATCACCTTTTATTACTAAAACTAAAAAAGTACAATCGTGCTTGAATTTAATGACGTAGTTGGTTGGGTCCAAACTATATTATTAATTCCAGGTCTTGATATGATTAAAATTGCTGTCTAAAGTACTAGCTATAAAAGAGCGACATGGACAAATACAAATCTACGAATCTATATAATTATGTATCTTCTGCTTCTGTTTTAGTGATCGTAGTCACAACTTTAGTTTGAACTATATATCGATGGCAATATACCCAGTTCAAAAATGTGCAATATCCTTAATATGGCTTGCTAAATTAAGAGTGCATTGTATTAAGAAGAACTTACTCATTATCTAACGTATACACAAACATCATTAAGAATGCTTCTTTTCGATTCTGCATATTTTTTATAGCATCTGATTGACCAACATAGCTTTAACTTTGCTTTTTTCTTCTAGGCTGTGAACTTCAACTAAATAATTGTAGCGATTCGCTGTCAACAAAATTCAATTCATCAGGTCCACCAGATACACCAGACACGATGGATCAAGTGTGTTTCAACAAGATGCTTTGCTCCAATAAACAGCTTGGTATCACAATATTTATGTATGTAACAGAGACACCAGGAGAATATCATGAAGATGCCAGGAAGATGCCAGGAAGATGCCAGGAAGATGCCAGGAAGATGCCAGGAAGATAAATGCTTCAGCGGTAAAGAAATCTTCAACCCATACAGATCTTTGTCTCCCTTTTTTTTTTCCTAGGCATATGAAGGTACGGTAAAGCCTGTTTGCACGCGCATAGATACGCTAGATACGCTAGATACGCTAGATACCCAACGCGATGTTTGCTAACATCTAGGGTATCTTTGGAGTTGATTTGGACAAAGGGCATTACTCATGGAAATATTGAACTTGACGACTCTTTAAGCTTCTTTTTGACGCTACAAGATGAAAAATGAAGCTACCAACAATCTTAGATACTCAAAATGTGCGTCAAAGGCTATCATTTTTGGTAAATGTGCTTGATTGCTAATTGTACTATGAAAATAACGAGATATAAGCAAAAAAAAAACCCTTGTAGACACTTTTGCTGAGAACTACATAAAGACGCAGTTATCTGGCTTTGGTGCGGTGACAAAAGTTATAGTTATTTGCATTGAAAGTCTATTGGTACAAAGAGCGCAGCAAGCTTACTGCCAAAATATTGAGGAAAGAGGCAAAAGTGTCTACAAGTTTTTTTTTTTTTTTTTTTTTTTTTTTTTTTTTTTTTTTTTTTGGTGAAGTAGTACCTGAATCTAGTAATAAAGTGGGTTGAATCCAAGCTGTATCACGAAATACAGTATTGCTTCATCCAGGTAGAACATTGTAAGCTTCTAACTCAATGATTTTCCTTCAATGTTAGACTGATGAACTATTACATTAAAGAGAGTCTTGAATTGAAGTTCTTGAATTTGGTGCTGCTTTATCATGGATGATGAACAGACAATAAAGCTTCTATGCTCTCTCTCTTATTTAAAAAGGCGTTCACCTATAGCGCCAAATCATACTATTTAAAATAAAGCTACATCTGTCCGCCAAAGACACATGATTTATGCTTCATCCCAAAGCTTCGTCATGGTTTGTAGCCTAGAATTCAATTAAGCTGTTTGTCATTCAAAGCAACCTTATAATATTCACTAATAAAAACCAGATAACTCCCCTTCCCCCCTCCTTCAAACGACAATGCATACTTCATACAAAGTATGGTTTACTGATGGATTCGTGCTCGGATTTAGCATTCATTGGATGCTTTATAGCAGTCACAGTCTATATAAAAAAATTTGATTTTCAAAAAGCCTTTCTTTACTTGCAAAAAAAATAGTTGATCATGTCAAGCAAAAATAAAAAAGGTAAGCGATTTTTTTTTGAACTGGCAAGAAAAAAAAAACAATGTGTTTCTCACCATGTATCTACTTCTTTCTTTTCTCTCTCTTTGTTTTAGGAGGACCTTCTCAGGTACAAAAAAAAAGTGATGGTTATTTTGCATGCAGAAGAACTAAATGATGACATAGGCTGAACTCTTGGTCAAAACATGCTCAGAAATTGTAGCTGAACTTGTAGCAGCTGTAGAGGCAGGAAAAGACGTTAATTTGAACGGCGTGAAGAACAGAGCAGCTCGTAGAAACAAGTTGCAACATCAACCCAAGCTTGTAGAAATTATTGCTGCGATCCCAGAACAGCATAAAGCAGCTCTACTTCCTAAATTAAAAGCAAAGCCAGTTCGTACGGCTTCTGGTGTAAGTATAGCGAGAATATGAATCGAGACACTCTTTATTGATATTTGGCGGGATTAGATTGCTGTTGTGGCTGTTATGTGTAAACCTCATCGATGTCCTCATATTGCAATGACAGGAAACATTTGTGTGTAAGTCATGATTTCTGCACTCTCAAGACACACGACTAAGCATGGCTATAGATACTGTCCTGGTGGTCCTGATTCTGATTTTGAATATTCAACACAATCTTATACAGGTTATGAACCCACATCTATGCGTGCCATTCGTGCTCGATACGACCCCTATGAACAATCCCGAGGCCGTGTTGATCAGCTTAGAAGTTTAGGTCACAGCGTAGATAAAGTAGAATACATTATTATGGGTGGTACATTCATGTCATTAGCAGAAGATTATCGAAACTGGTTTATTCAAAACCTGCATGACGCTCTTTCTGGCCACACAAGTAATAATTTGGATGAAGCTGTTAGGTAAGATAGAACAAGCCTTAGAACTAGCGTGAATAACATGTATCGTTTGATTAGATACTCTCAACAAAGCCAAACGAAATGTATTGGTATCACTATTGAAACACGTCCTGACTACTGTCTAAAGCCTCATTTGAGTCAAATGCTTCGCTATGGTTGTACGCGTTTAGAAGTAGGTGTTCAGAGTGTGTATGAAGATGTTGCCAGAGATACAAACCGTGGACACACTGTCAAGGCTGTGACAGAATGTTTCCAGATGGCTAAAGATGCTGGTTTCAAGGTTGTTTCCCATATGATGCCTGATTTGCCCAACGTAGGCATGGAAAGAGATATTGAGCAATTCAAAGAATACTTTGAGAACCCTGCCTTTAGATCAGACGGTCTCAAGATTTACCCTACACTTGTCATTCGTGGTACAGGCCTTTATGAGTTATGGCGAACCAAGCGTTATCAAAACTACACGCCGAATGCTCTTGTTGATCTGGTTGCTCGTATTTTGGCTATTGTTCCTCCATGGACACGTATTTACCGTGTACAACGTGATATCCCTATGCCTTTAGTCTCTTCTGGTGTTGAGCATGGTAATCTGCGTGAATTGGCACTGAACCGTATGAAGGATTTAGGTACTGAGTGCCGTGATGTGCGTACGCGTGAAGTGGGTATTACTGAAATCCATCAAAAGATTAAGCCTGATCAAGTTGAATTAATTCGTCGTGACTATGTGGCCAATGGTGGTTGGGAAACTTTCTTGTCTTATGAAGATCCTCACCAAGATATTCTTGTGGGTCTGCTGCGTCTTAGAAAGTGTTCTTCTCAAGCATTTAGACCTGAATTGACTGCTGGTCCTACTTCTATCGTAAGAGAGTTACACGTCTATGGTTCTGTTGTGCCTATGCATGACCGAGATCCTACCAAATTCCAACACCAAGGTTTTGGTACTCTCTTGATGGAAGAAGCTGCTCGTATTGCCAAAGAAGAACATGGTAGTGTCAAATTAAGTGTCATTTCTGGTGTTGGTGTAAGAGACTATTATGCTAAACTCGGCTATGAATTGGATGGTATGTGCAAGATAATAACAGGGGGGGGGGTTTTTATACTCATATTTTTTTTTCTCTAGGTCCTTACATGTCAAAGATGCTTTAAGCTATCTCTTTTTTTATATATATATATATATACAAGTCTATTTAAAAATGTAAATACTCTATAAATCTGTCTTAACCAAATCATGACGGATGCGTTATGCAAATAAGGACTTTTATTCACTCATTAAATCTTCGAGTTTATCAAATAGACTCATCATGACATTAGCAGTTTTGGCAGACATACTTTCTTGAGGAGCCATGTTCTTTTGCTTCTTAAAAGCATCGCCTATTTCTCTGAGTTCCTTGTCTTCAACATATTCCTTTAACATAGGCAATATCTTTTGTTCCTCTGTTTCAATATGACGGAATGCAGCTTCCATAGCAGTTTCGAACTTGGTATCAAAAACAAAGTCTTCTTTCATATTGACATAACAAAGTCCCTACAATAAATCACGCAAATACTGATGCTCAGATAGACTTCTTTCGTATGTTTGTTTGCCTACATCACCAGGGATACGGTCCTTTAATGATAGATAGACTACCATTTGTTCGCATTCATCATGTATGACTAAGACTCTGACAATACGGTTGCGAAGCTTTTGTTTTTCTTCTTTATTATAACATGCTTTATAGTCTTCATATAAAGATCTGGCTTCATGATGGTCAATGATAATCAAGTCTGTGACAAGAGGATGTTGCTCAGAGAATTCTTCATCTTCTTTAGTGTCTTCTTGAGGGCTAAAAGTAATTTGAAAAGTAGGTTCTTTAGCTTCTTTTGTATCAGAAGAGGCTTCTGCAACAATAGAAGTGGATGCTTGTTCTTCTTTTATAGTAGCAGGAGGATCCAAAGCTGTCGAATCCTTGTTTGATTTGCTAGCAGAAAGTAAATCAGTCATGGTTCTTATCACATAAATAGACAATACATCCTTTTCTTCTTCTTTTTACTCAATAATGACATTGGATTGATGTCATGGTGAGATCGTCTTTCTCTCTCTCTCTCTCTCTCTAAATCAATAAGTCTGCATGATAGACATGTCAAATCCAATGAATCTGATGACGTGTTGAATACTCAACACCACCTGTTGTTGGGTACACAAGAAAGGCTTTTTTTTCCCCCTTTTTTTTTTTTCTTATTTGTTCCAGACTGGTTTTATAGCAACACGCTCGCCCCCTTTTTTCTCTCTCCTCTCTCTCTCTCTTTCTCTTTTCATATTCTTTTGTAAAGCGTCTTCTTTATACCCAGCCTATGACCCATTTACAGTTGTATAGCGGATTCACAAAAAGTGGGGAAGATAAGCAAACCAAATCAATGACGACAGAACCAGATACATCCAGTCCACCCGACGGTGTTCAAGGTTGGTTACTGAATGTACATACCTATAGGGACCCTGAGACCATCGAGCACGTATCTACGATTGTAGATGCTGATAATAACAGGTAACTGTTGTTAGGTGACGTTTCTCTCTCTCTCTTTCTCCTTACCTTGTTCTTAGTATACCTGTAGCCCCTCGAAAGTTAAAAAACGGTCGACCCGAGTCGATCGCATCAGAAGACAGTGTCAATTTGGATGAACTCATCAATGCCAACTTTACAACAGACATGGACGATGAAACTGATCTACCTGACTTGGCCGATTTAGACTTGGATGACTCTACTGATGACTTTTGGAAGTTAGATGCCGTAAGTGATGCTGTTTTTTTTCTTTTTCTCTCTCTTATGATGATGTTTAACACGCGCCATAAAGACAGAATCACTGGGTCACCTGGATACTAGTTTTCATGAATTCATGTCCAAGGCAAGTACATTAGATATAAGAAACAAGGTGATTGATGTATGTATCTAGTCTAATGTGGATAACTATGATCTGAATTGGAGTCCTACAGATACAAAGACACATCCTATCAAGACTTCATTACCAGGTAAATCACACAAGGAAACAAAAACAAAGCTCATGACATGCTCTCTGTCTAGCCACACCTTCTTCCGATGTGGCTTCCAGGTATATAAGATCAGGCAGTGTCAGTAGTGAGAACAGTCTGAATTCACAATCCACTATCACCCAATATGCAAAATACGGTCTCACACCCGTGACTTACCCGTCTGAATCGTCTTCTACATCATCTCGGTCATTAAGCAGACTCAGCAACTACTCGACTGCCTCATCCAACACGACATCAGGTATTCCTCACCCACGTACAAACTCATCGAATCATCATCCGACGAATGTTGGGATACCTACACCGAGTCGATCCTATACCTTACGAGAAAACACATCGTCTCATCTCTTGACCAAAAAGACAGGCACCACACAACCACGTACGCAACTTGCCAAACGCGCTTCACATATCCCAGCACCTGCCTCATACTCGCCTCCTTCTCCTCAACGGACCATTTCTTCCTCTTCAACCGGAAGTAAGCTGCTTCACCCACGTCTCCCCACCTCCTCACAAAATCAACAGAAAAGAATACCCCAGCGTGCAAGCCACATACCCACTGTTAGAGAATCGATACATCGTCCAGGCTCACCTCTTCATAACACCTCTGGGAGGGCTTCGGCTACACCGTCTCGAATAGGCATACGAAGTCCTACACCTGGTGGTCCTCGCAACAGTTTGTTTAATACGACAACCACATCCACATCATCTTCACAGACAGGTCGATCTGTGACACCTACTTCTTCGTCTCGTTTAGATCAAAAGAGAAGTATGACGCCTATGGGCTCAAGACCAAGTGGCCTTCGACCCCCAGGCACTGTTACCAATGGTGGTTCTAATGTGAGAAGTGCAAGTCGTATTGGTTTATTTAAAAAGACGACTTCATAATCTATTCATAATCTATTCATAATACATATATGATCAAATAAAACAAATGTGGTGTTTTCAAAAAAGTTATTTCCTAGAATAGAAGCTTGTACATGTTTTAAAACGGAATAAGGAGAGGTAGAAAGACGCGACACTTTCAAAGTAATCTACTCTAGAATGATGATAGTTTGTACTACACTTTGAATCTAATAAACACACTAAATTTCTATTTTTTCCCCCTCTCTTTTCTTCTTCTTTTTACTATTCTCTTGCGTCATTATGTTTCCTAGTGAAAAGTACTTTTATATTCAATCTCGAAAAAGTGGTCTTGTTTTATCTTGCGATGGTCAGGAAGAAGTATGTATTATATTAGGAAATCTATACCGTTTATCGATCCATCTTTCCTTTTAATAGACAGGATCAAAACTTGTCATCAGACCCAAGGTACGAGAAGGGTATGTGAAACATGTATGCTTAAAACTTTTTTTTTTTTTAGGCTGAGGATGATGAATCTCAAGTAAGCACAGTGTTGTACTACAACTTGTTGATTATTCTCTATTTAGCTTTGGAAATATGAACATGGTTTCTTGGTCTGTAAAAAGACACTGCTTGGTAAAAAAAAAAAAAAAAAAAAATCATGAGCTCATCTTTTTAAATCTGTAGTCATGGATATTGCAGGAGGTTAAAATATCACTACAATGTATCACATGCTTAATTTTTTATTCTGATAGGTGATTTAAAGGTGGATTCTAAAGTATTACAATATAACCGCAAAAAGACCATGTAATCATAAAACAAATGATAATACCATGTATTCATCCTATACTACTTAGGACACATAACCAACGATGGGGAATGCGTGATCACTTTATTTATGCTGTTGCAGACCCAAGACTTGTGTTGAATGCAAAGGTAATAAGACTCAGTATCAAATAGTTAGATTGACCATCATATCATAGGAAGAAGAAGGTTCTAATATTGTGGTCTCTACTCGTATCTTGGAAGACAATGACCATCAACAATGGGATATTGAAGTATATCAAGAAGAATAATTCCCAAGTACACAGTGAACTGTGCACATACTTTTTTACATTTTGTAGAACCAAGATGATTTTTATTTTTATTTTTTTCCCTGTTTAATAAATTAAAAAAGAGAATTCTCTTTTTTTTTTCTCTTTCTTTTTCTCTTTTTCTATATAACACGATGAGTCAAAGACAGTCAGTACCTCTTGTTGAGCTAAGGCATAGTACACAAGGTCAAATAGACGCTGTTAAAGAACTCGAACAACTCTTTTGTCTTGACAAGTCTACCTTGCTTAAAGTAGTCGAGTCCTTTCGACGTGAACTTGTGGCAGGTTTAGCAGACGACCGATCGAGCGATCTCAACATGATTCCCACCTATGTCACAGGTACACTTTATTTCAACAACAATCCTTATTCACTCACATTTAAATTTAGGTTACCCGACAGGCGATGAAAAAGGAACCTACCTTGCATTAGAAATAGCTGGTATGGACATTTATGCCTGTCAAGTCAAATTAAAAGGCGACAATGGCAAATTGGCCATCAACCAATATCAGTATAAAATACCTCAAGATTTAGCCAGCGGGGATGATTTTGCAGTGTTGATTGACTATGTGGTGGAATGTATATCTGATTTCTTGATGCGAGTGGGAACACAAGATTTGTTTGTCTATCCAATGGCTGTCTCATTTGGGTTTGCTATCAAACAGACACGCTTAGACACAGGGCGTATCTTGTCATTGGGTTATGGTTTCAGTTACCCAAATGGTGTGGGTGTTGATATTGTCGAGTTAATGCATGAACGTATTCGTATCAAGGGGCTGCCTATCAAGATTGTTGCCATCGCGAATGGTAAGTGTCACATCATGGGGGGGATCATAGACTCACTGTTGCTCAGACTCTGTCTGTACTTTACTTGCTCATGCTTATCAACACCCAACAACGCGACTAGGCATTGTCCATAGTCTTGGTACCAATTGTGCCTATTACGAACCAGTAAAGAATGTAACCAAGCTTAAAGATCAAAGTGTGACACGAGATACTGATATGATTATGAATACAGAGTGGTGTAATTTCGGTTCATCACGACGTACTTTGCCATGTACCTGGTTTGACAGGAAATTAGCGCGAGAGTCTATCAATCCTCAGTTTCATGTGTTTGAAAAGATGACCACTGGCATTTTCTTGGGTGAATTGGTCCGTAATATCCTGATCTATCTTGTGGACCGAGACATCTTGTTTCGTGGTGAGTCCTCAGAGATTTTGAATACGGCTCATAGTTTCGATACGAGTTACATGTATGTCTGTGAGGCGGATGATACAGACACTTTAGAAGATACACGTATTGTGTTGGAGGACATGCTAGACTTATCAAAAACCTCAGTGGGTGATCGTGAAGTAGTAAAAAAGGTCTGTGAGTTAGTGGGTACTCGTGCAGCAGCATTGGTAGGTGCTTCTATTGCTGCTATTGTACAACATATGACAGAGAAAGGCATTGGTATGAATGAAGAAGGTTATGCTATCTGTAAGTGACATATATATATATATATACGTAAAGATCAAAAGGGGCTTTTATTGAATTTGTTACAGCTATTAGTGGTAGTATATATGAAGACTATCCTTCTTTTCATCCCCGTGTCTGTAAGACCCTAAAAGACTTGATTCCCGAAGAGATTGCTATGAAACTCTCGGTTGGTGTTGTCAAACATTCTCGTATTGTGGGTGCAGCCATTGTGGCAATGATGGCCGAGAAAATTGCTGCTATGCAATCCTAAACTTACTTTTATACACTTATCTTATTTTTTTTTTTTTAATTCTTTTAACGCTTAATACCTCCTCTCTCTCTTTTTTTATTGGAATGTTTATATATAAAATCGAATTGCATACGGCTAAATTAGGTGCCGATGCACATGAATTGTAATGCATTGTATTATTGTTTTTTTTTCTTCTCTTTTCTTTATACCATCATGACTTTGAAACGAAAAGCAATTGACTTTGACCAACACTTTGGACAACTTATTGATATGCTCAATGGTGTCTTTTCATTCTCTTCTAAACAACAACAGATTAAGGGAATGACAATGTACCAGTATCCTTTTTTAAATATATATCAACACGCCTAAATTTCCGTCTATATTATGACTTAACTCTTTTGTTAGAATTGTCTATGACTTGTGTATTGCTATACCAAGGCCTTTTACAGATAGAGTATTTTTAGGTATTGCTGAATATATCGACAGACATACGATGAACGAGTGCAAAGTAAGTCTTGCTTCACTCTATATGTTATTTATATTGTCGTCATAGGCGATGTTAGCCAATGATGATATTGTTACTTCATATGCTAGAGCATTTGAACGGTTTGCTTTAGCATCAGAATACATTTCAAGAGGCTGTTGCTATCTTGACCGTGTCAATACCTCCAATTATGCCAATAGTCACCGCAACAACAACAACAATACCATGACTCCACAGAGTTTAGCCAGCCATATAAAGTACAAAAAACAAAACATAGAGGCACTTGCTTTGTCTTTATGGAAATCCAATGTGTTGTTTACAATACGTGATCGATATCAAAACAAGCTGTTCTATCAGGTATTTGAATTGATTCGACAGGACCGTGATGGAGACGATTCACCTCACAGCACCATCAAATCGGTGGTGACTTCCCTTGTTCAAGTCAATGCGTTCACAGAGCAACCCCTACAGCTCTACATTGAAGAGTTCGAACGACCTTATTTAGTGCATACAAAGCGATACTATGAAGCAGAAGCCGCTCGTGAAATAGCAGCCGGCAGTATCAGTCATTTTATGCAGAAAGCAAATGAACGCCTTCAACAAGAAATCATGCGTAATAACCACTATTGCCATTCGACATCGCATTCTCGCATTGTCAAGGAATTTGAAGCTCAGTATATCGCAGCGTATCAGGGTCGAATCATAGACGAATTCGAGACCATGTTGAAAGAAGAGCAATTCCAAGGTATGGAAAAAAACACACACGCACATATACATACAGTGTTTGGTCTGATATAATAGATAGACTGTACATTGGCCTATACGCTCTTGAGTCGTATTCCTGATGGTCTTAGGCCTCTACTTGATATTTATGAAACGTATGTGTCTAGGCTGGGAAAAGAAATCGTGTCTCGATTAGGCTCTAGTATTTCAAAAAACCCACAGTCTTATGTGGACCAGTTATTGGCCTTGCATCAGAAATACTATCAAGTAAATCAACAAGTCTTTTCTTCTGACTCTTTGTTTACTGCTGCTGTAGACAAGGCATTCAGAACCATTGTCAATGAGAACTGGAGTGTGAATGCATCTTCTAATGGAGCAGAGACATTGGCTCGATACTGTGATATGATGCTCAAAAAGAATGCAGGCAAAAAAGATGTTGGATCACATACAGCAGCAGCAGCAACAGCAGGAGTCAAAAGAAAAGGATTAAAGAAGCGTGTGATGGATATGGATGAAGGAGACCAAGAACAAAAACTCATGAAAATGGTAAGCAGATAACAAGAGAGAGAGAGAGAGAGAGAAAGCATAATAGCTTATGGTGATTTAGATTACATTGTTCAAGTATGTCGATGACAAGGACGTATTTCAAAAATTCTATTCACGAATGTTGGCTAAGCGTCTTATTTATGGTGCTTCCTCTTCAGAAGAGTTGGAAATGAACATGATTAATCGTCTGAAAGAGATTTGTGGTGTAGAATACACGAGCAAGTTAAACAAGATGTTTACAGACATGTCTTTAAGCAGTGATCTCAATACTAAATTCAAGAATTATATCAAAGAAAAGTCTTTGACTGGACAAGGTAAACAATTGAGCGCCTAAAAGTGTGCTTGTTTTCCTTTTTTTTTTCTTTTAACTCACAAGTGTTTAGTGAATATGGATATCTTGGTCTTAACTGCTGGTGCTTGGCCATTGAATCAAAAAGAAGAAACAGGTCAAGATACCAACAAGATACAAATTCCTTCTGTGGTAAGCCATCTTATGCCTGTAAGTTTATTTTCTCTAATATGTACTAGTTGGAAAACAACATTTCTTCCTTTGAAAGCTTTTATAATAACCAATACAACGGAAGACGTCTATTGTGGCAATGGAACCTTACTCGAGGCGAAATCAGAATCACAAATCTGGACAGAAACTATGAACTTCAAGTGAGCCTATACCAAATGGTCATTTTACTCTTGTTCAATCAAACGGGTATCTCTCATATTCATATCCATGATATCATGACAGAGTCAGGTTTAAGATTGCAAGATACCATGCGTAGCTTGAAGCCTCTTGTCGACATACAGCTGTTACAGACACTGGACGGTGAACCATTATCAGAAACAAGTCAAATTCAAGTCAATACATCATTTACAAGGTACTGTATAGTTGATGGCTCTTACTGGCTACTGACTTTTTTTTTTTTCAAGTAAACGTACCAAAATCAAAGTGACCGCATCCTCTACACAGAATGAATCTCAACAAGAAAGTCAAGCAGCAAGAAAATCAGTAGATGAAGACCGTCGTATGTATTTACAAGCTGCTATTGTTCGCATCATGAAATCAAGACAGGTCTTGCCTCATGTTCAATTAGTGCAAGAAATATTTGATCAAGCCAATTCAAGATTTTCTCCTTCGGTTATCATGGTCAAGAAATGCATTGAACAATTGTTGGAAAAGCAGTTTATTGCTCGACAAGAAAGAGACACATATGTTTATGTTGCATAATAAATCTTTTTTTTTCTTAATGTTGTTATTAAAGACAAAACTAAAAGCATCATTCATTGATAAAAGCAAATCTTTATTAAATAATGTCAGTCTTTAGTTTCACTTCATAGAGAAGTTACTCACAGGAGTAGCCACGAGAAGGCAACTGACTCGTACTCCCTCACTTCCTTCACTGACACCTTCCCAGGCCCGCGATACACTGGGGAATGCCAGATCATTAAAGAAGGATCCCAACAACTCCCAGCAACTACCCTTCTTCCCGCTGCAGACCAACGCCTATATACCCCGTACCTTACTCTCGGGGCAGTAAGATAAGAAAGTAAATCATCGGCTATAACAGGCCAACAACGATCAGGATCGAACACTGAAAGCCACGGAGAGAGAAACACCAGTAGACAGAACCAACCAAATAGAGAGAAAAACCTAGAGAAAGCAGAGATGTCAGCAAACGCGTTTTTGAAATAGATGAAGTACTTACCAAAAAACGATCTACAAAAAGAGAGAACACGAAAAAACTACGCCAATTCCATCTCATCCCATCACATTGTTAGACTACAGATAACTAGTATATCCTCAATACATAGCTACTTGTAACCAAAGTAGAGAGACAAAGAGAGAGAACCAAGCAGATAGAACCAAGCAGATAGAACCAACCAAGTAAAGAGAAAACCTTAGAGAAAGTAGACGCGTTCTTGAAATAGTTAAGGCACGAACCAAAAAGAGAGAGAGACCATAAGAGACCATAAGAGACCAGAGTAGAGAAAGTAAAGAAACAGAAAGAAAAGATAAAGAAATAAAAAATAGTGCTGCGTGCCTTTTCATAAGTATTTTTTTTTTCTTTTCCTTTCCTTGCCCTTCCTTTTCTTTGGATCATCTCATAGAGAGGACGCCCAATCTTGTGTTACATATAAACTTATTTACTTGCATAAGACATGCGATGAACACCCTACTTGTCAGTTCTATAAACAGAAAAGCATCCCTTTTTGCTTATTTTCTTTCTCTTTTGCTATGTGCTCATCCTCTGTGTTTCTATTGAGTAATTCATTATTCTTTGCCCTTGAAGATAAGGGAAGTTTACTTGTCATATAAATCAATGCGGAATGTATTTCGTAATAGAGGACTTTGAATTGTAATCATTCCCAGTTTCCTTTTTTTCTTTCCATGAGAAGATCATCCTGAAACAATAACAAACTTTCTTATTCATATGAAAATGTCAATAACCAAAAGAGCAAAGAAGAGTTTAGCTGTTTAAAAAGAAAGAAAGAAAAAGAAAGAAAAAGAAAGAAAGAAAGCTATTTTACACACAAACTGAAAGTACTGATTACTGGTGCCTAAAGATGAACTAACTATTGTCTTTTTTTTTCTTCCTTTTTTTTTTACCTTGAGCACGAAAAGTATTTCCGTTGATCCGTGCATCATGCATACGCTTACCACATTTTAAATCCGTAGGACAGTGGCTTACTTTTCCCTGAAAATAGACCCTGAAAAATTCATCGCTTTTTCTTTTGTTTACTACAAAACTCATATACTGTATTGTATATTGCCTATGTCTGATCTTGGCCTAGCCTTGGTAGCGATGCGTAGTAGAAAAATTGTCTTTTGCTGGAGATTTGTGAGTGTGATGGTTTGGTTATTGCACAAGTTGACCTTGATATACTGAATGACCACGTCAATATCCCATGTTTTCAATTAATGGTCTGCTGGTACAGGTATTGGTTGATTTCGTTTGGAGCTAAAAAAAAACCTTGGATTGATGGTCGGTAAGCAATAAGTTCTTTGTTAGGATGGATGCTAAATTGCATTTATTCTGCTATTTTCTGAGTACCTATAGATGGTGGTGATAACTTGGCAAGTATCTGTCTTCCACTTCTTAAGTTCAACAATAAGTTCCTTGTTGATTTGACATTACTTGTTCCAGTTGTCGTTCTTGTATTTGGCGACCTATCTTTTAAGTCTAATAAACTCTTCTTTGAACTCACATGTTGTCGTGCTATCCGAATATTCTGATATTTACAATGGTAATTTTGAACCATGTCTTTCTTCATCTTTCCTGGTTTGTTCTTCGATTTGCAGTCTTTTGAAAAGTGCAAGCGCGTCTGCTGCAGTGAGCAATCTTCTGGCTCATTATTGTTGATATCACTCGTAATTTATTCTGCGATGCGCGGCTTTGAAAGATATAAGGAAGAAAGGGGATTTCAGGAACAATCAACAATTGAATGCCTGTAACCAAAAAAATAATGCTACTTTCCAAAAAAAAAAAAAAAGGGACAAAAGGTTGATATCTGCTGAGAGAACCTACCATTTCATACTCTATTTTTCTACACATATCTTTCTACTCAAATTTGAATTCCTTATTATTCAACTCTAAATTCTGACAGTTACTTGTGTCACAGAATACTTACTTTGAATCCCAATTATTACTTTATATCACATTAGATTTACACATATTGCTCATTTTACATTTAGTCAGCATAGCCTAATATGATCGTATACTTTTACAGTGATTCATGAATTTATTATATTTGGGCTGTTATAATTGCACTTTTGCAAGTTCAACATGACCACTTTAGAATAGATACAAATACTAGAACAATTCAATTTAAATAAAGACATCCATAATTTCATCTTAAACTTACAATCGTACTTTACTTGTATTATCTTTTACTTTAAACTAGACTATTATTATATCATTCGTCTAACTGGGTACTTTGATCTTGCATTACATTTGATTATTGTACGTTATATTATATTGTATCTTTGTATCTCTTTTATTTATACAAATTACATAGTCGGACGACTTAAAATCTGGTGCTCATTACATATAACTTGCTGTCTATTGCTCTGCTATATTTACTGTTCTATATTTCTACAAGTTACTGCAATCTCTATCTTTGTCCTGTGGCACTAACAAGCACATCAAAGAACTTGAAAATCAGAGCAAGATACAAACTAGCCCAAGAGCTGTTCAAATGATCCTTGGTCCCTTCTCGACGATTGATAGTAAAGCAAAAGTCAAATTAGGCATCATAACGGGGCTATCCAAATGCAACTCAAGGGGAAGCGTAATGTAAGAATTATTCTTTGAAAAACAAAGAAGAACATCAAATCAGATATATGTCGCTAACATCAGTCACCACAGCTCTCGAAATTAAGTAACTTCCTCATTCCAAATGAAACAGTGAAAGCACCTACCACTGAAAAAAAAAAAAAAAAAAAAAAAAAAAAAACTATACTATATCTAAAAGATCTGAAGTTGGGAACTACTTTAGTGGACCTGATGTTCACGCATTTACTCTGAAGATATGAAACGGTCCAATTACAATTAATTGGTCTTTGCATTTGTACAAAAGAGAAAAACAGATACATCCAATCTTTTGAATAAACATAGAATCAAAGCAAAAGACGTCTTTTTTTTTTCTTCTTTTTTCATAGAACTTGTCAGGCTTTTAATTTGATAGATTTGTTAATGATTTAAACAGTGACGCAGTCTATTAGTTTGCTGCAGACAAGGACCAGTTTTATTTTGATATGAGATGATTATGTGTATGTGTATTAAAGTCTTATTTCATTAAAGCGATGATGGTAGTTTTGTGGTATTATTTAAGTTGTTAAGCAGTAAAGAGCAAGCATTGCGCAGTGGGTAGCAGCTTTTTTGTAGCAGACTTTTTGTAGCAGACAGTAGCAGCAGGCTTTTTGTAGTAGACTTTTTGTAGAGATTTTTTTGTAGCAGACTTTTTGTAGTATACAGTAGGCAGCAGATCTCTATATAGTACTAGCCGTATCATATCGGTAACCTTGTAGTAGAATTCAGAGGATAAGCCTTATTACTAAAGCTTAGTTCTGTTAGCTCTTTCCTCACAACAAGCCTATCAGTGCTGAGAAAGAGAAGCACAGGTAATGTTTGTGAACTCCTTGCTACCGAATCTCCCAACGGGTCTACTATGTATCCCTCAAGGCAAAGCCCTTCAGGAGTAGAGGTTTATGGAAATTGGCCAACAACAGATACGGTTGGTTTAAGCGATTCAATAAGCGGCATCAGTCTTCGTTCTACTAGTCAGTTACCAATGGAAATAAGGCCAGAAAGAGAGAGAGAGAGAGAGAGAGAGAGGAAGCAGAGAGGGTCCTTGTCGAGACGCGTGTTCTTTTTGTTTGTTTTCTTTCTTGGTTATACGAAAAGATAGATAAACCATTCATCGGAATACGTATTGAGTAGTTTGAGTTTTTAGATTTGCAAAGAAGAGACGCCTTGGTATGGTTTGGCTTGACGAAACATCAGAAAAGAGGCTAAAGTATTAGCTAAATCAACTCAATATTGCATACATACCTCTTTGTTTTTTCCAAGACTTGAAAATATGAGAGAACAAGATAAAGAAAGAAAGAAAAAAAAAGCTGCTCAAGACTCGCCTTTTTGTTTTTTTTGTTCTCACTTGTGTAACTTGGTTAAATCGAATGTTCTCATCCTATTTCAATCTAAACAAACTAGACTAATAGTTGGGGACGATGTCTAGAACTAGTCTGTGTTTTGTTTTGAGCGAAAAAGAGAAAAAAGAACGAATGTACGTTTTGTAGCAAACTAGAAGAAAAACTGTAGATTTTCTAGGGCCTGCTTTCAGGGAAAAGAATGATTGTCCGCGGATCTAAAATGACTATTTTCATGCGTATGCATGGTGCATGGACCTACGGGCATACATATGTTTTATATGAAAAGAGACACGAAAAGAGACAGTAAGCAATAGTAGCAAGTAACTTAGATGTAAACTAAGCCGTCTCTTTTTTTTTCCACTTATTTATTTATTTTGATATTTAAACAAGAAAGCTTTACATTGTTTCAGAAGGTTCTTGAAATGGAAAAGAAGGAGCTGAAAATGATAACAGTTTAAAGTCCTCTGTTCCGAAATAAAGCCCGCATTCTTGTATGTTATGGGTAAGCTTTCCTCATAGTAATAATAACACAGAGAGAATCATTCTTTCAATGAAGAACAACAGACCCATCGCAAAAAACAAAGAAACAAAGAGTTTACTTTTGCGTCTAAAAAGTAAAAAAGTAAAAAAGCAAAGCATTACTCGTATGTTTTATGCACATAAACAACTTTGGATGTAGCACGAAATCAGGTGTTTTCTTTTATTTTTATTTCTCTCCCTCTCTATCTC